AGTACTGGGTTATCACAAGAGATCGCTATCCTATTCTAGGCCAGCTAGCCCTTGATATCTACTCCATCCCAGCCTCCTCAGCTGATTGTGAGAGAATTTTCAGCGAACTTGGCGATCTCCTGGGCGTACGACGCCTTAATATGAAGCCTGAGTTACTTAGTGCTCTGCAATCTATACGCTCCTGGCGTCGAATTGGCATCAAACCTCCTAAGTAGTAATCAACTTATCAATCAATCTATCAATCAAACCAATCAATTCAACTTGGGGGTCAAAAAGTATCAATCTCATCAACTCAACTTGAGCATCTCAGAAATTAATCAAATCAAATCAAATCAATCACAGCCTGTTCAACGAAGCAATCAATCAACTTGGAGACGTCAAAGTTGATTGATTGATTGATCCCCACTCTGATCTAGGAATCAAAGTGCAATGAGCGTCTGTTTTAGGCCAAAGCAATTGAAGAACAGTGTTACGATATTGTCTATACCGCGGACACATTCAACTATCTAATGATTTTGCCGCGCTTCCTGTGCTACTCAAGTAACCTCATGGCTCCCAAGATTTACACTTAACCAATTGCCTACGAGAACCTCCATCGAATATCCGAGTTCAGATACGTGTTTCTGCTAAGGGTCTTAGCCGTCTTAAACCTCCCATAATGTCCATTGGTATCCCCAGTATTCCTCCTCTGGTGTCTCGAGAAGCCAACGAACTATCGAATAAGGCATATTCGTATCTGATCGCTGAGATTGGGAATGAAGCTGGCGGTGGAAGCTAGCAGTATGGGGCGCTTCGAGACCAGGCTTCTTTTCTGATGCAACTTGATGAACTGGAAGTTTTTCCTGGATGAAAGAACTCGGTCAGTCAAAGCAAGGCTGTTGGGAAGGTTTGGCTTCAGTACCTTGGGTGCATCGGACTTCAACGAAGAATCAACAGTTGCGACCAAAGAAGCACCAGTGCTCAGGTCCTCAGCATTCCGGGTTTTTGGTCTAGCATCTCCAGCGTTCGGCTGGTCTTGTCGGTGACTAGCCATGGGGACTTTGTACGAGTAGGAAGTCTTCCTATCCGAAGGATAATAGGTCTTGAAAGGATTTGGGGGAAATGAGCTAAACCTCTAAAGAGCACAGAAAGATGAAACGAAGTCAAAGAAGCCGCGGGCAATTCCCATTCGTATGCCACGGCAAAGCAGAGCTCAACGAAAGGGGAATGATATGCTCGTGTCTGTATCAACGCTTCATTTTGCCCAGCAAAGGATTTCCACGCCCTACTCGAGAAGGCAAACTCACCGGATACATGGTATGGCCGCATTTGCTTGAATCAGTTCGATACACCCAGACCGTATGGAATCGGGCCTTGTCGGCCGTATTCTCCGACAGCACCTGCAGTTCACCCAGACTATGATCTTTCGTTGGATCACCCAGGATTACGGCCGGGGTGGCTATCTTTCCCTACCACTAAACGTTGATGGAGGAGCGAGTCGAAGGAGTCCGCTGATCGCAATGTGCCGACCGAGCGACTTGAGCGGTGTACCAACTGGTAGGCAGGAATCAGTATGGCAGAAAACGTATTCGTAGATCCGCAAAATGACACATCCGATGAACACGCAGCGGCTCCTTGAAAGCCGCTGTAGGGGTACAGGGAACCTCCTTGCACCCTGCCTGGTATATTGGCGCTGACTCGTGCTTCCTGGCAAGTTCTCAGCCTTGACGGGCCGGAATGCTGGGGGTTGGTGACCCACCCTACGGGCCGCCCCCCTGGCGGGTTCTTACTTGGAGTCTGAGCATGACACTTTACCAAGGGTCTGCAGGGCTAACAAGCCTTTCTCGTTACAAAGGCTGCGATCGCAGTACGATTCGAGTCGCGTATTTTGCAAACGACCTTTCAACGGTCAGTGAAAGGGCACATCAATAACGCTGAATGATTCAAAAAATAGCCTCCGATACTCCGTAAAACTCCGTTCGACTGTTCCAAGTTGCTCTTAGACTTGGCATACCTGCAAGGATAAGGCCGAGGAATAACGCGACACGTAGGAGGCGCACATCCGTCGGCGACAGAGCCGACGACTTCGAACGCAAAAGGCAAATTCAGCGACTCGCAGCGGCGCCACCAATCAACTGACTACGCCGCAATATACAGAGCGCACGGATACAACAATTGCAGCGGACTGGATCTCCCGTTCCTGCCCGCATTACCGTTTGTGGTCGCGGCTCTAGTCCCAGCCTTCTAACTGCGATGAAGCCGTCTCCGACATCTGTTATTTCCGAAGAGCACTCTCCCTCATGAGCGAAATCTTGGCACGGGATAATGGGTCCGAGTCTATGCCTCGACAGTTTCGTCCGCGATCGTTAGAATTGTCATACCGAGCCTGAAAGTAACGACCGTCGGGCGCAAGACCACGAGAGGAACACGTGGAAGTATGTACGATCTGGGTGGACGATTCAATTGTCCCTCAAACGAGAGAAAGTCCAATACGAATGGGAAATCACGTGCTCCCGACTAACCGACGATGTCGAAAGTCTTCAGAAGTCTGAAAACACTGACATGGCTCCACGTACTCTACTTAAGAAGTATGTCATCTTTCAACTCTTCCCTCAATGACCTCAAGTTTCCACCTGAATTGAAACTGATTCATTCTTTAGTGAGAATGGGCTACAGTCTCTCAAGCCCGATAAATCTCTTCAAGATCGAGTCAGACGCGTGCCCGCCCACCCTCGAATTCATTTATCCTTGCGCTAAAGCTGTGTTCATGCAGTTCCGTTAGCGATGATGTGGTTTACGTGTCGCGAACGAAAGTTGAAAGACGGCACGACGTGCGAGAAGAGTTGCACTACCGACGCTATCAATGTGACGGCGCCAGCGGCTCGGCCCCTGGGACGAAGACGACCCACTCTTGGCCGTCCGTGCGAGTGGGATGCGTGGGGGCGGGGGCACCACCCGAACCTCAGCCTTACCCCTCAGCTTCCCCGCAAGCACTTAACACGGTCTCTCACACGGTCTTACAGGTCAGTGTCGGTGGCTTGAGCTGTAGGCCATCTTCTCCGAATGGCTACTTCTTGGCTCTCGTTCTTTTCGTCTCCTCCGCAGTTACACGTTTATTCAGAGACACTCTAGATTATGTCCACCATCTAAGCACATTCAATCGAAACGAAATGCGAAAAAGGGCTTTCATGTATAGCAGATCTCTCTCTGGCTATCGAAATCAAAACTTTTACTAACATTCTCCCTCTCCGCCCAATAATCGCCATCCCAGCGACTGACAGGAAGTAGGTACCATTAGGTACCCCTGCCAGAGCCTTCAGGATTCCAATATTCCTCCTCTGGCGCCTGGTTAAGCCATCGAATCATCGAATACGGTAGACCGTTTCTCGGAACTTGCAATTCGTCCATGGAATGGCCCCCGAAGTTTCCAGCGGTGGGATCAGAGCAGTCATTAATTGCCTGCGCCTGCTAAAGAACATGACTGACGTTAAAGGCCCAAACATTTCAGAGAACAATGTAAATCGTACCTTGATGCCATTGGCTTTCGAATGCGGGTCGATTTTTGCATCGGATGCCAGCGGAGGCTTCAACTCTTTAGTCTCAGCATTGCTTCCATTGGACTTGCACGCATGGTCATTCGCCATGGTACAGTTGCGTGTGTTTTGTGGGTATGTCCGGAGCTGAGGAAATGAAGGCTGGAAAGATCGGTATCAAGAAACAGATTGAAGATCGAAATGCCGGCCACTGCATGTCAAGAAAGGAAGCGGGTTCCAAGTCGAGGAGAGAGGGCCCTTTTATGCCACATCAAAGTGATCCTTACAACGACCGCGGAAGACTGCGCCGGACTTTCCTCGTATTTCCCACTCCTGCATGGTGGAAATGCAAGTGATAATCGAACTGCAAGTTGGCTTGCAAGGCAACAGAAGGCAGATGGACCGATTCGGAAAGCTGCGTGCTCCATGTGCTGCATTTCAGCGCCGTCATCACCATGCGACGCATATGCCATGCGGTGGGCTTGCCCATGCACCTGTAAGTAGGTCCAACGATACTGCTAATTGGTTCGGCTAGCTGTCGAGCAGTCCGAGCGCTCCCTTGGCTGGGACACTAATTTCCCTCATTTTCCCCCCACGCTCCCTTCACGCTGCCCGCAAGGTTGAGGACGAAGCCCCCCACTTTCCCAGGGCACTTCATCAAATCCAACGCTTTCCGGACGTTTGCTCCTACTTGAGTAGCAAACTCTCCCTCCCACTGGGAGGTTCACGCCGATCTCGATGTACCACCGTGCATACGCGCAAGGCTGAAGTAGGTAGCCAAGCACGGTCGCTAATCTACCAAGCCGGGCCGCCTTTCCTTTCCAGCTCTGACGTATGCCCGATCTGTTGGGGAGGCCTGGCTCTACCATGAGTGAAATGAAAGAAAAGACACCTTGCAACGTTCCTCAAACCTAGCTACTGTTAGGTCATACCTCGTCTCATCCAGCGAAGATCAATGAGAGGAATGCAGTGAAAGTATGGCTCCAACAGACGATGTAAATGGTCTGGATTCAACCCATGTCTTACGTCAGGAAGCGTCCTCGGCGACTCCTGTAAACTTTCGAATCGGCGGGCAAGGCACGGCTCTCAAAACATGCTGTTAGATAGCCTGAAGGTTTTGTGCTGGATATCATCTTCAGCAGCCAGCTTTTTTCCAGATTGCACTCAGTGCGGTTCAATTCTCTTCCCATCGCAGGATCCCTCCGTTATTCCACAATGCCTAGAGTACTGCCTACATTATCAACGGTCGGAGCGATGTCTGAAATTCTCAGATGACGCAGAAATAGAATGATGATTGTGGATGTCGGCATTGTGGAAGCTCAATTGACATGACTCGTGTTTATTTTCTCGACTTCTAAGCTGTTTCTTTCAACGAATGGAATAGCAAAGATAAAACAAACCCAAGCAGTCTCTAGCCACCACGTACGACGGAGGTCTTTCCGAGGTCTCGAAAACTTCCGAGCACGGACAAGAAAGCTTGACTAGTCATCTCACGTACTACCACGTCCTTCAATGTGCCAGTATTCCTCTTTTACTTCTTGGAGAAGCCTGCGAGCCATTGACTAGGGCTTACCGGGCGTCTCCAAGGACTGCGCTCGAAGCCGCAGGTGACGCTGGAAGGCAGCGGTCTCCGTATCATCTTTGGCGGGTGGGGCTTGATTAGGTTTGCGCGGACTCTAGAAGAATGAGTTCCGCTAGGAGTAGCAAATGTGTTGGGGTGAGTCCAATTTGTTCACTTTACCTTGATTCCGTTAAGTTTCCACGAAGTATCAATATCCGCATTTGCAGATTTCCCAGCCTCATCAACTTTGGTGCCAGTATCTCTTCCCCCCTGGCGATCTCCCGGGTGTATATTCCGCAACACTCTGCGGGCATGGTGGTCTCTTCGTAGAGCGTTCAGAAAGAAGAGAATGCGTAGAGCCCAGAGAGCTTTGAACGTCAGGGATATATAAGCAATTTGGCCCCGGGACAGCATGACAAGCTCTTATGTTGCAAGAACAGAGTGACCTAAGAATCAGTGAGAAGGATACCCGACTCCTGCCACCCCTCCTACAGCTACATGACGCTATTCTTACTAGGCAAAAGAAGGCAACATTGCCAACTGGCCGATTGCAACGTGGGGGTAATCAACCACTTGCTACTTCTCAAAGCTGCTAGAGTTACTACGGTGGCGCCGACACTACGTGAGCCACTCAGACGAACAACCTTGCAGATGTGGCTGCGTCTACCGTGCTTCCAATTGGTTCACAGGCCGTTGCGACGTTTACCCCACTGCTCGCGCCCTGTCACCCGCGCAAGGCTGAAAGCAGAAGGCCTTCCCCACCGGAAAAAGTTATTTGTTGCTTCAAACTCGTGCAAAAGAGCATCACGTTGTCGTGACGAAGCTGCAACATACCCCAGAGTCACGGGATTAGTTATGTGACGTCAGACGCGCTATCAAGTGCAAGTCGCGATCTTCTAGCTCCTTAAAATGACACATCATGACTGGACATGTGTAGTAAGCCAAGATCAACCATCACTCGTAGGTACTGCTTCTATTCTCGTCTATTTCATGCTCTACGTCCAGCAGGATATCCATATTGAAAGCCAGCATCACTGACCAATATACTCTAAGGAAAGTAATATCTCCGCAGCCTAGCGCTATGGGCATATCTATCTTTGCATTGCTTATATGTTGCATAGACATTGAGCCTTACAGGACGTTAGGCCGACTCTCAGTGTGCCAGTATTCCTGCTTCGCGGTCTCGTTCAGCCAACGTTCAATAGGACTGCTGATGTTTCCTTCCGGATCGTGTTTGTCGAATTCGAGGGGTTCGGGGCCGTGCTTGTCGTTCTAGGATAAGAGAAATGTCAGTAACGGCAAAGAGTTGGGCGGAAATGGCATAGTACCGGTTCACGGCGATTTTTCGCAAGACTGGCTGCGGATTTCGAAGACGTCTCATTTTCCTGAATTTCGAGCCCAGAACTCTCTTTCTCGGGCTGTGGGCTCTGATCTGGAGCCATGGGCGTCTTGCGACAGAGAGGGTGTTTCCCTGGTAGAGGCAAAGGTACCTAGAGAAGCAGTGCTGAGCTGGCTGAAGTAATGAAGAGACAAGACCTAAAGATGATTTTTGGAAGGGAGAATCAGACTTGAAAGACTGGATGCGTATTGAGGGATGGTGGGGTTAGTCTGAGGATGGTGCTCTTATACCACAGCGAGGGAGATTCCGGGGCGGCGAGGGCAAGCTCAAGTCTCCACTGGCATCCTTGCACTCTCAGGTTGAGAGAGGGATACAATGATCTTATCTTACGCTGTCTTGCAGGGTGCAAGAAGGCAATTGACTGGATGCGAGACATGTTGCTTCTTTTTTGCTACACTTCGTTGGCCAGTCGGCCCGCGCGACTCGCTCGAGGGAGTTGAGTGGGCTGCGCGAACTCGCTCGAGGAAGTTGAGTGGCCCGTTCATCTGCGGCCCGTTCACACGACTCGCTCGAGGGCGTCGAGTGGCCCGTTCATCCGTTCATCTGCCTTGCGGCCCGTTCACGGACCGTTCGCTCGCTCTGTCGGACTTACTGCGTCCGCTAGTCAAGATACGGTACTGAGGTCAGCCGCTCTAGGTTAGCTGCTGATACAGAATTTAGCGATTTACCGTCACTGTGATTGCGGCCGCTAAAGTTTCACATCAGCGACTAGATCTCTTCACGGGAGTCCTGGACACCTCACGGTTCGTAATTGAATTACTTTGGGCATACTAGCTGGTATAGATTAGCAATCGACCGTCACTAGAGCGATGTCCATCAGCCGTTCAATCTGCGGGCTAAGCTATGCGCGATGTCCTTTTTGAAGAACAGCCCTGAAAAGCCACAGCAGCACTGGAACGGATTGAGTACTGCTTCACACGTACTCTCGGGCCGTACTCACCCCACCCTGCCGCTAATCCCCCAAGTCTCAGCCTTGTGAGGTCATCGCTCACCACATCTACTCTACGGCTTGTTTAACACTCGACTTAGGCTGTAAAATGGCTGAAATATCGCGAACGCCCTGGTTCGCATCTGCTCGACGGCGCCACCTTCGGCGCAATTAGTATCACAGTGACCGAAAACAAACTTTTGCACCAACTAAATAGCATATTGTCACCTCTTAGGCGATTCATACACATGGCCGAGCAGTCGAAGGCCGACACGGCATTCCGCGCAACGTAACTCCATCGATGTGTTCATCGTTGCTTAGTGTGTACATCGGGTTTATTGAATTTGCAGTGTCGATGGTCTATATGCGTCAAATATCTTGAGCTCCTTGGTAGCTCCTTATCTTTCTTCCTAGTAATCTCAATCACGGAGATATTACGATTCATTTCAGAAGGCTTGATTTCAATACAAGTGTTGAATCGTTGATTGTCAGGCGCCGGATTGGAGTATTCCTGTTGAGGTCATCTAGACCACGTCTCTTCTCTGAGATTAAACGAAGATCTAATCGCTATTTTATAGCTAGGCTTACTTAAACTCTTAGGAATCAAGTCCCACCACAAGTATGCCAGTATTCCTCTTCCAGACTCCCGTAGAACCAGCGTGCCATAGAGTAGGAGATTTCTGCTTTGGTGTTGGACTCGGCACATTCATGTCGTTTGAATATCGTCTTGGTATCCTAGATGAGACAAGTGCCAGAACTAGAAATACACTATACTATATAGCAGCCGCCGGTCCTAAGACCCGCAGCGCTCGGAGGTTCCTGCTTTCCCCGATACAGCTCGCGACGAGCTTTCGAAGCTCCAGTGGTGCTTGATACTTCTTCGTCGTAAAGGATGAGCTTGAGAGGTCAATCAAATTAGATTTGGGTGAATCTTGGTTAGATCTCACTGAAGAATGATCACTGTCAGTGACAATTTCGGCGTTCTTCACGGTCCTCGTCGCCTCCATGGATTCGCCATCTATGGTATTTGACGTTCCATTTGTAGCCACGTTAACCTTAACACTGCTTCCAGATACGGTGACTTGTTTGGGGTGGGACTTGTTGCCGCAACCTCACGCACCGCGCGGACTTCACGGGTCACATCGATCCTCTAGATGTTCCCGTGATGTCAGGCAAGGGATACCGTAGCAATACGGCTCGCATCGACGACAAGGACGACGGTCTTCTAGATGGGATGAGGAAGTTAACACACAGAGAAATCTCAATAAAAAGCGTTTCCTTGGTGCTACGAAACTGCCTGTATATTTGTTTGGTTGTTGTCAGCATATGTTCCGGCACTTGCGTCGTAAAGTTCTGACTGGGTAAGTGTATTCCGAAATCTTCCTATATAACCCCAGAAACCATTAGCGGGGTAATTCTTGAAACGTTGGCCTCCCTAGACCCTTTCTGTCGCTACCCGAAGCGGCGAACTCTCGTTTCCGACGTCGAGCAAGGAACCCTTAACCTCCAAGTGTTTCAAAGCCAGTCGAGTCGACCATCGCCCACTTCTGGCTGGGTAAAGCAATTCTGTTGCCTCGCTCTCCCTTGTAGCCAATCAACGGCTAGTAGTAGGAAACTAGTCTAGCTCTAGCGGAAGAATGTCTCGCGTATCACAGGACGGCTTTGAATGCTCGATGTACTACTCCCTAATCTACCAGAGCAAGATTTCTCTCTCGAACCGCAATGCGCCGCCTTTCATAGAAATTCAAAGCGGCTACACAGCTGATTATATTCACATTGACGGTGTCGTGGTCTAAATGGGAACAGAACCGTGATTGAAGCCTTCGGCGTAGGCAAAATATCCTCGTGATATATAAGGGCTTTCCTTTCTATGTTAAGCCAGATAAATCATAGTATGACTTGAAGAACTGGTTGGGTACCTTCAGAGTCACGTGCGGTATGAGTCAGCGGATCCCGTGATCAGGCTGAACGTCAGCCTTTCCCGAATTTTCTTCCTCATCCTTCATCCATCCGCCATCATCACAGATCGACAAAGTCAGCCAATTCCCATCACAGCGGTCATCTCTAAAGAGAGCTGCTTAATATTTTCAGCCTGCAAGCTCTACGCCTTAGAAGTCTTCGCTGGTTCTTTTGCCCACTACCCCACTAGAGGCTTTAGTGACGCCTTGAGCTTAGGCTCCACTCACTCCGGCAATTTTAATGCCCGTCCAGCTCTTCCGTGCTTCTCATAATCCTGCTTAGGAAGGATAGGTAACATGATCTCGTAAGGTTCCTTAAGGAGTTAGCAGAGTTGAATAACTGTCTAAAATAATACTCACAGGCAATCTTAGCACGCTAAGAACCAACTCCCCAGGATCATACTTCTCTAGAAGACGAATGAAATCAACCGGGTTGGTTAAAGTCCAAACGCGTGCGCGGTGCTGTGTAGGGGGCTGGAAGTTGGAGCTAGCCCAGAAGGTTTGCCGAAGGGTGTAAACACCCTTCGGCAATTTTTTTTAGATTAGTCTCATGTAGGCGTATTACCCGTGCGCCTATTCTATTCATTGTCTTAACAGAGATTGGCTAGCCCCCCTAGTGGCGGCATCGAGCTGCGCATTCCGAACTCGAAAGACCGTCAGCTACTTCAACCCCAGAGACGCTTGCATACGACATCGTAGGATTTCTGTTCGCGCAGCATGCTAGGCAGGTTTTTAGAGCTGAATAATTTCGAGAAAATTTCTTGCAAGAAAAAACATTTGTAGCAAATATATGAAGGTTTGAGTTTACAGCTCTGTCATATTCTTGGAAGTCTACTTCTCGTATTTCGACACCGACATTCATATTTTCAACGTTTCTTAAGGAGATGCTGCTTTGCTATCTTGAAGTCCTGCCGCGGAGACAACGGTGGTGCTCACGCTTGCAGAGTCGGTTAGAAACTACTACTTATAACATTGAGCGAAGGCACTTACCACCTCGGTTTCCGGTGATAGCAGGTCGTTACTGCGGCGGACAGAGAAAGCTTATTTAAGTTTTTCAAACTGGCCACGTAAGTGTTGTTGCTTGATGAGTCGGTGTATCCCATGTTACATCGACCTAGGAGGAGTCGTTCTCGCGACTTCACGACAGCACGCGTCCTACATTATTAAAGGATTCAACCAAAAGTCCAAATTGACAGTGTTTTATCCAATAAGATTGCTTAAATGCTTCTTCTGGGCTGCCCATTTTCCAGTTTATAGATTGCGACAAAATCCGCGAGTCACGGCGATTGGGAACAGCAATGAGGGAGAGCATGCATTGTCAGCGAAGAAGAGCAGAATCATAACTAAGAAAGGAACCAAAAGCCAAATATTCCTGTCCATGTTTCGAGGCGGCAATTGAACATGCTTATGTCCAGCTCCGACTAGAAAGACGATGCAGTGACGAGTCACAGCCCCAGGGCCCCTTGAAAGCATATCAAGGGTATTTAGGTATAGTGTCCAACCACTGAAAGAGACCGCCTTCTGTGACTATCGATGTCACCCACGGCTGCATGTGTTCCAATGTTCCTCCTTAGAAGTCTCGTCAAGCCAACGTGCCATAGAGTACGAGACACCATCTTCAGGATTGCGGTTGGTTTCCTCATTGCAGGTGCTCGGGAGTCTTTGGTCTGTGGTGGTTTGACCCTGAGTGGCATTTTGTCAGTCTAAGTTGTATCAAAGAGTCGGTGATGTCAATGAGGGTATATTACCTGGCTCTGGTCACCGATGCGATCGTTTGAGTCTTCGTAGACACCAGAAGCTGCACTAGAATCTTGCTCTAGAGCCACCTTGGTCGGAGCGATGAGCTTCCCGGGCATGATGTTGTCCTTTCCCTTGAACCCTGCTGCGGAAGATGTGGGTGGAGTGAGAGTATCTCGGAAGGGATGTTAAGGGCGAGATGTTTTCAACACTTGCAACAGGTTATGAACGCAGAGCAAGGCTGACAACCTATCGAAAGGTAAAGAGAGGGAGTGGATAGACAAGAAACTGCATCCTTTATTTGAGCGGGTTACTGAAGTACTTATAAGCTGGCCAGCGTGAGTGTCAGCAAGCAGCACAGTGAGTGATCGAAAATAAGGCAACGGCCATAGACGCATTGCCGAAGAAAACGAGGAGCAAAGTCTAGCTGACGGGGCCAGTGAATACGCATTCTGTGCTGGTGGTTGAGTCCAAAAACTCCAGCACCCTGCCGATTAACATCCCATGCCGCGGCGCTGCATCACACCAATCACATCACCCCGGGGGCGACGGCGACGGCGTCAGGGGGCGGACGGCGGCAGCGCGTGTGCCCGTGCCTTTCCCAGAGCGTCGACAGCACGCCGAGCGCCTTGCGCAGCCTTCTGCACCAGCTGCATGTCCCAGCGCGCCCTGACGCTGCGCGAAAGGGCCTCGATCCCCGTGCGCTCCTACTGCCCTAGCTCGAGGGGATCATGCTCCCCACGTCTCTCCCACACAGACTATACTGTATCGCTTGCTCATCTATATGTATGCTATCTCTCCTACATTCGACCACGCAGCAGTATGCAGTCGGTCAGTCTGTGAGCTTCCGCTGAGTAGCTTGCCGAAAGAATCGTGTGGCGCGCACTCGATGTCCCACGTCACCCGTCTTAGGGCGCTGTTGCGGGCCCAAGACCGCTCCCCACAGCTGACCTCCTCGGTGTTGTCGTTGTAAAAAGTCGCTCTCCATACGCTATCCATCACGCCAGGTGCCCCTAATCTTTAATACACTTTTAGGCGAGGTTGTCAGGAAAGGGGACTTGATCGTTCCTGATCAGCTTCCTCCAATGACACTTGAAGGATGACGCTGAAGAGTATGTTTACTACAATACTGGACGTTCGTGAGAGAGGAAAATATGGCCAAATCTTGGGGTCCGCATCGTTGGCGTTAATGAACGAGAGCCTAACCCTCGACAGACGCTATGATAGACCAAACAGAACACGTGTTGGAGCAGATTGACGGCAACGGCGGGGTTTGAGTCTGCCTATGTCCAATCCGAGCAAGGGGGGCTGTGATCGAAGGCGATCGCGAGAGGCGCCGTAACGCCCATGCTGCGTGACACTGCTCCGTGTGCACCACACCCGTCGTGCTATCGGCAAGCATGGGTGTGGCGTATTGCGCATCATGACGGGCGCCAGCTCAGCCGGCCCTGGGGGCAGAGGGTAGACGAGCTATGTAAGATCCGTGACTCGTATTGCGGTAGAACAGCTGGAGCCCTGCGCGCTGGGACGGCCTCCCGACTGAATCGCACCCCCACGAGGGCCTAGGCCACCGCCAGGAATTATCCATCCACGCACCCGAGCTAGCTCTGTTCATCTCGCGCCAGCGTAGGGGGCCTTCTGGCGGTGTTCGGCGATCTTGGAGAACCTCATGCAGGTGGTTCCTGACGCCCACTCCGCGCGTGCCAAGACTGTAACATACCCGTCGGGAATGTCACGGTCTTGGCGAGTGTGCATTGCGCAAGTGTAGCTGTATAGAAAAGGTAAATAGAAAAGTGATGAGCGGGGAATGTGTCGATCATGTGACTACTTTTGAGTACCAAGTACGGAAACATGAACACGTCTTTCTTGAAACACTGTCGATAAGGGCTCACCGATATCGAATAGAGCTTTTCGAAAACAACAGCAACTGAACACAAGTAAACTGTCACGTGCGCAATGCCCTGGGCCTACTTGAGTTCCCGGACCTCGGAGGTGAATGGATGGGTCCAGCCACAATGCGCCACGCCATCGGCGAAACGTTCTTCCCTCAGCAGAGGCGCCCTGTCGTACATCCCATCACCACTTCAATCATCGTCCCTCCACGACGCTTCATGCCGCGCACGACTCCGATGTCCGAGCAGAGTTGCAATAACACGTCTCTTGACCATCCAGATTCTTGCGCTGACCGCCCGATGGTACCCGGTGCGCTGCTCAGAACGCGACATGCTAGCCGAAATAGGTCACTCCACTTGAAAACTCTTATTTCCCGTCCAATTCTAGGCTTGGCTCCGCGCCCAAAACTCTAAAAGGGCTTCATGTAGTATTCCCTACACGTTACATGTGGGCCCACGGCTAAAACTCTGAAATGGTAACCTTTCAAGTTTTTCTATTGTTTTTCTTCGCGTGGGTGTGGTGTTCTGGATTGATCGTCATGGCCTGCACGTTCATATATAGCCAAGATGCCATGGCCAAGCTCTCACGTCATTAAGCTTTCAAGTCTTATTTCACCGCCAAGTCAATATATTACAAACGTAGAGCCTCGCGAACGTGCTCTATATCTAATTCTAATTCTAAAACTATACTACCCCAATGGAGTTCAACACCCTTCCCGTGCCCTCTCCTCCAACCAAATCAACGGCAGATAATGCAGAGAAATCATCTATCCACTCATCGAGTGACGTAGAGAAACAAATCCCGGGGACGACTAACACACTTCATCGTACCCTCAAAGGCCGGCATCTCCAATTGATCGCCGTTGGTACGCAGTCCCTCCTCATGTGCTATCAGTTACTTGAAGACTAACATCACTAGGTGGCACCGTCGGCACTGGTATCTTTATTGCCTCAGGCACATCCCTCTCCACCGCTGGACCTGCTGGAGCTCTCATAGGATATGCTTTCGTCGGCACCATCGTCTACGTCGTCACCTTCTCACTGGCTGAACTCTCCACCGCATATCCGCTGGCCGGCTCCTTCACACAACACGCGTCACGATTCGTCGATCCATCTCTCGGCTTTGCTCTTGGATGGATATACTGGTTCAGCTGGGCGATCACCTACGCGCTCGAGCTTACGGCTGCGGGACTAGTAATGCAATACTGGACGCAGAAAGTCAGCATCGGTGTCTGGATCGCAATCTTCTGGGTACCTATCACAGCCCTCAACTTCCTCCCCGTCAACGTGTACGCCGAATGCGAGGTCTGGTTCGCCAGCATCAAAGTCATCGCCCTAGCCGGATTCGCCATCTTCGCCATATGCATCAACGCGGGCGCAGGAGATGACGGATACATCGGTTTCCGGTACTGGCGTACCCCAGGCGCATTCGCACCTTACCCTTCCCTCGCCGACACCTCCGCCTCCTCGGCCGGCGCCAAAGCCGTGGGATGCCTCGCCGTACTCATCCAAGCCGGTTTCGCCTACCAAGGCACCGAACTCGTGGGTGTCGGAGCTGGCGAGAGCGAGAACCCAGGCAAGACGATGCCCAGCGCCATCCGCCGCACTTTCTGGACAATCTTATCGTGCTTCATCTCCACCATCTTCTTCATCGGCATCCTCGTGCCGTACAATAACGAGGCCCTCCTAACCGGCACCACCAACGCCGCGGCCTCGCCTCTCGTCATCGCCGCGAAGCTCGCCGGCGTCAAAGCACTCCCCGACATCATTAACGCGATTCTACTCACCGTCGTCCTCTCCGCCGCCCTCTCAAACGTCTACTCCGGCTCCCGCATCCTCATCGCGCTCGCCGACTCCTCTTCCGCACCGGCGTGCCTCAGCAAAACGAATCGCCGGGGCGTCCCCATCTACGCCGTCGCATTCACCTCCGCCTTCGGCCTCCTCGGCTTCATGAACCTCAGCAACAACGGCGGCGAAGTCTTCAACTGGTTCCTGAATATCATCGCCGTCGCCGGCTTCATCGCCTGGGCATGCATCTGCGGCTCACACATTGCTTTCATGCGGGCCCTGAAAGTGCAGAATAGATCGCGGGCCGATCTTCCATACAGAGCTCCGTGCCAGCCGTACGCAGCGTGGTACGGGCTGGTGTGGTGTGTGATTATTATCTTTGGCCAAGGGTTCACGGCGTTTTTGCCGTGGAGCACTAAGGGATTCTTTGTGGCGTATGTTAGTTTGATACTTTTCGCAGTTGCGTACGGAGGACATAAGATCGTGACGCGGACTGGGTTCGTCAAAGCACACGATGTGGATCTAGATGATGGGAGGTGGATTGGTCTAGGGACGGATAGCGAGGAGGAAGGCGAGAAGGCCGGATGGAGGAAGATGCTGGCTAGGCTTCATTGATTGAGGCGATGAGGAGTGGAGGAAAAGCGTAACAACACATGTTCAATACCATAGCTAATCTAATAGTAATCTGTTCGAAATAATCACGAGCACTTGTGGCATCAAATTGATCAAGACGTGGAAGTCTCAGGTAGCACAACAGCAACCAACCCAACCCCATCCTTCCCCACAGTCCCACAACCAAGGCACCGACCAGACTCTGTCCAATCGATCCCTCGTCCCACGCCCCGCACGTGCAGCACGTTCCCGCCCCACTTCCTTTGTGTCTCCCGACATCTCGGACCTTTCCGATCCTAGCGCCGATCTCGTGCAGCACGAACCCCTGCAGTGCTGCAGCCCATTACCCACTTAAGCAAGTCTTGGCCACGGGCCGCATAAGTGTTGAGTCCATGAAGATTGCACAGTACGCTAGTTGCGGAGCCGCACCCGTGGCAAACCCACAGCTAAGAAGCTTCTAGCACGTGATGGGGCGACTGAGATCTGACGATGAGTTATGGGGGATCTAAGGAATGTAATGAGGTTAGTTTCCATTTAATGCTGCAAAAATTTCCTTAAACACATAATCTGAGAGTTGAGAATTTGACGAACTGAACGGTGCATTAACTCACGTGAGGAGCTCGCTTAGCCATTTTACCGCGATGGGCTAGTGACACGTGAGGGGAATTTTCAGGATTTTAGCTGTAATATTCGTCAAGAGATACCTCAGACCCGTGAGGGGAGTTCCCTAGTTAAGAAAGTCTTGGCGGACAGGGACGCAAAGTGTGGAGTCTTGTTGTAGAATAATATCCGCCAAGAGATACTTCCAGTACGCGAGCTTCCCATGCAGAGGCACGTGTTTATAATGGCGTAGAGTCTTCAACTGTCGCGCATGAATACCCGCGTATCTAGGTGATTCAGAGACGCGACAATGGCATTGGTGGAGTGGTTTCTTCATGACCACATTCTGCACAGCATTCGTCTTACTAGACACGTTATCAGCTCTGGCCTAAGAGATACAGTGTGCCTATGCCATTCACGATCTCATAATGCATCTATCATTTACTCATCACCTACATGATCCAAGCATGCAGTTGTCACCCAACCATCCCCACTACCCCTTCCGTCCTCCCTTCTTCCCCATCAACCCAAATATCCCCTTCCTCTCCTTGCCCCGCTCCCCACCATCTTCATCCTCCACAACTCTAACCTCTACGAACCCCCCCTTCTTCCGCCCATCAACCGGTGAATGCAGATCATACCGCATCTCACCCTCCCTCCCGATCTCCATCGGCTGCGCACGCGGCCCACCCGCATACATCTGCGGCGCCGGCACCGCCACATACCCCATCCGTGGCGCTGAACCAGCAGAGAAAGCTGCAGGATCAAAGTTTATCTTCCTCGCCTTCCGCTCACGACGGCGCTTGAGGCAGCCGCAGCAGTGTTTCACGATTAAGCTGATGGAGGTGAAGGCGAAGAGTAACCTGCAGCCATTAGCTTCTGAACTGTCTTCGAAATTTGTTGAGAAGCGGAGGATCGGTTTTATTTACCATGTTAGTCCGCTCATAGTAGCTTCGACTTTGCTGATGGGGCAAACCTTCACGAATGCGAGTGTCTCCGGGGCTGCGAAGTCGAGAGCGACGCAGACGGGCTCTAGTGATAGAGCTAGAGAGGCGATGGCAGCGAAGGCGCCGGCTAGGAGGAGGGTGGTAAGGAGGTCGAGGGTTAGGTGCAGGGGAGTTGGGAGCGGGTGGGGGCGTTTTGGGGTGGATATGGAGTTAGATGCTGGATCTGTGTAGGAGGGAGGAATGCTCCGGTTTTTGCGTGCGCGGCGGCGAGAGACAAGGTAGGTGATGGTTAGGAGAAGGAGGTAGAGGAGGGTCCAGGTGCCCTGCGGTTGGCTATTAATTAGATGCATTGAGGAGACGCCCTAATTGAGGGACATGAAGGGACGAAGAAGGGTACATACAGCGCCGATAGTAAACCACACTCTCTTTGGCGTCTGAAGGAGAGAATCGAAGAAGTTTCGAACCAGCTTCTCCCGGTCTGGGTCCTCGAAGATGGCGTTGATGACATCGTCGCCTTTTTCGCGGGCGCTGGTGACGGTGTGGTTGACTACGGAAAAATTAGCTTCGAGCCCTGCGATACGCACTTGACGAAGAAGGTTAAGAGATGTGAGGGATACGTACTCCATGCACCCAGCGCTATCATGTTGATGGCGCAAAGGGCTTGGAAAAGCCGAAGCGTGATCATAAGACAGGATCCGCAGCCCATGCTGTCTGATTTGATTCGTCGTCAAGCCAATTGCTCGAAGAAGTTTCTGAGATCTCAAAGTCAAGCTCTGAGAGCTGTAGCAATCGACTAATTCGAAAGATTGGAACGTGTAGTGGAGATGAGATTAGCAGTACCAGGTGATGCACTACTAGATATACCCGCTGCGAACCTTTTCCTCTATCCGCAGCCATACTCCTGGCTTCTTAGTCCCGCAGACTTACATTACCTCCACGCTGCTGGGGCAGAAGACGTGATAGAATATGCAGTCGGACCATGGATTGCGCAACGCCCCATCCGCAGACGCCACCAACTGTCTTCCGTTCTACAATCCTATTGGAACGCAAGGCACACTACCTCGAGAGAGCCTTATCTCTGCTCGCTGTTCATTTATTCTTAGCAAGGCAGACATGCGGAACGAGACGGGTGGCGCCGCTATTCCGCAGTTCCTGAAAGCAAGGGTCGGCTGTGCCTCTTCAGCCCTCGCTCAATTGGAGCGAACCCGGTCAGGCGCTTCTAAAGCTGTTGGATGCCAGGTACTTGAAACCTTATTGAAGCGTTGTGGACGTGGTGTTGCTGTGCCGCACCTTATCGCCCCAATTCGCGGGAGGTGGCTTGGCGTGGAGACGGGATGTGTCGCGGATCAACCCCTGCAGGATCGCGATCCCAGTGAACATGCCTGATCGCATGCCATAAGTTTTTGTGGTACGATGAGAATTCAGCGTTGTTAAAGAGAATGCATATTTTTTGGAATTGATAGGAGGTTGAGCAATTGAGGTCTCGAGACGGCTTGGCAAGGAGAAACGCATGGGTTGTGAAGCTTCAAATGGTATCTGTGACGAGAAAAAGATCACATAACATGGAAGAGAGCGGGCAAGGACATCCGGATATCATCGCTATATGATCATGGCCATCGCAACTTCGAATACGGAAAATGCGTCCGCCGGCGCAATCGCTTCAACACCCATCCGATGACTATCGCCGTTGTAACACATGCAAGAAGGCCGATGAAAAACACAATAGGCCTGCTGGCTGAACTGGTAAGTTGAAGTTCCTGCAAGACAGTTTCCTAAGAAATTGGTAAGCAGAGTAGTGGCGCCATGTCTCGTTGGGAATACGCACGCCGTCGAAGGGGACTGATTCGGTAGTTCCAATGGTATGACCCTCCTCGTCAAGAGCCGCAATTCTAATATAGGGCCCCAGAACTTTGGTGAGGGGGATCATCGTCTCAAAGCCATCCTTCTTGGCGTTAATGGATGGCTGCCACAACTCCTCTCTTCCATTCTGGTATTCACAGTTATTCACCACCCATTGGTGAACTTCAGTTGCTCCGTTCCAGCTCACGTACGCGGAGCCGTCGACGATCGCCATGCTTGGGTTTGTATGTGGTCGGCCAGTCCAGTTGAACTTCATTGTGCGATAGCTCTGAACTTCGCCGGTATGAAAACTACTTGCGGAGCCAAAGTGCGCATCGCATAACGTATCGCCGTTGGCAGCGTATTCAGTGAAGGCCCCGTTGTATCCATATCCAACTAACACGTTGCCGTTCGGGAGAATTTGGGTACTGCCTTGCGATGAGCTGAGGAGCTTCTCTGGGTTGATGTATTCGGTCACTAGTCGCGCAGTCATCTTCTCGTCGTCGATAGCGATCTTCATTCCACGGCTATATGGTGCATTTTCATCGTGACTTGGGTACTGGGCACCGTTATCAAAAAGACTGATGACGGTGTAGTTATTGTGCCATCGCGCGTCGTGTTGAAAAGTAAAGTCCGTTGCTCGACCATCCGAGACGTCTTTAAAATCGTTGCGCTTGCCACCGAGTCTCCAATCAATGGATCCGGAGGTGCCGTTGACGTATGTAATGGTGTGCATATAGCGCGATGATACCAGATAGTTGCCCCAGGGGTCCTTCTCAACGCTGTTGATGTGGAAGAAATCCCAAGGTCTGTCTTGTGCTCCTTCATCTCCAATGTCGTGAAAGGATTCAACGACATCGTAGTGGTCGGACGCACGCCATTGGAAGATTAGTTCTCCGTTGGAAATGCTGATCTCTTGGAAAAGACTATCCCAGACGTATCCGTCTTTTGACTTTCCGACCGAGGTGAGATCAACTTGATGGACATCGTACACGGTGATCAGAGCAGTTTCTTGGTCTGTAAAGCGAAATTCGTGGAGGTCGGCGGCCATTCCAGAGGCGGCGCCAATCTTGGCGGTCTGTTTGTATGTTGAATCGATCTACATTGTATTAGGCATATCGTACAAGATCACCTTGTACTGACATGGAGGGGATGATAATCAAGTGACGCGATGGAAGGATAGGCTTAAAAGGCTTCATACCATGTAGTAATCGCCAGCACCGTGGCCGCCTATAGCATCGTTACCGCCCCAAAATGTCAAATACTGCTGGCCGCCATATTCCTGAACCATCAAATCATAGGTTTGCTCGTATCCAGTTACAGCCCAGACCAGATCACCACGGTGGTCGAGGATCATTGGACCCCGAGCTTCATCTGGAACGCGATGACCTCGCGGAGTCATTAGAGTGTACGATCCATCATCACATCGTGAGCTTGTGCTGAGGACGTTGATTCGCGGTGCTACGAGCTTCGACGAGTGAAACGTCTGCATAGGGTAAGAACCGTATTCACCATTGTCGAATTTCTTGTCGCTGAAATATGGAGATAAATCAGCCAAGACATGGGTGATGTTCTGGAGCAAGAAAGAAAGAAGGATTGAGTTTGGAGGAAGACATAGTCGGGAAAACATGGGACTGAGATTGTGGGAAATGGCATGGACAATGATTAACGAGTATAGAGGGAAGGTATTAACAGAATGCTATTTTAGAGGTGTTAAAAGGTGCGGCTACACAGCAGAGGCATCGGGAAGCGGTATAGTATAAGAGAAGGAAGTGCCGCGTCACGGAAGCTCTTCAGCAGACATTGCCGGCGTCGTCAGCTGGATAGCCAAGTTTCTGGGAGTTTCGGCTTGGCAAAGGCTTGTCGCAGCTGGAGTCGAGTCATGGATGAAAGCGGGTTCAGCACGATCAAACAGTAACATGAACAACTTTCAAAATACGCCGCTTGCATAGAGATGCTCGTTCTTAGTGATAGCGACTAGAAGTATGGATACCGCTAGAAAGGATCCTTCGCGAAGCTTACTGTCTCGGCACTGCCACCTTGGTGTTGCCAGAAAGCGATGCCTTTCCCGTCGAGAGCAAAAGGAGGTATGTTGCATGGAAGGCTAGCCAAGGTGTACGTGGCTGGGCCCCTTGCCGCCGCCCTGGTGATGGCGCCGCGTCAACCAGCATCCTCGGAAGTGGAGCTGGCCGCGTGGGTTCCCTGTTGGCAGTCTTGGAGTTGCATGAGGTGGTGAGGACATGTCGAGGCGTCGCAAGATGGGCGTATGAAACGCGATGCGTCATGGTAGCTGTGGAGCTGTTGCTGTGTGTTGCTGTGTTGTTGCTGGAGAGCGAAGGGATGAACGAAGTTCCGAAGTCTTGCGCGCTGACAGTCACGAGGGGCATGGAAAAGGTAGCACACTAATTCTAGAACAAGCTGTCTCGTGTGTACACCTGTCTGCCACTGCTTAGGTTGTTTCAATATATTTTCAGGGATCTAAAGAAGACAAATGCTCTTCGCCTTGGGCTATATGGAAATTTCTTGAAGCCCCTTTTTTCGTGCCTAGCGTGACAGTCTAACGAGGTTCGATCCCCAAGTTACCTTGTCCACGGCGTAGCCCCATACAGACTAGGGCGCCGACGACCCCATCCAACGTCGCCTCCTCTCTTCTGGCGATCTTCATTACACAAACGCGTCAATTGTGGGCAATCTGCACGTCTCTTGTATCAAGAGCACTCACCAAACTCGCCTCATTCGAGGTCTCACTTCCTTCAGCTCTAGCCATCGCCGGCTGACCGCGATCCCCTTCGCTCTTCACCGATCGTTCAGGCCATGGCGGCGCCATTATCATCACGAACCCTCGTGAAGTCTCAATGTAGGATGCAGTGATGCACGTATAGGACCCCTTCTCACCGTATTTCCATGTGACTTTCCGTCTGCTGTCAGCCGGGCTTACATTCTGCCTTTTCAGCTGAACGCCCGTGGCCTTGGATCCTGCCAAGTCGTTTCATGCGTGGTCAGCTCGTTCGAAAAGTGCCCATATGTGGTAATTCGTGAATGAAGGCGAGGTTGTCTCTAGACTTATATTTCTTAAAACAATGTTAACGTCGCGCGATTTGCATTGAGGACTCGACATTTGGTGGGATATCCACTTCATTAATGTAAATCTTATGACGAAATAGACCTTTCCTTTTTACAGAGGCTGGAACTCAGCTGGTTGGCTCGATTGGAGTCCTATGTTACACAACATCTGACAGGCGGCGCCTGGGCCCAAGAAGGTAAGATAGGCGGTCAGCATACCCAAGCCATTTTCAGAACAGCAACCAGTAGGATTCGCCCTCTTACCCGCTACATAGCTATCATCTCGTCGTTCGTCTTCTCACCGTTACCAACCTTGATCTTCAGCTCTGGGCCGCCTTCTTGACGGAAGGCAAAGGCAAATGGACCCCACCCCGAAGGGCGGCCGCCTACATAAACCTTCGCTATTATCCAGATCACTACACCTACCTTGCTCTGCTCTCATATCAGGATACCTGACCGCATACCTTCCCCCACCATGGCGCCACAACACGTAGCAGCCCCGGAAGCATCGAATCTAGAACGCACCCATATTCTTCAGCAGATTCTAGACCACATCGATGACTACCACGACGAATTCAATCTAGTCGACTTTTCTGCCCTCAAGGACGACGTACTCAAGCCAATTCTTCAAGAAGCCTTCGATCCAGAAGTCCAGATTCGTGGTTTTCTCCGCGCGTTTCGACAGACCGACGCCTATAAGGCTTCCTTCGAGCAGATCCCAAGTGCTGATCTAAAGAGCCAGATCAATTCTTTTGTTGGCGGTCAAAATTCCAAAGATGTGCTTCGTGGTGAAGAGTTTCATCTCGTGTCGCACCAAAGTCCGCCTGTTGTTCATCATTTTTCTCTTTTGAACGCTTTGAAAGAGCTCTTCCTTGGGCCACTCGAATTGAAAGCTGCTATTAAAGATTCTCTCCATCCATACCATGCTCATGTCAAAGACATTCCCATCGTGTTCGAAAATGCTGAGAAGAAAGTTGTCGAGGTGAGCTTATTCAATGGCACCACGTGGCCATAGTAGTCTTCCGGAGTTGCTTTTTGTCTACACGTCGTTCTTACAGTTTAGCAGTGCTTTTCCAACGTCCCCTTCGAAAATTGGGGCTCATCCGTCCAGAATACTCCACGATATACATTCCTACCCCAAACGGTTGTCGGAGTCCAAAACGTTGTTCGCTTTAGCAAGTCCAAGAATCTCCGAGTGAGATGTGCAGGATATCGACATAGCTGGTCCAGCACATTCTCTGAAGACAGTCAAGTTCTCATCTCGCTCGTCAATCTGGATACGGTGACCACGATTCCGGACCCTATGTCTATCATCCCAGGCGAGTACAACGCAGCTACGACACCGGAACTGAAGACGATTGAGCTCAAAGAAGAAACTGGTCCTGGAAAGAGGCTTTGCCGACTTGGTGTCTCCGTAACGAACGAGGAATTCCGACGTTGGTCCGTCGCGAACAAGGCTTGGGCGATTCCCGTCGATGTCATCCTCGTTGAAGTCACCATTGGAGGTGTGAACGGCCCTATCTGCCACGGTGCAGGCATCTCCCACAAGACTATCTCCGATTATGTTCGTCGTGTTGAATACGTTGACTGCAATGGGGAGCTCCGCGTAGTTGATGACTCATACTTGATTAAAGCCGCTGCTGGAGCATTTGGTCTGCTTGGCGTCGTCACGCATATCACGATAGAACTTGATGCGATGACCTACGCCATAATGGTAACTTGTTTCATCTTCCGCGTGGGGCAGTGATGTTGATAACTTCCAGCAACCTATCAAAATCGACGTTGGTCTTGCTGTACCCCCGGCAAGCCTCGATCAAATCCCCGAGGCCCTCCGAGAGAGTTGGTTCAACGATTCCAACGCCCAGGAGATAATTGCCTCAGCAAAGAAGGACTTTGAAAGGCGTGCCACTGAAGACTACTATAGCGAGTATGTTCTAAACTCCACAAATCTTACTTCAATATTCCCCAAAGTCTCCGACAGTGTTAACATTCTCTAGATGGTTCTGGTTCACCTACCAGAAGAAAGCCTGGGTGAACACCTTCAACACTACCTCCGACCCTACCGACGCCATCGATTATCCCTCCGACGCCAACACCTTCCTGCAATGGATCCAAGGCTGGCTCGGCGGCGTCATCACCGGCGTACCCTTCTTCAACGCCATCCCAGGCTACTGGCAGGCCCAACTCATCGCATCGCTCGGCATGGCCGCCCTACCCCCGACCCTCGGCGAAAGCAAAACTCCTACATATAAGACACTACTGCCCAACGCGCTGCACTTCCGCCGTGGAGTCCAGAACATGCGGGTGCGTGATATGGAATTCCAGATCCCGCTTCCACCGCGTGCGGACGATGCATCAAAGCCGGATTTCAGCGTTGTACAGAAGGCGTGGTGGGATGTCATCAACTTAGTCTACGCTGCTGCGGACAACAAAGACGATCCGTCAAGCCCCATGCGGTTGACGCTCGAGCTCCGCATCATGGCTGGCAGCGACATGCTGATGGCGCCACAGCGCGAGAATGATCTCGGCACCGCTAGTATCGAGATCTTGACGCTTCCGGATGCAGTGACGGATGATGAGTGGATAGGTTTCTCACAGCGGGTCTGTGATCTGTGGATGAGTTACGGGAATGTGCGACCGCATTGGGCAAAGGAGTGGGAGGGCATCAGGTTCAAGGGGATGGAGGCGAGGCAGTATATGAGGGAAATTGCGTACAAGAGTCAGATTGCGGAGTTCAAGAACGCCTTGACGGAGATTGGGAAAGGGCAAGACTGGGGCTTGGGGGAGCTGAGGGAGAGATTTTCGAATCCTCTTTGGGATGAGGTCATCTTCGAGGGCTGAGGGCAGGCTTGAGGAGCTTTGGTGGATTGCATACGGTCCTTCATCGCTATTTTTGCCGATTTGAACGGTCAAGGCATTGACAGTACACTGTCACTTTCTTTCGCTCGTCATTTGCCTCTTCAAAATCAGTAGCATCTTATTCCGTTCTCAGAAGTACCCTTCGTCATAATTTCCTGCTTGCGACTGCACCAAGAGGGCGATCTTGTCATATGCAATGTGTTGCATAGGGTCAAGCGCTGATTAAGCCTTGGTTTCTTGGTTATGAACACCGACAGCAAACGCAGCCTCCTGCGCGTCGACGCGGGCCAGCAGCGCGAAATAGCCGACCACGCCACCGACAAGACCGCCAACGCCGCCATCACGTTCATCGAGCAGCAGCCCCTCGCCTCCCAAGACGCCGTCGCTAACGCCTGGATCGTCGGCGCCACTATCATCGCCGACGCCGTCGAGGTCTGCCTCGCCGGGATCCGCGACATGGAGGACTGGCGCGACGACTTCATCGCCATGGAGTACGCGTGGGGCTCCATGCAGTCCGCGGTCGATGGCGCGGCGTGTTCTCGCTGATGGAGCGCAGCGGGAGCATCTCGTCTATCTCGTCTATCCAGATGGGGTTCGAGAACGGGTTCTTGTCGAGTCGACGGACGAGTAGGAGCTCGAGCAATGCGAGCGCGGCGTTTGGTCTAATCAAACGCGCATTCAGCCATTCGCACGATATGCCTGTGACGTCAAACCCGAATCCGGCGCCCGCGTCGCCGAAGGGGTGGCGCACGAGTTCTGTTAGCTCGGTCACGAATCCAAGTTCTTTACGGCAGAGCATCAGCGCAGCATGTCCGACAAAGATTCCGAATATGCCACAAGCTCCTCAGGCGGTGCATGCGAATCAACATCATATTCAGCGGCTGTCGACGATCCCACCGACGCCGAGCGCGGAAGATGTAAGGATGAGTCCGTTTTTCTCGACAGCGGAGAGTGGAGGGAGCAAGATGGAGGGGGAGGGGGATTACTTTAAGTTTACGAGTAAGAGCGCTGCGGTTGATGGGGAGGGGGGTGAGCGGGCTGATTGGGACGAGGGGGAGGATATGCATATGCGAGTTTCAATTCAATAGTCTGGGAGTGAGGAAAAGTTGCTAATGTGTAGCAGTGAGAGTCTTGATCCGCTATACTCGCCTGAGTTGGATCCGTATAATCCCGCGCCTCTGACGACAAGAAGGCTTAGTTCGGCGTTTGGGGGGAGTCTGGGAGAGGCGATTACGGTGTGAAGACCTGGTAATATGAGTCTATGAAGGGTTCCGATTTCGAAGTTTTGGTATTTGACTTGTAGGATGAGCTTCTTATTTAGTCTTTCAGGCTCTTTTTTCATGGGGCAGGACGGTAATAAGAGCGGTAGGACAATCCTGTTGCCAAGATATTCATATTGCTGAAGCATGTTGCACAGTTCCTTAGTATCTTCGATAACACGATCTACTTGATAGTGATTCAAAGTGCGATGAAGTTGACGAAGGTTCTTTCATCATTTCATTATACTGGAACGCCCGCAACGGTGTCATCACATAGGCAAAACGAGGAGTCCAAGAGGTTCATTCCGGTGACTGACCCTGGATTGTCAAGCTTTGAAGCCTTCCCGTTCTTTTGTGTCCTGACCTTGGATGGGAAGCTTCGAAAGAACCCGAATAAATGTCTCGGGGTGCCTCTGCACCGTGATCTGCTGCGCAGCGAAAACGAATTTCGCAAACGGTTTGGGGGTCCTTGAGTGGACAACTCGATGCACCCATCGCCGCGGGCAGAATCTGACTCGTGCGCACAGGATGACCTCGAAAGCTCAAATCTCTACGCTAACTTTGAATGTTCTCGAGTCTTGTGCGAAATCGAACGCGTTCGACCGTCTTTTGCCAATGCGCGTGGAGAGTGGAGGTTCCTCGGAGGTGGCAATGATATTCTACAAAGGTATGGAAAGAAGCAGCTGGAAGAAGCGAGGCCCTCTCTTTTTTCCGTCCCGACTTTCTTCCTCTTCAACCTCATTCCATCTCGTTCTATCAGAAGTGTCACTTTGCACGCATCTTACGTATTGCGAGGTGCCTCAATTCTCTTAATCAGTATGAAAGCCATCTGCTAAGTTCGTGAGATAAGTGCAGCACTTTCCATAAGACTTGAAAGAAGAGAAAATCACGAAGCTCAACAATGACATACTAAAATAGGTCGGAAGAGTGGTTCAGAGGGGGCCCAAGGGGGTCTGAAATAGTGCAGAAGTGAAGGACACGAGAGTGGGTTTGTACTGATTGATTGAGCGTCTTGATGAACCTCTCCACCTTCCGTAAGTCTCCGCACAGAAAAAGGAGTAAGTTTGAGCACCCTTTTTCGGGGATACTTTGAGTGAAATGAGCAATGTCATATCTTATGACTAAAGCATTCAAGAGCATGTTAATGTGCTAATTCAAAGATGTTTGCTGCTAGGGGGGTACTTGGCATGCTTGCCCGCTGTCGCAAAATACCAAAATCCTACCCCCCGATTCTCAACGTCAGCGCGTCTATATCGCTCGGTCAAACTCTTTCGTATATACCTCCTGGGAATAGCTGTTTCGCATAGTCCTTGTCGTAATGTAAGAACTCTTCTGTGATGCCACTCGTTGTGCTTTGTTGAGGTGGAGGCGGACCCTGTACGCGCCAAGCGTTCCCAACTCTTCACACGCACCCCTTTCGTCTGAACTCACGATAGGGAAATCGGAGCGGAGTTTCCTCACGGAACAGCATTACCTAGGCAACTGGCTGCCCAGCAACCAGCAACGACGCTAGAGATACAAATAATCTCAGCGCCCTCGAACCCTCCTGTTCTCCTTCACGACTTCTGTTGTTCAGCTTCGCATCGTTTCACAGCATTTGCAAGCACGCTTCGTACACGCACTACACACGCCATCATTCACGTTCCAACTTCTATCGACTCGACGACTTCTAAAATGTCCCTTTCATACGATCGGTACATTGCCTGCTTGGAGGCTCCAGCCGTAAGTCCCCGTCCTGTTCACTCCTTCATCCCACCAAAGCAGCACACTGACCTCATGTAACCTGTAGTCCTGCAGCCAAGTCAAGTTCGATACTGAGGTGGACCTCGAATTGCTTACGCAACTGACAATTGCGGCCACTCTCGCCGGACTGGCAGTTCCGGGTCTGTACCTTATTGGTCGCAGACTCTTCGTAGCAGCCAAGAATACCTACGCAAAGTCCATGGCGAGGGCCCTGGCCCAACACACAGCCGTCGTCAGGGGGTTCGCTTCCAAAGTGACCCCTTCCATGAACCGCTTTCGTTCATGTGGTCTTCTTCGTGCCCGGACTGACCCCCCGGTGCTTGAAGTCGCCAACCTCGAAGAGCACGTCCAGCAGCTCGACCCCCTGGACACTCTCTTCTGGAAAGCTCCCGTCCGTCCCGACATCTGCCCACGGACACCAGAGTCACTCGCCTTTTCATGCCAAGAGTGCGCCTACGACCCCGTCAAAGGCCACTTCCACAGGATCACTGAAGACCCTGTCAAGATCAAGAGGTACGAGCAGTATCTGGCCCGCAAGAACGCGGAGGAGTTGTCTTGGCAAGTCAAGAAGGAGGGTCGTGTTGCCGCGATCATGGGTAAGCCTGCTCCCCTTCCAATCATTCACTGCATCAAATAATGCTAACCAAAGACCAGAGCAACGACGCCGCGAGGGTGCTCATGTTCCATGCATCACAGAGCCTAGGCACGTACCCACTGCCCGTTACAGCCGGGAGACTACGCAGCCCAGCGCGCTCAAGCGACGGGATATGGAAGGTAAAGCCACGAATCCCTCTCTTATCAAAACAGGGCTAATACTTAACTTTGCAGTGAGGCGACAAGGCCGTCGGGTGACCTTTGGGGAGCCCGAGATCCGAGACCTCTACGACCTTTTACCCGCTCTGGCAATCAGCAACACGGTTTCACGGCCGCGAGCACCCACGCCAGCCTGGCCCCAGGCCTTGACGGACGACTCGATTGAGGAGCTGATCGATCCCGACGAAATGGACACAGGCGAGGACATGCCCGTCGAACTTGATTCGGACACGGATGAGTTCTTTCGTCGGAATCAGCCCGAGAACCCCCAGCGAAGTGAGATCTCGCCAGAGGAACTCCTCTTCGAGTCATGGACCAGACAGCGTGAGGAACACGACAAAAAATTCCTGGAAGAGTGCAAGGCACTGCGGAAGGATGAAGCTATGTGGTTTTTAGCCGCAAACATCATCTTTGTGCGCCACTCTCTGACCACGAACTCCTTTAACACCGAGGAGAGGTTAAAGCAACGCGTTTCTCACGCTGAGGCGTGCATCGAGGCTCGCATCGACATGCTCATTAACATGATGAATAAGCACCGGATCGAGATCCTGACAGAGGAGCATGTTGAGATCCTTCAGTGGAATGAGTACTTCAACACGTTCTATTTCGGCTGCGCCAAATTGGCAGGAACTCGTCATATCTCCGATGTTTCGAGGGATCGTCTCCGGAATATTCTGTCGGTTCTCGCTCAGATCGGGTATCGCTTTCGCCTGGCCCTCCCCCTTGTTAACTTCATGGAGGTCCGCCCAGACAACGCCAACGCTCTCGAAATCCCCGCCGATCTCCAGGCGACGATTGAGAGAAACTGGGTAGTGCTTGGTTGAATGCTTGATCGGTTGCCATGGAAACCACGGAAGTTGACATCAGGTCATTCGACAGACTAGGACCACGACCACTTGAGTCTCTTGGGGATTGTGATGAGGTCCCAACTCACGGAAAGTGTCCCTGTCGGCACGGATCTGCGGCCTATGGATTGGATTGAAGGATGGATTTTGGATTTTCACGAGACGCCCGAGGATTGTGATGAGGCTTCGGCTCGCGGAAACGGATTCGACCAGCATCTGATGGAGAGAGGACTGGCTGGAGGATTGGATACGACACGTAAGTCTTCCTTCACTGTTCTATCAGACTTCACCTTTCTAACCATTCACAGCGCGGGACCTTCGTAGGATCTGAGGCCTACGCTCACGGAGACGGATTCGACCACCACCCAGAACGATGGACCACTGGAGGAGACATATGGCAGGTGCCTGATGGTTTGTGATGGCCACGGCTTGCGGTCTTTCAAGAGTGGAGGAGAGATACTGCAGGTGCCTGATGGTTTGTGATGGCCACGGCTTGCAGTGTTTCAAGAGAGAAGGAGATACGGCGGGCGCCTGATGGTTTGCGATGGCCACGGCTTGCGGTGTTTCAAGAGAGGAGGAGATGCAGCAGGTGCCTGAGGGTTTGTGATGGCCACGGCTTGCGGTATTTTAAGAGTGGAGGAGAGATCATACTGCTAACGACACGCCCACTGGACCGACCGACGATCGAACGACCGAGCCTGACTGGGATGCCGACTGATTCCCACGCCTTGTGCTATGGACGACCGAACGAAGAGAGGATTGGAGGGTATGGAGTGGTTTGTATGGGTGCTGTGAGAGAGTTCAAAAAACACAAAAAGTCAAAAAAGGGCAGACGGCCTGGGATGGATTTCCTTTGTTACAAAAGTTTTGCTTTTTCGGATATTGGACGATGGAGCCGCCCAGATGAATCCCTTCTCTTTTCCTTTGTTAAGTTTTGCCTTTTTCGAGAGTGGATGATGGAGCCGCCCAGATGATTCCTCTTCTCTTTTTCTATGTCAAGTTTTGCTTTTTTCGAGAGTGGATGATGGAGCCGCCCAGATGATTCCTTTTCTCTTTTTTTTTTGTTATCCGTAGTTCATAGTGTTTAATATTTAATTTGAGGGTTGGGGGGAGAGAGTCCACTGGGACGGAAGGGCCGGGAGATACCTTATTAGGGACTCTCTCGGGCAAGAGGTGGCATTTGTATTCTTGCCTTGTGCTGGATGCAGAAGTCGCCCGATTGAGTAGATAGATAAGAATGGCTAGTGTAGCTTTTTTCTCAGTTTAATAAAGTCTATTATCCTTTTGCACTGCTACAAGATGTTACTGCATATCTCGCTTTCCACATCTTTCTTGTCCCCGCTCGATGATACATGCTATCACAATCGCTTTTTCTACTCCCCACGCTCACACACAACCGAGTCCTGATCCACATCGCTTTTGGTATCTTTAACTACCCCGTATGCAAGGTATTCGTTCGTGGCAATCCCTCCCTGCAACTGTTTATTGATCCAGCCGTCGCGGTACTTTCCATCAAGCTCCAGGGGTATTACAGCGCTCCGTGGATTATGCAGTAACTCAGCAAGAAACATGATCTGATCAATAGTGCGCCTGCTTCCAAACTCATTCTGCAGCTGACGAACGGCCTTCTTAACGAGGTTGAGATTTGACGGTTCCATATAATGAAAATCTCCGATACGCTGCTCCATAATGAATAGGGCGAGGAACAAGTGGTGGTTCGACTGGAAATCTGGAATATCGTCTCTGACGAAAATAGGTTGTGTGGGTAGGCCGGTTGGGAAAGAGGAGATGCATCTATATGAAGTACATATCAAGCGGAAGTTTGTGTTGACACATGGTTTCTAGACGAGCGGCTGGAAACTACGAGATCCGTCGTGATAAGACTGTATCAAGGAAATGATTAGAACGAAAAACCTCGCGACCGCTCATGGGCACATGAAACTGTGGAATCTACAGATTCGTGACTGCGACACAATTCTGGGTACGTTTTGGAAAGTAATCTTCGCAGACTTCTTTTGCATACCGGATTTGGGATGGGCTGGCGTGGGAAGAATCGTTCGTCTGGAAGTCGTTGTGAGAAATATGTAAGAAACTTGATTCCTTCATCAGGGAAAAGGTCAGAAAGAGAAGCCTTGGGAAAGACAAGATATGAATAGACTGCAATGCTTATAGTGTGCAGGGGTATTTCGAAGATCGAAACGACCAAGAACTGATGGCGCACATCTCTAAAGAACTTCCCTGCTTCAGAAAAAGGTAGATGTCTCTGGCCGAGTGAGCGCCATTGTGGCGATCACGTGACTCGGCCACACGTGATCACTACGTCGTCAATTAAAGGTCGAATGATGTTCAACTGCTCTTCTTCAAATCTCCAAAATTATATAAATAATTCAGACTCCAACGAAATGACTAGCGCTGCTCCCAATTCGCCCAACGGAACTCTTTTCGGCCTCTACGAGTCTCACAATCCCTAACAACCTTCTGAACGACGGCTTCTCGCGCACCCTCACGGCAACAGAACGCGATCGTCTTTCGACCACTTTCGCACAAGTCCAGCAACTCACCACCCGAAAGCTCAATGCTGTTCGCGATGAGCTGTCGAACACAACTTTGCCCAGACTTCTCCGCATCCGCGAACTAGCCGTCTTCTTACTCCAGCATCTAACCGAGGACGAACGCGAAACGCTTTGCCCGGGCAGCAAAGACTCGAATAAGGAAGATGATGCAGGAGTTGAGGGTCACGATGAGGCTCAGCTTGTGGACGTGCTGAACGTCATCCTGTCCAATTTTTCAGGCCGGATCGATAAGGAGCGCGGAGGATCTTGGCCAACGCCGGAAGGAGCGCCGATGGGGATGTTTACGGTATTTGATCAGTGGCAGGACTATGTTGAAGCATGCGTGCCCAAGAGTCAGACATGAGGTGGGTTCAAAGGGGACGATGATGGAGGTTGAAGGTTTGAGGCCGAGCTGAAGTCGGGCTGATTTCGTGTGGCAGAGCGAGGTTGCGTCCTACATCAACCACATTCCATTTCAATAACTATCTATGTTTTCATCGCGTTTTCTATCACCTCCGAGCTGCGTCTTCAAGACGAGACAATGTTGTTTTCGGCCTTATTTGAGCGACACTCGAAGGCGCTTGATGAGGATTCTACGGTAATGTGAGCACATGGAATTGGGGACCAACCATAGCAATGAACAGGTTCAATGAAACGTTCTGCTGGAAAACAACACATTTGAGAAACTTTAAGATGCTTGTACGTGACCTTCGGACAATGAGGGGGTGGGGTAGTCATATACCCCCAGTCTGGATCATCGCTGGCGCGTTTGGCTTCCCATTCTGCCAGATGACTTCGAGATAGAATTGCAGCAAGCGTACTGAAACAAAGACGATTGGCTGAGAAATAACAACATGGGAGAGGAAGATAATACCAAGATTCTCAAGCAGATAAATACGAGAACATTTAGCCGAACGTGAGCCCACATAGTCCTCTACAGGCTTCCTACCTCTAAAGATTCCCCCTTGAACTCTTGTAACTCCGTTATCCTAATTCATTTTGAATGCACGAGGTCTGCCGCTCCCTTTTAAGCATCAAGGAGACGTCTTTTACGCGTATTAACAAGCCGTTCTTGACCCAGCGAAAAGTTCGTGTATTTCTAAGTCCGCAGATCCAAACAAGCTTATTCAGAATTATTCGAAGTCTTTGGTTTCATGATCTTTCGAAATCATTATTATTTCCCTCTCTTGTTCGGCCGTATCAGTGGCTTCGGCCGCAGTAGGTGCTTTGGCTATGAGCTAGCTCGGACGGCTTAGACCGATGCGCACACTCGTAAGACCGAGGCCCAATGCTCCGAGAAAGGGTTTCATAAACGGGGGGAAAGGCTGAAGGTTTGCAGTGATGGACGAGTTGCGAGCTTTGAAGGCTGTCATTCTCCCACTGGGAAATGCCACTGGGGCCTTAAGGAGGCAAGGCGCTGTCCTAGCGTCGTAGAGTGAGGGGCAACTATGAGCGATGAGTTGACCTCAAAAGAAATACCTATTCAACCACAATAACGCGCAATATCAGCGTGTTTGAATGAAAAATTCTGGACTAAGAAGGGATCAAAGAAAGTAAAAGGCCGGACTGGACTGGGTTGAACTACAGCGTCATGTTTAGTGAGCCCCATCTGCTGGCAAACAGATGAGTGGTCCGTCTAACTAGATAGTCTACTGGAAATTGACCACTTCGACGGTGAGAGGGGAAAGAGGAATGTGTCATGAAGTTGGAATAGAGTCGAGCAGTACAAGTCATGCATTTGATTGCACGAATCGCGCAATCAGTCAGCGCACCGCCCTAATATTGACGGCGCAGACATCTGCCCAGATCGACGGTGCGAAACTCTATCCCGTTGTGCCTTACACATGGTAACAAGCCACACGCGGCAAGCTACAAGCCACAAGCCAGTATCATGAGTAATGCGTTAGAGGATGGTGGATGGGAATCAATCACCAATTGGAAATCGAGATTGGTGCCTAGTCGGTGGCTATCTAGCAATTATAGAATCATGCTAGAGTAGCAGGGAATATGAGCTGAGTGTTAGAAACTTCGGGAGCTGCGCGACGCAGATGAAGAAGAAGAAAGGACGACGATCGACAGTACCACCGTAAGATATCAAGGCGCCGAACATGAACACTAGCAGGTTGTTATCTGGCAAAGTCTGAATCATGCTAGAGAAGCAGGGAATAAGCTCGAGTGTTGGGGAACTTAGGCTGTTGCGCGACGCCGATGAAGGGAGAGAAAAGACAATGATCGACGATACCACCGGGAGATATAAAGTGGCCGAACACCGACGAAGGGGCTTCAAGCGCCAGACCAATAGACGTTAGTGAAAGAATCTCCTTAAGCGTCCAAGGGTCCATAGTGTTGCCCTTTCTTGCCCCGCGCTGAGCCTCATGCTTAGAAGAATAGGATTTACGCATTACAGCAATACTCGTAAGAGTCTACGGAATCTATGAAGTTTTCGTAAACTAGGTAATAAGAGCGCAACCATGTTTCCATTCTCGCCGATATTCGAAGTCCCAGGTACGCATAGCAATGTACATGTTTCTACCCGCCCAAAAACATACTGTCTTTTTCAAGTCCCCTCAAGCCCCCCGCACTATGGCATCCAGCCCATCCTGCCTCTCCAGCTCCCCCACAGCATCCTTGTCATCACTCGTAATCGCCACATTTGTCGTCACCTTGATCTGTCCCCCGAGGCCCTGTCCCCCGATGCCCGCCTGCCGAAACAGCTCCTCCTCGCTCTCACTCCCCCGCTCCAGTTTGCTGACTGTGAAACTCCCTCTTGACTTGTGCATCTTCGAGCCCCCGGTTCTGCTCCCGGGCTCAAAACTCGACAGCTTATACCCCTTGCTCCGATTCTCCTTGGAGTAGCCCATGGCGCCACTCCCTGCCGAGCTCCCACCGCCAACCATCTTGTTCCATAGCGCCTTGACGCTCGGCAGGTTGACGGCCATGATGGCGAACTCGATTTCCAGCGAAGCGATGATGACCATTTTGCCGAGGATGTAGGCTATATCGGAGGAGACGTGGAGCTGGTAGAGGATGATGATGCGGCAGCCAGAGATGAGGACAGCGGCAGCACCGAAACCGATGACGGCCAGGACACCGACCTTGCGTCGCGTGGACATTTGCAGCTGCCAGACGGTAGGGATGGGCAGAACGAGGATGATGACATCGGTTATGATGTTCTAGGTGGGTCCAGTTAGGAGGGGTTCCCATCTGGTGATCCTGAAAGCAGGAGGGACTAATTGAGACACAGGGAGCAGGATGGAGAAGGGAAACGTACGAGGATAGACGGGATAATGAGGAGAACGAGTGAGTTCATGCAATGGGCCTCTGGATGGTTCTCCGGGTGGAAGATTGCGTCGAATGGGGTGCACTGCAAGAACGCGAGAAGCCTGTTCACATCAGCATTCATCCTTGTAGGAGCAATTCTGTGGTGCCCCTTACCAATTGATAATCAAGAACGCAGTGTTGAGGCCCATAGTAATCCACACCATTTTCTGGAAATTCGGTCGCTGTGACAAACGAAGGTAGAAGAGCAGGAAGGCTTGTTTGATGACCCAGTGCGTGAAATAATAGAAGACTTCTTCTACAAAGAGCCACTGCCACTAATTAGGTTCCGGCTAGTTGGAGGGGCACACGGGGCTAGTACCTTGAGAATCTGGTGGATTTGCTCTGAGCTGAGGAGCCACGTGTGTCTTCCAAGGTCAGTACGACACAGGCTATGTGAGCTCAGACCTGGACGTGTGACTTACATGCCGCAGCCGTGGTGAAGGAACATGAAGAGAATGACTTGCTGTATCGTGTTGACCGCCTGCAGTGACCAAAATTGTCAGTCCGGGGAAGTTCGAGATCACACTGGTTGCACGGAATTGGGCTGTGCATACCAGCAAAAATATAGCCATTACATCGTCCCAGCCAAAGGTTTTCAGGATGAAGCCTCTAGTATAGAGGCGCAGGAATATAGACGCGGTTCCCAGAAGGAACAGCGTTATGGAAATGCCATAGGACAAGGGCTGCAGGTTCTCGAAAGCCATGGTAATGAAGGCAACAACGGGCCCAACAAACGGTAGAAGGCTGTAGGAGAAAAGTGCTTGGCGGAAGACTGAGCAACGGCGGGCAGGCCAGAGACGCCGAAGTATAAGTTCGCTCGTTGCCAAAGCCGATCGTCCTGGCGTAGGAGTGGAAGCCTCATAGTTTCAGATACATGACTCTGTGCAGAATCAAACCTTGGGCGTACTGCGGTCGCTGAGGCCATGTGCGTTGGGGACGCTCTGCCAATTTGCCGCTTTCGGCAGCGCCGTCCTCTTGGGAAGAATTCCATGAGTCGGCTAGGCTGTGAAACGCAGAAAGCCAGACTGCCGGCATTTCCCCACAGGCGTGCGATTCAGCCTTCAGCAGGAGCAGTGCAGATCCAGCAGAATATACTTTCGACCTGCATTGCTTTGCGCAAGCGAGACCAGTGGCGGGGGCCGGCAGTGTGACGGCGCATCCCCGCCACGATCCCCCAGACACACTCCATGCGCATCACATGTCGCAAGCGCGGATCTGGGGGAGCCATTGGGTGGCGGCCGCAGGACATCGGCGCAGAAGGTTGACGCCGTCCATTGTCCCCAAGCTAGCGCCGCACCGTTCCCCAAGTCGGCTGCCGGCTATGCCCCTTCTCGCATCCGGTGGTTAGCACATCTCGTAAATGTTGTGTAACACATCTTCGCCCTTGCAAAAGCTAGTCATGCCGACCAGATTCCTCATATTGACTTCCAGAACTGCGTCGTACCCTTGCCGTTATCTGCACGCTAAACGCAGCGTGCGAGAAGGGGCTGCACACCGTCGCAGAACCTCTCGAACACCGACCGGAGGGGTCTTTGCGAGGATCCCTCGAACACCGGCTGAAGGGGTCTTTGCGAGAATCTGTGTGCCAAACATGGGCTCTCACGTGCTGCGCCTAAGATAATCATAACCACGCCTCCAGCCCTCTTCATGAGCCGCTTCAAGTGGTAAGAAACAAGAGCCTATACTCACAGGTCTCCGCCTTTTTCTACAAAGGTGGCCTTCTCGAACATAACTGGGAACTTGTATCTACTCACGTGTGATTTGGAATTCTCTGGATATTCTACCAGAGATATCATGGTTTACAGGGTATGGCTCCGTCGGAAACAGCATATCTTGTCGCTTATGAAGACCCTGGAAGCCGGATATTATGCTCGGGCGGCCCCTCGACACCCCTCAGAATCCGTCGGCACGTGTCGCAGCACAGCAGCCTTCGACCCGTGTACCGTCTGCGGGTGGCTGATGCACCGTGGTGGGCTTTTCCGCAACCGCGCCAGAGTCCTGCATGCGTTGGACTGCAGGCCGGGCCAGCGCGAGCAACGGGCCGCCTCGCGAAAGGGCTTCCTCCGAATGCAACGCCCAGGCCCCCCTCGCTGATCGCTGCCAGTTTGCGCTGCGGCGCTCGACGAAGTCCACAACTATTCGGGTCTGACAGGCTGAACCTAGGCCTGGCTGTTTCGAGATGGGCCTGATAGACCTAACTGGCTTTTGCCCAGTTAGAGCCCGTTGAGAACAGAGAAGTTCAAAACCTTCGTACTTCTGATAACTCTGGACGCCTTAGCCACCTCCCTTATCCCTCCTCTTTCCTTTCTCCTCCTGAAACTTTTGCTAGCCATAGAGAGATAAACTACCTTCCTTCTCTATTACAGGCAAGCAAGATACCTAATAATCGCGGTACGTGAACGGATGGGTAAACAGCGGAGGAGCGGGCCAGTATTTACCTAGGTGCCCACCTTACTGGCCTAGGCTTAGCGGTATCCTATAGGGGCTTAACGCATTAGGTCTGGTTAGTGACCAGGTGACAACCTTTGACAGTTCTGAACCAGGTGAGATCGCCTAAACCCAGTTCCAAGACCATGACTATCTGAACCTCATTCAGGTGCTCCTGCAGCAGGGCCAGGTTGTCCACAGCCAGGATACGACTCGCATGCGAGGGGTATGTACTTAAGCGATGCTGACGGTTGTTGATATGATGTACATAGGTACGGCAGTGGAGCTCTGAGCTTTCCTGCGCACCCCTCAAATACTGAGACCCCTCGGGCAACTGGAGTTGAACGGCGTGGTTCTCACTTCTCCCATCTTTCCTACTCTTTCTGCTTCAACCGCTTCGACACCTCTTCACGCCATGGCTGCCTCGTCTGCGCTCTCGCTGGAGGGGCTCCAGGGTGCGGCGCACGCCAATGCTCTTCCCACCGCGCTTGCTGCAGCCTCCTTTGGCGTCGTCTTCCACCAATTCATTCGAAATATCGAGTTCGACGCCCTGATGTATCACTTCATGGCCCTGTCCATAGCGGCCTTCGTAGGCATCGCCTACACATACTTCTCCCTCGGCGAGCTTAGTCCCATCGGAGCACTTGGAAAAGCATCCTTAGCCGCCGCCTCTTTCAACGCAGGGCTCATTGTCTCCATTGGCATCTACCGCCTCTTCTTCCACCGACTTCGCAGGTTCCCAGGTCCGTTTTGGGCGAAGCTGTCACGATTCTACAACGCGCGCTTGGCAGCCAAGAACGTGCAGTACTTCAAGGAAGTGGAGAAGATGCACGAAAAGTACGGGGACTTCGTGAGGACTGGTGAGTGATCTCCATGTACCATTCCGAAACGTGTTCCGAGACCGAAATGTTCTCCGAAATATGTTCCGAGATGTGCCCCGGAACACATTGGTTAACAGTCGCGATCATCAGGACCCCGAGAACTCCTCATTGCACGCAAGTCCGCGGTGCCAATCATCTACGGTCCAAATTCGGAATGTCGCAAGTCGACCTGGTACGGCCAGACGGGCAACGATCCCAAGAAATGTTCGATCCACATGACCAGAGACTTCAACGACCATAGGCTCAGGCGCCGGGCGTGGGATAAGGGCTTTAGTATCAAAGGTATGCATGCGTGCACCGGTTGTAGAAGATCCCTGTAAATCTGGCTAACAGCCTGACAGCCCTTTCCACGTATGAGCCAAGAATCAAAGCAAAGGCGGACCTGTTCATGTCCCAGCTTTCACAGCGTTCCGGACAGCCAATGGATATGTCGGCATGGTCAATGTTTTTTAGCTTCGACGTCATGGGAGAGGTTGGCTTCGGAAAAGACTTCAACAACCTGACGAGTGGCGTTGAGCACCCCGCAATCGCGGCCGTTCATGAACACATGACCATGTTAGGTGTGCTTAGCAATGTTCCGTGGCTGCTGAATTTGCTCGGCTCAATTCCTGGCGCTGCGGCGGGATACTCTGGTTTCTTCAATTGGTGTGGTAGCCAAATTAAGGATAAGCAGAAGGTAAGTTCCTGAAGCGGCGTAGTGAAAGCTTGGTCACTAACTGAATGCACTAGTCCTGGGATCCTGAAAAGTATCCCCAAGATATTGTGTCATGGCTCCTGAAGGCTTTCAATGAGAAAGACGTGTCGTCTTCGCCCTCGGAAGAGGCACTGCATGACGACTCCCGGGTAGTCATTATCGCTGGCAGGTAAGTTCCCATCTCACGATAAAACTCATATTTTGGACCTAACAGGACGTTAGCGAAACAACTGCTACTTCGCTCGCCACTATCCTTTGGTATTTCGCGAAATATCCCGCCACGTTCAAAAAGCTCCAAGGATTAGTCGACAAGGCCATGCCCGGCGGCGTCGCCGAATGGTCCTACGACAAAGTTAAGTCCGTCACCTTCATCGACGACATCATCAACGAGAGTCTCCGACTCAAGCCAGCTCTCCTGACCGGTGGTTATCGCGTCACGCCCGCGAAAGGCATCAAGATCGACGAAGTGTACATCCCCGGCGACACCAATGTGTTCGTGCCCATGCAAGTGATCCAAACGCACCCGCGCTACTACAAGCAGGGCAAAGAGTTCATTCCCGAGCGCTTCGGAGAGAGGCGAGAGGAAATGGGAACAGACGAGGCGCCCTTCTTGCCATTTTCTCTAGGTTCGTTTACCATCATGAACTTAAGACTCGCAGCACTAACAGTATACATAGGCGCATACAGCTGTCCCGGCAAAAATCTGGCGTTGTTGAGCCTGAGGATTACGGTTTCGCACATCGCGCTACTGTACGACGTGGGTTTTGCTCCAGGGGAGACGGGAAAAGCGTTCGACGAAGACGTCTTGGATACGTTCACGACGACGCTAGCGCCTCTGCAGCTTGTTTTCACACCGAGAGAGCGAAAGTAGATATTCGACTGAGATCGCCTCAGAAAATGCTAAATGAGGACGTCCGGAATACCATCGATGTAGTTGGAAAGCGTTTACACTCGCTACTAGGAATATAATTGAATCGAACAAGTGATGGGTAGACTATGCCCTCCCACTATAGTGGTACGTGCGACTGGATCCACGAAGTTGATGACAGAACAAATATTTGGTGGTGTCCGTTTGGGCCGACCTGAGACGTCTCGGCCTTTGGCTGCCAAAGTAGCTGAAGACAATGGAAATAGTGGAGCGGGAAATAGGAAGAATGTTTTCAGAGCTGAGTGGCCGGAATGATTGGCTGGGGAGAAAGACTTTCGATTAGCATTGGTACAGAAGAGGATAACTCTTACGTACATAGCTACGACCATGGTTTTGCAATGTGTCAAACGCCTAGTCACACTATTCAAAGTATATCGTAGCAAGTTCTGCAATATCTGCGGGGTAGCTCTTGACGGAAGGGCGCATACTATAGACGCGCACAGACATGGCAGGCGTTAGAATCGCTTCGAAGACTTGGTACTAATCTAGCTACCCAGCAGGCAGCCTAGTTGAATATGAATATTCAAGAAAATGGCTTGAATATCACGAGCATTCGAGTAGCACAGAGGTGGCGCGTCTTTGGTGGGTTGACCTGGTGGAAAAGAGAAAGGGATATGGGTCCTATTAATAGAAATTGATCATGCATAGGGACCCACGGTATAACTTGACAGAACTGTGGAGCGATCAGGGTAGTCAAGTCGTCCCACAAGAATATCTAGTATTGCTCCCAGTAGGACGGAGATCAGAGGTGTCGTCGATCAATGGCGGCTGCTACATTGCACAAGCTGCGGTGGCGATAGTGACCCTGGATCTGTGGTGGCCGAGTGGATGAAGCACGAGAGTGAATAGATGAAGCAGGGACAAAGAAAAGGAGTGAATGACGTCGATCGGAGGCGATTCTCCCGGGCTCCACCGGATCCACCGCAGAGCGGCCGACGATCTGTACCTCGACTCAACTCTAACTCCATCCCCCATACCCACAGCTCGGCCAAGGCGACGGCTGGTATCCCAACGACGCTGGGTGTCACAGGGCGAACCCTCTTGATCAGCTCTGCTCGACGAGAAATGCCATCTGTGGCGCGGAGAGGCCCCGAACGAGGCTGAGCCCCCGTTAATCTTATAGGTATTCCTTTCATATACCAGAGTTCCAAGTCTACAGTCCCTGATAATCGGCGGCGAAGTTTGTCATTTTGCATCGTTTGGTTTTCTTACTCGTCACATCTGTCCTATCAAAATCGGGTTCCTCGACAATACTTGCTTCTTGCTGGTGCCACATCAGATCTGCACCCCAAGTTTCAACGGTCCCGGCTCCAATGCTCCACAGGGCCTGCCGATCTCGACTAGACGTCTTGAATAGCTTCAATTGATGTGGTATTGCCACCACAAGGCCACAAGGAAGATGCCTTGAGGCGACTCACACTTGCGTTGGTGTAAGGGAACGACCGTTGGAGCGTTGACTGTCCACCTGCATCCTTGCCACAAGGCGACCCCGGCTTGTCGCAGTTGCCACCATCGCACAGCTATTGTACCTGCTTATGATTCGCGCATGGTGGTTTACCAGTCCTCTAACGTTTCGCGGCCGGGGGAGCACACACACAATTCACGTCGATCAATAAACGGGCCGGAGATGAGTGTTCATGCGTTCGAGAGAACTACACAGTACAGAAACCCAACTCACGTCATTAATGAACGGGCAACTCTCGATCAGGCCATACTCCTTGCAATAATACTACCATTTCTGTGCTGACTATGCGCCATTCATTCGCCGCGCTGCTTCGCGCCGAGCGGTCCCTTGCAAGCACAAAAATTTTCTAGCTTTACGACTAAAACGTAGCCTCCGCTGAGGGTAGCATTGCCTTCTAGAAACCGCGTCCAATCCCTTCCAAGCCACTTCTCCGCGATTGATCAACTAGAGTTATTGACGACGCGACCACGAAGGTGCCGCAGGGCAACCGGTGCCGCACGTTTCTTGATCTTGCCAACTAGCTACCCACTCACAACACACCTAGGGGAACATGAGAGCTGAGATATCGCGATCGGCACGCTGCAGAGCTGGGGATATCTTGGATATCTGCCCAGAACTTACGTGTGCCCATGTTCAACCACTGTGCTCCTGGACGGCATCCATCGATCTTGCTTCTCTAGCCTCGCCCCGATGACGATGGCAAAAGAAAGCAGTGGTATATGCGCTGACTACTGAATGTCTATAAAAGCTCGACGTACTGAACTGTTGAAGACGCCATCCAAACATCAAAGCACGCTTCTCTCTACCATCAACTCTTAATATCCAATCATCTACTCCATTTCACCTCGTTCATCAAACGTCCAAGATGCAGTTCACCACCATCCTCGCAACCGCCATCCTGGCCACCTCCTCCGTCCTTGCGGTGCCCGCTTTCAACGCCGACAAGCGCCAGCAAGCTGTCTGCACCGAGGGCCTGTACACGACTCCCCTCTGCTGCGCAACTGACGTGCTCGGCATCGCAGATCTGGACTGTGCTGCTCGTGCGTTTCTCAATCACTCTTCCTCGATGCATAACTTTCTTCTAACTTTCTCTAGCCAATCCTACCCCTAGCGACAATAAAGACTTCATCAACATCTGTGCCGAGGTTGCAGGCGGCCAGCAGGCTCAGTGCTGCCTCTTGCCCATCGTAAGTAGTCACTCGCTCTTGGTCCATTTCGGATTCTAACGACCATACAGCTCGGCCAGGCGCTCGTCTGCGAAGGCGTCGTCGCATGATTTGATGTCGAAGAATCAAGGTCGAGCGCAAGGGCATGATGCGCGCATCGGACCACGCAGAGTCGAGTCGGATAGGGATATGGAACGCATATATCGGCGTCGGTGACCGCCTGTAGTTACTTGGCTTAATCACTTGGGATATCTCTGGCTGGACATTCAGTTCGCAAGGAGAAGGAATAATGTGTCTGGGAAAATCTGTATAAAAAAAATGCGATTCAATGTTGTTCTTGAACTCTTGCAATGTCGCCCAGCGTCACCATTCCCTTGCTTAGGTGCTCTTGTGAGTCTATGAAAGTGATCGACACCACACTAGTAAGGGCTGTGCTTTTCCTTGTCCTATTTACTAATAACGCCTCCCCATCTGATTGAGGCATTCTAAAGAGGTACCTGGGTGGATCGATCGCGGCCGCTAGCTACCTTTGTAGCTCCCGTCCGCCACCACCTCAGCGAGTAGGGTGGGTCTATGGGGGCCGGAATGAGAGAGCTGTGAGACGTTCGCGCAACCTCCATGCAGAAAAACGTTAGGAAATGGATAGGTTGGGTGTAAATTGATAGACACGGCTCTAATCACCAAGAACCAGTACATCAGGTGGCCAGCGACGTTTAACAAAAAAGAGATCGCAGAAGACGGATGAAAACTTCAAATGTGGAAATATTCGTATAAGATACACGCCCTAGTGAAAGTGTTTCTATCAATACAGGTATGTTGTCGATGCAGCGTATGGCAAAACTCCACCACCCGCGAAGCGCGTTGTCGCAAGAAGAGGGTATCCCAAACACCGCGCCCAAAACGCTCAGATAGCCCAGTCCATGACGTACACACAATCCCCCATCTCCTAACGAACTCCAAAATCATCAAACGACTCCACTTCTCTCCCAATCGCAACGCTGTCGTGCGCAGGACAAACCCGTCTACACGCGCCCAGTCGCGTCATCTCAACGCATCGTACACCGCCAATTTTCCAACTCGAATCGCGCGCGAATACATACTGCAATCCCGTCAGCGCCGACGCCCTCGAATTGCCCGGGATATGGATGCACGAACGTGACTTGGGGGTTTCTCTAATTCAGATACACCCACAGCCCAGCCAGCGCCGCGGTGCCAGCAACACTGTACTGCGCAACCTGCACATTCGCCGCAGCGCTCTTGTTGCCGCCACTCTTCTTCTTCGCCTCGACGGACGCGACGGCGGCGAGGACGGTGAGGACGAGGGGTGTGAGTTTCATAATGTCTGTCTGTCTGTCTTTCTGTACTCGGCGCGCGTATTTTTGGGTTGCTTGATGCGACCGGAGGAGGAATTGGTGAGGTATGCGTAGAAAAATTGTAAATGTGTCGATTGCTGAAGTGCACGACGGGCGCTATCGTGCATATATATCTCCCGCGAGCGGCGCAGCACAGCCGTCATTCCCACCGCCGCGAAACCGGCCAGGTTGCTCGCAAGAACGATGACAGTCGCCAAGCGGCTCCGCCAAAACTTGCAAAGCGATGGCGGGGCTTGGCTGCAGCGTGGGCGATCTTGGCGTTGGGGCTGAGATGCTGCAGCCGTGTAGATCGGGTGTGGGATGTTGAAGGGGCGCGGTGAGTGGTGGGATTTGAGTGGCGGTGAGCGGGTTTTAGGTTGTGATGAGGGTGATTTTGTGCAGAGTAGATAGAGGGCTTAGCCTCGGGGACTTTTGGGGTTGGATGGGCCGAGAAAGGGGAAGTTGATGCTCCGATATTTTGTGCTGGTGTCAGGGCTGTTATGTATTGAGCATGAAGGTAGAGGGAAAGATAAGCGCAGGGCGGATCAGAATGTAAGTTTAGCTTCTTTGAAGACACAAAACATCAATTTGCAACCAGAAACTTTGAAGCGCAAAGGCGAAGCAGAATCCTGGGTATTGGTGAAACCAAATCTTTCAGCTACAACCGACGTTTCTCAGCTGTCATTCTTCAACTCCCACATCATGACTCGCCCATCGCGAGGCGTAGAGTAATAAGCAACACACCAGAAATCTTGTTTCTGGCCTTAATTCAATCCTATATAGGGCCCCGCATACCCGAAGGAGCGTTATCTTCCGAGAAAGCTGGCAGGGCAGGGATTGCCTCTGCCCCTCAGTCCCTGCATTTGTAAATTGCCGTGTCCCGTGTCGCCCGAGGCTGATGATAGGTATGAACGTGGCGGCCTGTCGCGATTTGGCTTCCTTCCGACAGTCTGGGAAGAGACTTCGGAGCACGAAGCTGGCTGAAGGCACAGTTACGAGAAACATAGGCTTGGTACTGATGTATGCGGAGAAATGCGGATTACAAGGGAACGGCAAGAAGAGAGAAGTAATTGTGAATGATTGGTAAATGGCTTGAGTGGTTATCAAACAAGTGTTCAGTATCAATTAAATGGCGTATATAACGATGACGCAAAGGTTGCAAGTAGATATGAATCAACAAACATTATTCAAAGCTGAACCAAGACTCGCGGAAGTCGGAGCTGATGGCTGAGCTGTGGAAGCCGTCTCGCTGGTAGGTAGTGCCGTAGTTAGAGTCCAAATTCCCGCCGAAGTAATCCTCGCAGAGCTAGTCGTCGATGTAACAGTAGCTAGAGACGACTTAGAGGAGCTCGACGAAGCGGTTTGCGACGCAATGTCTCCATTGCCACCCACATCCATCATTTGCACTGTGAAATGGCACGCGAGGCATGGAAGAGGTGGCACACTAATTCCAGAACAAGATGAGTACTTGCTGAGTGTGCCACTTTTTTCATGCCCAGCGTGAATGGATTTGTTGTCACCACGCCTGGCAAGCCTTCTGGCCCAACTGTTTCATGTCTGCTGCTTAAGCATTTCCGATTGTAGTAGGCTGAGTAGGCCATCGTATGCCAGAGCCTGTATTCTGAGTGGTTGTTCGGCGACCAGCCGTTGACCGCCGAAACGATGAAGCCGCAACGGGTTGGTATGTGCTGTTGAATTCTTGGGCGCGGATTTGGTAGTTTGAACCATCGGGACCGATGGCAGGTGGGACGTTTACCGCGGTTCTTGCGATGTTCCACGTCAAGAGGGCTCAAGAGACCTAGAAATGCAATATCAGCGACTGTTCAGCTCGAAAAGGCGTTCGGAAGACTTACGCATTGGCTCTAAGACATCGGGTACCTGATCTTCACGCATATAGAGCAAGTAATGTCCCCATTGCGCGTCCAATTAGTGCCTCCCTTTCGCCGACTTCCGTTACGATAGATACAGGGACATCAGTGCTCAAATGAGCTATACTGACAGAGCCAGTGGCAGGGGTGATGTTCGTCAAAGCCAAAAAGACTGCTTCTTTTGTTCTGATTCGCATTCTGGTGAGTAGAGGCTAGAGGAGAAGAGTCTCCGGCTTGGTGCTCGAAGGTATAAGAGGGTGGTCGGGAGAGTCGCAGGAGCGCGCCAAACTCCTCAAGAAGCGATCATGGCGTCGAACACGAGCAGCTCTTGCTACAGAAGCGAAAAAAATCTGCAAAGACGATATCTTGGTGCTCGTTGTGCCGTCTGCCGCGAAGACGAAGTCTTAGAGCTCCTGTTCTAATTTTGGCGCATCGGGCCGAAAGGAAGGTATCTTGGCGCTACAAGGGGTAATCATTCACTCCGACTGTCTCCTCAACATTCATCTCTGGCTCATCACCATGTCATCAACGAATCGTCTCAATTTCTATGAACAGCATACAATGATCGAAGAAGCTCTTTGCTTCACTAGAGGTATCAAGCATTGGATGCGTGGAACTGTAGCAAGCAAAGTTATCATCAAAGGAAACCTCTCGACATAGTTTCTTCGTACAAACGATCCATTCCCGTATACATATGTTCCAAGTCTCAGAACTCAGGATCCTACTCTAGTATCTCTTGCGCTCAGGGAAATTCACTGCCCTCGATCATCCATTCCTCGGAGTAATCAGCAGCGGCAACTTCACCCTCGACGAGATCACACTATCCTTGATCGCGTCCGCGTACGTCGATGGATCATAATCCGGAGCGAACTTCATGTCGAAAGCTCTTACCAACGCCGCAGTGACGTCGCAAAGCTCCATGTAGGCCAAGTGCTTTCCGACGCACGAGTACGGACCATGGGAAAACGTCATGAAGGCGTTGCGATCGAAGGGCTCAGGGCCTTCGCCCAGCCATCTTTCGGGGATGAACTCGTCGGGTTTTCCGTAGTAGCGTGGATCCCGTTGGAGCTCATAAGCTCCGATTCCTACGTTCATATTACCTGGGATGTAGGTGCCGTCGATAGTGATGCCCTCTGGTGGAGTGGTGCGATGTAATAAGCCGCTTCCACTAAGCACGATTATTAGCTGCTGATAAACAGAAACATTGGAGTCTTAGAACTCACATAGGTGGTAGAATTCGCAGAGCCTCCCTGACTATTGCGTTCAAGTAGGCAAACTGTGACAGGGTTTGATGGTTCAGTGGACCATGATATGGGTCGATTTCAGCCTTCAGCTTTGCGAACTTGTCCGGGTTGGCGATTAACATGTAGATTATGGTTCTAGGAGGCTCATCAGCTACGTCATCTATGAGCAGAGAGCGATAAATCTTACGCCAAACTACTAGATGTAGTATCAGAGCCTGGAAGAGCCGTAAGTAAATATACCTCATTATCGGTATTTGTACACTTACCTCCAATCGAAAGCATTAGGGACTCCACGACAAGCTCCGGCTCCGAATACTTCTTCTTGGTAACGCGATCTTCAACCAGAAGATAGCTGAACACGTCCTTCACAGTCTGCCCGAGCGGCAATCTCTCCTTGACTCTCTCTTTAGCAAACGTGAAGAGGCCCTCCGCTGCCTTATTCCTCGGGATATAGGCGAAGGTCGTCGCGATCCAAGGGATCGTACTTATCATGCCGCCGAAAACCGCGAACCCTTGGACAATCGTCATATAGTCGTGCTCTTTCCCGTGTTTGAGCATCTCGAAACTCTTTCCAAACCTAAAGCCGGGTCAGACACGAGGTCCGGTCGAAATGGTAATAGAAAATAACATACCCGAGGTCTCCCATGATGTCAAACGTAAAGAATGACAGGTAGAGGCCGAGATCCACCACACCCTCCTTACTTCGCTCGGTTACTTCCCTGATGAGCTCATCCACAAAATGCATCACACGGGGCTCGTAGCCACGAAGCGCCTTGGTGTTGAATCCAGCCTCCCAAATCCGTCTCTTCCACAGATGCTCCGACGGAGTCTCATTCTGGAGGAAACGCTCGTGGCTGCCCATCACGCTCCCCTCATAGAAGGGTCCTTTGGTGCACTTCGTAGAGGTGCTGTAGAGGGCCTGAATGGCGTGCACATTGCAGATATCGATCTCCCGCGGGCCCACACGAACGAAATCGCCGTATTTCTGGTGCAACGCACGAGTGGTCCGATGGTAGTTACCACTGTATAGAGTAAAGAAGGCCCAGAACTTGGTGAGAGACGCAAACAGGGGACCGGGGAAGTGGCGAGCTCGGTGGAAGAAGCGACGGTAGATGGCGACGGAGAGGCTGTATTGGTCAGATCGAATAGGACGTAAGAGCTCTACTCTACTCACAAAAGCGTAGCAGTATAGAGAAGGTTGATCTTGAAAATTAAGGAAAGCAGAGAAACGGAGGCATCTTGGCCGCCTGTCGTTGATTCGAGGTATTTGAACAGGCCTGCATTGGTAAGGAGACTGAGGATCAAGACCTCATGAGGTTGTGGTTCGTAAAGCTGGGTAATTGCGTGCGTGCCCTAGAGCTAATCAGCATCGCTCTTAGCACGCAACATTTAGAGTTATAGATCCATCAAACCTACCAGCGCAGCAGCAACAACGGAGGGATAAATGGGCGTTTCCTTGAGGAATGCAAGAGCTTGGTGGCCTGCCACAAGGGCAGAAGCGTACAGCTCTTCAGCCATCTTCGAAGATGTTCCGGTTGGCTGCGAGGACAAGACTGGATATCATGGTGGTACAAACTTCACTGATAAGTATTATTGAGTGCAAGGACTCGTGAAGGGCCCCGCTATGTTTTCTCTTCCATAACCTCCGACCCTCATTTGATTGACGGCCCTTAACCCGGAAACGGGAAGGTATGCCACGCGGTAGATGAAAATAGCAGGGGAGGTAAGGGCAATATCTTCAAAGTTCGTGCATAACGTTCGGGTCGGCTTCTTGGGTTCCGCTAAAACAAATACACTCGCCGTCATCTTATAATGAGTAGTCATTCAATTTCCTCTTCCTGTAACAGTTCTAGCGCGCCATAGCGTCGATCATAGCGGGCTTACTGTCATCTGAGTCTCGGCAGCCGTGAGTGGGCGTCCAATCATGGTATCACGTGATCATCGGTGTATTTCGGAGCTTTACCGGCAGTGTCAAGAATTGTGCAATTGAGGTACAAACATCAGTCTGTCATAGCTATACTGTCTTCTTTTCCTCCTTGAACGAACCTCCTGCCCTCCTGATTGCATCTGGCAAGCTAACTATCGGCTTATATCCCAGTACCCTTTTCGCCTTGGCGATGTTATACGTCCTTGTCATGGTACTATACCGAATGGCCAAGCTTTCCATCGATGAAGTCTTGCGTCCAAAGCTCGAGAGCCAAATCCACCACTCAGTCGCAATGGCCAACCCAAGCATCAAGCCCCTCGGGAGACTCCGCACTTTTTCCCTGTCTGTTGGATAGCCCGCCGCATCCCCAATCTGTCGCGCAAACTCCCAGAACGTGATGTGCTGGTCATTAGTAATTAAGAACCCCTCTCCACCAACGCGCAGTTCAGGCGGGGGCTCCTTCTCGAAGCTCTCTAGCAGCTTCTGCGCGGCAAGGAAATGCGCATGAATAACGTTCTCGTTGAACGTCCAATCGAATAGGTTCTGCCCGTTGCCGATTTGGACCTTCAACTTCCCGGCCTTGGCACTGTCGGCAAAGCGCTGGGCTGACGGGTCGCGCTCGCCAAAGATGCCGGAGGGCCGGATGCAGGCCGTCAGCATGGTGCCGGGGGCATTGCTGTCGAGCACGAGCTGGTCGGCTAGGGCTTTGGTGTGCGAGTACATTTCGCGCTGGACAGGCATGTACAGCAGGGGGCTGTTGTCGTCGGCTTCGATTAGGTCGTGGAAGGAGTCGTGGACGACCGAGGCGCTGGAGGTGTAGACGAAGGCTTTTGTGCCGTGCTCCTGCGCGAATGGTCAGATTCTTGACTCTGATAGTTCCAGTTCGCAATATTTCACGTGACATAGCGAAAGATCAAGCTTACTTTCGCGCTCTTCACTAAAGTCCGCGTCCCTTCCACGTTGACCTTCAAATAAAGCGGAAGATCAGACAATGCCGGCGGAGGGGATGCGGTGTGGAAAACGACCTGCGGCCGAGCTTTGCTCATCGCCGCATCAACCTGGCTCTTGTTTGTGATATCCACATCGTAATATTCCACGCCCGGCTGGCGGTTCTGCGTGGTTCTTAAATCAAAAACGGATACTTTTGGTTGAGGCTCTAGCTTCAGGAGTTGCTTGACGACATTGTGGCCGAGATTACCACAGCCGCCAATTACGAGGGCGGAGGTTATGCTTTGTTTGCTGGACATAGTGAAGTAGAAAGACTATTAGAGAGGACGAGAAGGTCGGGAAAACGGAGGTTAGTGGGTCCTGCTCGAGCTTATATCTATTTACCGTTTCGGCCCGCACGTTTTTCCGACCAGGCTTCTCTGCGGCCCGGGCGAGGATGAAGTGCCCGGCACATTCGCCTCAACATAACTTTTCTCCGACTCTTGTCGACCGGGAAAGCGCAATAGCGAGGCCGCATAGCCATATGAGATGCATTCGTGTTCCTGTTGTCTCTTCTAATACCGTATCCGGGCATGAATCGATTTTCAGATGCGGGAGGGCGGTGTACACGTTTGAGCTGGCAAAAACTCAATCTGGGAATAAGATAGTTTATGCATCCAGTTATTCTAAGGTTTGAGGGTTGCATTCACTCAGACTTCAAGAATTGCACAACTCAGGTGCGGACTTCAGAGTCCCGAGAACCCCCTCCATGAGAGGCGCAGGGTGCTAACTAGTGTCGGCCGAGCATAGTATATTGCGGGGTATGCCCCTGACGTGCAGCTCTTATATACCGATTCGGACCGAAGTGCACCTCCAAGCTTCCTAGTTTCGAGGTCGTGAAGAAGTCAGCAAATTATCATAAAGCCAGAGTCTTTGGTATTCCTTTTGCTTTGAACAGTCGCAGCCGCCTGGATTCCCATCACCAGCCTCTGATCCCGTGCCTACCAGGTCAGCATCTACTAGCCTATCCTGTACTCGTTTTTAATCTCGATTCCCCATTTTCAACGAATTGCACTTGTGGTACACATTTGAGCACCAACTTCTACACATCGCTCATTAAGTTTCAGCCAAAAACGACGATCAACAATGGCCGCAACCGATATACTATCTGCTCTCATCCCCAGCTCCCCCGGCCTCCTCCCCTACTGGCTTCTCATCGTTCGTTCCCTCATATCATACGCCCTTATCTTATCTAACCCATGATCTAACCAATTTCCAGACATCATTTCTCTCAATTCTCAACTTCATCGCCTGTTACACCTCTCCCCCCTTCTTCCTCCGCACTTACTCAAACCCATTCCCCAATTCTCCCCCACCAAAACCGACTACCCGCTCCTCTCAAAAGTCTTCCACTTCTGCGTCGGAGTCTACGGTTCTCCCCGCCCGCATTTTCGGCACCTGGACCCTACTCGCCTGTATTCTCCGAACGTATGCCGCTTATGCCCTCGATCATACGGATATCTACGCCATCACGCTTAGCACGTATCTCATTGCTCTAGGTCATTTCACGAGCGAGTGGTTGATTTATGGGACGATGACTTTGAAGGGTGGCTTGGCGCCGCCGCTGTTCTTCTCCACCACGACGACGTTGTGGATGCTTTCGCAGTGGGGAACGTATTAGAGGTGGGATGGTGATGTATTGGTCGGATCTACGGCATTCACGTCGAGATCCACATCAATGTCCAGGGTCCCGATTCGTTGTCCAACCACATTCTTGATGGGCCATGAGTGTGGATTGTGAATGCTGATCGGGAACTCTCTCGCAAGCTTACTTGTATTTCTATCAATAATGAGACAATCTCATCTAGCCGCTTTCATTGTATTCATCTTAGATGTAGACTTACTCTTCCAAAGTAAGCATTTTCCAGACGGCCAACCTTTCATGCATACCCTCTCCATAGCATTGTATTTCTCACGACGCTCATCACAATGTGGTGCATAAAACGTCGCTAGCATGGACTCTTACATTGTTCGGGGTTGGTATATGTTGATACACAATTCAAAAGAGCCTGTATATAACTGGGAACATCCCCGATCATCTTGCATCATTCCAACCCACCCTCGCTTGTCAAGATTCAGCTATTCAACTACTCCTCCCTTGGCAAGAACCCTTCCATAATCATGCCAACCAAACGAAGTCTCCATCAGTACGGCGACATCCCTCACGCTCCGCTGAGCGCATTCATAGGCAAGCTGGAAATTTGTCGTCAGTTCAAGGAACTTGACTTCGACGACATGCCATCAATACCTGAAGTGCCACTCATGGACTTAGAAGATGTTGACGAGATATCTCCCCAGCAAAGTTGCACGACCCTTGTAAGCAACTCTAAGAAGGCTGGGTACAAAGACGTGTGGGTGCAAGCCTACACAGACCAGCAGACAGCATTTGAGACAGCAAATGTCAGCATGGTTCACGTGAACCTGGTCGATGATGAGGGCGGTCTGATGGCCCTCATTCAATGGCCCCTTGCGACTCCAGAATCAAACTCTGCACTGGCCTATTCAAATCTATGCAATAGCTCGAGAGAGATTCTCTGGAGCCACCCCATGGACTATGAGATTCTTCAGATTCCCGCCATCGACCTCCGTATGTTCTCAAGCGCGGAAGCTTTTGGTTGGCGAAAGGCAAGTGTGGAAAGTATTTTACACTCTGGATTGTACGACCGCTTCGTGGCTTGCAAATTCTCCCTAGTCACAAAACTGGGAAGCTTTCCAGTGCAGGCTCTCTTACGATGTGTTCCATATTCTCATCGTCCCGAGACCGGAGATAAGGAAGCTGACAAGAAGCAATTAGTCGACTTCCTCACTCAGCCGCGTCTATCATTCTACGGAAAGAAGGCGGACTGGACGAGCAAAACGAATGCCGATATCATCAGCACTACTACAGATGCATACATTGCGCTTGGGGATGCTGATTGGTATGCTAGCACAGAGTCCTCAAAAGTTAAGCGCGTACTCGTTTGCGCTTGTTTGCTTGGATTGACAGCTCGTGTGAACGACAATCATACCGCTGCTAATGGGTTCTCCATGTCTGGCAGTACGAATTCCGCAGACACGGTTCTGACAAAGGAGGACTGGATCTACGCCGACGCCGCGCAGGTTCTCCCTGTGTTCGAGATTCAATTCGAATGGCGCCCCGAAAAAAAATATCAGCTTCAGATGTACGCAGTGCATGCGAGTGCCCTTCTCTCGGGCCGTGCCCGCGAAAACAAAGCTCCAGAGTGGTGTTGCGTGCTGTAAGTTCCAGTGTCTTCAACAGTCACCCTGACTGATCGTGGAGTCAAGCTATCCCATCTTCCTAATCTGGGCATCATTAGGTCGTCCTTTCACCTTATCTAGTGATCAATCAATGAGCCTACTAAAGTAGGTATCCATCTTCTCTCCACCTGCATGTCCATGTATTGTAATCAGTGTCCTCACGTGATTCATCAAATGTGTTACAGTCCACAGATCATCTTGGTTTTTCCGAACTTTCTTGGTCTATTTGCGACTAAAAAGGTGCCTTGTACAGTGATCACCTATCCACGTACGTCTTTGAATAGCTGGTCTATAAATGTCACATGAAATATGCTTACGTAAGTAGGAACTCGTGTCTCACAAACCTGAACTTGCAACGCCTTCAGCACCGATATAGGAAAGTTGATCCAATGCGCTATCAGGATATCCACGTTTAGCATACTACTGCCACGATGCATATCAAAGCATCCCCAGAGCTTGCTTCTTACGCGATAGCAGGGCGGAGCTGATGTGCCGGAATTTTCTATGCCGGAGATTGAAGGAAAAGATTCCTGTGGAAGTCTAAAGTGTTATGACTGTATTCTGTTATAGTGGCAATCACTGGTAAAGTGTACATTCGTCTAGTCTATAGGATGTGCTCTATGTTCCAAAACTTCGCCCCTCAAGTTATCATCATCCAGGGCTTTTGAAGGTGTTGTGCCTTAGGACTACCACGTTGGACATGGCACAGACGGATCGATTCATTTCAATTCCAGAATCAAAGCATTTACTGCTGTCGTTTGCAGCCTTTAGGTTCTTTCATCTTTGTCAACAGCTTTATCAGCATTCTTTAACAGGTCACGTGCCGAGCGCTCCGCCTAATCACCTCACCATTGACATTTTTCTTTCTTCCAAAGCTAACTACCAGAGAAACAGTTAGTTCATGGTCCCCAACTTCTAAACTCTGGCCGAATGCAGAAGTAAGGCATCCTATCTGGGGAGGCTTAGGCGAAACGTGCGAGGTCTGGCTTTGTTATATAGCCGCAAAAGGATTGATTCTTGGTTACAACACTGATTTCAATCCTTATGTTGCGCTTCCGCTTATTTCAGACCTCTTTACCCCACCTAGAGAATCCTCTCTGCTAATGAGGCCCATAATGTCGATTGCTTAGCTTGACTTTTGGTGGCTGAATATTGTAGCGCAACCGTCCAGCTTATAGCTTCTCTTTCAAGCCGCTATGGTACTTAGTCTGTGGAAACCCGCGTTCACGTTAACGACAGCTACTAACCTTTAACATTAGAAAGAATGTATCTCAATTTCCTCGTCATTCTAGCCTTCTACTTCTGCGGCTTCGGAGCAAGCGTCGGTTTCCCCGGTCCCGCACCAACACCCGGTCCCGTTCTGCCCGCTGCACGCGATCCACAGTTCGGTCCATTCAACTACGCCTCCTACTTCCCGGAGATCGAATCATACATCAGTAAATATGCGAGCGACATCCCCGCGAATATTAGATCTGAATATGATGCCATCCCTTCCGACATCGACGCCCTCATCAGCGACTTCGCCACGGCTCTCCCCTCAGATGTTTTGTCGTATATCAGCGAATAAGCCTCCGAGTACGAGTCATATGTGAGCGAGTACGCTACGCTTCGCAGTGATATTCGCAGTGATATTAGCAGGGTCCGTACCGACTCATGCACGACTGACTCGTCCAATTCTACGGCGACTGGAAGCTCGGATTCGAAGTCGAAAAGCGATTCGAGGACCTCAACCACAACGGTGACTGGGCCGAACACTAACGCGGGAGCTGCTACTGCTACTTCAGGGAATGGGGCGGTGGCTACGGGTGCGGTCGGATCAGGCATGGGCGGCCTTGTTGTAGCGGTGGTTGTAGCAATGCTAGGCTGACGAAGGTTTCCGTTTTAGTTTACGAGTTGACGTCTGTCGTTATCGGGGTCTGGTAATGGTAAAAGCTGCTTCTCGGTTTCGTCTCAAACGATAATGTCTTAGTTTATTAGCCGTATGAGATCTTATCACGTAGAACTACATGCTTCTCTCAAAACAAGAAATGAAGTAGCTGTTTCCTATTGCCAAGATTGATGAAAGGAATATAAACAAATTGGCGCCGTAAAGTTGTTTCGAATGATAGAGTTCATAAGCAAGTCGCGGCGGGAATATGAACTCTCGGGAGTGCTCCCAATAATCACTGATAAATTTTCTCTTTGTCTGATCACGAATTGCTGCGAATTCACTACGGCCGAATCTGACGAGATCAGCTAGGCCTCGTAGCTACGTTTAACGGTTCACGATATCGAGTCGAACACTGATCGGTTACCTGTCAAATGACTGAGCGCCACGGATCGCTCCCGCTCTTGGGCCCTGGTAATTGATGGTGCTCCGATCTCTGGATGAGGGGCTCTTGCGCAAGCAGAAATGAGGTAACTCCAAGTTGGGCAGTTTCCGTCCGACGACGCGGTGATTAGGCTCACCTCAGAATAGCTTCAACAAGGCTTTGTCGGTAACGAAGACTTGGAAATAGGCGATCCTGTAACGGCAAGGTTGCAGCAAATCGTGAGACCAGCATGTCTCCTCGAAGTGGTACCGAGAAGTTCAAAGGTGCTCCGCTAGCCTGAACAAGCAACTTTACAAACTTCAGTCAAGCACGAGCAGGATATCGTATACAACCACTAACTGTCAAGATTCGGTACATCTCACGAGATTTTGAAGCACCACACATAGACATGGATAGAGGGTATTAAAAGACTTCAAAAACTTCAGCTATTCTTCTTGTCTCGATATGATTCAACTAAGCCGTTGACGTAGCCATTCTGTAAGCAAATGATTATACCACATCAATAAAATCCCCGTCTCCACAACCTCTAGCGACTACGAGACCTGAGAACGTTGAGCAAAGCAGTGTTACCATTTGCTGTTCCGATGGTGCTTGGGTCCAGGCCCACTTCCGCGGCCATAGCTCGACGAGATTCCAGGTCCGAAGGCATTCCAAGACCGTTGAGAAAGTTGATGATGGACGGATCTGAACAAAGGTCAGCCTGATGTGGCGTGGTAGTACGAGAATCTATTACTTCCCTTGCCCATTGGGTACGCTTGGGGAAGCAGACATAGCCCTCCAAACCGCATTGGAAATTGCAACGCCATTGAAGTAGAATGTGCCGTCATACATTTCAAAAGCCGGCCCTGTGGCAGTAACCTTAACCCGGCCGAAGAGCCATTCCAGCATACCTGGCTCCGACTCTGACGGATCGGATGTTGACTGGTGTGACTGCGGCGGGGGATCCTGAAGCTGGTCGCCCTGAGCACCACGTCTGGGGGTGGTGGAAGAGGATGGAGAAGGCATTGGAAGTTGAGTGATGATTCACAGAGTGGAGGGCTTGGGTTTCTTCAGACTCTGTCTTTTGAACTGTCTTTTGAACTGTCTTTTTCAGACCCAGATTTGATCAGAGTAGGCTCTGCTTTAAATGTTGATCATTGCAGCAGCATCCGTGATGAGGTAGACCCATGTGAATTCCACCGAACATGCACTACCATTACCATAGCATTGAACCAACGTATTAGAGTCGCACGCCGAGAAGCTAACCAAAGCGACATGCATGCACAGAGGGAAGCGAACGAAATTGACAAGGATCAATACGAACAAAAGTGTGAGCCAATTGAAAAGAGTGTACGGAGGGTCGCTCTGATAAGCACTAGCCTGATGCGTCATCATCTCTCCGGTGAACCTACAATCGTTTTAGAGGAAAGCATCGCATTGGAGACGAACGGATCAACTTGCAGTTTATGTGGCCTGAAAAGAGGCAATCACATGTCACGGCCTGACCGCAGCGTGTATGTTGACGTGTCCTTTTGGGGCCCGACTCTCGATCTCGTTCTTATCGCACGTTGTATAACAACGGGATCAGAAACGGCGGAGCTCGTCAATCTTCAATACAGCTCTAAGGAGCAGTACTAGAACGATGAGTACAGCTTCAATTGCCGATCAGTGGTCACATCGCCGCCTCGATGTAATTTGCCTGTATATTCTTGAAGACATGGAACTCAAGCAGCTGATCCGGGAGGTGAAAATCGAACGAGATGGGCGTGAGCTTACGTTTGTAATCCCTCGATAACGGTGTCATCGACCGACATGCTAAATATGGCCCTAGATTGGATGACTGGAAAAAAATCCTGCTACCGTCATGGGGTATCTTCAAAAACAACTGCGCAACAGAGGCCAGCTTCATTCTTGCAGAGAAGCGAAGAATTGGAAGAGAAGAGCCCTGGGACTGCTTAGTTTTAGCAGGCGGAGTCCTTCTCAGTATCCACGATGTGAAGAGCTGCAGCAAACGAACTAAACGTGCCGCGCCCCATACCACCCGTCCGCCTCGAAGACTTCTCACATTTGTTCCTATGCCATTCAATATCGCCAGTCTCGAGGAAATTGGAATCTTCAGAGATTTCCGACGTCTGCTCTGGTTTACGGGGGTTCACTTCGACAGTTGCTTCGACACTGGGACATGGTCGAAAGACGAAAACGGACTCTACGGCAGAAGCGACGAGCTCCGGTCTGGGCTGACAAAGCTTAGCAAACTACACAACATGCTATGCGACGCCTTCAAGCACTTTAAGAGAGGCTCAGTTAGCACCGGATTTGCCTTGACGCGTTCCGCCTTCCTGTTGAACGAGCTCATCGTGCAGATCTACCACCATCGACAGTTTCCCGATATCCTGGCCCTCATTCTCCTCGCCCAGAGACAGGGACATGCAGAAATCGGTATGTCGCTGTGTAACAATTTATGCAAATTGGCCGAAAAACTCTTACCCTCGAACGATCCACGCGGACACATCTTCCAGATTCTGACGACGTTAAAGCTGGACTTAGCAGGTGATCTCTACGTCGCCTTCGACACTTATTGTCGACATTTGTGGATGTCAAGAGCAGGAACCAATGAGATCAAAGCGCACTACTCGTACAATCAGGCCAGTTTTCCTCGGGCAGATACAGGGCGATTCTACGACCTGTATGCGAGAAAGACGTTAGACGAACTTGATCGCGTTTTGGAACAAGTCAACGAGGCATTTGATGAGTACAATACAGCGCGCTTCGTTATGTGGCACACTGCGATCCGATATCTCTTAAAGGAAGCGAGACATGCAGATGCGGAAAAATTCAGCCAAACACTATGTTCCCGTCTGTGCAAGCCTGGCATTATGAAACACTGCAGCCAACAGCCGCAGATGAATGTGAACGTTTCTCTCAGCTTCTATCTGTTTGGTGTGACACAGTTTGCACAGCTGAAATATCAAGACAGCATGGAAAACTTCCAAATGTGCATCAACACTCGAAGGGTACTTGTGCAAGGGTATAATTGGGATCCGACACTTGGGGCGGCACTGGAAAAATTGGGTTTGGCGGCAGAAAGAATGGGTCATCCTGAGCTGGCGAAAAAATCCTCGCAACATCTTCAGGGAATGTATTCTGCTCTTGTTGAGAAGGATAGAATGGAACAAGCTCTTAAGTAGATCCATCAAGGTCTACTACTACCGTTCGGCCCTTCTTTCTATGGAGTGCCGTTTTCTTTTCGAATAATTTGAATGACGAATAAAGATCGCTCGATTCCACTGTTCCTTACTCCCCGTAGAACGAAGATTTGTACGTCCCTTATGTTGAGAGTACTTCATGGAGCAGCTGGAGATCATCCCAGGGGTTGGTACTGGTAGTAGCTGGAGAATATGTCGTCGGTCCTGCCTTCATACCCTCAGGACCAGAAAGCCTGGAAACGGATTCTTTATATTCTCGCACGAGAACAGGCGTGTGTCTCAATGGAGCATAAGATTTGTGGTCAAGTTTCCATAGTGCTCATCCGAAGCCGAAGAAAGGTGGTTCCGCTCTATGGATGCACCCGTTAGCCAGATAAGAAGGTCTGGGCATTGCTGAGGTGGAAGTCGAACTAAGCAGCGAGATCAGATGCGCTAAGCGACCCCCTATCTCGGCGTCGTCCTGCGATATCGGACCTTCTCCCGAAGCGCTGGACACGACATCCCTCTACCGCATCACCACTTTACAAATATGCAATCGTGGACCCTGGAAGCCACGTGGATTTCCAATCGGTCCCTTGGATGATGGATTCCAACATCCGTTGGACAACTTTATTTCAACCTCGCTCAAGTCCGCATCCACTTAGACTACTTCAAAGCTGATCACTCGCTCGGTCTCACCGATGAGTCAAAGACATCATTCACGATTGTCACGATGCAGACAGCTTCGCTTTATCCGAAAAGAGAGCTGCCCTGATCCTGGGGCAGCGAGCAATCCCCATACCTACCGGAGGCCAGATTCAAATACGAATAGAAAGTGCAGCGCTGAATCCGGTTCGTAGCAGAAGTTCCCCGATATCAGCATACCCTAATGCCCCTGTAAGTAGACTGGAAGATTCCCGCGAGAGGCTTTCACGTCTCGATCTACCCGGCGGTTCTGGGATCGGATATCGCTGGGGTAGTCTCAGCGATCGGACCGGATGTGAAGAACTTCAAAGTTAGCGACAGAGCGTAAGTAGACACGTTGGACCTCTCTATCTCAACTAACTTCGATCTAGTATGTGTCAAGGCGATATGCTCAATCCCGACAAGTGTGCTTTCCAGCAATACATGGTCGTCTCGAGTATCATTGCCTGCAATATTCCAGAAAATATTACCAACGACGAGGCATCAACGGTCTGTGTAGCCTCAATTGCGGCTCGAGTATCTCGTACGCCGTTGTATTCCTGTGGGGAGCTAAATAGTAACATGTTCTTCAGTATTTCACGAAACTGGACTTGCCATCTCCCCTCCGTTTTGGCCCGGAGTGCCATCTCGGAAAAGGTCTGACATGATCTTGATCACGGGAGGCTCAACGTCTGTGGGCCAGTACTGCATTCAGTTCTGCGTTTTAGCAGGCTTCAAGCGCATCCTCACCACTGCAGCCCTAAGAACTGCGAATTCGTAAAAGCAGCGGGCACAACCCACGTATTCGACCGGGATGCCGAGAATCTGAATACGTAAATACGAGAGATCACTGGAGACGACCTCATCTACGCCGTAGATTCTGCGGCCGCCGATGACACTCAAATGCCGTCATACACTGCGCTTTCGGATACCAAGCCTGGGGTCTGCGCGATATTGCTGCATTCCGTCCTATCATATGGAGGACGAGGCCGACCAAGCCTTTCGGAATGAGGCAAACCTGGAAGATCGATGGTTTCGCTAACCTTTGGACGGAGCTTTCGGAGGAGTACTTCAAAGTGCTTCCAGCATGGTTACAGAGCGGTGCTGTGACGCCGATGCGACATCAATTTCTTCCAGGTGGCCTTGCGGCGATTCCAAAAGGTAGCAAAATGCTTATGGACAACGAAATCAGTGGCGCAAAAATGGTCATCCATCCGCAGGAAGGTCTTTCAACTGTTCTCATGGGTTTAACGATCAGTTCACGGCCATCCGAAGTCTGCCTTATCATTCAGAAATTATCTCGAATTGATTTGGGTTCATTCGTGACTTTTCTTCCAACCAACCTGTATGTCTCCAATCAGAAAAGTCGCCAAGCGAGCTAGAAGTGCTGCGTGACTTGCTTCATGAGAGCGTTCCCGGTGTGCCCAGCGAATGATCGGGTTCCGCATCCGACCCGAAGTCCCACTTTTCAACCTTGTCACATGACTTGACTGGTACTTGGTATTCTAGAAACAACTTCACAGACAGTTCGGCAGCACCAAGAGCCATTTATATCAGTGATTAGATCAGAAATACTAGCCGGGTCCCGGATTGGCAATTCACGATCGCTACGCCTCCAAGATCTCACCTACTATTCCATGGTTCTGCCCTTCCACGAAATCTCAAGCTCAGTATGTCAGTCCTTACAACGACCCGCCCCTGGGTCAGCGATCTAGCGTCCGGATACCAGGGCCTAGAATTCCAAGCTTCCGCACCTATCCCCGCCCTCCTTTCGCATCAAGTCCTCGTCCGGATCAAGGTAGTATCTCTTAATTATCGCGACCTCGACGCGATGACCGGCTACTACAACAGCTTCCGCAAACATAGAAAATGCCTCTGCCCCTAGTACCCTGTAGTGATGGCGCTGGCATCATCGTCGCAGTCGGAAGCGATGTCGGCCCAGAAGAGACAAGCATCGCCGTTGGGGATGAAGTGTTGTGTTTATACAACAAGGAGCACATGTCTGGTCCCGCGACAGCGTATCACATGCAGATGGGCAGTGAGCTACCACTGGAAGGGTGTTTGACAGAGTATAAGGTCCTGCCGCATTATTCAACGGTGAAAAAGCCGGTGTATCTGAGCTAGGATCAGGCGGTTACGCTGGTAGGAGGTGGGAGCACGTGTTGGAGTTCGTTTTTTCATGGGCTTCAATCGCTGGGGCCCGGGATGACGATCTTGATTCTGGGAACTGGGGGAGGCGTGTTAACATGCTGTTTGTGAGGGTCATGGCCGATCTCCTGCAGTTTCGATGGTGGCGCTGCAGATAGCAAAGACGATGCATGTGACTACGATAGTCACTTCGTCGTCGGGTGAGAAGCTGGTCCGATGAAGTTCTCAGAATTACGAACGGCAAAGGGGTCAACATGGGCCAGAAAACTATCATCCAATCACTGAAGAGCCTGAAGTGGTGAGGCTTGATCAATGATATTGGGTATGTGAGCGGAAAAGGATCAGATTTTGAGCCACTTGGAGTTAGTTTGATGCTGATAAGGAAGCATGCTATGATGCAAGGTGTGATTGTGGGGGGGAATGACGTACTGCAAGAAGTTGCGAATTTCTACGAAAAGGCAGGATTATGCCATTCGTTGATAGGGTATTTCCCTTTGATCAAGCGAAGAAAGCGTTTGCGTATCTAGAAATTCAGAAACATATGGGGAAGGTCATCATCAGTTTGGAGTAAAACAAACCAGGGCTTTACTCGCTAGACCGTCTGACAGGCACGTGGGGCATAAAAAAGGTAGCACACTCAGCAGCTCAACACCGTCTGGGGTGCCCTAGAGAGCTATCAGGCTTGCCAAAGCTGGTCTTTCATGAATAACAATAGCATACCAGAGGATCTTAAACTGTGCTAAATAAGCGTACATAAGCATAAAAACAGCTGGGGTGTGTATATCCCTCACGGGGTTTCTGGCCTGCCACTTTCTGTTGACACTTATCAACCACGCTGTCTCATAGGCACACCTATCTACCACTGCTTGAAATGCTTTAATGAGTTTCCAGATAGCCTAGAGTGAAGAGCTTCTATCTCGTTTAGATTTCTAAAAATGTATCAAAGCACCTCAAGCAGTGGCATACACGCACACATCATTTGCCCTCCCTACGCACACACCCATGTAGAGTGCCACGTTTTTCATGCCCCGCGTGACAGGAAACCGAAAAAAGTTCAACGCCACATCGTGAACGTAGCTACGAAGCCTAGCTGATCTTGTCACAACAGAGATAGGTCACATCGACCTATGATCAGTCAGGGCATCTAGGGTGAATCAACACGGGAAAATGCCACCAAAGACGTTACACTAAGTCAAAGAAATCGTAGCAGAATCTTGTATTAGACGTATAGAGCACGGCCTCCGGGGGATCTATATCTACGCACCATGTGAGTGAAGAGACATTGACAACATAAACACACTAATCCATCTCATCCATCCCGACCGCCCATGCCGTCACCCAAAGAACCCCAGTGGCTACTCCACATATTCAAGCCGGAACACCTTAAACACACCCATCACGAACAATCCCACTATCCACGCACCCGTTTCACAACTCTCCGTCCCCCCTCCCCACTAACCTGCACCGTCCCCTCCGCTTCAGCCACCCTCAGCACTTCCGTGAGCTCATTGCTCTCGAAACTCTCACTCGCGCCCTCTCTGATTTTCTTGATAAGCTCATTAACCCTAACAGTTCCATGAGCATCATCAAGCACGTCCAGCACCGCCCTCTTGAGCTCCTCTCTCCTCTTGCGGTCACCGCTACCGGCACCTTCGGTCAGCAGACCCATATCAATGAGACCAGTTCGAGCATCAGTTGCGGCTTGTTTCAGAGCGCTCTTGATCAGTCGCACAGCCTCAGCGACATCGTGTTCTGTGACAACGGTACTGAGTCGCATCTTGGCATGCGCTTCTGCTAAACGGATCATGCTTTCAAGTTGTCGGGTAGTAGCTGTGATGCGGCGCTCCTGACTACGCACATCGGCACCTAACGCACGCATGGCCACGTACGCGTCTACGAGCGCTCTCGAAGCTTCGGTGTTGAGCTTCGGGTGAATGTGTGCGCGAGCGTACGAGATGTATGCTGTCAGGAACTCGATTGGAAGGATCTCGGCCGCGGACGCGTTCTGTGGCGTGTCTTCGAGATACATGCTCACAAGATGGCGAGCCATGCGGCGATCGGTGTTCTCATCGATGCGGTCCAGAACGAGGTAGACAAGATCGAAACGGGAGAGGAGGGTAGGCGGGAGGTCGATGTTCTGTGGGACAGGGAGGTTGATGTTGTACTTAGAACCGATGGGATTGGCGGAGGCGAGGATCGAGGTGCGGGCGTTGAGGGTAGTGATGATACCTGCTTTTGCAATGGAGACAGTTTGCTGTTCCATTACTTCGTGAAGAACAGAGCGCGTTGAGTCTGACATCTTATCAAATTCATCAATACAGCAGACACCACCGTCGGAGAGAACAAGAGCACCAGATTCGAGGACCAGCTGGCGTGTTTCCGGGTCGCGAGTGACGTACGCGGTGAGACCGACCGCGGATGAACCTTTGCCAGATGTGTAGACACCTCGCGGGGCGATCTTGTGGACGTACTTGAGGATCTGTGACTTGGCAGTCGAGGGGTCGCCGCAAAGAAGAACGTTGATATCGCCTCTGTAGCGAGGGCTACCACCTTTCTCGAAAGATTTGTTCGTGCCGCCGAAGAGCTGGAGAAGAATACCCTTCTTAACGTCATCCATCTCGTAGATGCTAGGTGCAAGGGACCGAGAAAGGAGCTCATAGACATCGTCTCGCTCGGCAACGGCTTTGATCTTAGCCTCTTCTTCCTCAGAAACCTTTCTGGTCTCCTCAACGTCGCCAGCGACTTGATCGGCAAGCTCTTCTTCTACAGTCGATACGTCGATGCCCACGCGCTTCTTGTCGACCTTTTGGATGTGCAGAGCGTCAACATAGGTCTTGAAAATGTTCTTCACGGTCCTCTGACGAGGATTGATCCGAACTTGGTTGCACTTGAAAATGCCCGTAATCTCGACTCTGTCTCCAGCTTTGCAAACATCAACAAGCTCATCGTAAGCACAGAGAGAGACGGAATGCGGAGTCTGGCCGTCTGGGACACTATCAGGGGTCTCCTGAAGCTTGATGACTTGCTTGTCCGCGAACCCGGAGCGCTCGTGTACGATTTGCATCGAATTTTGCTGAGCGCAAACCGGACGAGGGCAAGCGGTTGGCTCAGCAATCTTGCCACGGTCAATATCGACTTTAACGGTATGATTGCAGACGGCACAGCGGAAGAATGCTAGTTATGGTCAGCTCTGTGCATTTTGCTGGCATATTCCTGCAACTTACCATCCTTCATGTCTGGAATTATTGGGGTTGTGCGAATGACTAAACCCTTGATACTAACAAGTTTATCCATATCTACACGCGAATTAGCAAATATCAAAGCTCAAATCGAATGAGTCAGCAACATACCACTTGGGTTCAACTCTCGCAAATTGATCGTTTTATCCAAACCAAAGGGTCTGACTCGATAGGTCTTGGAGTCCACTTCTCTGACGAGATCTGGAAGATCAGGGACCGCAGCAGCTGGCGTTCCTGGTGTCCCGATATCTGAGCTTGGCACAGGAGGCAAAGAGCTGGAATCACGACCTCGCGGTCTGGCGCTTCTCGGCTGTTGTGCCAGCCTCAGCTCATTCATACGCTTCTCCGCCAGTTCGATCATGACGTCCTTAACACAAACATCCATAAGCGGGATGATCTCGTTGGGAAACGCCTGAAGTTGATGCCAGAGCTTCCTTGTCGGTGGGTATGACTTTAGATTTCGCGCATCCAGATTGAGAGGAGTTATGCCAAGCTCGAGCATGGCTTTCATCATCTCAACGTACTCCTTTGCCATTGCTGGATGGGTGGCGGGGAGAGTTGATCCTTCTTCCAGCTCCTCATCCTGAATCATGCGATACTTCCTCTGGAAATTGAGCAGGAAATCCTTCATAGCGTTCATCGAATCAACCAGGGAGATGTTGGTACCCCAAACCACTCTGGAAGAATTTCCACCAAGTACATCGGCGTCTGAGGTATCAGGATTCATATTGGAGAAAGTGGCAGTTTCTGAAGGCATGGCTTCGTGCACCGCCATGCCATTCTCGTCGACGAAGAGCCTGCGACGGCGCTGAGAAGAGGATTGCCCCAAAATATCGGAATTGATATCACTTCGACGGTTGCGAGGGCCACCACTCTCTGACCCAAGACCAAGAGAAGATCGGACGAAAAGGGCGCTGCTGCTGCTCCGGGGTTCCTGGGCAGATCGTTGGGCGGCATTTCCATTGGGAGCAGGACTAGAGCTGTAATGGATGGGGGACGAAACTAGGCAAATCAATTCGGATTCTGCAAGTGTGTGTCACATGTACGTACGTCCGGCATTCTGCCCAGATGCTCTGGGAGTCATATCGCCATCCGACTGCATTAAGGGGGAGCTGGCGCCGGCGCCATTCGCAGCCCCAGAAGCGTTCGCTGGCGACATGAACAACCCAGGTGAATTGGACGTGCCATCCTGCTGCAGCCGGTTGGCTCTGGGAGTTCCGCGCTGCGACGACGCAATCGATGCTTCTGAGCGAAGTTGCTGATCAGCACCGGCGGCGGCTGCTGGGCTGCTGGAAGGAATTCGAGAATTGCGCGTGCTTCTTCGCGGGGTGGCGGAAGGGCGCTGAGAGCGCCTTGAGGCCGGAGAAGACATGGCGACCGTGTTTCTCGTAGAAAATGGTGTTGAGGGGTGGATGGTGGAGAGGAGACGGTGAGGGAGGGGGAAAATAGGCTTGGGAGGAAGGCGCGACGCGGACGCGTTGTCGGTCTAAGCTGGATCAGGGCTTAATTGATTTTTCGCTACCAGGCCCTCCCTCGGCCCTGCAGACCAACAATAAACACCGTCAGGCAACACTATTCTCACTGCTCCAGTCCGTGAATTCGTCCGCCGTTGCTCAACCATTATAATTTGACCTGGATTGTTTAAAGACGACCCTCATTCCAAGAACTCTACGAAGCAGCTAAATCTGGAAATCTCCAAGAACAAATCCACCACGATCACCATTCAAGATGGCTCCACCATCTAAGCTCGCTGTTGCAACTTCATCCTTGGTGCGCCTGGTGAAGGAAGAGGCTAGCTATCACAAGGAGATGGCCCAGCAAGAGGCTCGCATCAAGAAGCTCGAGGGCGACAGCGCCGATGAGAATGCCGAGTATCAGCTAAGACAAGAGGTATCTAATCGTTGAAGGGTGATTGGGAGTAAAGCAACTGACTTTGTAATCCAGCGTCAAGGGCTTGAGGAGACCAAGAATGTCCTGCCTTCAATGCGACAGAAAATCCAGGAGGCGCTTGACAGGTTGGAGCAGGAGCTTGTAAGGATGGTTATCTCAAACATTGTATTCGGCACTGACACGATATAGGAGAGCAACAAGGAATCTGGTGGCGAGCAGGATTCCAAGCAGGTCACCAAGGCAAAGAGCGCACTTGCAGATGCGAAGAAGGCCGTCGAAGAGATCTCGTAGATGCGGAATGAGGACTTCGGGAGTGTTCGAGAGGAAATAACTATGATTCTGAAAGTGTTCCTATCCTAGCCGTGCTATGCAATTCCAGACTCCACGCTATGCTGTAAAACAAATGAACAAGGTCGCTCCTAAGCTTATATCAGAAATCGTCGCACTGAGGAGTCTCATGATATATCCATCTGGTCAACTGGTCCAGCGTCTTCCTCCTCCTCGCCTTCTTCCATTTCTGACTCATCGCTCACTCTTGTGTCTCCGGAGGTTCTTCCCGACTCTGCCATTTCTGTGTCCTGTTGCGATCTTGACGGAGATGGTGCCCTACTACTTCCCTGAGAAAGCGGCGCCAGCCTTGTCCGCGGAACCGCAAGCATATCTCCTCTCTCACCCTCCTGTGTGCCATGCATCGGCGTCACACCACCCGTATCTGGTCGCGGCGTACCCACAGCACTTCTGATAATGCTCCCCTCCCCATCATCAACATCATCACTATCACCCACCCCCTCCTTCCGCTCGGCCTCGTCCTTCTCATCCTTAATCAGCTTCAACATTAGCCTGCTTTCCTCCATAATCCTCCCAAATTGCTCGCGCTTGCGATCACGGCTGACCGAGTACTCCCTACCTTCTTCCTGCAGCTCCTCGATCTCGTTGCTCAATTTTTCCAGTGCGGCGTGCTGGTCCTCCCTCGGCTTCAACTTCTCCTTGATGGTGATTTTGTCCGCTAGCTCATCGTACGTTTTCCGCAGCGCAAGCGTCTTACGTGCCTCCTCTAGCTGCACGCGCAGCTCAACCGTGTTGTCACGAATTGCTTGCGCCGTGTCTAGGATGCGCGTTTTCTCTTTGGCGTATCGCTCGCGCTCCGTCTGGTTGCTGTTGTGGATGAGCTGCATGCGGACGATGCTGCTCTCGAACGCCGAGAAGTCGAAGAGCATTTCCTCTTCCCATAGCTTGCGGCGTGCGGCCTGCTTCTCGCGCTCGACTTCGACGGCAGCAGCAGCTTCATCGGCGGCCGAGGCGTCTGGCGGAGGCGTCGGGAGGAGTGTCGGCGGAGAGTTGATCAGGGAGTCTGGCTTTAGAAGGCGGGATGTAAGGCGCTGGAATGGCCTGGCTTCGACTGATAGGAGACGCGCGACATTATGGATGGAATCTGGGAAGGTTAGCTATGTTTTGGTGATAGAAGGCGATTTGTCGCGTACCCTCTTCCGCCTGAGGCAGATAGCCGTAGTCGTATGGAGCCATGGTCAAGGAGTAAGGTGTCTGCGTCGGCGTGCAGCGAAGTCGATGGGCGCAATTGGTAGAAGAGAGGTTCGTGAAGGAGTTCGCAAAGCAGAGATCACGGGATCGCAATTGCCGACGCGGGTAGTGCCGGCTTGGCGCTGCTAGCGGGGCGCTAGACTTCACCCCAGCCACCCGTCCACCTCACTACATAGGGCTGACATTCAACCTCCGTCCTCCATCCTCCATCTTTCAACCTCGCAACGGCAAGACACTGTTCGCGAATTCATCGCTGCACTCGACCAGCGTTCCCTTCGGCCTGTGTTACCTTCCTGTTCCACATCTCGTTTTGTTCATCTTTCCTTCGTGCTTCCTCGACTTCACTTCACCTCACCTCACCTCGCCTTTTGGATCGCCCAAGTGTCTCGTTGGATTACTTGTTGGAATATCGATAGACCGAGCGATAGGACCGTTCCTAATGTCATCATCGGTATCGGCATCATTCTCCAACAAACATTTAAGAAGGCTGTTATTTTCACTCTCTACAGAAGTTCACCCAGGCCAAAGGCCACCGTGCCTCCCTGACCGCTCCTCGACGTAGGCCAAGCGACTACATCCGTCCCCCCATCAGAGAGACTTCTTCGACATTCAAGCCCCCCGCCATGGGCGCCAGCAGCCTTCTAGCCATGGCCAGGCGCTGTGCCATCCGCCACATCGACACACTCTATGACGTTGGAAGCACCCACCCATACTCCTTCTGGCGACCCATCCTCCTCAAAGTCGACGACCCGGCTCAGCTCCGCACGCTGGAAGAGAATTGCCCGCAACTCCGAGGCGAAACCGGGGAAATCTGGCAGCGCTTCATTCAGCGCGATATCCCACGCTGGGAGACAAAGCAGCGAGCGCCCGCGAACGAGATCAATTGGTGGAAACTGTACAGGAAGCTCAAAGCGGAAGCGGATCGCGAGAAGGATGCCCAGGAAGAGGCCCTCAAGGAGACCATGAAGAAACTGAAAGAGGCGAAGCGCAAGAACACCACCACCATTGTCGAGGCTAAGACCATCACCAACTCGATCCATCATCGTCGATTTGGCGGCGCCGCGGGACCAAAAGCACCCCCATCCGCGAAGAATGCAAAGACTGCGCTCGACAAGCTGAAGAGAAGCATGTACGATTCACGCCAGGGTCAGCCGAAGGCAGCCATGCTCCCGAACAAGCTCTTGGAGGAACGCAAGGGTCGTGTCGCGCAAGCCCCGAAAAGCATGGTTGAGGAGAGGAGGAGGATTCAGCTAGGAGCGCCGAGAACGAAGACATGGACGAGCCAGCCTACCCCGAACACAGCTGCAAAAGCCTCGACTATCGCAACGGGACACACCACGGAACAAGCTGCTGCGGAACAGGCTGCGAAAGAGGCGAGGCTGAGAGCACTCACCGCAGGCGGAGCGAGTGCACCCTTGAAGAAGCGCAAGAGGGCAGAGGTGGACCCGTTCATGAAACCGGTCAAGCGCACGAAGCCTTGAATGCTCTTGGGAAGCCTCGACTACTGATTTCTTTCTTTCATTTTCTCTTTTGCTGTTGTTGGGTTTCTTTCTGGACTAAATGGAGGTCAGGTGGATCTGCGGGAGCATGGCAGGATGGATACCCTTTCTCACTGAGAATTCCACATGACGTTGGACTAAATGGGGTTCAGGTGGATCTGCGGGAGCATGGCAGGACAGATACCCTTTCTCACTGACAACCCCACATGACGTACGTACCTACGAAAAGTTGAATGATAAATGTTTATGCACACTCGCTTGCCGCTGCGTGAGGTCTTTCGGTGTAATCTCGAAAAATATAGAGGAAAGTATCTGTGTACAGTTTTCTGTGGCTGCTAGAAGTCCTCCGGTACGATTTTGAAATGTCTAGAGGAAACATAACTGCGTACACCTGCTTGCCGCCGCCAGAAGGTCCTCGAGCTATTCTCAGGAACTCTAAAAAAGACGCGTCTGTGTACAGTTGTGTCCAACTACTAGAGGCGCTTGGATGTATTTTTTAATATTTAAAGATTACGTATCTGTACACACCTGTCTGCGACTGCTAGCGGTCCTTTAGTATGGTTTCGAAATGTGTAGAGGGTACGTACTATACACTCCTCTACGACTGCTGGAAGGACCTTTGATGCATTTTCAAATATCTTAAAGGATATTAAACATTGGCGTCGTGGACGCCCTCCAGATAGCTTGAAGTGCGGCCTTCGGTGCTATAGACCACGCGGTTGGTACGGTCTTTAGATCCCGACTTAAAGCTAGCCAGGTAGTCTGAAGATTCATCGTGGTCTACTAGAGGGTTCCATTTTTATTTCTAAACTACCTACCATATTTTCTAGTAATATCCTGAAGAGCAATTAGGTCTAAGATCGGCACATCTGTGCTTGTATTTGGATTCTTTTACTACCCCTAAGGTGGCTGAGGTAGATAATGCAGACTCGGCGGTAGACGATCCGGCCTTAGAAGGCTTAGAGGAAGATGTGGATGACAAAGAGGCTATAAATAATGTAGTTTCTGTCTGTACACGTTAAACCAAGACGATATCTAACCTTATAACAGCCGAGAGGAGTCGGGCATAAATCATTATGGTAGGAAGGACGGAGGCAAGAGGACCGCTATAACAGTTTCGAAAACGAGTGACAACGCAAGAAGTGTCCTGAAAGTCCAGGGGCTCCGATGATACACGCAGGCATGCATCTTGACTATGGGGCTCTGATCAGCTACCTCGTGATCGGAGAGTGAGAGAATAAAGATGTGCACCTGCTTGCCGCTGGCTAAGGTCATCCAGTATGGTTTTGAAATGTATTCAAACGACATATCTGTGTACACTTCTCTGCCGCTGCTGGAAGTCCTTCAACGTACTTCCGACAAATCTGGAACAGGTTTGTCTGTGCACACTTCTCTTTCATTGCTGGAGGTCCTTCGATCTGCCATCAAACCCCCTCCCCCGGAAAGATCCATTTCTGCACACTTACCAATACGCAAGGTTCTCCCAAACGTTTCCCCGAATCAGGAATATATATCAGTGTCTACCGTCCTCCGCCACTGCTTCAGGTCCTTCGCCGTGATTTCGGAGATACGGAGGATGTGGGTCTGTGTACACTCATTCAGTATAGCTTAAGCTTCTTCGTCAAGTTCTTGAAAACTTTTGGACGAAATTGATCCTCGTACACTTGCGCGCTAGTGCTTTTGGGAATCTAGAAGAAAATGAACTTGATTACACTGCTTGGTGACTGCTTGAGGACGCTCGAAGCGATTTTGAATCTTGAAAAACAGATGTATTCATGGTTGGATTTCCGATAATGAACTTAATAGATGTGCTGTGACGGACTTTTGAGTCTGCGCCAATTCACGCTGTGCAGAACGATCTGATCTGGCTTTCCGATAGCATGCTAAAGCATCTGTCACAGCAGTAAAGCCCTCTACACAACCATGTTTCTTCCTCAACATCTCAAGCACGTCGAAGGACCTCAAGCACTGGCAGAGAAAGTCTACACCGATAGACGCCTGCCTAACCTAGCTATGCATCCCAATCACCCCCTCTGCGTTCCCTCCTTTCCATTCATATCCCATCCCCAATAATAGTAGAGTAAAAAGAACCCGCTCAATCGCCAAAGCTCACTCCAAGAAGCCCTTTGCCCCTCTCGACACATAGACCCACCCGTCCAGCGACGTATCCCACTCCGCCTTTTGAGTGTTAGCCTACGAATCGCCACTCCAAAAGTCATGTTTGTTCAGACAACGACGAGTGGGTCGGGAGGTCGGAGGTGTGGGCAGGTGCAAGGGACGGTGTTCGTAATCTAATACCCCCCGCGCAGGGCAAGTACCAGATGCAGCGTCGCGCCGCCTTCGAGGTTGTATTCGGCGGCGGTTTTGTCGTCGGCCCTGCAAACATTCATCAGCGCGCTGTTCCAGGTCCAAGGCCTGAGGTGGGCAGAGGTGGCGGGATACTCACATCTGCTTCCCGCCGAAAATCAACCGCTGTTGTGCGGGTGGGATGCCCTCTTTCTCTTCGACGCGCTCCTTTATGCGGGAGACCTGAGCCTGTGTTAGATCGAGATTTTCTAGGGATGAAGAGGATGAGGGAGGGCAGGGGACATGCCTTGTAGTCCGGCTCGATGTCCAGCTCGATCTCTTTTCCTGTTAGGGTGCGGACCCTGTTGGCTGATTAGCACAAACTCTCTTATAGCTTTCGTGATGCCCAAGCTAGAAAGGAGGGAGCTGGAGGCGACGTACTTGATTTGCATCTTGCTGGTGGTTGAGAGAGAGGTAAAGTGGGTGTTGGGTGCTGAGAGCGGGGGGTTCTAGACCCTGAAGTTGCGGAGGTGTGGATGCGTTGGTTGGTGTTGTTGGTGTGTTGATGTTGTTTGAAGAATAGCTCGCGAGTGGGTGTACAGCTGTTTGTAGTGCGAGGCAGCCGTTTGTTGTGAGGTGGAAGCTGGAGTCAATCTCAGGCTGCAGCGAGATTCCGCGGGATGGTGGGGCAAGGCGGAAGGAAGTCGTGACCGGTGGCTGCAGTGGCTGGAGGTGTGGTCTGAGCTTTAAAGGTGTGGCTGTGCGGGAGGGTGAGGTAGCGAAAGATGCTGATTAGATTTACTAGGTCTGAGAAGATGTGACTTACAAGCGAGACGAGGCAGTCTTCAAGACGCTTCACTGATTGTTCATGCATCGATAGCAACTTGGACGGGAAACCAATAATCCATTCTGCCACCAACAAACTCAGAAGCACTATCGACGCTCTCGTAGCCCAAACTTGCATGTGCCTATTCGAATTGAATCTACTAATACCCGAGGAATAAAAAGCCAGGCTCTATATGAATCACGATTCAAGAGGATTATCCCAACGTCTTTCTCGGAAGTCTGATATCCACCTCAAAACTCACATGATCTGACGCCTACCTAAATCTCAGCCTCTCGCCAAAGAGATGCAACAAAACAAGAGATCAAAGAGCGGAAGCCCTTGAGTAAATTCCAGACACAGAACTTTCAAAAGCTGCCAAAGTCACACAAGCAGGCAATATATCTCAAGACCACCACATTCGCGCCCGCCTCTCAACGCTCCTCGCACGGAACTCCCAGCCAATTTCAGAGAAAGCCGTGATAAGCTGTTTCACGCCGCCTCAAGCAGTCATCCAAATCCCTCCTCCCACGCGACATGCATCCATTTCCGTAGACTCATCGGGCCCTTCCTGATCCAGCACATCCAAATCCAAAGCTTGGCCGGGCCAGGCTGTGATGAGGCTTTGATGAGGCTGTTTCACGCTTCCCTAAGCGCGGGAGTGGGGAAACGTGGCTTGCAAGCAGCCGTTTGACACCCGTCCGCTTCGAGGTGGGGAGGGCCGAAATTGGATGCTGCGGAAATGGCACGTGCGCTCTCTGAACACGAAATGAGCGTTGGAGGCGTGGCGGGGCTGGGATGAGATGACACGATGAGCTGCTGGGGGGATGAGTGATGGGGGGATGGAGGGCCGCGGAGCCCGGGGAGATTGGACCCAGGATCGGTGGCGCTCGGGATCTGTGTGATCGGCGCAGGGGCCGCGGGTTGGTCGGAGATTTTGGAGGGGTGAGCGTGACGTTGAGAGCGAGATGAGCGCGAGACGAGGATGGAGGGAAGAGGTGGTATGTGGGTAGGCGAGGGGAGTTGATGAGGGTGGTAGGCCGATGGTTGGAGAAGGGGAGGGGTGGGTGTGAGGGAATTGGATTTCTGCATCTGGAGCGTGCGATTTGGTGGGGATCGGTAGAGCGTGATGGTGGCTGAATATCAACGGGGGTGAAGGCGCTGGTATCATGCAATAACCTCATGATATCCGGCTGACCCCCGGCCGTCCAGATGCATTTTGTTGGGCGCGTGAGGATACAGATCAAGAAAATTCTTGTTTTCTAGCTCTGGAAGTGTGAAACAGTTTCGTCTGAAATGGGTGACTGCACCGAGCCACTCGTCCAAACGCACTTATAGTGTAGGGACAGATAATGGCCAAAGGTTGAGGCTTTGATGCAGAAGAAAGTTGTCAATCCATCTTCTGTTGCGTGATATACGGACTTAGGCCAGGCTTATTTCCATGCCTAGACGTCTTGAACAGCGTGTCTGAAATTGGTGACTGGGTTGAAATCTCGGCCTACCTGATGCAGGTGCTGCTTGTTACCGGATACGGAGTCGGGATGAGCTTTTTGATGTGCTGAAAACTCGAGTAGAGATTCAAGATGAGGGGCGTAGATGACAAATGCTGCAGTAATGAGGGCGCGAGTCAGTGTGCTTGCAAGGCTGAGATGATCGCAAGGGGATTGGGATTGGCATGTGATTGAAGATTCAACGACATGACAAGACTGATACTTGGTGAGCGGGAATACAATAATCAAAATGAGTTCGGAGATGAAAAGTCATGGGATGAAGGAAAGGTGATTGCCGTGAAGTCTCCAAGATGAAGTCACCAATTGCAAATGATTCAACAGAGCTACCGCCAAAATGCCACAGCTCCGTCTCTCTCGCCGGATGCTGGGCCTATTCGATTCTGGTGAAATGATTTAGGGCCTGGGAGTCAGATCGCCTGTCCCCCGAGTCCATGCCAATACATTCCATGCATGCATCTAATCCTCATCTTTCTGTTATATGTACAAGCCAAACTGTGCCAACCCAATCCAGTGCCATCCGCAGCCTAAAAGCCGGGTATATGTGCAACTACGCGTAGTCGCTGGTGCAAAAGGTGGCTATTTTGATTTCTTCCACTCAAGGAAACCAGTCTGAAAGAAGACGCTAGCAATAAGACTAAGAATAAGAATATAGATAAGAATGGTAAAAAGTTGACAGGTCGAACGGTCGAAAGCGCGAACATGCTACCCGAAAATGACCTGCTGGTCCGCCATGGAAGAGTAGACGGTGAGATATACCAGATATCAGACGCCGCAATGTGCCTTGATGGAACTCCAAAGTTTAATCCACTGTAAACCGGCCTTGGTGAATGGTGATGATAGGTATCATGAAACAAAGGAAACCGAATAGTCCAATGTTGCTTGAAAATAATCACAACTGAAGTGAATCCAGCCCAGCTCATGCTATCACCCATCAAATGAGGCAATGATAAAGAAAAGTCCCTCCAACTCCAATCCCGTCTATTCCCATGGGCACCTACTCATACATCCTGCACGTCGTCTCCCAGGTCTCTATGGTCATGAATTTCCGGTCCTCACAATTCTTCTAGGCGGGAATCTGAACAAGGCGGTGAGCAGGTCCCTCGGGGGTTGCCGGTGGTATATATTGCAGTCAACGGAAGCATGGCCAGGGTTCCAGAAGGGGTAATCCATGCAGCTGGCTCCGCACAAAATGGAAAGGGCTGACAAAACGAAACACAGGATCCCACCAGCTCATGCGGAGCTCAATAAGTTCCACGAATTGAGGCTGCAGATGCACCATAGACGACCGTTGTAGCGGTACGCGTGAGGGTGCAGGTGCGACCGTTGGTTATTTTCATGACAAGTCAGGTTTGGACTAGATATCCTAGGAAAAGGCGCCTTATCGACAAAACATAGAGCAGACGTTGAACGAATCGAGAACGAAGATAGACGGCCTGAATGGACAGATTTGCTCGGGCAAAGCTTGGGAGACGTCAGTGGTAGCACGTGGAGTCCGAATTGAGCAGCTGGGAGCCCATGAAGCAATAGTTGACGACGCCGCAATATGATGCCCAGCACTTCTTTTCGCGGTTCCTGCATGTAGATTGCCACCCGCATCACCCACGCAGGATTCCTCCACGGGGGTCGGCAATAAATGCACCCTTCAGAACGGGCCAGGAACCGATTGTGCCGTCCAAAACCTCGAACGCCTCTTCCAAATTCTTCCTCCTCTCGCTCGGCAGACGCCACGTCTTTGTCATGACAACCATATGCAGGAACCCCCAAGCCCTCGCTGCCGCACCGAACAAAGGTCGCGAATGGCGCAGCTCGGCGTCGTGGTGCGCGGTGTCGCGGTGATATCAGGTGCAGCAGGTGGAGACGGCCCGTCATCTCGCTTCTCCTAGTCCGGGCCCGTGCCATTGCGCGCTTGCCGGATCGTGCTCTCGACGCTTCGAAATCACGGGAGCCGGCGTGCCTGGTGGCTAATTTAAGCTCGCGGGCCCGTTGGCGCTGGAACGGTCTCGCATGGCGTTGATGGCGTGCCTGTCATCGCTATCCACACCCACTTTCGGTCTCGCGGAGAGGGCCCCGAGCTCGCTTCACACTGCTGCCGCCCTGGAAGTCGGCCCGGATAGCGTATTCTTGCCCGTGGAGAGGTCGGCGATGGGCGAGGCTGATCGGCGAGGCTGTGGCTGTTGATGCTGTGCCGTGAGCATCCTGTCTGCTGCTCTCCCGACGACATGCCGTGCCTCTTCGCGCCCCTGGCTGGATTCTGCACCCCCGTCGGGCGGTGCGGGCCTCCGATCGCTGCGCCTGCTCGTAGTTGGCATATCTGGGGTGGCCCTGGGCTGAAATTGAGCATTTTGTGGGTATTTGAATTGGCTGACCATACGAATGCTGAGATGCACTACTGCGCACCCGCTTCCCGTTTCGGCGACCCGGGCGCCGACCTTCGTTCCGGCCCTACCGAATGCTGATGCTGAGATTGCCGCGTTTCACCTTGACTTGTCCCTTGCATGCCACTGCTGCCCTCATTTCGATGCTGCTCGTGGGCTTGATACTGGTGCTGCAGCGGGTGGCCTTGCTGCTGTTGTTGTTGACTTTCTGGCCCACGCGATGGCTGCGGCTGGCGCTGTTCTGGTCCGCCGTGCTCCACTGGTGGCGCAATGCCCTCTGGAAGAGCTTGACTCGATATCGTTGCCCGACGGCTTAGTGGCCCTCCAGCATCGTACCCGCGTGTTGAGGCATCGCTACGAGCTCGTCCGTGCCCGCGTCGGGCTGGCGTGGATGCGGAAGACGAGATCTGCGAAAAGGATGGCGATGTGTACTGGGGCGTCGAGGAGGGGGGCGGGGCCTGCTGGTGGCCGCCCACCGCTTTCCGTTTCTTCGGCGAGCTGGTGTAATCTGCGTCAGAGGCATGAGAGGCTGCATGTTGATGGTGCGAAAATGAGGCGTGGTGTTTACCTGAAGGCGTGGCAGGAGCCTCTCTTCGCTCAGTGCCCCCGCTTTGGGACGTTGGTGGCACCCAGTGGTGGAAGTAGATGGAGGGCGAAGACGTCTCCTGTGAGGGCTGCGACTGCTGTTGTAGTGCGTGCACGCCCAGCGGCGCTGAAGGAGGCTGCTGGATTTGCATCTCGTTGGTGGTGAGCCTGGGAAGCTGTGACTGTGCTGGCGGTCGTGGAGCTGACGTCGGCGCACCAACATGGCCTGATGTCTGCGCTGCCCGCGCTCTGCTGTTCGGAGACAAGCTTCCGCTGGCGTACGCCGAAGTCGAGAAGGCGCCGTGCTGTGGTTGTGCAGCCAGCGGCTGTCCAGGTAGCACCGACGTTGCGGAGAGAACTGGCTGTGAGCCCTGTGGCGCGACGCCGTACACACCCGGTTGAGTTTGGCCGATTAACCTCGTCTCTCGCCGCAGTTCTGGTGAGACCTGTGCCTGGGCGAGGGCCTGCTGCTGCTGCTGTTGCTGTGCCGCCTGGAGCTGGGCCACGTACTGCTGCAGCCAGTCGAGGCTCATGTTGGCGAGGTTGCTGCCACTGATGCCCGCAAAGATCATGGGCACGAGATTCGGTGGGATCCCCCGTGCGAGCGACTCCTGCAACATGGACTGCTCAATCTTGCGCTGCTCCAGCCGCAGCCCCTCCTGCCGCGTCTTCTCCTCCTCTTGCTTCCGCTTGTCCTCCTCGGCTTTGGCCACGAGCCAGTTCCGCATCGACTCCTCGGCTCCTTGCCACTGCGAGGGCGGGGCGGGCATGGAACCCATGGACGGAGGCAATGGCGGTGGTCCTCGGCCTGGATCTTGCATCGTCATTGCCGCGGGAGGCGGGAGGCCTCGATGAGGCGTGCCCATGGTGGAGGGAGCACTGGCCGGCAGTGATCTGAAAAGGCCACCGGGCAGCTTGGGGGAGAATCGCGGTGCGGAAGATGTGAAGGGCGGAGAGTAATCATGGGGAGTTTTAAATTCGAATTCCGACTTGGGAGGCTTGGAGAGAGTGAGCAACATGAAGACGAAGGGAAGTGGTGGAGCACGCGGTCGACATTGACGAAAAAAATGACTGGCGGAGGTTCAACAGACGTCCTAGACGAGATGGAACGACATACTTAAGAGAAGCCTCGCGAGCAACGTTCACCCACGGCCCAGAGCTGCAAACCGTTGCCCCCAAGGCGGGACTAACGCTGGGTTCTGGCAGGCACGGGAGACAGGTGCTGTGATTCGCGGGCCCGGACGAGGCTAGACAGCGGCGGAAAAGTCGTTACAGGCCGCCGCTGCACCGACGATCCTGCCCAGGTGTCGCGTGGTTGGTGTGGACGATCGGGGCGGGCTGGAGGGGTGAGACAGGGCGACGAGCGCCGGAGCAGGTGGTGACGAGGGCACAGAGGTGAATGGGGGGTGGGAGGCCGTGGTTGGGCGGGGTGGTGAGGGAGGACGGTATAGAAAGCCCCAGCGGAGACCAACCCCAAGCGGCCGCACTCACTTCACGCGCATTGCCCACCACAGCGGACGGCGGCCGCAAAAGCTGTGCGGGCGGCAGCGAGTGACCCTGGAGAGCTCTGCGGCGTGCAGAGGGCGTCAGCAGGGCGCCGTAGAGGGTCTGACGTTGGGTTTGTCGCCGCTTCGGGCCATCTTTCCCACTGCTGGGCTGTGGCGCGGCGGACCTAGTTTTGACGTGCGTCCAAGTTGTGCGCGCGGCTGCCGGCCAAGCGGCGGAAGAAGCCTGAAGCGGCGGGCTGGCGTACATAACAGTCGCCTGATGTGTCTACATGTAACATATGAAGGAGCACCGGGGCCGACGTCGATTCAACGACGCTGCCCATCGTTACCTGATGCGGGCTCGCGTAGCCTCACCAACCACTCCTCCACGTCCTCTGCGCCGAGTGCCTCCAGCGCACATACAGTGCAGGACACCTCCAGACCCGCTCGTTACTCCCCGATATTGTGCCAGCACGCTATCTCGACGGCCATGGGGGGCCCCCGGCATGTGGTCCGGCCAGATCCCAGCGCGCCAGCCAGCCAGTGCTCAGCCGTTGGCAACGTCGGCCGCACTGCTGCAGCGCGCGGGCCGTGTGGCTGACAGCTCGTGGAATTAAAGGTGCTCGACATGGGGTCGACGACGCTCGCGGGCAGCGGGCCAGGGCGCTCACCCAGCCCACAGGGTCAACGTTCGGGAGGAAGCGAGTGCAATCTCAGGGCGCCAGAACAGGGCACAGCACGGATCAGGGCCCCCGTTGCGGCCGCGGCACGATGGACCAGGAGATTGAAGGGCAGCGGCACGCTGAAGGTCAGACAGTGGTCGAAAGCCCCCCGCGGTCGGCGAGTGAGCGTCGGCGAGTGTATCAAGGCGAAACGGCAGGGCGGTGCCTGCTGGCTGGCCTTCAGGACAGCGGCCGAGATTCGAGTGACTGGATGCGGATTCAGCAGCGCGTCCGCGGTCGTGATGCTTGATATGCTGCCAGATGCGGAACCACGAGGGGGCACGTCGCGGCCTCTGCGTCTCCAACGGCGGGCCTCCCTCGCGACAGGCTTCAGACAGACGCTGCCTGGAAGCTGCAGGCGACACGGGCGGCCGTGTCAACCTGTCAGCCTCTCTCACAACCCTCCCGTGGATCGCCCGTCAGGTCGAACCGCATGGCGAATCGATAAGAGCAGTGATCGCCCGCGCCATATCACTTCGCTGCCAGACGTTACATGGCCCCGAGGACGGCCTGAACCATCGCTGCAACACTTGACGGAGGCCTCCGCGTGCTGCGGGCCGGCTGGCTCAGTGCCGTGGAGCCGTGAGAGCCGTGAGCGCGAAGCTGCTGGCACCCTCAGCAAGGCTTCCAACTCGGTTGCGCAATCACCGAGCGCCTGGCTCCGCTTTGGGATCGACCGAGCATTTTAAATTTCCGTGCAGCCAGGAAAAGGCAGAAGAGATGAAGTCAGATCTACTTGAAACGCGTGGCGCCCCAGATCCATCAAGGCATCGTGAAGGTCGCTTGGCTGGAGCCGTCTAGACGCCGCCCAATCCGAGATGGCTTCGTCTAAATGCCATTTCCGCTTCGGTGATGGAGAGCAATCGGGCAAAGCCTGCGCGGAAGCTCTGCTGGCGGCGGGGCGGGCCCGTGTAGGACTGCCTGTCAAGGTTGCTGTGGCAGAGGTCAGCCACCTGCAAAGCGCGGAGCTGCTCCATGGTTCGCCAACGGACGGGCCCTCATACGCAAGCTGTGGCTGGGCCGCCTCTGTGACGGGATTGTGACATGTGAAGATGTTCCCTGGCTGCGAACCATCCATGCCCCGGCGGACGTGGTCCATCCAGGAAAGTCGATACTGTTCCCAATCCGATGCCCTGCCCCGACTTGCTCTCCGCTGTCACCAGCGATGACGACCAGGGCGCGAGAATCTTGGAATTCTTCGAGAAGCTGGGATGCGTCTGCCGCCCATTTGCTTTTGATTGCAGCCACCAACACAACGGTTGCGAGGTGCATCGACGCCGAGGCATGCCAGTCTGCTGACGGCGCATGGGAGGTCCAAAATGAAGGAGGAGCGGGCCGACGACGTGGCTTGCGTGATTCGCGGCGGCGAGCCTGAAAGGACCGCATCGTGATGAGAGCATCACGACGCCGCTGCTGCCAAGGCCGATTGCAGCAGTTGCTTCATCTCTCTTCGGCTGCTCTAATTACGCCGGAATTTGGCCTACGGCAGTCAGCGCAGACGCATGTTTATCAGGACGGCAGGGACGGGTCTGTCGCGAACTGCAGGTGTGCAGGCAAAGCATTTCCTCCACGGACATTGCGTCGGGACGGGTGATAACACGAGGCGAGGTACGTACATACTTGCAGCATTGGCGACCGCATGGAGGTCTGCATCAGCTCACGGTTCTGTGGAGGCGGGGCTGGGTGAGGAGCCGAACTGCATCTGGTCCTTCCCTTCTCAGCTACCGGAGAGCAACAACACTCACGCCTCACATAATCGAAAACAACCGAGACGTGGACCTTTTGCTGCTGTTCCCTCAGCCTGCCCGGCCTACCAGCTGCCACGGCTGCCTCTCCGTCACCACTGGCGCTGGCATGGCCCAATTCGCAATTCGTTGTGGTGGTGCACCCGGGGCATTCGGCAGCCCTCGACTCTCGACTGCGCGCTCTCCAGCCATCACCAAGGCATGTCGGCTCCGCTGGCCGCTGCGTCTCGTCCTTCCCCCACCGCCCACCACCGCCCCGCGCGACGCCGCAATTCCCACGTGCCATTCCGGATGCGTCGGCCGCCACGCCGATCGCCTCGCCTGACCATGCCAGCCCTGTTGCCGATCGCACATGGTGCCGGCAAGTGCCCCCCGCCGTTCCAGAATTCGCCGCCCGATCGTCGCCGCGCCTCCTCGAGCTGCCTCTGCATTCTCGGTGAGCGCGAGCGCTGGCCGTGTCCAAGGGAACTGCAGCCTCCGCTCTGTGCCAGGTGACCGGCCAGAATGCTTCGTCTCTCTATAAATTAGACGAGATCGGCACTTGCGTGTCCCAATCGACATCCGCCCCGCTTCCTCTGCCGTTAGCTCAGCCGAGCGCGCAGTATCCGGGCCAGCTGCTACGCGGGGGCCTGCGCACCGGGTCCGCAGTCGACCCAGCAGACAGCGCGGGCAGCGCCTCGCCGCGTGCCTTATCCGTGGTTGCGGTTTGTCCGTCTGAGACACCGACCACATCGCCCCGATTGCTGGAACAGATCGTATCGTATCGTATCGTATCGTATTCTCATGAGGCTGACATAGCATTCACCCTCCTAGTTCAGGACGCCTGTATCTATATACGTCGTATGCTGTTACTGCTGTGCTGCCGATAGTATACCAGCACGCCAGCTCACCGGTTACCCAACGGCGTCATTCCATGATCGACACCCCCATTTCCATATTCTCCACAGATCACCATCACCACCACGCGAGCGCTTGCAGCCGACGATGGACCAAATCCTCGCCTTCCTTTACTCCACGTTCTATCCACTTCTGCGAAAAGAGCGCACATGGCCTGCCCGATCGATGTCCGCTCGATGTCCAATTCCATCTAAGATTCTCGATAAATGTTGGTGTCCAAAGAGGGAAACCGTTTTGCAGATGCAGATCTACGTACTCTAAGTGCAGAAAGGCCACCAATCAAGTCAATTTCAACTTCTCCGCCCCCGTCCAACTGACTACCCGCAATCTGCGATCTCGATCACCTACTACCTAAAAAGCCTCGACTTCGCCACGCGGCCCTGCAGCCCGATGCATCGGTTGCTGGGTTGCTCGAAATAGGAGATCTATCTGGGCCATCCCGACCACACCAGCTGAATCCTTTGCCACGCGGCGTTGCAGTCCCGAAATACCCAGCACACCAGCCCAACTTGAAGTTCATACAAAAGCAACCGAGTAGGGCAGGGCACAACTTCTATGCTTACATCACCCCATCCATTACAGAATAGCATATCCATACATAAATTACACGCACTAATTACGTCGCTAGCGCAAACGCCACTTCACCACATCACGTGACGCTTTCACTCCGACTCACTCCTCTTCAGCTCTCCAATTCCAAATACTCTCTCTCAGCTCAGCTCGATCGCGATCACAAGCCGCCGAACGCTCTTCCACCTCCCCTCAGAGCCACTTACCCACCATTTCAGCAGCAAGTCGGACTCCCCAGTCCGGGTATGCAAGCCATGAGTCGACCGGTCGGGATGCCACTTGCCGATGCCACTCTACCGCTCTTCTTCCTACTCCGGAGTACTTACGGAGCAGCGTCTTTACGCGTCTTGCATGCGGCGGAGTACGTGTCTCAGGTCCACCGTACGAGCAGTGCAGTAGTCCTCCTCGAAGTATAGGACCCGAATTGCATTTGGTGGTTTGCGTCACCTCACGGTTGTGGGCCAATCAACTATGACTGGACTTCGCCAATGTACAGGCCCCCTTCATGCACACTCATGGTTGCGCATCTCGCGGTTGCGGGCCAGTCAGACTTCCACCACCAATCTCTGGTTCCCGTTGGTTTATAATTGGGCAAGCCGACAATGGAGATGAAACCCTGGGATTGCACGAAGACCCTTGTTTCTCTACCTTGACTACATTGCCAAGTGAATAGAGGAGGGAGGTAAGCTAAGGTAAGGTAAAAGCCACGCCGGGAGTACATGTATATGTACAGTACTTGGTACCATCGATAGACTCGCGCACGGACCACTGAATTTTCGTGAAATACTCCACAGCAAAATAGCATACACACCGCATCAGTACCAAAGAAGCGCTCTACTTAACCACAAGTAGAATATACCGCATCAACATTTCAGCCGACCACAGATGAACAGACTACACACAAGATACCTCCACCACGTGACATTTGCGAAAGATTACAATTACAATTAACAGCTACCGACCGACCACATCTAACCTGCCATAGCGTCTGTTTCGGTTAATTACGACTCCCATCATCCAGCACCCTCGCTTCATCAACCTCATTCAACAAAAAAAAAAAGGGGGGGGATATCCATCGCGTATACATGAGAAAAAAAGGTATGTTGGTATTTCGAGACAAGAAACCCACAAACGAAACGCCCAACCCGAACCCAAGGGGTATGAGATGATATCATAAGCCTCTCCACCTCAAAACCCCAAACCGTCGCGAAGCCGAAAAAAAAAAGAAAATAAAAGAAGGCAAGGGGCCCGATTGGTCCATCGCGCCCCCTCGCTCGCTCGCTAACCCCTCCCCGGATGTCGATTGCGATTGCGATTCGATGCGGCGGCACAGGCAATAAAACCGTTACCCCGATCCCAACCGCTCCGATCGGCAAACACACGTGCCGCGCCCGGCTTTCCAGAAGGTGGTTAGAAGCCCGAGCCTCTCGCTTCCACACCCATCATCCCTCGCTCGCTTCGATGCATCGATAGAAATCTGCAAGCCACCGATGCAGATAACCAGCCAAAACCTGCAGCCACATAATCGAAACAGGCCTGCAAGATGCAGCCACAAGCACCCTGTCCCAGCTGAACGATCCTCCCCACCCCGGCACGCGAGCGAATAACCCCCCTCCTTCCCCTCTGCGCTCTATTTGAGCATTTGCGAGCGAGCTTCCCGAACCGTTCGGACCAGCAGCAGTAGCAGCACGCGCTCGCTCGCTGCGCTCAGGCCGCGGCGCCCGCCGTCGTCGTGGCCCTCTTCTTCCGCATCTTCCACTCCGCCTTGGCGACGCGCATGAGCAGATCCTCGTCTTTCACCGGGATCCAGCTCGTGAGCACCTTCATGCCGTTCTCAAAGTCCGAGTCGAGCAGCACCTCACGCATTGCGTCAATCAGCGCCGCGCTGGTCGCGTGCAGGACGTCCAAGTCGCCGCTGAAGCTCGCCATGTGCTTCGGCGGGGGGGATGGAGTAGTAGTGGGATGGGTTGAGATGGGTGGGGGAGCGAGCGACTTGTGGCTGGCGTCGCCGAGCAGCATGAAGACGTCCCAGACGCGGAGTTGGGCGGGGAACGGGATGCTGTAGCTGAAGAGGGTCAGGTACCAGCGCGTGCCGTAGGCGGTCGAGGTGATGCCGAGTTCCTCCTGCGATAGGGCGGGGCGTTAGCGATGACCGCAGAATTGTAGAGGGGTGTAGGCCACTCATTCGTGGGTGACGCGTTGCTTTCGAGAGAGAGCAGAGGTGCTTCAGCCACAGCGTTACAGGCGCGGACGAGTGGCTATGGGAGCAGGTTTGCGGATGCAGGGGGCCGAGGGGATTGGCAGGGAAGAGACGGATGGGGGGTAGAGAGGCGCGAGGCTTACGAGTTTCTTGGCGACGTCGCCGCCGTTGAGCCAGTTCTTTTCGAAGTCGTCGAGGGCTTCCATGAGGCCGTCGAAGCCGGACTCGTAGAGGCGCTCTAGACCGCGGAGCTGCCATAGACGTACTAGCATCACGAAGGCCTTTTCTTCGTCGTAATAGCAGAGTAGGGTGGCGGTCAGGGCAGCCATGCCTTGGACGTAGCCGGTGTCTGGGAGGTACAGTGACATGGCGTGGAGGACTCGGAAAAGGAGTCGTTGTCTGGGGCATATTAGCATGAATAAGGAGATAGAATGTGTGGTATTGAACCCACCCTCCTCGATATCGTCTCCTGAACATGACATGGCCACCAATAGTCCTAGGAACATCGACGTCAATCTGCATGTCGTCCGCCGAACTCTCCTCTTGCAGTTCATAGAAGCTCTCAATCAAGTCTTGATCCGTCGGGCTGTTCTTGTCGTTCTTCGCGCTCGCTGCTAGGAATCCATACCAGGCCGTTGACCGCCACCTGTCCGGAATGCCTTTCCAAGTTCGTGATACTAACTTTGGGTCCTTCGTGTCGAATTCGAAAATCATGCCTCCGCTCTTTGCGCCCTTGGTGACCACCTTGGCCATTTTCCTCCATTTTTCTTCCCGCTCGATCTCCTTTTTCTTCATCGCCAGCGCTGCCCTACCACCCTCTTCTTGCTCCGCGATGTCGGCGAGCCCAGGGGGTAGAGTGAGCATATCGGCGGCTTCGTCCATCCATCTCCGATCCCTATTATGCGGTAGCCTATTCGCTGCGTATCTGATTGGGTTCTGCGTACTGCTAAATGATGTAGTAGTCTTGTTAGAATATATCGAGCCAGTAGGGGGTTTCAAAGATCGGGGTGCTTTTCGTCTGCTTGATGGGTTCGCAGACCTGGATGAACGCGCATTCGATGGAGACCTCCTTATTGTCCGTCTCCTCCTTGGCTCCTCGGACACAATTTGTAGTGCCGTTGAAACCCTCTGAAGGCGTGGAGCCTCCTCCCCCGAACCATTCGACCCTCTCGAGCCAACCTTTTTCGGTAGTATGAATCCATACCGATCGACTTCGCCCCCGCCAATATCTTCCCAGTCCTCTATGCCCCCTGCAGCTTCCGTGGGTTCCTTGATGATCATGCTCTCCCTCCTACTCGGCGCAAAGCTTGGCGTTCGGAGTGAATGCTGTGATCCGGTCCCAATCTGAGATGTCTTATCCACGGTCAAGGTTGATCCATTTAAAGGTGTCTCGGACACACTCTCATCATCAATTGCGGGGTTATCCCGCCACGAAACAGGCGGCGGCTCCTCCCACTCCGGTGCATTCTCATTCCCATGCTCATACATCGACCGCACCCGCCTCGAAAGCGTCATCTCATCCGTAGACAACACCCTCGTACTCTGCGCCGCAGTCCTCAACGTGGGCCCTCTTGTAAGTCTCGGCGGCGATCTCGGCATCTGTCGCGGTGGGGAAAGTGGTGTTTGCAGTTGCTGCTGTCGCGGCGGTGTCTGCGGTCGTGGAGTCTCTTGCGGCGGCGAACTCTCCAGCGGCGGCGAATTCTCCGCGTCCCTATTTTTCGCTGACCCCAGCTGTTTATTCATTTTATTTGCCCGCTTCCCGCCCAGCAGCATGCTCCCCCTCTTCGAAAACTCAAGTTGTGACGGACTCGCGAAGTCCTCGAACCCGCCAGAGGGTATGTCCGTCTCAATGCCCTTGAATGCGCCTTCCCTGCCCATTTCGCCTCCAATTGCCCTATTACTTCGCCCGTCCACGCTATTAAACCCCCTCGACCCGTCCTGTATTACAATAGTGGGTAGGCTTGGTACCCGTGGTAATCGCCCACCCACACCGTCGAAACTCGCCCTACTCTCCGCCACATCGTGGTCGCCGGCGGTCGAATTGCTGCTGCTGGGCTGCAGGGCCGAGTCGCGCCGCACATCGTCGTCCGCTAGCAGTGAGCGCTTGAAGGCAGGAGCGCGCGGGCCGGGCGAGGTCCGCGGCCGCCGGACACTGCTGAGCCATGATCGAGAGGTCGAGCTCTTGGAGCTCAGGGTTTCGGGCGAGCAAGAGGCGGGCAGCGGCGGGAGAGGAGGAGGCGAGGAGGACACCGGAGAGGAGCTGCTGGCGCCTTTGGAAGGCATTGGGAGGCCGTCGGCGGCGCGAGGTGAGGACGCGGGCGTGTCGCCGGCGGTATCGCGACTCATGGCGGTGGCCGGGGAGAGCCAGCGGGGTATCGCGACTCGGTGTCCAGCTTGGTGGCTTGGTATACGAAGGGAGGTGGGTGAATGGGAGCGCGGCGTGTTGTAGTTCTCGAAGTTTGGTCGTCAGGGTCGTGGTGTTGTCCGAGCGTAGGTACAAAGGTAGGGCGGTGCGGAGGTGTCGCAATCGCGGTCGCACCGGGCTGACGGCGGGGGACTGCGCTCACAGAACCGCGAGTTTTCTGGCCATTGCAAGACAGTCAGAGAATTCCTCCAGCGATGTCAATTGGGAGAAGGAGCCGCAGTGTTTGTCGCAGTTGGGCGGGAAAGGGGCGTCGCCTTCTCGAAGCTGCGCATGCTGCAGGTGAAGGGGCGCCAGCCAACCACGGGCCGCGACTCTGGAGCCCGCGGCGGCGATCCTGATTAGCCACCTCGAGTCTGGAAGCCGCGGCCGTTGCACGAAGCCCGATGCGGCCTGGCAGCAGCTGCCCGTTGTGGCTCGGCATTCACTGGGCAGGAGCATTCCTGGGCATGTCATCCATGTCGTATAATCATCTCCCCCGCAATATACCGCCCGCTGTCCCTCTCCACCCATTCACCCTCAGCTCCCCTCAGCTCCCCTCAGCTCCTCGCCGCGAGAACTGCGGTATTGCAGCCGCTGCTTCTTCAAACACTGTCCCCCTTTCCTTGCATCCGTAGCAGTCCTCTCCGAGCTACAACCACCACCATCGCCCCCAAAGAAGAAGGTCTCCTAACCCGGTGCTCCTCCCGCAGCACTCGCGTCAGCTCAATCGCCTCTTCAACCCTAAAGCAGCACTAGATCCGTCTGCCCAGACCGCACCGCGGCCCAGCCACCGCATGTTCGTGTCCCAATGGCTGCCAGCAAGGCCGTCTTGAAACCTCTCACGTGCCCGGTAGCACGACCACGTAATCGTGTCCGGATCAACTCCAGATCCCATACGCATAGCACCCCGACTATCATATGCACGCGATCCTGTCTCCCAGCTAGAGCCATGCTCTGTCCGACGCCCTGTGCTACTCTGGGGTTGGTAGTTCGTCACTCGTAACTCCATCCGAAGACCCCAAGCCCAAATATAGCTGTTAGAACGGCTACAGCATACTGACCGATTCCCGTGCCCCCTTGGACATCTTTTCTGAGTGCGATCCATAGCGCTGCAGCCACTAGGCTCGCAAGGATAGTTAGACTCACGAAGATCGCGATTGCGAATTTGTTCGGCCCATCGTGGATGTGTACACCCCAGCCTATTGGGCTGAATGCTGAGCCAAGTGCTCCTAGAATGCCGTCATGCAATTTCTTCGGCATGCGATCCTGGAGCCGCTGTCCCTCATAGTACTCAGGGTGTCGTAGGGCATGCAAGAAGACGGAAGAAGGAAGCGGTGGGTTGAGCGGGCAAGGATCGTAGTGGTAGCGCTGTGCTCGTACCTCCAATTCTGGGGGTATCTCCTGCGCGAGGTGGCCGGCGTTGTAGCCGCGATGATGGCGGAAGAGCTCGAACTGTGCTAGGGATTAGTTGGCGTACAGCATGCGGAGTTTTGGTGGAATGCCTTGGTGTAGGATATCGAGTACGGGGCCTTGAGCGTGCGCTTGAGCCAGTTACCACGGAGTCTATCGTACGCCATCTTCGTATTTTGGAAGAAGATGTGGTCTTGACGTGCATGCGTGACGTCGACTTCCGCGAAGTCATTGTGATGCGGAGCTACCTGCAATGAGAGGAAGAGAAATCTTCCAATTTGGCCTCGGGCGGCGCTTTGAACTTGGGTAACTGCGGCTAGTTGAGGTGCAGAGCTAGAGGACTGGCGGGGCTGTACGTTCGATTGACGAGAATTGTTGGTACTGATATTAATTGTCGGGTCTTTTGCAGGTGCTCGAACTTGATTTACTGATGGATATCTTTTGAGGCACCTGGTGAGCAGAAGGGTTCATGGAAAATAGCGGGTGCCGCTGGGGTTGGTCTTACACGCGGGCTCCTTGCCTGCCGGAAGCATACACGACGAGTTCTTGAACACCGTCGAGTTGCTCTTCAGAAAGCCCCTGGAAATCCTCGTATAGTCGTTCGCCACAGGCCTAATATTGTCAGAACGATACCGCGCTCAAGTTTAAAGGACATACGCAAGTCCATTCGATCCTTTGTGCGCCCTGCGCAACCCGAGGCCTGAAAGCCATCTCTATGCAGTCTCGAGTTTCTTTCTCGAATATCTGTTCCCCTATGAACATCATGGCTGCCGAGGTAATCCATTGCCAAACGCTTATCATGTCGAGGATCTCAAGTAGCGTTGAATAAAGCAGAAAGATCAGCAATGAAATGATGGACAGAACACAAACATCCTCTAATAACCTAATGCCAATAGCCCCTGGAACTTCGGAATTGCCTGCGTACCGGAAGGCGGGCAGATTTGCGAGCCTAGTTCTTACGGTGTCTAGCACATCCTGTTTTGTGTCTGCGTCCACTCGATCTGGAGGTAAAGCACCATATTCCTCTTCATGTCGTCTCTCGAAGTCGACCAGCTTCTGGTATACATTTACTTGCGCGTCGTACTGTGTAGATGTTAGTCATATAGCTCGCTGGGAAGAGACGTAGGTCTCAAAGGAGTAGCTTGACATGCCGACTGTGGTTCTGTCTTAGTGTAGGGGAATTGGGCCACCATGTTCACCAAGACGTCGTGCTGATATGCTCTGGTCGGATAGCTCCCCGCTCGTCGAAGCAGCCGGGAAAGTCCAGGTAAAGCAGTTGAGACTAGGCTGAAGGAAACTGATGTTTGAAAGAGGTCCCTGTTGGGAACGGCGAGTTACTTCGACTTTGTCAAATGAACGTGGCTGTATGAAGATCCTGAGGTGTGATTGTAGACGTAAAAATGACTCTATAAGACTCGAATAGGCTACATGTGTAACAAATTATAATGTGAGATCTAGAAATATAGATGTTCTAAGTAGAGATCTTTGGAAGAGCGGTTAACTCTGACAAGGCTGAGAATAGCGGCTCGGATCGGTCGAGATGTGATGTTAGGGCACCTGATCATCCCAGCCGCCGTGGCGTGCTCAGCATTTTGCATGAAAACATTAGTCTGCGAGTCGTAATGCGCCCAGCTCCTAAAAGGGATAAAGGATGAAGAATTTGTGAAGGCATTGCGAGAACTTCTCCGCATCCCGGCAGCATGTCTAGCCGAGCTTCAGGGCCCAGTCGATCTCCCGCCACCTCGCTCAAAGCGGCAAAGATCAGGGGCACCAGGTTCAGCAGCACCCCCAAGCTTCCGATAAACACGAGTCCTAGCCCTCCCGTCCTCGAGATATCTAGGCTCTGCGCCCCCACCGATACTTCAGCTCTTCGGCATGTTGCATATCTTTTTCCAGGCGTTTCTCCTTGTTTTACACACTCCCTAATACCCCTACGCGTTGTTCGCTTTGCGTTCGCTACCGTTCTTTGTTCTAAGACGTTCATTAGTATGGTTCCTTCCTCTGTGCTACGCGTGTTTGTCGCGGTCTTCTCCTGGAGTTTCGTAGTTGCTGCGAGCACGACGACGGGCACTGCGGCGAGCACATCCGTTTCTGCGACGGTCTATCCAGGAGCTGGGATCTATAAGTACGCCGGTTGTTACAACGAGACGACTGGATATACGGCCAATGGGGGTGCCAGGGCGTTGAGCGCTGGAGGTTGGACAATGGTGAGTTTTGTCGATGCTCTCAGTGGAGTATCGCTAATAATCTAACTTGGCTAACCATGTTCATCGATAGGAAGGTCAAGACGACATGACCCCCGATACGTGCCTCTCCTTCTGCAACGGAATGAACTACGCTGGCCTCGAATACGGACGCGAGTGCTGGTGTAGCTATGCCCTCTCGAACTTATCGAAGAAGTTAGATGAGAAGAAATGTGGTATGGCTTGTGCTGGAGATGGAACCAAATTCTGTGGCGGATATCTCTCGTAAGATGGGGCTTAGTTTGATCTGCATTAGTAAATACGGCTCGCTGACAAGAATTCCAGGATAACGCTGTACAATCTGACCACAGGGACCGAGTCCACCGACACAAAGACCGGTGGTGTCGGGCAGACGACGTCGAGCACTAGGCTAGCTACCACTCTCATAGGTATAGTGGGAGCAATAGTCCTTCTATTGTAGCTGTAAAGTCATGTTTTGTTTATATCTCAATCTACATACGCTGAACCCACTTTACTTGGTCTTTTCCATGCATCAATGGCCACGGTTTCCTGGCAGCTCCTCTGGCCTGTCCCCCGTAAATTCTGCCACTGGACCATCGACGTCATTAATATTCTAGTATCAAACTTTCCGGGAAGCCGTCAATGCCGGACAGAGACGTCCTCTTGCTTTCTAGGCAGTACGCGGAAGCTCTTCGAGCAGAATAAGCCATAATGTCTATTGCGCTCCATGACCTCACTCCATTGGTCCCGACAGCCTGCTGCAGACCCCTTGAAACCTCATCACGTCCCTTGAAGACCACCCTCTCTACAGCACGTTTATCGCAGTCCAGAGTCTTGGGGTTAAAATTGTCGTCGCAAATCTCCCGCAGCCTACCAAGGATCACGGATTGTAGACGGGGCATCTTGCACAACATCTCGAACACTGCTCATGAGAGCTTATAGTTGCCACGTAAATACAGAGATTCGAATATCTTCATAGCTATATTAATGTTAGTCATGTATTCGTGTGTTCGGAGGTGTGGGCTTCTAAGGTTGGCTTTAGTTTACCCCGTTAGCTCAGGATATCGAGTCTGTCCTGGATTTGAGGAGTTCAAGCTCGTGAAACGCCAGAGAAATCACCTGGTAGCCTATTTCACAAGCCGATAAAGAGCGGGTCACGGGAAAGCTCGTGCTCACACGTGTTCGTTCTAGTATGAATTCACCTTATAGATGATTCTCTTTCGCATATAAATATGCACTCCCGCCAGTCTCTTGTCTCCAGCAACACACACACGCAGATCTCGACCACGAAACCACCCCACCAGAAGCAGCAAGCTACTCGAACCACATCACATTCCCCATCTGGTGCTCTGGCTTGCGCATAAATACCTGGTACCTTCAAGGTTCTCTGACTCTCACCTACCTCCCTTGCCAACCACACCACACCACACCACCATCTTTCTCATTCCTGGGACATCGTCCACTACAGCGTCGCCCACAATGTCTCAATTCCAGACGACGAATCCCGCTGAAGAGATGAACGCTCTTGGTTTCGCCGGACTACCGGCAGATATTCTCGATCTTCTCGGCAAAGAGCATCTCGACAGTCCGGACTTCTTCAATATGCGCCTAACCTGCCGCAGCGTTCAGGCCAAGACGTTCCACGCCTTTGGCAAGCGTTATTTCCACCACGTCAAGTTCATGCTGTCTCCGCATAGCCTGGCGGCCCTCGAGGCAATCTCCAAGAGCGAGTTCTCTAGCTTCATACGCCATGTCGGCATTGGATTGGAGCGCCTCCACACCAACAAAGATCATACATTTCATCACCTCGCTTATAGCAAGGATAAGAGAGGATGGCTCAAGAAGTATGACCAGACATACGAAGATGAAGTCCGCAAGCAGCAAGAGATGGAGCAGAACAAGACAAACCTGAAGATCCTCGTCAAAGTATTCAGGACTCTTCCCAACCTGAAGACAGTTGGTGTTGGTGGCCCCAGCATAAAGAGCCAAGCAGCGGAACGAATCTGGGATACAGAGAACATGCAGAGCTGGGGTACGGAGCACATGCTCAGGAAGTTGGGCGCAGAAGACGACAGGGCTGACAGGAAGCGTGAACCTCGATACGCCAAGGATAGGATCTATAGATGTAAAAAAGCGCCGGAACGACAGACGATACTGTACGATGAAGAGAAGAAACATCGGACGTTTGGTATCGTCTTCAAGGCCTTCGTGGCGGCTGCCGACCGGGGCCTTAAGCTGGATCTGTATATCCCGGAGTTCTGGACGTGGTATTCAGCAGAAGAAGCTATCCCTTCCTCCCTCTTCTCCCTCAAAGGCTCGAACGTTGAGAAAGCCCTGAGTCGCATTGGCTCTTTGACAGTGAACTTGACCGACGTCTATGGCGACGGAGACGAGGAAAAGCAGCTCCTAGACACTTGGATCGAAGGATTGTGCCGGCAAGCTAAGTCTGCGACATCCATCCAACTCTGCCAGGAATTTGGCCACAGCCAGAACCTCGACTACTTCTTTAAGCCGCTCGCTGAAGGTGGCTACACGCAGCTCAAAAGTCTGCGGGTCAGCTGTGTTGAGATCGAGCTACAGCTGCTCTTGGGAGCGTTGAGGAAGCTGTCTCCCACGATCGAGGTCATCTACCTCTCTACCTTCAACATCACGAAAGCCGGATACGATCCCATCATAATGTATGATGAGTCCTACGGCAGGTACGACAAATGGGGGGACGTCTACAAGCTGCTGCAAGACTTGCGAAAGCTGAAGACGTTATCGCTGGCGTATCTCACTGAGTATCGCGGACCCATCAAGGAGGAGACCACGGACGACAACTCAGAGGGGGAAGCGATTGCTGCTCTTGTGGGCCCTATTGCTACTGCAATTGCTGACGATAACAAGAAAGATGGGTACTGGAAATATCAACGGGCGTGGAAGGATTATCTCGTAGTCTACGGCCACCAGAAGATCGTGGACGCCCTTGGACGCGCTATCAAGGACAATGAAGAAACAATCACCCAGGACTATTGGGGGCGTCGTGGTTGCAAGAAGTTCCGCGCCGTACGCGTTCGCAAACTTCGCTCTTAGTGTTGTTTCAACCGGTGAGAGGCGAACGCGGTGGAGAAGGTTTGAGTGGAGAAGGACCCTAGATAGTTAATAGGGCTGGCGAGTTCTTAGAAGCTGTGGTAGAGCGACTAGGAAAGTTAGCTTGTGGGGCAGATGGAGTGATTTAGCTGCGGCTGCTGGTGGGTGTTGGTCGGCTGCTTAGGTTCATTAGGGGCTTACTCACAACGGAGAGAAGGCAAAGATGTTCGTATATCCGAGCCAGAGGCAGCACTATCTCAAGCTTGATTATACTGCAATCTACATAGACCAATCTTTTGTGGATGCCCCTTGTCTTCCTGAGTGAATATCACCATGGTCCAGTCTACTTCCTTGCAATTCTCCCCACGAGCGCAATACCAAGTTGCCGGCGTTGCGATGCCGGCAGTCAGGTACGGCCGCCACGTAAGCCCACTCCCCGTCCTACAAATGCTAGCACACACAGGCGATGGCAAAGGTATGGCCAACGCTCGCCTCTGCACGACGGAGACGTGTTTTCGAATATCCGGATGGAAGCTAAGTGGGAAGGCCTGGACGGGGACGTGGTACGCAAATCTTCAACAATTCTTATGATCTGTACCACTCCATAATACTGCGGTTTGCGCCATTCGCGATACTGCGTTGCGACCCCTATTCTTACCCAGCACTCTTCATATTATAGCCCTGCTTTCCTCGCAAACCTCTGTGTCTCCCTTGCAAACCTCCCTCAATAGCTCTCTGCACGTAGCCACTGCCCTGCCGAGCAATCGAAGATCATAATGGCAGACAAGAACGAAGATCCAGTGGAACTATTCAGCAAGAGGTTCAGCAGCTTGAAGGTTCCTTTGTTGGCAGCCCGGGCACGGCGGAGTATGTCCTCAGGAGAAGGGCTTGGCAGGAGTAGCACTGGTCTAATCCATGTCCTCTTAGCGACGAACAATCTTGGGCGTGAGAGGGCTGGCCAGCGCGAGATGTCCGAGGATGGGTAAATTCGACTGGATCGTCGGCAGGCTCATCCGGAGAGAAAGCAGCATGCGCTCATCCACCACCACTGCGCGAACCGGAATCTAGCGCTGAGATACTAGTTAGTAGACGAGTCGTATGGGATAGGTTGGATAAGTCCTCCATTAATTATTTCCGCATCGTTCATATTCCCCTGTCCATATTGATGAGCGAATGGGATAGGTTGGATAAGTCCTTGATTAATCTGAAGCTCGATGATATTTACGCGCAACTGCAAGTTCTCGTTCTTTAGATAGAGATTCTCGGATTATAGTGATTGCAAGCGTTGGTTGCGGAACTGTAACTCGGATTCCACTAACTGCTCGTCGTCCTTGAGGTCGTGACTGGAAGTGTCGCGCTCTTGCTCGCCCTTTGATCCAGTAAATCGGGCTCTTCTCCGACTTCTCTGGACCGTGCCTATGTATTATTAGACTTGTTAATGCCGCTGCAGGAGTAAAAATTCTAATCAACTTTGGGCCCCGGCTTTATCTTTTGATTAGGATACACGCATAGCTGCGCAGACTTTCCACAAAAGAGGCAGCTTGGAAGAGTTCGGTCGCTACATTAAGAGCGACTAGCGAGTGGAAATTGTAATCATGGCAAAGTTTCTCAGACCATTTCACTTTCCACCTGTCACATAGACACGTTAGCAGATTAGTCCTATTATTCATATTAGTGCATGCACGTACCTCCGGCAAGATTTGCATGGTTGTTGTGCTTTATCAGCCGAGGGTTGTTGATGGCTCGCTGTAAGTTCCATGGCGCGCGATAGGAATGACGTTGGTCCGCGTCAATCACGTTCTTCCAGGTGACCGCAAGGAAGTCGAAGCTGGTAGATTGTGGTGTCCTTGTTCAAGTTGTTCCGTACACGAATGGCTTTCTGAGCCTTTTTATCCGCTCGGTGGGATCTAGTTGGCCAGTTAGCTATGCATGATAGAGATTGAAGGACCTCCCACATCACTGCTTTGGTGTGCATTCAAGAGAATTAGGCGCATCACAAGGTATCTAATCCGCGGCTGAACTACAAAGACGTTGAACAGGGTGCCGTATTATATAGAGCGTTTGGTCCCCGGATTTCTGAGTCGGATCTTGGCAGCTGGCGTAGGAAGGGCAAAGGATCAGTGAGGAAAGCATGAGTTGTATTGAGGTGCTAACGAGTGGCTATATAGTGAAGAGAGACCAGGGGTTGCAGGCAGCAACGGTGACAAAACAACAGGTGAACCTTGTCCAGCTGAGAAGTGAACCCTGTACAGCTGAGACGCGTAGACAGACGTGCGTAGGAGCATTCTAACTGGCTGCCAGATCTAGACTATCAATTGCTCCTTTCAACGACAAGACGGGACGGGACTTCACCCGTTTTCGTGGCCCCGGGCGACGCTTCTCTGACCACCATCCACCAATTTTGCCACTAAGACTACAGATGTATAGGGCCAGTCGGCGAAGGGCGGAAGGAGCCAAGGAGGTAATGGCGTGGCATATCTGGTGCCTCGATCGGACAAGAAGTAATTTCAGCGCCTCCCCACAGTTGCCGTGCACGTCCTTTAGTGGCGTTCTTCTCACCATAGTGCCGGATGGAGATACCCTGGTAAAATGGCGTGAAACCTTGGTTGCAGGTCGGCTGTGTCAATGGGGGGAGGGTAGTCGACTCATCATTTCTATATTTTTAAGATTACTGCTATTGATACACTGCTATCCCGTTCTTGGAGCCTGCACGGGCCATAGGCTATTCACGCATTGTTTAACGCACTTTCTTTCACGGGATCATATGCCTGGTTTGAGGTAGATGGCTGCTCAGCCGGTAGCTGCTGCTCGGTGTGTCGGTTGGTCGAGTTATTTGCTTCGTCTTGCGGTGTATTTGATGCTGGATGAAACTTAGCAGATATAATGCCTATTATAGTATTTAAATAAACTAACACTGAATTCTGTAGCAGAATCTATGCTTCTTTTGGGAAGGCACATTGCGGCTCGCTAAAGTAGGCTTTCCATAAATGGATTCCTGTGTCCCAGCCTATATCGCTTTTAGGCTAGTGTTTGCCACCAGCAGACGACCAACGCTTGGGCTCCGTGTAACTCAAACCACTATACAAAGGGTGCGGCCGAGTGCGCTATCAAGTCTCAAGCGGCTAAGCGAGGCGAGGCACATCAAAACTGCCCGAAATTGACACCTTTGGATGGCCGCATCTCCAGAAAACAATAAGATATCGAGTTTCTGAAAAGCTAGGCGTGTTTGCGGGAGCGTCTTTGATAGTTGTTGGAAGGCTAGAAAAATTATTGTGCCCGTGTGGTGGCTGCGCAGCTAAATCGTGGATTTTGGTGGTGACTTGATAATGCACTCGGCCGCACCCTTTGTATGGGAACAACTAGAACAGGGCAAGTTTTGAGGCGTAACGTAGGTCGAGACTTGCGTATGCGAGTTCTTCACTTGCAAAAGGGCGCCCTGTTAAGCAATGACGGCAGGAAGGCAACGAGTTTCCGGGCTGGAAATCGGCGAAGCCGCGTGGACGCAGACCCTCGTCCTCATGCAGACCCTTGCCCGCATCGTCTGGACGCCATGCTTCCATCTTTACGGGGCAATCCAGAGACAAATATTTGGTTTTGAAAACTCTCAAAAACCCAAGACGTCCTGCAGTTCTGCACCAACTTCTTCCACCGTCACGAAGCTGGAATCTAATAACGCTGCCACTGCTCCAGAGAGACTTCCCCCAAACATGTATGAAAATTCAAGCCTTAGGTTCCTTGCGCTAACAAACTTCGTAGCGGAATGGAGGACGACAACCCGTCCGATACAGAGTCATCCCCTGAAACGAAAATCCAATCTGCTAAAAATATCCGTTGGGAGACACAGTAGGCTCTACTTATACTTTTACTGAGTTCTACTGACAATAGTCTAGGGCCAAAGTCACGCTTGATAACAAAGTGCTTTACGTCCTAACAGCGCGCATTGCGGCCCTGCCATGTCTTGTCAATCACCTTCTCAACACTTCTTTCTGGAAGAGGAGCGAATACCACTGCTTGGATCCTAAATATGCAAAGGTTTTCCAATATCTTACCGGCGAAGGACTCAATCCCCAGGATGAGCTGAAGGGCGTCATATTTCTTTACACCTTCGGAAGAAAGATGAAATGGGTTAAAATCAGCGAAGATACTTGCACTTGGATACTTGAACATTGGCCGGGAGATGTTGATAAATCCGTTTTTGGCAGCGCCCTCATCCAAGCGAGAGAAACGAATGACCGAAACATGTACTGTTTCTTCAAGGCAAAGCTCGGCTTTCCGTTCGATATTCTTCCTCAGGCTGAACAGCCCTACGGAAACTAAGTTTGAGATATGATGGCTCCATATGGAACCTTCATAGCTAGTTAGACGTAATATCCGAACTTGTTACAATCGTCGCAAACAACCGCATTCTAATACGACCTTTCCTTTTTTCGAACGTGCAAATATTAATAAGCTTTTCATATTCAAGGTCTCTTTTTCAAGTGGGTAGTCCGAAGCTTATTCGGAACGGACCGAAGTCATGATTGATCGATAATGCTCAAAGTGGTGGAGGAAGCCGGAGCAGAAGGCAAGCGGGTTCTTGGACGCCATCCAGGCATCACACTAGGGTCATGTTGGCTCCTAAAACATGAGACGCCATAATGCTTCCCGAATGCGTTTGAAAGGGTGGTATTCGCAGAATGGCTCCTGAGGCGGCACAGAAGTCTCTATTCCCCAGTGTAGTTCGTGGCTGAGGGGTATGCATGCATGTGGTTTTCTCCCAAAAATGGGTCACTCACTCTAGTTCCATTGAGGCTCCCGCCCCTCAATCCTGTCAGCATGTGTAGACCCCCGTCAGCGCCGACATGCATACTCGACCTGGATCGTATGCTAGATAAGGTAATTCTTGACGAATTGGGGTGCTGCAGAAGGAGTTGGGAACAGCGGAAAGAGTGGGTGATGGAAGGGTAGGTGCGGAAGGATGGTGTCGCTGGAGGTGTCACTGGAGACGCTGCCGGTGATGTCGCAACAAAAGGCCTTTGTAATGATCGAAGAACTGACACGACGTGCGAGTGATGACGCGCACGGAGTAAGGAAAAACATATCATCCGGCGGCGCCCTAGACTAAGTTCTACCTTTGCACGACAGAAACGCACCCGTTTGAGCAACTATCAATCTCCTCCACCCCTCAAACGACGACGGCCGCTGCATCCCGGGCACCAACAGAGGATCATAGCTGAGAACAAGAGAAGTGAGACCTACAAGTGTCAGAGAGGAAACGGATGCTGGAAAAACTTGAACATACAAATTCCCCAATGTAAGCATGTTGACAATTTGTGTTGCGCAAGTCAAAAGCAATGACGGCGGGCGCAATTTTTTTTTTTTTTTTGCAAATGAGAACTTCAGAGTAAGTAAGTCCTCGAGCAATACCCTTCCCCAACATCCCAGTCTTGCCTTATTTCATCTTTGAGGCTTCTCGTATCCGACAGCTCTTGAAGTGAATAGGAGCGCTGCTCTTTGCAGGCTATGTGGAACCAACTCTATAATTCTTTAGCAGTTTTCCCATCCACCAATCTAGTACGGCGCACACATACCTCGCTTGATAGCTTTTCGTAGATTATGATATTGGTTTCCAGTTTTGTATAGTAATGGACGACGCCATATTCTTCCTCCTTCCAGTCTTGCGAAGCTTGCTGACATACACGAACGACTGTGGCAATTTGATCATAATTGAAAGAGTAAAATACGTCACTCGCCATGTATGATAGCGTCTCCATTGAAACCCTTGGGGTATGTCCAACGCTCGGATTAAAATGATGGTCTAACGCAACTTCCAAGCCCTTCAAAGCGAGTGAATGCTCCTGAGAGACTTTAAGGAACCAATCCTGCAAAATTTTAGTATTTGACAAACTCGGTATACGTACCAGTGATGAAAGTGTGCGATAGATATCTTCGCGGAACCGGGTGCGATTCTGAGTCTGCAAAACATACGATGCACGAGCAATCTGGCTCTTATCATATTCATCGAGGGCGGTGAGTGCACTGGTCACCATGAATTCTATCACAGTTTTTGATAGAGGCGGGGTAGTGTTCGGTTCCAGGTGAGCATTGAAAGCAGCGCGAAGACCCAGCTCAACGTAGAAGTCAAGGGAACATTTAAGTTCATCCAGAGAAGTGCGACCAGTTAACCGGATCAGAACCTACAGGTATATAGTTAGCTGTGCAGAGAAAGCAATTATTTTCCCACATACGCTGCGTAGCCGTGAAAGCCTGCATTTCGCAACATCTTCTGAGTATCTCCTATCACTGAATTCGCTCCAAAATGGGTCCTCAGGCGTCCTGGAGAGTTGTCCATTCTGCTTTCGTGTCCAAGCCTTGTAAAGAAATGAACTGTTGATCTCATCGTTGATAATGCAGGCGAAGAGAGAGTCCACACTGTCATCTTTGAGCTGTGTGAGATCATCATTCTTCTCCTCCTCGCCCGTATGAAAACATGGAAAACAAGAACAGAAAAAGTCAAAAAGAGCGAGGGGAAAACGCATTGCCGGCTGCAGAGAAGGTGAAAAATGCATGTGGTGGGCTTGATGCAGAGTAACAGATCCCCTGAATCTATTGCGTCCAAGTACTGGCTCTCTGTAGACAACCTACCCGTCCTAGCGTCCGGTAATGAGGGTTGAAGTGGCTGACGACCTTTCACGGCCCAAATGCGCAAAGTTGGTGAAGGCTTGCCAATCTCTACTGAGACATGGGCGGCATCACATCCGACAATACCGACCGCACTACCCGCCAGGATAAGGTGCGGGAGCAGGTGGGGATTCATGGCGATGCTGTGCACCGGCATGTCCGGGGTAGCCGATGATCTTTCAAGTCCGGGATGCGTATGGAGGCCATGAACCAGCGGGCGACACGCGGGCGGCGTATATTCGACAGGCTGAATCAAAGGTTGGGCGGGAATGGAGATGTGCGTCCGCTCGGCTGGGGCGGGGAAAGAAAAGTGGCGCTCCGCAAAGTCTACTTCGTATTGGATTTTCGTTTTCTAACGAGCAGGCGCGATTTGCACTCCCGTGGTACGCATCCTGCCATATCCAAGTTCAACGCATCAGTCAAGGAGAAATATAGGCATAGGACGCAGACTCTATGATTTCGAAGGAGACGACGCTGAGCATGCTTTATGCCTTGAGCATTATGTTGTCGAGCTTCTGCGCTATTCTTTTGCCCTTGAGAATCAACTACACCAATCCGTCCCTCACCAACCTCGCTCTCCGCCTGGCCAGCCTCGCTCTCGGTATAACCAATCTCTATCTCACCAGACTGCCTCTCACCAACCTGTTTCTTTACCTCACCAACCTCGCTCTCCGCTTTGCCAACCCCTACCTTACCTCCAATCACCATTAAACACAACGTGGGTTTAATATGTCCCTTCCCCCGAAGAACCCAAACAATGTCACAATCAAGACTTGCAAGTAGGGATAGGAGACCTCTAATGCGGACACAAGATTAAACTCGATGACTTTATCAACGAAATTCTCGACTGGCAAGCGAAAAGGCAGCGCTTTTGGCTTAAATCTTGCGCGCCGGATGACCTTATAGCAACCCTCATTAATAGTTGCAGAAAAGCCGCGATATTTCTCCTAGCTACTGCTGATAATGACGGCACTCGCCCGGCACCTTTAACAGGCGGTCCCAGGCGGTCCATAGGACGAAGCAGAGTTAATATTTAAACGTGTGGAGGGTTACGTTAATGCCAAAAATTAGATTAGAGAGAATGGAGAGCTGTAAATACAATTCGGCCGGTTCACGGATCTTATACTTGCGACGGCCTGCCATATGTTGGAACATTACAAGCTTTTAGAGATTAGAGTTAATTCTATTATGCAAAAACGGCTCGGTCGAAAGCAAAAGATACCGAGATATTTGTATTGCCTTCGCCCTAGTGCTGCTTGCGTAGTCCGGAATGCGACGGAGTTGATAGAAGAAACAGGTTGGGGTAATAAAATCTGGGAAGCTTTACTCCTAAGTATGTTGTTCCTTTTACCCTTCGAATTAAAAGGTTGCTGATATAGTTAACGTACTTCACAAGCGGGTCGGCCACACAAGCGAGTCGGCCACCTCATCATATTTAGCTGCCTTAAACGTTGATTACTCCACAACGCCAATAGATATCAACTAGATACAAGTTGTAGCCTAATCTGCAGCAACCTCTGCATCTTTTTTGCACGTACGAGCGTTGTGCCCTGGTTCGCCGCAGCGCCTACAGCGCTGCACGCCGCCGCCGGAGCGCGCTCCGGCTTGCTGCCTTTTGCTTTGAGCTGCCTCCTCGATTCTTTGAGCAGCTATTTGAGAGCCTGCTTCCTTTGTTAGAGTTCCTTCCCTCTGAATCCGCTTTTTTTTGCGCGCCTTGCCTTTGTGGCAGCTTTATTTGCCTTTTAAAGGCTGGCAACTGTATCGCGCAGCAGCGTGGCTTTATGCATTATAATTGCAGCACCTTTAGAGAAGCTATTAAGCGAGTTAAGAATAGCTGTAGGCGAGCTATTTTAATGCATTTGAATGCGATTACGAATTAAGGCTGATTGAGAGTCTAGCTCGAGAGCGTTGCTTGGTGTTTTTGATTCCCATTGAGCCTCCACGGCGGGAGGCGACGGCGTACGAAGCACAATATTAAGCTTTAAGAGCACTGCCTCTAGATTAAGCGGCACAAGGCCTGCGCCTTAAAAGCTTGCGCAAATATTGCTCTTTATAATTAAGTTGTAGAATGCTGCTTTAAATACCGGCAGGAACTCTAGCTTTATAATGTGATTAATGTAGTGGCATACTAGATCCTTAATTTAGCGCCCGTATACCTTTTTTAATAGCGAAAAGCAGCCAACATCAAGCGGCAGCAGCAGGTGCGATAAATGCGGCGGCATACAGAGAGCAATAATGTTGTTCTCCTTGCAAATTTATTGGAATTCAAGCGAGATATGGCTCTTATAGCCATCAATAATTAGCAGCCGATGCGTGCCTATGGTGCGATCTTTTATATGCATATTAAAATGCTGCAGCCAGGCAACACCAAGCTTATTTGTTGTCCAGCTATTGTTGCTTACTGCTATAACCCAGTCCGGTGGTATGTTGTCGCCCTCGTACTATGCAGAGAGATGGTACTTGCCTGCAAAGATAATAAATGGCGGGATGGCCCATCCACAGGCATTGATTCCTTGGATTATTGTTGTCTATTCGCGATTGCCTAGCTGTACAGCTTTTGGTCGATTGCGCCGCTCGGAGCCTGTTACAACTATGCTTGATAAGATAACGCCTATTTGGAAGCCAGCTTTATTAGAGTTGTATATATTATTATTAATAATGCCGTACTTTGCTTTTATATTGTATACAAGCTTAAACCAATCGCTAATAACCTCTGGATCTTTGCATAGAGCTCTTTAATAGTTGTACTTTTAATTAAACTTTATTTTAAGCTCGTCCGTTTGCTTTATAAAGTTGTTTGGCCAGTTAATGCCCACTTGGCCAGCACCGCGCTCGGCGAGTAGCTTGTTGGCCATCTCTCGTATAGCAGTTAAGCTAGGCGAAAACCCTCGCGAATCCAGGTCGAGTATATGTTGAACAATGGCTGATTCTTCAAGCTTTGTAAGCTTCTTTGAATTAGGCTCACAATCGCGTTGTGCAGTTATTCCGCCGCGTCGGTCTTGGAGCGTGCTTTTGGGGACATTGTATATGCCTGCAGCGCGTCGTTCGCTTGGAATTTGATTTCGTCGGATAGCTAGGAGAGCTAAGGCTAGCCTGCCTTCTTTTTGGATTGATTGCGCGTTGTGTTGTCGACGCATATTGGTTGTTGGTTGACGCGTCGCGTTTTCGTGATGAGGTGGCCGACTCGCTTGTGTGGCCGACTCGCTTGTGAAGTACGTTACAGAGAACTATTAAAACCAGGGCGGGTGCTGTATTGTATTATTTCTTTAGTGCAAACCTTACTTAGCGATGCCTTTACGTTAGTAACCCGGCAATACCAAACAAAGAGTAGTATTTTGCTGACGAACTTAGGTTAAAGCAAATATGCAGAGCCCTAAAGTGTGATTATAAAACTGTTTCATGTAATAAGCAGTTCTTCCAGGGTTACCAATGCGAGATCATACCAAGCCGTAAGCTTTCCTTCTCCCTTGCGGTCATGAGCGGTACAGAAGCTAAAATAATCTCAGCTATTCAAATTCCTGTACAGGAATAACACGCTAAAGACAGCGACGTCGACGCACCTACACCAAATCAGCAAGAGAATGGAATAGTTCCTCCTAATCCTCAAATGTGCAGGAATGGCTCCAGTGCTACCGGGTCAGCAGCTCCCGCCGGCAAATATAATATCATGCATCCCGATGGCAACACGGAGGATGAAGACGAGCAGCCTTCCAGATCTCAGCCCTGTCCCACTCCATTGAATCAGGGAACAGGAGGCACGCCTCATGGTGAGTGCTGCTGATAACGCCGTCTAAAAATTGATACTGACATCTAGGGAGATGTACCAGACCCAAACACGGACATCCCTAGCTCTTGGAGCCTAGCACAAGTGCTGCAGCACGCCCAATCACGAGAGAGAAGCGCTAGCATCGACCATGACAGACCGAACAAACGCCATTGTGGGAACGTTAGCACGGTCGATTCGATCGCACCAACGGGCCAGGCGGGGTCACCAAACCGCGTCTGCCATGATATTCAGCCTCAAAACCAGAACGGAGAGGGGAGTCGGGGAGCGCGCTCAGCGGTAAGTGCCATTTGAATACGCTTGGTCTCGAGAAGGCATTAACGAAGTCTTCAGAATATCAACCTAACGTCCGGATCCCTTCATACTTTCCCTCCATTCAACTCAGAAGACCCTTTTTTCAACTTCGCAAACATACAGCACGCCCAAGTACATCATATTGGTGGTCAATTGAATTCATTGGGTAGGAGCTCTCTTTTTATTTGGTTGAACTGAACAACCACTAAGTACTGGCATAGGGCATGAGGAGAACCCGAGGCCAGCGGGGTGGGTCGCCCTCAACAACCAATTTATGCGGAGCCAGCAGGTGCCGAATTTCAATTCAGCGCAACAAACACGTCAGATGTCTCTCAACGACCAAGGAAGCGCAATTACAGGACAAGGCGAGCTAAACGTGGATGTCTCTGGCTCTCGGTCGAGCTCAGCACACCTTCAGACGTCTCGCAACAGCCAAGGAAGTGCAGTTACAAGACAAGGCGGGCCAAATACGGTCTCTGGCTCACAATCGAGCTCAGCACATCTTGATCGATTGAACACATTGGATCGGGGATTAGACACGCTACCTTGTGAGTCCTGTTGGTGGCGCTGTGGAGAGCGATACTAACATGGGGAAAGACTCATTTCAACAGGGTTTACTACTACTGGACGGCTTCGATTCACGCGGTTTTAGACCAGTGGAAGACTTTAACTCACACGATTTCCTTCCAGTGGACGGCTTTGATTCACACGGTTTTCCACCAGTAGACGGCTTTGATTCGCAAGGGTTTCCACCAGTAGACGACTTTGATACACACGGGTTTCTAATAGTAGAGGGCTTTGACACACACGGGTTTCCACTAGTAGACGGCTTCGATTCACACGGTTTTCTTCAAATGGACGGCTTTGATTCAAATGGTTTCCCACCAATGGACGACAACTTCAACTCACGCGCTCCCTAACAAGGACAAACCCTCTGGTACCTACAAATTCCTATCAGCAGATCGCTTTAGCTTACGCGATCTCCGGCGGGCCAATGTATGTGTACGAAGACAACACCACCACTGACGAACGCATATTTATTGGGTGCACGGTAGACACCCGTCCCGCGAGGAAAGGATATAGTTGTCTTCCCATCCGAAACGTATGGAGATGGAGATCCGTCCAGAACCCTAGCACAGACAAGCAACTGCTCATGCTTGCCAGCTACCCATGCTCCTTAGATAGGATCTCTTGGTCTTGCTAGGCCGTAGCGCCTTTGTGCCTGCTGTATTATTAGCACTAGGTATCAGGATCTCTCAGTAATAATGCTTACCGTTGCAAATCCCTTCGCTGGCCGCTTTCTTAGTCAGCACTCGATTTTTTTCCAACTCGCACGAGCCTCACAATTCAGCTCCTGAGCGTGGCTTACAAAGGTATTGAATTCCCCAAAGCAATCAACCTCTGCACCCGACCGTGCCCCCCCACCGCAAGGCTGAGGATCTAGATCCTGACGTTCACTGGTGCTCATTGACAACTCAACCACGTTGTGGCGCTGTGGCCAAACATCGTGCCACAGGCTGATCACGCCGTCTGCCGCTGACTTCGCGCCACAGCCTTCCCTTTCGATGTTTAACTCCCAAGTTGGTGTACCTGCCAAGCTTTCGCATGCTGGATCAGTACAACGTTAGACCAAAGGCGGCAGTGCTTCCCACATTGAATCTTTCAGCTTAAAGCCAAGTTTGCACTCTATGAAATACAAAAGCATGGCTTCGCCTCAGCCTCTCCTGCGTCTTCTTCAAATCTCTACAAAGGGTAGCTCTCAAACTTATCATCCGTCTTTGTGAAACGTCATGTATTCCCTTAGTAGCCGCGTTTCCATCGTCCTCGAGCTATCTGCATTCGCAGCGGCCTTTAACATTGATCTGCCCCAACCTACTCAGACTCTCAAAGACTACTCCGCCGATGGCTTCACCCCCAAACCGACTGCCGACCCCCTCATCGAATTAAGGAAACGCGACTCCCCATCAAGCGTCTGCGCGTATCTCTCCGGCGATCCTTCAGCACCCTACACCTGCGGCAGCGGAGGCGTGTGCGGCTACAACATGGGTCTCAGCTGGTTCGGATGCTGCGACGGCGAGTCTGGCGGTTCCGTAACCGGATGCCCCGTCATCACTGGCTGCGTACCGTACACATCCATTGATGCATGCGCGTCGAACTCGGTATGCGCATCGGACACTATGTTGATTGCTTGGTGAGTCTCCTATCCCCTTGATTCTCAATTAGTGAGCTAATATGCTTACATCACGAACAGCACCGAATCCGCAACCCCCTACTGCGCCGCCGGCGCTCTCACAGCCGGCACCGACACCCTCGTGCACTTCATCTGCGACACGACCTCCTATGTTCTCGACTTCGAGCTCACGGCTGCCGGCGGCGCGGCATCGTCTGTCTTCGATGCTACGACCTCTACCGATGATTTTGAGAGTACTACCACGGGAGAGTTTGGGAGCACCTCGATCGATGACTCCGCCACTACGACTTCGGCGGACGATTCCTCGTCTACAGTCGGAGTCGTTCTGACGAAGATTGTCTCCGCCTCGGCCAAGGGTAGCTCCACAAGTGGAGCAGTGACTACTGGGACGCCGACGAGCTCAAAGACAGGTGGTGTCAATCTGCTCGGCACGCTGGGTGGTAAGTCGACGGCGGGCACAGCTACCTCGACTGGTGGTGCGGCTGTAAGGACAGGCGCGGCGGTGATGGGAGCTGCTGAGGGTGTTGCGGGGTTGATCCTGCTTCTTGCTTAGGGAGAGGTACGGCTGCTATGAGAAAACGGTTAAAGAGGTTTCAGTACCTCTGAGAGTAATGGCATATACGGTAAATGGCTTCTCGCAATCTCCATCGAACCCGTGAAACCAAATCCGGAGCAATAGGTCACATCAACAAACTGTGTACATCTTTCTATCTGCATGGAAAAGAAAAGTTCTGAGCAAGACCTACGGCATTGATTGATTAAGCCAGCAGTCTAGTAACCTGGAGGAATTCCTTCCTGTCTCGCAACCCGCCCTCCCTACGCGCCGAATCCAGATTATCAAAACCCCCCGAACCACCGAACCACCGAACCGCCTAACCCCTCCCCTCCACCGCCAAAACCCGAAACCTAATCCTCACATACTCCACCCCCCCAATATGATGCGGCAGCCCCGCATACCACTGATCCTGCACAACCTGCCCCAGCCCATCCACAACCTCCCTCCGGCCCCTAAGCTCCAGCGTCTTCACTTCCTCCACGTCCCTGTACCTGACGCCGGGAGGCAGCCACGCATATCGACTGCCGAGACCATTCAGAGCGGCTCTCACAGCCTTCGCGCTGGATTCGCTGTTGGAGGTAGGTGGGTGCGAGGGCCCACGATACTCCATCAAGCTGCAGAGTGTGACGGACTGCAGATTCTGCATGCTACGCAGCAGGTGGCAGACGTCGACCCACTTGTTCCTCTGGGCGTAGTCGTTATCATCCCGAGTTGATGGGTTGGGGGGCTCGTTGGTGATGGTCATTCCATAGAGGCTGATAGTATTCAGAGTAGAGCTCAGTGCTGTGAGAAGACTCAGGAAGATATCCACGTCGACGTTGACGTGCTCCAGCTTGAGAACTCGTAGTTTTAAAAATCTGCCCGAGGCGAAACGATTGAAAATATAGTCCAGTTTCTTGCGGTGGGTACCGTGTTGGCCCCAGCAGCTGGACATTTGGAAGGAGGCCATCGAGGTGGTTTGTGGGATTAGTTGGTTGAGCCAGGCGTCGAATGCGAGGTGCGTCGCCTGCTGTTGCACGTGAGGTCTATCGGTGTATGCGAAGTCTACGGTCAGGCACCGGGTACGAGAAAGCGCGGCCTGGGCATTTGGGTCCGCAAGCGAGAAAGGCATGTCGTGGTGTTCGTGTGGTTCGAGGAGATGAAAGTCCAGCCTGAGGTCTCGGCCAACCTCTTGAAGGACCTTAAACACGATCTCGAACACACGATGGTGAGTGCCCGTATGAGTGTGCGTTGTCTCGTCATTCAGCATCCCGTGTCGAGACGGAATTAGTAGGTATGAATAGCCGTAATTCACAGTCCGCTCGCGAGTTAGCGTCTCCTGCCTTGTCTCCAGAACACCCAGCTTGCGGAACAACTCCTCGATGCCCCAGGGCTGCATGTGCTCGACATCCCATATCCGCTGAGCTCCTTTGTCGGCCGTTCTGGGACCTCCGACTCCAACGCTCTGCAGATTCGGCAGGGATTTCAGGACTTTGGTTAGAATTTGCACGTCGGCGCCGTCTTGCTCGATGTGCTCTTGCCGGCGAAGCTGTCTGTTGTACTCTTCACCATATCTTTGGGCCCATTCCGCGCAATATTGGACTTCCCACAGACTGAGAATGTTGGAGTGGATCCGCTCGGTTCCAATGCCAACATGCCGAATAAATTGAGACAGCTCCTCATTCTTCGAAATGTCCTCCAGGGCTTGGAGGCTATCGGGCGACAGCATGAACTTTACATGCTTGAAGTAGCGGCGGCCGAATGCTTTCGAGGTGTTCTTGTGGAGGTCGCGGCAGGCAAGACGTAGGTTGAAGAAGTCGAGGGAGTCTAGATAGTCGTGGGCTATCACGTCGAGGATGTCTCCCGGCAGGCCTTGGAGGTTGAATGGCTTTTGCTTGCTAACCATGGTGCTTCTCTTTTTCGCCCGCGGTGCAGTCACCAATCCCTCCGTTGCCGGGCGCTTCCGCCGAGATGCCATGCTGCTGGCTAGTTCAATAACGAGTGTAGGTGTGTTAAGAGACACTGCTGGCACGTGGCTCGTTTCCACGGTGTGATGGTGTTGGCGTTGATAGTGGGGTGGATGTTGTAGTTCTAGCGAGTATCTAAGCGAGAGAAAGAGAGCGCAGATATTTATACGCTGGACTTGAGGAGATAATCGCGTGGAATTGGATATTTCACACCCGGTGCATTCATAGTCGAATACACCATTTTTCTCGTCGGTGAATCGACTAGCCAGATGAGGAATTACCTTTCTCTTAGTGAAGCTTTTAGTACTAAGCGATGAATGGATCAAGTATCTGAGCAAATTGAGCAGCAAGAAAGAGAGCCCTAAGCATCACGTACGGCGCTGAGAAATCGCACTCGATGGTTGATTCCAGTTCTCCTCTAGAGGTCTGTACGTCCGATAATAGCTTCGACAATGCGCTGTGGTAAGGTGCGAATATACCGATCTCCATATTAGTGAAGCACGTGACGTTCCCTCCTCATCTCTAAGTAATCGCTGTAGAATTCCATGCAAAGGTGATGAGATGCTCATGGGATTACGCCCTAGCGCTGTATCCAATGAAGGAAGAATCGTAAGGTGGTAACTCGGCGAACAGGCATTCTCCGAGCAATGTCCGCAGCCAAAAGGACTCATGTTCTGTGAATACACAACAAAACGATCAGAACGCCGAATGAAGCTATGGCCTAATACTTTCTCGCAGTTTAGAGCAAGCTAGATGAATCATACCTAGATCGATTAGATCGATTAGACGATTAGAGAGAAAAAAAAAAAAAAAAAAAAGAAGAGCAAAAGACTACTTTTTACTCGCGGGTCGAACCGCGAGCCTTTGGAGAGTCAGTACCGTCCAGGTCCTTGATCTCAGGAAGGGGGTAGCGCTGTGTGATACACGATATCAACGTGTCTCGCCCACTCGACCCGGTCACAATTGGAGGTTCGGGAAATAAGAGCAAATATAGACTGAAAAGTTGGCGGTGGTCAATGCAGATGTTTACTCTAGCGGCCCGTGCTACTAACACGTGGGAACGAACCCGACTATTGCCGCTCACACGCTGGAAGTGCTTTCGCCCAGATGTTACACATCATTATTGCTGAAATTAATCGCTGATTGAGACTTCCAAGGTATCTCACCTCCGCGGCATCGCGGTAAGGTCGGTTAAAATGCCATCACCGTGTTCGATGTTCGCTTTGAGTAGGTCGGTATTCGAATTCTGAGGCCACGCGATGAGTCGCTAGGTATACGATCCATAGGTATCTGCGCGTACTGGCTTCTGTTTTAAGTTTCGCCTGCGGAAAGATACGCCTTCGGAGAATCCGATCTCTACTGGTGGTCATGCAAGGATTTCCGCGGCAATGTCCCGGGCATGTGATGCCGCGTGAGTTCCATGTGTTCAGTCTATGATTGGAGACTTGAATCGGGAAAGGAAATCTCTGATTTTCTTAGGGGGTTGCATTCGTGAATCCGCCATCACGACTACGGTTTGAGTGACTTTTCTTTATGCAAGAGAAGGCACCGAACAGCAACTATACTAGGCCTGAAAGAAACTGTTTGAGGAGCTGTCAATCTTTCTTGCTCCAGCTTGCTACTCTTTGTATGAGGATGCAGGAGAAGGAGGTCCGTAACTTTTGCTTATTTTCCTCTTCCGTAACCCGCATTCGCTCGCTCGCTGTACGCTCGTAGTCGCTTTCCGTTTCTCCCTCATTATTCCCTTTACCTCTTCTTAGAGAGACTGACAGGAATATAGACCCATTTGCCTTAGCACAGCTGCACCACGGCCAATTTCATGGCAGCTTCATCTGCATGCGGAACCGTACGTAGGGAGCAGGCTGTTCTACATACTGACCCATCTCAGATGAATTCAATGCCACTCTTAGCGGCATCGTAATGAGCAGATCTTATGAGGACTTGTTAGCCAGCAAATCGATCTAGAGTGATAAAAAGAAGCCGCCTGATCATCTTTCGCAGAAATATTTTATGAAGTAGAATAGCACAATCCCTACGGGCGTGACGCCGACAATCATTGAAAGACCCTTACATGGAAAGAGATATCCCTCTTCGCAGCAGGCATGGTACTGATTCTGGAAAGATGGAGGACGGGCAACGTTCAGGGCTTTCCGCTGTGGGAGTGGAGATAGAAGAGACTTTCGAGCCAACCTTGGAGCGGAATGGCGGGCATACGCTGCAGGGGCAAGGTTCGGCAAAGAAGACGCACGACGCCCGCCTCCCAACTCAACCTCCTCCACCAAGCTATCATCCGCAGAGCACACCTGCGAGCGTAATAGCTGATAGTCAGACGAATTTCATGCTAACATCTACAGATCATAGCATAATGTAGTAGGAATCAAGGCACGCTAGCTTGATATGCACACCTATTCTTCGTCGACTAGTGGCACGTTCCATTCTATCCAGCGCAGCTAAGCATACGTTGCATCACCGTTGAAAGCGCTTGTGAGGCATTAAGATGGCTAGTAAATGGAAGGCAGGATCCTGCGGCTTTGATCCAATACAGTAACTACTAAGTAGTTGTACCTGGGTAATCCTTATTCACCTAAGAAGCTAGATGCAGCCGCACGTTCTTATACTTAGCTACAATCGCTGACCTAGCTCGTTCCTTGTCCAAAGTCATCAATTCCTTGGGTATTGAGTTGTACAGAAATCCTGATCGATTGTCTACATTGGCTAAATCTCGACACAAGATGCCCACCCACTTTCCTGACCAAAGGAGCAAAGATCCCTGCAAAGCTATCCTGCAGAGGGGTAAAATACACAAAAGTAGGCTATAAGCATGAAAGTCTACGATGTTTTGTTTATGGGTAATTCTGCGCAGATTTGGTATGGAGAACGTCGAGGATTGAAGAACTGTGGGTATCAACGCCCGAGATCTACGCATGAGATATCAGACATAACCCAACAGCACCACGACGTGTAGGTAACAAGTGACACGATCCCTATCTCTTCTCATATCTATCTCCTTGTAACTACTGTATATACGTATGAGCCTTTAGGCCCTTCCCCCCGAGTCGTTACGTCTCGGCTATTTCCCTCTTTCCGTCCCATCTCCTTTCATCCCAACTTCTTCATGAAACAAGGGTTCTCGGGTAAACTTCGCCGCACCACAGTAGCGAGCGTAGATATCTCGACGCATGCGAGCCTTCTCCATCTCTTCTTCTTTAGAACCGCGAAAGACGAGCCTCTTCGCCCTCTGCGCCACAATGACTCGCGCCAACGTAAGCTATTAATCTCCTCATACTTGAAGATCTCTACCCCTTCCGGCTTGTCCTTCTCCGGCAGCAGGCCCTCTTCGTCCCCGAGCTACGTCTTGCTGCGACATGACACGATGAGGTGTCTGTTTCAAGGCTTCAAGGCTGGATACGCATATCCCCTTTCTTCGAACGCTTTCGCAACTACACAATGCCCGAATGTACGCTAATTGTATACAGAAACCACACACCAGTGATCCGCCTAGGGGCGAGAAGGCGAAGCGGCACCGCCGCCACCCAAAGGTCTCCGCCGCGCCCCCACCACGCCGCGCCGCGCCCGCCGCCAAGGCGAAGAAGGAGGAGAAGGAGAGGGTGGTGTCCCCCCGGCGTGCCTTTGGTTAGTCCCTTCTACAACGGCTGTTCCGAGCGCTCTATTTTGTGATGCGTTCTTTGAGATCTTGAGGGCTATCTTGAACTTTTGAAGAACCACACAAGGCTAGATGCTTTGAGCGTAGAATATGCAGTGTACTAATGCCTGATATGTAGCTGCGGCCGCCGCAAAGAGGGCTGCCGAGAAAGCTAAGAAGAAAGGTTAGTTTTCCTTCCACCTATCCTCGATAGCCCATATTGTGACTTGCTCTTCGAGATGTTGATACCCATTTCACACTCTTGAGGGCAGTCACACTATGAGATTATTCGCTACCTGGTAATGTAATACGCTAACGCCTGATATAGCCGCTCGCGCCGACAAGGCCTACGACGGCGACGTGGAGGACGTCCTGCCGCGCGAACGTTAGTCTACCTTCCATCCCTTTTCTGGTGCTCCCTATGCCAGCACGTTTCGATGATGTCATTGAGCCATGTCTCATAGCTTTGAGAGACTGCGTAGCATATCAAAAAGTTGAAACAGCAATGTAGAATACTAACGTTCAATATCAGGCAGCATCTCGGATGTATTGCGCTACGTGCGCATCGTCGACGTCGACCTCCAGCGCACGAAGGAAAGCCTCGGCAAAGTCTTCAATAGGCTGAAGATGAGGGAGGCGGAGCTAGCGGTGGTGACGGAGAAGCTGGCGGAGGCACGGGAGAGGCTGCGGAAGGTCGATAGGTGGCCGGAGACTAGCGATGAGGGGGGGGTAGTGGGGATGAGCCATTCGTGCCGATCTTCATGTAGATGGAGTGTGCCCTAGCCATAGTAGCTTGAGCGGAGAATGGAATGGTCTGATCGAAATCCCACCGCACCCATTTTTCCTTTTTCATATCACGTGACCCGCACCTCCTGCATCCTCAAAACCCACCACTACGGCCACAGAACCCCACTCATGCGCACCGGTAGCTGCCGCGGGTGTGGCTGGCGGTCTTCGAGGCCGGGCGGTGCCAGGGCTGAGATTTCAGCTGGCCCTACGGGAGATCTCGTGGGCCGAGGTCCGGCACGGGAATTTTGCTCCTGCAGGGTCCTGCGCGGAAGACGGGTAGGACGGCAAGGTATGGTGGTGTGAGAGGTGATGTGAGGTAGGATAAGATGGACCGAGAGGCCCAGGCTGGGGAGGCTCACCGCTCTAGAAGGTTGAGGGAACTGGGATGGCAGGGGAGGGTGGATTACCGGTGAGTGAATTGGGGTTAGTCACGTGTGACATGTGCTAGGCTAATGGCATAGAGATGAGGCGAAGGTGCGAATAGAAGGCAGCATTTCAAGCACGTGAACAGAGCAGCGAGTGTGAGTGAGTGTGAATGATGTTTCCATTTCGAAGCCAATGGCATATCTCCCCATCACCGTCCAGCGGCGGAGAAAGGGTCGAGTGCTAATTACCAAATACTATCTCTTAGTTATACCGAAGAGCTGAGGTGAGTGTGAGTCGGATCCAAGCTCTACCAGTAGTCCTGCCGCTCCTTTCTCCCCGAAATGACGACCCTGTCCCTATCCCAAAATCTGAAAAAAGTCCGAGATATATGAAAGTGCAAAGTGAGAATGGTGTAACCAAAGTAAGCTAAGAAATATCAAGAGAGTAAGATGAAACGCCCGCTGTCGCCTGCTGTATAACTATGCCAATCAATCAATCCAAGAATCAAAACAAGTAATCCCGTCCCGTCCCATCCAAGCCGGTCCTATCCCTATGCGCGCTGAAATGCATTGAATGGCGAGGGTAGTGGCGGTCAACGCGCAGAATGGGATTTGATACAAGCGGAGGAAGAAGAGTGGTGGGCTGTCGAAGAAGAGAAGGCCAACAATTCCGGAGGGACAAATCCTGAAAACTCCGCCCGTTCATCGCTTCCTACCCATCTAAAAGAACAACATAAAGCACAAGCGTGTAAAGAGATTAGGGAAGGAGGCGAAGGGCCTATGAGGAGGCTACTGCTTCTGAGCCTTGCGCCCGTCGGGTGGTGGCTCGCTCAGCAGGCGTACTGCCGAAGCTGAAGTCGACCGGAGATGGTGGCGGCGCGGGTGTCTCTTCGATGGTGGCGGACCGTGTTGAAGAGGCTTTGAAGGCGGCGGAGACGTCGTGGCCGAGAGTGCTGTTGGTGTAGAGCGAGAGACGCTGGCGGGGGTTGGTAGCGGGACGCATGGCTGTAGTGATGTCTGAGTTGGTGGAGGTTGTAGGAGACTTTGTGAAGCGTGGTAGTGTGAAGGTACTATAATTTGTATATCCTTCGACGTGTAGAGGTAGAAAAATTCGTAGGTTGAATTTCTTTCGAATTGTGGAATAGAGGAGGAGCTCAAACGTATGGGGAGGAACTTTAGAGATCAAGGATTTGTATGCGGGAGCCTCGGGAGGATGGTGTAGAGTAATGATGAGTAGATGAGGTGGTAGTCTTGGCTCTGATTTGCTAATGCAACGGAAGTGTTGTCAATATTGGTTTGGTCGAGAGATGAACAGCGCTGGCTGGAAGCAGGGCGTGAGTCAGAATATATCCCAAGTACGACACGCATATGGTGTGCGCTGGCATCAACCGGGAAGGGCGAGGCTTACTTTGAGGTGTTGCGAATAGTAATGCGAGGCGTTGCAGGTGATATTACGGGAGCGAGGCGAGGCTTGGATCGGACTTTCGCTTTTGCTTCTGATTCCCCAGTAAAAAAAGATGGAAGGCTGAGGGCTAGGTGCAGTTTCACGTCGCACACGGCAATATGGCAGAACTTAAGGGCCAGGGAGGCACGGCTGGGGCTGAGAGAGAAGTAGTATGAGGCAGAGTCCGGAGAATATGGGGGTCAGGTCAAACGGGCGTGGGAGAAAATAGTCCGGGGGAGTGGGCCATGCACTCTGACTTTATATTGCGCGACGGTCCTTCACCGCTGGAATGACTCGCACAGGGATGGAATTCGAGCAAGAGCCAAAAAGCACAAAAACTGTGCGGAGGGGCCTGTCGGAAGCTGGGACAGCGCAAGGCAGGCTGCTTTGCATGTGTAGCGTAACCACAGGATGCTTTCCCGGGAGGTTTGAGGCTAATCAGCATGGGATAAATGGCAGCGCTGAAGCCACCCCACGCCCTCGTCCCGCGCTGCACTCGGCCGCCGCTCCGGAAAGCCTGCCCCGTTAAGCACAAAGAGAAGACCGCCTACCGCGCCTGGAAGAGCGGCACAAGTTGGGGAAGCTGGCAGGCTGGCGCGGTGTGGCTCCGTCGTATGCCTCCCACGCTGCATCTCGCATCACATCTCAACCTCGCGAGGCCGATAACGACGGCGCAGCGCGGCGGGTCGCGGCGGCGGGAAAGCAAACATGAAGCCTTCCTTTGGACAGCAGGCACACCGCGGCCGCACTGTGAGATGACGTCCAGGCAGCTGCCAGCAGTCGTGGGCTCCGGCCGTCCAGGGCATCCTCGGGGGTTGCAGCAGACGCCAGAGTCGCACAGCTGCTCAGGCCTGACATCCCCAGAGTCCAGGCCGCCCAGCGTGCATTTCCCCACGCGAAGCCACGCCGCTCATCGGCCCAGCGGTGTGGACAGCGGCCCCCCGTGGTGCTTCCCCGGAGCCCACCAGCGCCCTCCCTTGCCTAAGACAGCCCTGAATCTGTCCGCTGTCTCAAACTGGCAACACGCCGTCCTCGGAACGTCGACCCTAGCATCCCGCGCACTCTGCCGCTCTTCTGGAAGGTCGCAGGTCCCCGGTGCGACTCGTAACCCGCACTAGAAATGGCTGACGGCCGCGCTGTTTTTGGCCAGCAGCGATTCAGTCAGGAAGACCGGCGGCAGCACGCTCCATGCCGAGAGGCAAATATAGACGAAGCATGTTTCTCCTCCGATACATCCGGGCCCCTTTCGTCGAGCCTGTGAGAGCGCACCGGCAATTCAAGGGAGACCACGTTTCTTCTCGCTGGCGTGAGCCGCCTGCGGACCGGGTCCGTCGATGCTGGCTTGCAAAGGTGACGAATATGCTGGGCAAGACGCTTCCTATCGAATCGCGGGTCCGGGAATGCCAACGCTGCCTGCATATTCCCCGATCCTCCTTACATTCAGCCTGGGGTTGGCTCATGTCGAAGCCATAGACGCAGCACGGCGCTCAGGCCCGCTAAAAGCATTTCAGAATCGCATGCGACTGTCACAACCTCGTCATCCAGCAATACCAACACAAGGATACGCTGTGTTTGCGCCTCGCCATTTGTAAGAGGTTGGTCGCCTACGCGCAAGCCGAAATTGACAGTGTGAGTTGTCATGAGCAAGGCGAGTTGCTGTGTTGGAAACACGCACAGCCCAAAGCAACCGGTGATCGTGAAACTCGGAAAGACGCACCGAGGCCCGATCCGGCCACCGGACGGGATTGCGCTGGACCGTGGTTCAAGGGTAATGGGTGAATAGCCCTGTAGCTGCGGTACGGCGCGCTTGAAACCCACACAATGGCGAGCTGACATCTCGTGGATGTGTTGTGTCGCGGCCTGCCAGGATCACTAAGTCTGAAAACCCACCGGATGACGTGGGGTAATATAATACAGCAGTAGCATGTGAGATTATAGCCTTCCTGCTATTAATGCTTTACTCCGGATGACAATAGATAACGGACAACAAAGGTAAAGGAGGCGGCCATGATCTCTCTGCCCTGGCAGGAAAGGCCACATGTACCTGCGTCGTCGCTCCACCGACTTTCAATGCAGAAATCATGCCGCAACCCGGTCGATCGCCTGCGTGCAGGAAAATCCGAAATCTTGGCCCTCAGAAAATAGTGACACGTCTCCTGCCTACACTTTACGCGAAAACCGATGACCTGGCATCTGGTCCACCGCCTCATTGCCTTTGGATTCACGCGGCTTGCCGCAGTGTTTGCTCTTTTCTCTAGTCGCGGCTGTGTCTGAAACGGCGAGTAGGAAGAAAAAGCACTATGGTGGGATTGTGTAACGCATCGCGCGAATTCGTCAACTTCCACCACGAAAGTGGCACTGTTTGCAGATGGATGAGTTGAGTTGAATTGTTTCGAGATATTCATTCATGCCACGCCGCTCCACTGCAGTTTCGGTTGAGACGGGAGCTTTGCCTCCTGAAGAGACTGCGGGACCGTCTTCACTCTAATTTTGGAAGATCCCGGTGTTAGCCTCTACGGATGTTTGTACCTAAGGGGAGCTTTGCCTCCTCCTGAAGGAAGGAGCTGCGTGAACTTGTTTATTATAAGCATACTCCTAGAAATCATAGTACCGATGGGGCTGAAACGGTGAACTCGCCCCAACGGTACATAGTAAGCTCCGTGTTGTGGATCAGAGACCAGAGACAATCATTAGCTTCTACGCCGAAAGGGCATGTCGCGCATATTTCCGGTTGATATGGAATGATCTGGTAAACTTGGCCTCTCAACGAGACCGTACATTTCTGCAATCTGCAAATATGGGATGCAATGTTTGACATGTGACTGCAGAGCCTTGCTTTGACGAGTAAAAAGGAGAAGGCTAAGGATGTAGCCCGAAGCCCTTGGTTCGGTCGGTTCCGGTTCGAATGCGCAAGACCAAAGACAATGATAGAGAACGTAGCGAAAAAATAATCAATTCAGTGGGTATATGGCAGGTAATATGATACATTTATGTTTACAAATTGGTAAAAGGTGCTATCCTGACAGTGGTATGCTGACACCAAAAACGACGGCGAGACATTAGTACGGAAGAATACTAGGCGATCTGCGTCCTATGTATACCTCGGAGGCGTAATATATGACGGCGCAGCTCCTCTCTTGAAGTAAACATCACATCAGTCTCAGTTATTGAAGACTTGCGGTACAGAGGTGCGTGAAGTTTTTCTGGTAATGGATTGCCTGAATCAATAGCCTCATCGATCAGTTTTGCCTTCTCAGTCTCATATGCCTCGGCATCTGACATCGCTTCGAGAATCGTAACCCAGTTTTGGAAGCGGAGCTCGTCTAGAGGAAACCCGGTCGGGCTGAGCGGCTTAGACACCGTGGAATCTCCTGGTGGGGGTTGACGGGGGTCGGTCGTGAGTTCGTCGTAAATAGCACGAAGATCTTCGACGGACCCAAGAGCCGGACGAGCTGGGTCGATGAACAAAGGAGTTGGCGAAAGCTTGAAGTCTAGTAGACTACCAGACTTGAAGAGCGCGAGAAGTTGGCTTACGCGATTGTAGATCGATTCCATCCCAGGGGCCATTGCGGCCGCATCCATGGGCATTCCTTTTTTCTCTGGTAGTGTTCGCTCCTTTTCTAATTCCCGTGTAATCGCTTCTTTGATATCGGTAGTAAGCGTATGGCTAAGATGCTCGTACTGCTTCTCGAGGAAGGTAGTGTTCTTCGCAAACTTGATAGCTCTTGCAAGCGTCCTCCAGTCCGCTTCAGAGACTTGCTTACCCTTTGATTCAGCGAACGCAACGAGCATTTCCCAACATGATTCCACGCTCTTAGCATCTCCTGCGTCGCCGAACGCGGAAACAAGGACTCGACATGAAATTTCGTCGTGCTCAATTTCACGAGCAGTCATCTCTGCAATCATCGATCCAATCGCTTCTGATGCTCTTGCTTTCCCATAGAGACCTATGAGCGTACAGAGAACGACACGGCTCATGGCTACGCCAGCGTCGTTGAAATTTGCAACAATCTTCTGAACAGTAGAAATAACACAGTCTCTCACTTCGGCATCCTGTGCGTCGTCGGCATTTTTGAAACGGCTTGGAAGTAGAACCTCAAAGCCTTTGATAAGATTCGAGAGGTGCATATTGTGCAAAGACCCCCCACCTCCAAGGGAAGCTTGCATTGCAACGACCGAGCTCTGTATTGTCAAAATTTGTTCTTCTGCTGTATTGTACCAGTTCGCACCATTAAGCCTCGTTTGGAGAGCGCTAAGATGGCCGGGCCTGAGGATCACTCCGGAACGAGCGGCCATTAACGTTACCGTGAAGGCTTCCGAGAGCGGCCTCTCATAGAAGAAGATCTCAAAGATTCGAGGTGGCACTTGTGTAGGGTACAATCGGAAAGCAACGTCGAGCGCTAGATAGGCGTTTTTCCAGTCGCCATGTACAAGTCGCGCGGTCAGAATCCCTTGAAGTAGGGTCATGGGGAGACCTGCAATTGTGGTAAGTTGTGTACGATCTAGTACGACAGCTTCTGGCGACATATGATACTCCGCAAAAGTGGAAGGGAAGCGAGTTAGTCCTTCCTGATACAGCTCTTCGAGCTCCTCTAATGACATGGTGCCGTGGTATGCCAGCATCTCTATGGCAGCTCCATACACAGACGCATCCACGTATGTCTCGTCTTGTGCACGACACCAAGTCCATAAGTCGATTCCTTCCTGCCAATGGCCCGCGACCTTGAAGAATGAGATGAGGTGGACGAGGGCCGCGTGATGAGGAGGGATTGATCGATTTTGAATATGGTGGACTAAAATTCTGACATATGAGAGGTATTTTTCGATATTCTTCCTCAATAGGTCCCTGTGTAGTGTACGAGCTGTATTGTGAAGAAGCGCGGTGATCAAGAGCGTGTTGTGTGGCGTCATGAGATTGTTTGCCGCCAAACCTGGCAGCATCTCCATTGCCTTGTCAAGGTCACGAGCGTATATTTGTTCACGGAAAAGCCGCACAGGCTATTAGAAAGTTAGTTGGTATATTCAAGGTAGCGTTTGTAAGACTAACCTCAGGAAGACCGAGAGGTCGTCTTGCGACGTTATCTCCCTTTTGCTGATTCAAGAACCGTGAAGGAATGTGTTTCGTCTTGGGTTTGGATCTATCCTGTTTCGATTCCGACTTGGAATATCCCTCTTTGGCTGGCGTTGTGACAGTCCTTGCGTAGGTTGAAGACATAACCCATGGCTGAAGATGTCGTTGTGATCCACGGAGAGCTATGCGGGCGGTGACGGGGAGTAGAAAAGGAGCTGATGGGCAGATACATGACGACAAGGACAGTCTCGGAGGCATTGCGCTGACTGAGTACGACACGATCTCCTTTCTTCGTGTTCGATGTCGGCAAGGAGGTCAAGACGCGGTGTTGAAGTTGCGGCTCACTTTTTTTGAGTTTAGCCAAGCTTGCGGCGCACGCTAGATAGACATCACCGAAAGGACAGCATCAATCATAACTCCACTACTCAATACCCTCAACCATTACCCATAAGCGTCAAAGCCCTTTTATTCACGTACTAAACACTCGACTCGACATTGCTTAATTCTCGAATCCAACATGGCGCCGAATCTTTCCCTGTTCTCGGTCAATGCCATTCTAATACTGTCCGTAAACCTTCACTCTTGCAAACCTCCTCTCAAGCTAACCCACCCTACAGAGCCACCGATGATTCCTCTCGAGTTCTCACGAAGTACTACGACGGTATACATCCTCCACCTCCACATATGCTGCCCAGACATTGACCGCACAAAGCACCCCACCCTCCCACCGGCAACCCAAGCACCTACCCCGGCCAAATCGCATACAAGACGGTGAAAGACCAGAAGGCATTCGAGAAGGGCCTACTAGAAAAGACCGCGAAGCAGACATCAGATATTATCCTATACGACAACAGGATATGCGTCTTCAAGACGGAGGTTAGTCCCCAAACCGGCGCACCACATGGAAGAATATAGGGACTCTGACGACACCAAAGGGCGATCTGATGCTCTACGTCGTGGGTGGTGCTGAAGAGAACGAGATTCTGCTCTACCACGTCATCCTCGCACTCCGCGACTCTCTCAACATCCTCCTCAAGTACGATTACCGCCCCCAGCCCAATCCCACGTCCTCTTATGATTTCCCAGGAACTCCGTCGACAAGCGTACCGTGATCGAGAACTACGACCTCGTGGTAAGCACTTTATCTCCGGCTCCCTCCCTATATCCCTCTTGCTATAAACCGTCACACTAACATATCCCCAGTCCCTCGCCGTTGACGAACTAGTCGGTATGCGCCCAATCCCTTCCCACCCTGAACCGCAAATTTCGCACGCCTCCCATACTAACTCCACCCAGACGACGGCATAATCCTCGAAATCGACCCAGTCGTAATCGCCTCCCGCGTCAGCCGACCGCCCGCGCAAGACATGACCAGCATGCAAGGCATCGACCTCTCGGAGCGCGGCCTCATGAACGCGTGGGACTTTGGCAAGGCGAAGCTGGCGGAGAGGCTGAGGCAGGGGTTGTAAGAGGTGAGGGTAGTATATTTTCCGAAAAGCTGAACTTTGCGAACCTATCACCTCGTGGGACGATTGAGGCTGGAGGGCTGAGGGAAGGGGACCGGAGTGTGCTGAGGGCTTAGATGAGAGCGAGAGAGGGAATCGGTGGAGCCGAGGTGGCGGGCTAGGGACATATAGCTTCGGTGTAGGCGTTTGGGCGCGAGGGATAACTTAGCGGAGGTGGTGATGAGGCATATTAAGCTCCCTTTGATTGGACCGAGTCCAGCGCGCAGAGGATGAAAAAACATGTTTACATGCTATACGAAATAGTGCAACAAGTGGAATGCACGAGGAGCAATTCTCATATTATCATTCATAAGAGCATTGGATATCCTGAATGACAAGAAGCCTTCATTATCATGATCTACTTCTGAGACTCTGGCGTGGTTGGCAGACAAAGATTTTCAATTTTTGAACCCGTAGTAGAATCGACGCCGACAAGGGAAGTCCGCCTTCAATGACCAGAGCCCGTGCTCGCTGCCAGCATCCGCATCTACAATGCCAGCTACCACCATACTACCAGCTTCCATGCCCACCGCTGACAACAGCAACTGTCCGAAGACCCAGAGGACGCTTTTCCATTTCCAATCTCCTCTAGACCTTGAAACCACGGGACCGTCTGCGGCCACGGGCGCGCTCGAACTTCCGGCCCTTGCTCTCAACGTACGGCTTCTTGTGCTTGTGGGGGCCCATGCCGAAGTGCTTGAACGACTCGCGGGCGTTCTTGGGACCGCGGAGGAGAAGGGTGTTCTCGCCCTTAGGGGAGCGCTGCGCCAGCTCGTCGATGGTCAGGACCTCTCCGCCAGCGGCCAGGATGCGGGCCTTGGCAGTCGCGGTGACGCGGAGCGCGGCGACGGAGAGCTTGGGCACCTCGAGGAGTCCTGTTCTCTGTCAGTGCTGGGTTGTGTGCGTTGTCTAATACAAGGTTCCGTACTGTTGTCATCGGTAACGGTGCCAATGACTACGACAGTCTTGCCAGCCTGGGCCTTGCCAGTGTGCTTTCCGGCGGCATTCTCGACGATCTTCGAGATCGAGACGGGTGGTCGGTTCGTCTTGCTCACTAGAACTGAATTTAGAGTGTGTCCATCGAAATTGGGGGAACGTCGACTTACTACAAAGACGGCGGAGGACGGTGGCATTGAACCTATATCTTGTCTCAATATCTCACTCCTGTTATACCATGCGTGCGATGCCATACCTCGAGTCCGTTCGGCGAGCCAAGACTATAAATTCAATATCAGCACCAATCCTGCAGTAAGAATTATCCAAGACCACTAACACTTGTACAGCTTTGTCAAGATCTGGAGATACGGATTGTCGCTCTTTGGCGCTTTCCGGTGGCTCGACCGCTGGGAATGTTTAGAAGGAATGAACCTATCCCGCGAGAGAAGAATGTGTACATACGACGTGGTGCTTCTACAATTCATCGAATTAGCATTGAACAAGCATCTGTGGGCCTTTCTGGCTTGGAGCACTTACATCGAGATCGATACCTGCAGTTGGAAACACGCCGTTAGCCCTCTAATTCATGATATCCTTCGATGCGACCGGATTCTGCATTTGGAGGAGACATACCCATCTTTGCGACCTAGATGCGCGTTCTTGTTAGCAATGCTATCATTAGAGGTAGGACTTTTGACGGTGTCGTAAAGGATAGAGCAACATACCCTGTGGTTGAATCGTTAGTATGGGTGGAAAGGCGAGTCTGCGTCGGCTTCGTAGTCGGCGGCGGGTGAAGTTCGATTTTCAGAATGTGTGTCGCTTAGCAAACTCTTGGCGTAGTTGCACGTGACGAGCATCAGAAGTGAGACCCCACCAAAAGACTGAAACGAATTGTAGAGTACGCGCAGGGTATATTCGATGTCAATTACTATTAAGCTATCCAATACTGCTGTGTATACCAATCGTCACGACCACGCAGAAAAGTAGCGTCTCCAGTTCATCCTTTCTTCATCATTTGTCCTCCGCATGTTCGTTGAAGCAAAATCTAGAATACAAACGCTCACGAAATGCATGCCACAGAAACAAGCTCAGCATGTGCTGCTTACACGTAGACTCCCCGAGCCAGCAGATCCCTCTATACCCACAAACATATGATTCAGAGTCCCCCGTCTGCAAAGATACCCCTTCCCAATGTATAGAAATCGAACAGGAAGACGTTTGGTAGTGAGCCGAACAAAGAAACATTCAAGCAGAGAAAGCTTTTCCTCTTTCCCACTTGCCATAGTTAAACGCACAAAACAAGCCAAGCTGCGACAACGCAGTCACGCGCAGCGCTCAAGCACCCTTCTCGCCAAGCAAGCCTCCAATCTTCGACTTCAACAATTGGTCGGACTCGGGGGCGAACGTTGGAGCAAGGCCGGCCAGAACGAGAAACATGCCGGAGAGGACGACGCCGAAAACGACGAGCTTTCGGGCGACGGGCTTGCGAGCGCCGAAGTCGGCCCACATCATACCGCCTTGGCCAATGTACTCCTTCAGCATCTCAGCGCCGAGCTTGTAGTAGATGAGACCGCAGAGAGCAATGCCGTAGCCGAAAGCCTGGAGAAGAGACACTGGGTCGCCGAAGAGGAACATGGAGGCAAAAACGAGCAGGATATCCTTGAGCACGCCGGAAAGGGTGAGGACGAGGGACGAGGTTTTGCCAATCTGTTGATAGCGTTAGCGACGTTCGTAAATTAACAGCTTCGCAGATATTTACCAAGAAGACAACTGAGACGTTAAGCAGGAAAGCGACGAGCGCGTTAGCGAACAGGACGAAGCCTCCGACCATTTGGATGTCGGCCATGGTCAGGCGTGGAGCCTCCATGATGAGGCAGACAAAGCCGTTCATGATTGCGCAAGCAGGAGCATAGTAATATAGGGAAACGAGCGGGTCCATCTTGAACTCAGCGGAGCTCAGGATGCGCTGAACCATAACCAACCGAATGGCCTCGAAGACAATGCCACCGCACTGGTAGAGGAATCCGGTCATGTCGAATTTGATCTCGCCGAGCGAGGCGATGATGACACCGACCACGATGAAAGAGACGTTGCCAAGAGTTTTCATGTTGGGCGGAGCGACTCCGAGACCCCAGGTAGCGAGAAGAAGAACAACTGGCATGGTGGCCTATATTCTGCGTCAGTTTTGGCCCAGCATGAGCATTCGTAGAGGGTGTACCTTGAGCATCTGAATGAATGCAACACTGAGATAGAGATATGCCTGGTTGCCGCAGATCAAGCTCAAGCTGAAGAAGATCCCAATGGGAACGATAGCCCTCAGGTATACCCGTCCAGTCATCGGGACCTTCTTCCTCGAGTCCAGAATGGTCGTGAAGCGCGCGAGAATCTGGGTCATGACCGTGGCGAACACAAGATGCCATGTTGTGAGGAAAATGGCTGCGGGGGTCAGAAAGAGGCCGTGAGAGGATTGAGGTGCGCCAACTTACGGAAATCTGTAATAGAATTGTTAGCGTTGAATGATCATGAGCGTCGGAGGTGCTTGCAACTTACGAAAGCCAGCCGAGTCTAGTATCCATTTGTTGAAGACAATGACACTGGAGCTAAGAGTGATCCAGGAACTGCGCAATTTCGTCAGCGATCGCTTCGATAAGCCCAACCTGTCTCGCAACAGGTCGCAGACCTTACTCACGCAATGTAGACCGCGGGATGCAACGAGGCCACCTCGGGCTGAGGCTTCTCAATGTCGGGATTGACAGTCGGGAGGACAGGCGCAGCGGGGTCTCGCGCAGCGTCCATAGACGAGCGGACCTTCTCATCGCTAGACATGACGGCGGTGGTCGGGGAGAAACGAGAGACGTGTAGTTGGAATGAATGGAGTCGTGAAGCCAAGGGAGATGCAAAGCCAAGAGCGCTGGCTTTGTACCGGACAGGTCGCAAGAACCAGGGGGCGGCGCACGACCGGGTGCGTCACGGGAAAAGCGGGCTTCGACTGCGACACGGGACCACAAGTTGCGGGAAGACGAGGCCTGTGGGTGTACGGCTGCCAACTTGCTTGAAGTGGACGAGGGAGGTGGTGGAGTGGCGGATAATTAGGAGAACGTTGTCGTCCTACGAGGACAAAAGGGTTGCGTAGCGGCTAGAAGCGCAACAGCCAGTAAGAACGACGCAGGGCGCGCGTGCTGGGAAATAGGATGCAACGCGCAGAAGAGCACGATTGTCACGGCGATATGAGGATGGACAATTGCCCGGCAGCTGAAACAGAGATCGGCTGCGCGGTGGAGCAGCTTGCGTGGAAGATTCACTGTTTTGGCTGGCCAGCCACGCCAGCCACGCCAGCCTATGTATGTACATATTAAAGAGGGCGCAGCTGCCCACGCCTCGCGCTCCAAGGTTGAAGCTGGCTTCAATCTGTCCTCTCCAGCAGCGACGCGGAAGGCGGTGCCACACGCGTACAGCAAACGGCGCGCCCCGCCCAGACTGTTGCAGATAGCGAGGCACAGGCGGACGCACACAGGAACACCTCGCAGGTTGAGGCAGTTCGCCGTGGATCAACAGATGGGCGGCTCTGCAGTGGGGGGCATCACGCCAATCAGCAGCGATATGAGGAAGGCGATGCAATACCAGCAGTCGCCGTGACCGATCCCCCTGAGCAACACCACGAAACCGGACAGCTGTGCCTCGATTCTCGATTCTTCTCCCTCGACGCTGTGCGCTGTGAAGGCTGCTCGAAGTTTAGGGGCCGCATCCCAGCACCGAGACGAAGCGCGGACCACCCTCCCTGGACCTCCACAGCCGTCCTGGCTTGTTCGAGTTCGAATAGATAATTGCCAGTCGCCACGACAACAGCCCCCACCACCTCCACCCTCACTACTCTCGCTGCAGGACAGTCGTCCATGTTAAGTCTCGCCCAACGCACTTTGAAGAAGGTTCCCAGTTTCCAGGAACTTTTCCAAGGCAAGATGGCTAAGGAAGAAATGTCCGCACACCGCCCTCGAGTCCACCCCTCGATCCTGGTGCTAACCATACCACAGCAGCGTCGACGTGCTCGTCATCGGAGCTGGCCCCACTGGTCTTGGAGCTGCGAAGCGATTGAACCAGATCGTAGGCTCCCCGACTCCCCATGTCATGTCTGCCGCTAAGCTGTATTCTAGGATGGCCCCTCGTGGCTGATTGTCGACTCCAACGAGACGCCTGGAGGTCTGGCCTCGACCGACGTGACTCCCGAAGGCTTCGTAGGTTCTCCTCTGCTCAATTGGTCCATCACCAAATTCACATCGCGGCCGCTGCTAACAGACGCCAGCTCTACGATGTCGGCGGCCACGTTATCTTCTCCCACTACAAATACTTCGACGACTGCATCGAGGAGGCTCTCCCCAAGGAGGAGGACTGGTACACCCATCAGCGCATCTCCTACGTCCGCTTCAAGAACCTATGGGTCCCCTACCCCTTCCAAAACAACGTCTCCATGCTGCCCAAGGAGGACCAGGTGGCATGTATCGACGGCATGATCGATGCGGCATTGGAGGCCCGTGTCTCTAACACGAAGCCTAAGAACTTTGACGAGTGGATTGTCCGAATGATGGGTCCCGGTCTTGCGGATCGCTTCATGAGGCCATACAACTACAAAGTCTGGGCTGTTCCCACGGAAAAGGTACGAGGCTCAAATGCATACCAGGAAACGAGGAGCTAATTGGAGTCGTCAGATGCAATGCGCATGGCTAGGCGAGCGTGTCGCAGCTCCTGATGTCAAGAATGTCACCAAGAACGTCATTCTAGGAAAGACTGCCGGCGGCTGGGGACCGAACGCGACCTTCAAATTCCCTGCCCGCGATGGCACTGGTGGTATCTGGATTGCCGTTGCCAACACGCTCCCTAAGGCCAACATTCGCTTTGGAGAGCATGGCGCGGTGACGAAGGTCGATGCAGATGCCAAGAAGGTTTCCCTCAAGGATGGCACTGTCGTCAAATACGAAAAGCTTGTCACTACTATGGCCGTAGACAGCTTAGTCGAGTTCATGGGTGACAAGGAGTTGGTCGACCTCAGCAAGGGCCTTTTCTATTCCTCGACCCACGTAATCGGCGTCGGCATCCGTGGTGAGCGACCAGAGCGTATTGGCGACAAGTGCTGGCTCTACTTCCCTGAGGACAACTGCCCATTCTATCGCGCTACCATCTTCTCCAACTACTCTCCATACAACCAGCCGCAGGCGGACAAGAAGCTCCCCACTCTTTACACTGCGGCAGGTGACAAGCCCAGCTCCTCTGCACCAAAGGAGGGGCCGTACTGGTCCATCATGCTGGAGGTGTCTGAGAGCAGCTTGAAGCCTACCGACAACAAGAACATGCTCCGCGACTGCATCCAAGGCCTCATCAACACCGAAATGCTGAAGCCAACGGACGAGATTGTATCCACATACCACCGCCGTTTCGACCACGGCTACCCCACGCCGTCTCTCGAGCGTGAAGGTGTCCTCACTAAGCTTCTACCCAAGCTGCAGGACAAGGACATCTATTCTCGCGGTCGTTTCGGCAGCTGGCGATACGAAGTCGGCAACCAGGACCACAGCTTCATGCTTGGCGTTGAGGCCGCTGATGCCATTGTCAACGGCACTGTTGAGCTCACTCTCAACTATCCCGATTTCGTCAACGGCCGACGAAACACGGAGAGGAGGCTCGTGGACGGTGCGCAGGTCTTCGGTAAGAGCAAGAGGGCGGTCGATTAAACACTCTTGTTCTCCGCGTTCCAGCGTACGAAGTGGTGTTTGGGATATGATGGGTTCAGGATATTTGGTGAGCACGGGATGAGTTATGTACATGCGTGTCCAGACGAATGGTCCTGTGGGTTGGGTTCGCAGACATGGCATGTGATAGAAGAGCGCACACTTTTCCACTTTGTCCCAGGCTCGATGGCTAGAAGCTCAAAGAACGGGCTTCGTCGGATTTCCTTCAGTTTCAGTAGATTAAAGCTAGACCTGGCATGTAAAGAATTATACAACGCTGGTTAACCTCAGATCGCACATCCCTCAGCATGGCATCGCATGCATAATCTTCGTCTAAACTTCTACCCAACAAAACGAGCTTTTCTCACCGCTCTAAATATCCAGCAAAGCTTTACTGATGTATCTCCATCAAACCGCCATAAACTTTAGAGCATCTAGAAGAAGTCTTCCCCAGCTTTGTTATCTGTGATTGGTCGATGAGAGGCCTTGGCAGTCGGCGTCGCTTGCTCGTTTTTCCGGAACGAGCCCGCACTCTTGAATTTCGCAGAGTGCGACCGCCCATCGACGCAGCGACTGACGAAACCACCCCGACGACACCACACGCCCAGTCGACGATTCAAAATGTACGTTCACAATTCATCTCTCCTATTCTGGCCGCGAAGAATATACGAGGCGCTCTCTGAGGCCAAGAGGATACCTAAAGAACGGCACGCGCAGACGCTGCTGTACTCCTGGGCTCCCTGATGGGTCTTTGCTGCTTCTACCGATAGGATGACTGCTAACTTTCTCTGCTTACAGGGTGAAATGTACGTATAATCTCTTTCTCGAGCGCCTGGATCCAGTATGCCCTCTAGAGCCCGCAACCGTCAATTGACCCTCCGAACATCGACCGCACGAGAACCGCCAGAGGCCACGAAGATCGGACAAAAGCCACTCGCAAATGGATATGGGAACTGCGCTGGACCTGGGATGACGTTCTCCTCGGGGCAGACGCAAAACGACAAAGGCAAACTGGAATTCTCGAATCGGTCGCGGAAATTCAATCGAACGGTTGCTGTTGGTTCTGGAGCGGCATTAGGATCGGGGCTAGCAATGGGACAAAGACTCGAGAGAGACAGAATGCTGACGGTTTTACAGTTCTCAAGACAGGACGGGTTGCGATCGTATGTGGCATGAGAACTTCTCAGAGTGGACAGTATTTTGACATTATGGACACAGGTCACCCGAGGTCGCCATGCCGGAAAGAAGGTACGGATTCTCTCTTTTTTCAGCACTTCTGCTCTCCGCGTTTTCATAGACTTGGGGCTTGTGGGGCGTTTTCACGCCAGTCAACATTCGAGAATCAGTCACCGCGGCGTCGTCCCTGTTTTCCTACTACATACACGCGCCTATCCCTTCAGTTCAGATTTTGGAGACAATCATCGCTAACTTGAGTACAGGTCGTCATCATCCAGGTATGGTTAGCGTGAAATTCTATCTGCCTCGCATATTTAACACTTCCACAGACCCTCGACTCTGGCTCAAAGGCGCACCCTTTCCCCCATGCGCTCGTCGCAGGCATCGAGAGGTACGAATCTAGGGATCGAATCTGCAGCTCGTTACCAGTAACTCATATTTGAAATAGATACCCATCCAGCGTTACCCGTAGAATGAGCAAGTCCCGACAGGAGAAGCGAAGCAAGGTCAAGCCATTCGTCAAGCAGGTCAACTACAACCACCGTACGCGTCACCCGCCAATCCTTCTACCGGTTCAATCACTAATACTATCACAGTCATGCCTACGCGATACACTCTCGAACTCGAGTCGCTGAAGGGCGTTCTCTCCACAGATACCTTCAAGTACGTCCTGCACCCGCCACCGAGAAATCCAACTCAGCGATACTAATCGTGCAACAGGGAAGTCAGCCAGCGCGAGGAGGCCAAGAAGTCGGTGAAGAAGGCGCTGGAGGAGCGGTACTCGAGCGGCAAGAACAGGTGGTTCTTCCAGCCTCTGCGTTTCTGAGTGTGTCTCTTTATGTCACGGATGGATGGCAGCGAAAGCGGGAATTCTGGGAATGGGAGTGGGATCGATAGGCTGTCCTGACGGCAACTCGCCATAGCCTTTACCTCATCTTGCCAGTTGAACAAAACGGCGTCATTGCATGAATTCGATGAGAATCTCTGACTGTTTGTATGCTGCCTTTTTGGTTATGGTGCACTGCGCTGTCATGTGTTCACTATTTCGCCGATTTCTCCCCTCCTTCATTTGATGTTCAGACACATACTCCGCCCTTTCGAGTGCTGGAGGTTGGCATCGGATCCGTAATCTTCACTACTTTCTTCAGCTGCAGACGTATCCATTGTTTTTCTATTCCTGTTCTGAAAGCTCAGGTCGCGGCGACCTCCTTGTTGTCTATCTACACGCACCAAACGGCAACCCAACCGCTATAGATGGCCTCATTCCCCAGCACCCACTACTTCCATTTTCCAGTCGAGAAAACTTAGCGTATTCCCGATCCCCCTATCCAATGAAAAACCCCCCTCCAATCCCTGTCTGATCGTCATTGTGTCTTCCAAACCCCATCCTCATCTTCGGCCCTTGTTTGCAGGAAACTTCAAGTAAAACACCCTTCTCCCGCCTTCGTCAGCCCCCAATGAAAGGACACGGACTACCTTCTCTGCTGAAACATTCCCCAGCCGTCTTCCTGCTTTCCCCCGCTGCTCGGTCTCCATCTCGAATCTCAATCTCAATCTCACTACTCCTGTTCCCTCGAGATCGCGGTCGTTTGTGGGTTTCTCGTCAATTTTTTGTACGCAAAATCACGACTACCCCCCACACACGTTAGCATCCCGCCTGCCCCCGCCCCCCCTCTCCTGGTGTTCGCTAGCGGTCCCGAGCTTTGTGGTCACGCTCGCAGACGTGTGCGAGACCTGCGGCACTCGTCGACGGCCCGCGCAGATGAAACGCCGGGGGCGCGGGGCGCAGGGGATCTTGTAGCGCCGGGTTGATGAGACTGAACACGGCGTCGAGGGGAGTAGCAGGGAGCGTTGGGAAGGGGGAATAAGGGGGGGGGGGGCAAGGTCATGCCTCTGCCCCCCGGTGGTGGGTGGGTTCTAGGCTCGGAACTGGCAGATTTCCCTGCTTCATCGTTTTGGTGGCAAGCAGTAGACGATGAAGATGCTACGGTAAATGAAGACGGCGAGGGCCGGAGAGAGAGAGAGAGAGAGAGAGAGAGAGAGAAGCCGGCGCTTTTTTTGAAGGAAGAAAAAGAGGAGGGCGAGGGAGCTGGGAAAGACGGCAGATGTAGGGGACTATGGGAATGAAGATGGCGGGGAGCGGGATGGGGAAGGGGTAGGAGATTGTTAGGCCGCTGTTTGCTAATGAGTGCGATATTTGGCGACGTTCAACTAAGTTTGAATGTGATAAAATCTTAACTTACGTTTCAGACATGGGAGTGGCTCCTATTTGTTTTTCTCAGCCTATACGTGATATCATGGTCTGGCTTCGCCTCTTATAGAATTGACCTGTGAAAATGTGGAAGAAATTAGGTATGGGGAAGTGAAAGTCTGGTGGCGCTAGTTCAGGACATGGAAATCTGAGTGGGATCCAGGGACGGTGGCGCAGAGGTGTATTGACGGGCTTTCGGGATTCCAAGCGTATCTGTTCTTGGACTTGGTAGAGTGTTTAGGTTTCTGGCCTCAACTACGTCCCATTTGCGGGAGCATGTGTAATGAAAGTGGAATAAAACCAGTCTATTTCCCTAAGAGTCGTGTACAGCCCGCGCTAGAATGAAGACGAGACGATAAAAGCAGAGGTATAACATGATCCTAATACTCGTGGAAGAAAAAAAAGAAGGGAGATATAGTAAACGTCCTAGCGGGGAATAGAAAATTCATCCAAGGTCCTATGTGACAGATGCAATGAGCGCAACACTACCCCACGAAACATCCATTACTCGATACAGCAGCTGTACTCTCTCGCTATACTCTATTCCGTAACCTGGTTCTTCTTCTCTGCGGCAACCTCCTTGCCCTTGTTCCAGTACGAGATGATGTAGTTCAATGTGTCGTGGCCAACCTTCAGCTCGGTCGAGATGGTGGCTTTGGCCAGCTTAAAGATGCCATCGTCGCCACCGGTCTTCTTGTACTCGTCGTTGAAGGTGCCGAAGACGTAGTCCTTGCCTGAGCCAGCCAGACGTAGCGGGAAGAAAGCGAAGTCGACAATGGTGCCCTTGACTTTTTGGGTGTCTTCCTTGACAATAGGGAACTTTGATTCGACGGTAGAGAGAGTGCTGTCGGCGAACGAGTCGGCCTTCTCGACGTACGGGGCGACGTAGCTGTAAGGAGTCTGGAGGTATGGTAGGAGGGGCGAGCCGAACTTGGAGTAGGCGGTGTTGGCGAGATCGATGGACTTCTTGCCGTATGGGTTCGACTTGTAAGTGCTGATGGAGTCGGAGACGACGGGGTAGGAGGTGATGTGCTGCGAGGGATGGGGTCAGCAGGAATCCGAGGGGTTGGGTGGTGGTGTGATGAGGGGTGCGCGGGACGGGTGAGGCTGGAGACGGCGGGCACCATGCTGGCTGATGGTGTACGGGACGGAAGCAAGAGCATATGAACTTACAGAGATGACTTTGGAGTGCGGCTTCTCGCCGTTGGTCAATGGGGTCGACATGGTGGAGGATTCTTCAGCGTGGGGCATGAAGAGAGTCTGGTGACGGCGATAAGGTCAGAAGGGTGTTTATAAGTCTGAATGCTGAGGGCGGAAGATGGAAAAGATTCAAAAGGTCCCTGCAGGCGCGGCGTACGGTTTAAATAGAATGCGGGCTGTCGGTCGCAGTATGAGCGAAGATTTGGAGCTGTCTGTCCGAAAACGGCGTCAGTGGGCTGCCGCAATCAACCAGCAGGAACGCAACACACCGTGGATGCTTTCGCGCGAAGTGGTCGGGGAGCGTAGAGGTCAGAAAAGTCTGGAGGGTGTCTGGTGGGAATAGAAGTGGAGGGTGCGAGGGGCACAATATGGGTTGGTGGGCTTGGGCGGTCTCACGATTTGGGGTGCCAACTTGACGCCAACTTCCTTGCATGTGCATGTGAAAGTATCAAGGAAGCTCGGGCCCGCAACGTCAGAACGATAAGGCTTTGCCTCGAACAACACCACCAGCAGGCCGCGCTGCCACACTTGACACTGGCGGCCCGGCTTTGACTCTGGGCCACTGCGGCGCTTGCGGGCTTCACACGAACAGGCACTGCGAAGCTGCCTCAGCGCCGCCAATCCGCGTGCAAGGCTGAGCCTCCCGTGCCGGTGCTCCTCACCGACTGCCTCCCGCCCAATCGAAGGGCCCCCAGTCCTCCCTCAGCCTTGGTGCTTCCCAGAAAGGGGCCCTTACGTACGCCCACGCTGCTAAACTGCTATCAACTTGCTGGCCAGCTGATAGCATGCCATCCGCCTCATCCCCACGCCCTCTCGCGTCTTACAGCACCGCACGGAAGCCGCCCCGCAGAACCGTGTGCTTTGCCTGGGCGCCTGGGGTCTTCGAAATGAGGGGTGCAGCTTGCAGCTTGCAGCACGCAGTCACCATTGCGCCTGCAGGGCTCCGCGCCAATGGGCGCAGGCGGGCGTCCAGCGGTTCTGGGACAGCGTCGTCACCTAGGACAACAAGGCCCCAACGGTGGTGAGGTCGGAGAGATTGTCGCGATTCCCATGTGAAAGGCGATCTTGCGCAGCGCCCTGGTTCCTCTGGCGCCTGCCGACCCAGACCTGCGGGCGTCATCACCGATTCATGACGCCGAGTGGGGCGACGGTGGGACGGCTCGCTACGACGTTCGCCGAGTGCCCAGACGGCTCAAGAATATCTCGACATGCCTCATAGAGACGCGTCCGGCGACATCGCGAGCGGCAGCGTGTCGCTCTCGGCCGTTGGGCGGGCCCGGCATGCCGAGGGATGGCAACGTTACACACGGCGGCGCGCTCGGCCGGCGTTGAGAGGCCAGCTGCACCACTCATGCATCTGCCTTGTTCACGCCACACTTCCGTTGGGACGGGTACTTTCACGTGCGAGGCGTGCGCAATTGTCGTCACATTACAAAGGTAGGTGGGAGGTACGAGGTACGCCTTCTGGGCCAGACGGCGGGTTCCCCAGAGCGGCGTAGAAGCTCATGTATGCAGCGTGACCTTAGGCACTCATCTCCCGGCACGCCTGCTTGCTCAAAGAGCCCTCCGTCTTCACGAACACAGCAGCGCCATTTCTCAGCCGCATTCCTCAACCATCGCCTTTTGCAAAGTCCATGTCACTTTAAAGTGGGGACCCGACCCCATGCATCTGCACCCTGGAGATCCTGCATATAATGTAAGCGAACTCAACACCTCGTCCCATCCGTCCTTCTGGAAACAACGCAGCGAATCTCCGCCCTGCCTTCTCCGCTCGCGCAGCGCCATTCATGTGTCACTCGATGGCGTGCATCGGATACGAGGGATCGATGGGAGCGATATCATCGCTGCACTTTTGTCTCGAAGAAGAGAGCCGATAGCGCCTTGCCTTGTTTGGGCCTGCGTCTATCTTCTGTGCTTTTGGAATTCCTTTTATGCGGCCCCCAATTAAGAGGTCAAAGCGACGTCTTGATTCCATTACTACAAAGAATCACTAATGCCTACTGTCAGTCCCATAAAAAAAGTACTTCACGGATAGAACCGAGTCGAGAAATTGTTACATGCGCAAATGCAAAGGTAGTATACCAGGCGATTTACTAATCGCGACTGGCTTAGGGAGCCATGTACCTATTGTTACACGATGAAGTTAAGCGCCAAGTGCAATCTCTATACAGGATACCAGTCGAGGACGGTGCGCTGCCAACTAAATAGCACGAACCATATTTGGAGCTTACCATGCTATTTCACTGGCTACATGCTGCGCTAGGTAGGTCCGGATCTTATCGTCTAACTGGGCCATATTTTACACCATCACCACTTGGTCTCTTTTTAGATTTTTGCGGTGCCGCCTTGATTTTGTAGAGTGGTCAGAATTCAGAAATTCCGGCCATCGAGCGGCTCTGGCTAGATTGCTTTATCGTTGTGCTGTGTCGTCCATCGTCCCACATCAGTCCTTGTGCTCCGGCTCATATAGTACGGCCTGGGCCATGACAGTATTAGTTCCACTTACCCCCCTTCCCTTCATCTCGGCGCTGTCCCTTCGCGCGAAGTCAAGTTTATCTCCTACTATACTTTCAGGAAGACCGGAACAATGGCTTCCCTTTTATATTCCTCAGGCACTACCGATGATGAGTCTTTGATGGTAGTACAGACCGACAGTCATGTCCAATCGCATGTTTGCTCCGTCTGCACACAACATCCGGAGAGCTTCAGCTCGCTCCCATACCCAGGCATTCGCCCAGTTGGACCCCAATATAGAGTTCCGCGGTCTGTCGCAGACATAGTCGCTAGCTATAATAGTGGTTGTCATTTCTGCACATTGCTATTGGGATGTGCAGACGCAAAATTGCGCACTCCAATACGGCATGGAACGCCTACATTCATCCGATTCGACGGAGCAGTTGGCGCATACCCTGACCCAGAACAGTATTCTAAGCTGGAATATAGTGTTCTTGACGATGAGAATAAAGTTCTTGTTGGTTTCATGGTTTGCTACTGCCCCAGCTTAGGTTTGTAGAGGTCTGAAAATCTATCTCCATACCCTGCTCATAACATGTCCCTAGTAGCGGCTTCAACCTTCTCTTCTTCATGCCATTTGCCCAGGAGGTAGTTTCACCAGGAGCCCAAGGTCAATGGACTTCTTGATTAATTGCCTTCAATCCTGCTTATCAAACTATACCATTTGTCGATCTTATTCCGAGCTCAACCGGGGGACAATGCCTACGAGATTAATCAACGTTGGAGGAAGGAATTCAACCAGCAGTCCAAAACTCATATTACGCCACGATTTCGGCCAGAATCCGAGTCGAACATGTCACCCTAAGCCACAGGTGGAGTAGGGAGCACATGCCGAAGTTGCTTAGCTTCAACGTTGCATCCATGAGATCTCATGTGCCTGCCGAGAGCGTCGCAGGATCATTCGCTGATGCAGTGACTGTCGTAAGACGGCTCGATATAAGATATCTATGGATCGATGCCCTCTGTATCGTCCAAGATGATGTGGACGACTGGAGGAGAGAGTCAGCCATGATGGGAGAAATATACAAGGGGGCGGCCTGTAATCTCGCAGCCACCGCTGCCGGAGAAAGAGAGAATCCCGATACTCTGTTTATCGATGGAGCCCCTCTTTTGAAATCGATCCTGACTACAGAAATCAAAGGCACGACCTACCACTTCTTTACTGAGACGACGGAGCTATCCTTTCTGTCCCTCGCGACGCTGAACACGCGAGGACGGGTCCTCCAAGAACGGCTTCTGAGCCCCCAATTGTCCATTTTAGCGACTAGTTGTACTGGGAATGCTGCGAGCTCCGAGCATCAGAGGCATTTCCTGCAGGGTGTCCAGACTTAGTGTATCCGGAATGGACTCCAAGAATGCCACGCATGGTCAAATCTATTTGGGCATCAGTGAACGATGCATCTAGGAACCGCAAAGAGCTGTACGATACTTGGCGGTCTATCGTTGAAAGCTACACCTTTTACTACCCGACTTATACATCAGATGTGCTCGCAGCCATAGCTGGGCTTGCAAAATACATCGCATTCCGGCACCTTAACTCCGCGTTCGGTTCCCAAGCAGCAAAAGATGACTACCTCGCCGGGTTGTGGAGAGGAGACCTTATACATGGTCTGACTTGGGAGATGTATGTTGGTAGCTCTTCGCCCGGAGACTGGCGACAGAGGCCATGTGTGAGTGGTGAAGCGCAGCGTAAGCCCGATTCCGACCTTTGCGATGCCCCTCAGCTAATTTCACCATAGATCCATCTTGGTCATGGGTGACACCCTATCCGCAGGCGATCCTTTATTCATGCGACTGCGAAAAATTATACCTGAGAACCCCACTAATATTAATTCATGAAGTAGAGGTTTCCCGCTCCAAGACGACCTTTTTGGGCCCCTCAGAGGCGGCTATATCAATCTTACTGGCTTCTTAGCCACATCTTTATCTCACGAAAACTGTCACACAAATGCCAGCGTACTCAAATGTAGACCATCTCACGTCTGCCCCTGCCGAGTGAAAGACTGGTTCGGATTGCCCATTGCAACTTTTGATCAGTCTTCTCTGTACCGCGACCGGACTTACCGCATAGCGCGTGGACTGGTCCTCCAGAAGACCGGGACTGGCGATACCGAATTTCGAAGGATCGGCAGTTTTTCCTTCATGGTTTTCCCTGAGCCTGAGACAGATTCTGCATCGTTCGGTGCAGACGACTCTCCGGAGCTTTGGACGACGCCTATCCCACTGAGATATAAGAGGGAAACCATAACGCTTGTATAGCTTCGTTTAGATTCGCGTTCTCGCTATCTTAGTAACGGTATGCTGATATACACCACTCCGTCTGACATGACGCCTTCAGTCCTGCGTATGGAGCTTATGATAGTGAGTGATGTCAACCCCTCAACGATTTCCATTGACGTGGAACCTGTAAGCAAAGCTGTCCTAGCTTTCACTGCTACAAGCAAGCTGGTCAATTATCAAAGTAAGAGTGGTAATGCTATCATCTGGACGGCCGTTCTACGGTAAAAGCAGGTCGTCGAGCGGCACGTGACGCACTCAGCGTTAATTCACCATCGTCGCAAACCACGCCATTTTCGAGTATAAATATCGGAGTCCTGACTCCTATGCTATCCTCCTCCTTATCTCTACAATCCATCACACCAACACATCGAACATCACCAACCCGATTATTTCCGTGCAACAGCTCACATTCAAAACCGACACCACCATCCGATGCCCAGAATGGCTGCAGCGACGGCCGACCCACAACTGCTAGACCTTCCGGCGGACATCCTCGACTACCTCAGCTATAATCACCTCGACAGCGTCAACTTCTTCAATTTTCGCCTCAGCTGCCGCAAGGTACACAACAATACGTTCAAAGCCTTCGGCCGACGATACTTTAAGCACGTGAAGTTCATGCTCGCACCACACAGCCTGGCGGCTCTGGAAGCAATCTCGAAGGACAAGCAGCTGTCCAGCTTCATCCGGCATGTTGGCATTGGACCAGAGAGGCTACGTTCTCATCCAGAACTTGCGCCAGATAACTCAGGACCCTCCCTCCACCACGAGGCGTGTCGATTCAGGAAAGTAGAGCATGAGAAGCTTCTTCAGGAACAAGAGGTAATGGAGTGTGATGGGCTCGACCTCGAGATCCTGACCAAGGCGTTCAAGTCCTTGCCGAACTTGGAGAGCATTGGGATTGGGGGCCATTACGTGGCTGCAGATGCGACATCGCGTGAGTGTAATCTGGATTATGTGCAGAGCTGGGGCATCGAGCATATGCTCCGTAAGCTATGCGTGTTCGGTGGAAAGCATTGCCCTTCAAGGGCAGAAATGTTCTGCGATCTTGACACCCAGTATCGCGCGTTCGAGATTGTGTTCAAAGTGCTGGCATTGCCTGGGATTGCGAGCCGGAAACTCACCCTAGATCTCCATATCCGCCGACCAATTTCATGGATGCAAGGCGTCGTTCCTTTCCTACTGAGCGATCCCGACGTACATGCTGCCCTGACTCGCACTTGGCGCTTGACGCTGGAGACGCCCGGTTGGCAGCAGCAGCCTACACCTCCCGGCATGTTTCAATCACACTGGTCTTGGGTGAGCCAGCTACTTGGAGAGGTTGCGTCGTCTTTGAATTCGATCAAGCTGTACTACCCATGGCCACAGACTCGGCGATGGCCTTCGGACCTTGTCTTTGGGCAGTTTGTCGTGCGCAATTATCCCCTTTTGACAACTATCGAGCTTCATCACATCCATGTCGACCTAGGTAGCCTCCTACGTTTGCTCAAACATCAATCGAGCACCGCTAAGACTATCAAATTCTCTAACGTCGTCATCACGAGGGCTTCTCCAGGCTCTCCGCCGCGGCACGATCGGTGGCTCGAAGTCTTCGAAGAGTTACAAAGCCTACAAATGTTGAAGACACTGACGCTTTCGAGGGTTGCTGAGCATGGCCTGTTACCCGCTAACCGCCGGGTATCTGACACTGCAGAGGACCAGACGGTGGGAAACAAGGGGTACGACGTGAGAATGACAGTGCACACGGTAGATCTGCACGGCCACCAGGAAATTATCCAGGTACTCGCGCAGGCTATTCAAGATAACTGGTCTCGGGCCAGGCGTATCCTGCCGCGGGCCCTCGAGAATGCCGGGTCGACTTGGCTTCATTCGAGGAGTTTCCGCGTCACCGTTTCGCGGACTAGGGGGCATTGGTAGGGAAGAGTACCGAGGGCTACGACAGGCTGAAGAAACCTGTTATATATCGGATCGCCTTCGTCTAGACCCCTCTTTCTCCTGCGCATCGGCATATAATACATCACGTACGCGGCCACCATCTCCTGGTTCCGTGATAGTCGTAGTGCTGGGATAAGTCACTGAGAGTCGATGGACGGGGATGGAAAGAGTCAGTAGTCTCTAGGAAGCTTACGTAGTGCATTTTAGCGATGAAGCGTTTCGGGGTACAGTACTAGATCCCAAGTATGGGGATATGCAGACACCACCACTGCTTGGGCTGCAATTTTGCTCGCTCGACACCACTTTCAGGAGAACCCTGGGTAGTAGGTAAACGATTAGTCAAAGGGTAGCCTGATTTCTATTACATCGACCTTTTACATTGTGTTCAAACTTCTAAAGCCCATTGGGGTGCCCCAAAAAGTACTGACAAAGTACTCACAGGATTTCGCTCAATATCAAGAATTGGGCTGAGGATTTTAGCTACTCTGATATACCATTACTTACGCTTGAATCATGATCGTTGAATACCGCTGTAAGGAGTGGCTTAGCTAGTATGTAGACAGCCTGTCAAAAGGTAGCTTGATTCCCTTTACATCAACCTTTACATCGTGTCTAGATTCTCACAAACCTGTATGGGGGCCCCAAGCGGCGCGAACCAATCATGTGACCCAGGCACGCTGGACAGGAAAAAAGTGGCACACTCACACTCAAGCAGGTCAACACCGTCTGAGGTGGCCCAGAGAGCTATCAGGCTTTCCAAAAACGGTATTTCATGAATGACAATAGCATACTGGAGGACCTCAAGCGGTGCTAAATCAGCGTACACGAGCACGAGCATGGAAATAGTATATATATAACTCACGGATTTATAGACTGCCACTTTCTCTTACATTCATCAACCACGCTGTTATATAGGTGCATCTGTCTACCACTGCTTGAGGTGCTTCAGCAAGTTTCCACATAGCGCAGAGTGAAGAGCTTCTATCCCGTTCAGATTTCTGAAAATCTATTGAAGCATCCCAAGCAGTGGCAGATAGGTGTACCTACGAGACCGAGACAGTTCGTCCTAGAATTAGTGTGCCACCTTTTTCATGCCCTGCGTGCTTGTCTAATCCAGTTCCGCGGAGATGACCGGCCGGTTTCAATACTCACTGAGGATGGAGGTGAAACAATGCACTGAACGAGGTAAGTGATGTATTGGATGAGCATCTATCTAGGCTACGTACGCCGTATATATACTCTGTGTGTGTGGAAGCTTACTAAGCCGTACCGTAGAACTGTGAGGGCTAAGTATAGGAACCGTGTTCTATATCGAGGTAGCCTCTCACAAATCTTTCCTTCTGCAACTATCGAAGACTCCGGCCGTCTAAGGAATCAAGCTTTTCTATCTCTTTTTGCCCACCATCTCCCCAATCCGGTGTGGTTTAGTTGGTCATAACACCGTAGTAGTCCTCCACCTCGGGATGAACCGGAAACCCGAGTTCGATCCTCGGCGCCGGACATTGCATGAGTTTGTTTAATTTTTGTAGGTTGGGCTGGGGAGATGCATGAACCTTCTTTTGGTGGCTTCGATAGAGATAGAGGGTTTAGGGGATGTATAACGTAAGTAATAGGGTTATTACGTTTTTTAGCGTTAAATACGGACCAATGCCTCCGGGGCTAGAATTTGTATGGTAATAGCATTATTGTTAAGGTGCCTAGCTGTTTGCAGGACTTGCAACGCTGATTGAACATCACAGCGGTATACCCATTACTGGGATATCCTCTTATCAGTGTAGCCACCATCTTGCTGCTCCAGCCTTCAGTAGAACAGGTATTGTTGTTGCATATAAACCTGCCCATGACGTGGGTCGAGTAATCGTTGTTGGAATCTATGTCGCTATCGCTTTTGTGGAACCACGTTGAGGTGATGTTGTCGGAGACGGCGTTTACGACGTCCTGATGGAGCGATGGAAACATAAGGGAGGTCTTTTTTCTCGCCATTTTCGATGGCACAAGGATCGTGTGTTGAGTTGGTGCGGGAAGGTTGCCAATGTAGACTCGGAGGAGAAGAGACGGGTGAGAGGAGTTATTGCTACTAAACGGCACCAGGATAGGAACTCTCAAGTGGATCTTTAGGGGTCGACACTTCCTCGCCGCTACTGCTGTAAAACCGTGATCAAGTAACTTGTCAACCTCTCATTGGAGAAAAGTCAAGAATCTGGTCAAGAACGTGAATGATTCGTAGCGAGCAACGCAGTGCTGCTCCTGTTTCGGGGAATGGAATGAGTCTAATTACGCTATCATGCTGGGGATGTTTAATAAAGGCTTAACTTCGACAATCTGCATTCCTTGGATGGGTTAGAGGCATACTCACGTCTATACCATTGGCATGGCGGTCACGACAACGCACAACGACGAGGGGCACGACGGGAAGGTACAACGGCGCCGCATTTTGACGGCCACACCTCGAAGGCAAAACACGGTCGTAACCGCAAGAGTCCTGCGCTAGAGGAGGATGTGCCAGGCCCTGAGACTGAAGTGACGTGGATGAGGGCGCCAATACCAAAGCCAGAGCTAGAGCCAGCGCCATGGAGGGCCCCAGTGGCGCGGATAATATAGGACAGCGTTGAAGTATAAGGGTGATCTTATGCTAGGAGTTGCGCCTTACTACTATCAATAACCCTAGCAAGTTCTGATTACAAGCCCAGCCTAATGACAGCATTTTCCATCTCTGTATCGACCTGATCTTGTTTGGCTTGAAGTCGCTGCTCATCTCTCCTGTATCTCTCAATATCAATGTCACCGTCCATGAACTCATCGCATAATGCATCACGCCAGAAATCCTATTCTCTTTCCATATCCTCCTCAATTTGCGAAGCCCAAGCACGATGTTCTTCATACGCGTCGAAGAAATCAGAATCCGCGAGCCACCAATCGTATAAAGCCGTATAGGCGCACGGGCTCCAAAGCAACGAGCAAGAAATCCTAAGCTCAAGCCAATATCATATCCACCATTGGATGGGTCAAGGATTTTTCTCACAACTTCTTGCCGAAGTATCGATGTACGTGGAAGTGCACCGTTCAAAAGGTATCCTTTCATATCGAGTCCGCGTTTTATGAGAGTCTCAACAGAGACTTTGTGGATAAGATATTTTTCTGGGATCTCCCATGTGAAGATATACTCGTATCGGAGTTTCCCGTTGTCTGGATAATTCCATTTCTTGGCCAGATCTTCCGCATGATGATAGACATCCTTATCTGTATCGGGTACATAGATAAAAGTGATCCAGATCTGGTCGGGGCTCTCCTCATCTTCATATAATTTGTTGAAAGCCCGTCGAAGAGTATCGATGATGCGGCTACTTACGGAGATCAGGGCAGTTGGGACCGTCGCGCGTAGTAGCACGTGATTAACGTATTCAGAATGGAGGTCGGTTTCTGAGAGTCGTCTACCTCTGCAGCCTTTGCCGGAGATAAGACCACCAGCGCTGCTATTCGAAAAACACCGAAAGAAGTAACGTCCAGACTTGCCCATGTTTCAGTGTGCCGGGTGCGTTGGAGACGGTTTGGTTAACTATCAAGGTTAAAAATGTATTGGAGGCTAATCAATGAATCGCCGTCAAGATGTGCATGACCTTGAGACTTTATTGGTCAAGCTATGTTGCTGCCTCCGGATATGCTGAGCTGGCAATGCATCCGGAGTCGGATTTTTAGGTGTTCCGGGCGTCTGCATAGCCACAGATCTGTCAGCCACTACAATTAAATTACACTGTCATGATTACTTAAAGTTAAAGTACCCCTTATCTGTCTCGGCACGGAGGGTGTCTCGCTACGCAGGGAGGGACGTTACCTCATGCCTCATAATCAGGGTCATAGTCCGCCATACGCTTGGCTGCCCTCTCCTCCTGCTTAGCAAACTTCGCTTCATCATCAGAAGCCATCCTCTCTGGCGGTGTCTCTGATCTTTTGCGCTTCTTGACTCCGGGGAGAATAGAGTGCCTGGCAAGGGCTCTCTGCCGCCGGATCTTGTCTTCTGCAACAGCAATGTATTGACAAAGCTCCAGACTAGACACGGTTATCTCACGATCTTCGCCTCTAATCGCATCTTGTGTAAGCTCTTCGCAAGCAAAGTCGGATAATTGAAGTCGTAGACCTGGATGATTAGTAGGATGTCCTTGATCGTCCCGGAACGCCTGTGCAGAAATGTCAGGAATCAAAGACGTGACGATACTGTCTCATAACAGGACATACTTCATCCGCGATTTCTCGAACCACTCTTAGCTCATCTCCATTAGTAGTATGGGCTATTTGAGCTCTCCACACCAACAATGTCGCCTTGCGCGACCCCTCTTTGCCATATTCAATATCCAGACCCACAACAACCTGCACACTGGCATCCGAGTCCAGAAGATAGTCTTCAACTAGCCGGCTCAACCTCTTCTTCTGCGAATATGCGACTTCGATTATAACGCCAGGGTATTGTGCATCGTCATGCTAGAAAGAAGTGTCCGGCTCGTGTTTCGACTTTGTGCTAGGCGGAGCATCATCGACTGGAAAAGATATCTCGGTTGATCGGGCTGGCCGCACCTTCTGCGCAAAGAGAGCTGCCCTATCTGATCCGCTGCGAATCGCTTTCAGTTGACTTCGAATCGCGTCCTCGACACCATCAATAAAGAGCTCATGTACGCCCGTCGGCATCCGAACGACAAGCCGATGGCTTCCTCCGTAGTAATCATATCTGTGTGATCCCCATCGTTAGCTGCTGTTCCTATCAATCCTCGAGCGCACACACCGTATCTTGTCTTTAACGTATCCAAATAGCGGCTCGTCTCGCCTAAGCTGACGCTCTATCTCATCGTACTCTCCACGAGCAAGTTGAAATTCTATCCACGGGTGTTGCTTGGTGTGTCTTCCGGCTTGAATATCCTTGAAAAGCGCGATGACTCGGGGAACTTGGGTGAAGGCTTTCTCGTTCGTTGGTGGAGGTGTCAAAGGTGCGTCTATGAGGCTTGAAGGCGGCGTGATAAGTTCTTTCAAAGGAGTCTGTGAGGAAGACATAGAAATGTATCTAGCCACAGGTGGACCTGCATTGCGACGTTGAACGGTGGTGATCGCGAGAACAGTTGTCCGAAGTTCCTGACGCCTCAGTTGACTCAGCAACCGTGTCACGCTAACCCGCCTTTGGCTCTTCATTGCCAAGCATCACTAGAGGGAACTGTGGTTGATGCATGCGGCTGTGCTTGACCGTCACAACCCTGCGCTGGTCGCAGAGCCAACCACCCCAATTCTTCAATATTCTTATTCCCTCAAAAGCTAGACGCCCACAAGGCTGTGGCCGGAGCGGACCACCCTCCCTGTTTGTGGTGGCAATATCAAGAGCTAAACTATTTTCGCCAGCTTCGTGGGCCCTATTTCTGGTTCCCTCGTCCCACTACTTCTAAATAGGGCCCAGAAAGTGACCCTTGCCGAGCTTCGTTCTCCAGCGTATCACGTGCACTGTATCAGGGATTAAAGCGGGCTAATTGACTGAGATGACTTTAATTGCACCCCCCCGGCCGACCACTGCGGGACCACCGCGGTCCAACCAGATGCTAGGAGCTCAACGCGCCAATTGGAGCGACCTCGCAGACATTTTCCTACGCAGCAGCGCACTCGCCCGAACCGGTCAGTATCAGGGAGAGGCTTCGGGGGGGCTGATAATCAACAAGGAGGAGTGCTTTTGAGCGATGGAGGTGCTGAAGAGGAGCTCGATGGCGACGGGGGGTTCTCTGAAATCGCGATGAGCCTGTCTCTCAGAGCCAGGGCTTTCCCCAACCCTCTTCATCACGCAAAGCCTTTTCTAGTCCATTCAGTTCTTCTTCTTGCAGGCGTGAAAACTCATGTTCTGAGAGGCCAATATCGGAATCGAATATTGATTTCTCAAGATCGAAAAATCGAGGGCCATTCGCAGTGATGATGATATTGAACTTGTTTAAATCTCCATGAATGAGGCCGTACGAGTGAAGTTGAAGAAGGCTACGCTTACATTCTGCGTAATTGTCGGGCCCAGCAAAGTCTCCTTTGAACTCCTCACAAATGAAACCGATGATCTGATTATCACTTCTTTCGAAAACATATGCAGATATGGTGGGAATCAGAGTGCACCCTCTTTCCCTAAGCATGTTATAGGCCCTCAATTCCCTGACCATATATTCAAGCTCAAATTCAAAAGGACAATTCTTGAAGATCTACCGCTGTCCATAACGTACCTAAGACACACGATTCTTCAGCAATCGTTCGACATTTAGATCAAGAACATTCACGCAAGGAACATCCTTCAGAACCACATGGGGTGGAAGAGAGTGAGGCTTCCAGTCGTCTTGCAACCATTGAATCTTGCCATCCCTTCTAAACACTGTTAATGTTGTCCATTGTTGATTCCAGACTTCTACAGCCTTTCCCAGTTCTTTGATCACGTCAGGTCCATAAGTCTGGCAATCTTGTGGGATGATACCGAGGTCTCGGACGTGAACGTATATAACGGTACTGATGTAGTTGAAGTCTCTTCGGAATCGGTAGTAGCAATCGTGTGGGCTCATATCGAGAGATAAAAGCGTGTCTGTCGGTTCCATAGCTAGGTGAGTCGGTGGAAAGCTTTTGAGCGCAAAGAGCTCTTGGATTCATCGAGTTATTTTCTGCATCTCAAAGCTATCACGATAAAAAGCGGACGTATACTTACGAAAGCGAAAGTGGGCACTGTGTTACTTTTGCGTGGGATTGACTGGCAGCGTGGTCATTACAGCCACGTTGCCAAGAGCACTCACGGAACATCAAAAGGCCGACTCCGGGACGGTGGCCAAGTCTCTTGCGGGCGAAGGCTTCCGCTCCAGGAATCGGCTTCTAGCCTAAACTCGACCAGCGACGGGCACTGGCGATGGTGACGAGGCGTCGCTAGGTTACTTCAGTGGTCGTGGATATCTCGCGGTTTGGGGGGCAAGGTGTACGTACTGCTGACTCAGCAATTCGCGCAGTTGCCACTGTTGAAGGCCTAGAACGCAGTCGTACCGACCGAATCTTTATACTGTAGACGGAAAAGCTTCTTATATAGCTATTGAAAAAAAAAGAAAAAGAGTTGCATGCTCAGCCGTGTAGCCAGCCATCTGCGGCGTTGCATCTTTTACTTCTACTCCTTCGTCTTCAAATACCCAGCTTCGAAGCATCAAACCCCCTATCCGCCAGCTGCGCCGCAAACAAACTCTTTGGCTCGACGTGAGTGCAAGTACTCACATACGTCCCATTATTTCCGCTCACGGGCGTCCCGATGCAGCCGAAGCAGTAGTTCTGGCCGCCGGCGGGGGACTCGATATCCAGTTTCTTTGCGTTCACGTTCCAGCCAACAGCTGCGTAGCTTGTCAGTTCTTCATTTCCTAACCCGAACACATGGACATCGACGCATTCTGTGCGGACATCATGGAAAAAATGTCGACTCACCGTTATTAACTGTCCACCCATGCCCAGTGCCCGCCGTCGCTCTGTTCCTCAAACTCAGCGCCCCACCCTCCTGGTTCTCAACCAGCAGCCCATGCGCCCACCGCATGTGCGGCTCGATGCTTTCAACAGCCTGCTCGTGGACGTAGTTCAACACCGCATTCGGCCCCGGCGTCAGCGCCTTCGTTGCTACAGAATACGACCGCGAGTCCGCCGCGCCTTGCGTACTGCAGTTCTCAACAAGCACCTGGCTTCCATCGAGCGACACGTCGAGCGCGTACCCCGCACCATTGTCCGTCGCGCCATCTCGGTGCATGGCTATGTTCGACAGAGTGATGCGGGAGGCATTGTAAGCGACTGTGATAAAGTTGTTGAAGCCTGTGAGTGCAAGGTCGCGGATCCAGCTGTCAGTCGACCAGGTGCCGATGAGGAGGGCGTTGGCGGTGCAAGTGGTGTCACTGAGAATGCGGCCGGAGCAGCTGGGAGAGAGGGTGAGACTGAGTGACTCGAGGCCGATTTCGGAGGGCTGGGATGGAGGCGTGTAGGCGACGAGTTGGGGGGACCAGGCGGGGATGAGGGAGTCGGTGAAGGGGACGTCGACGGAGATGGCTTTGCCGTGGATCGAGGCGATCTTTCGGGGTTGTTGCACAAGGGTGCCGGGCTGGGAGGGGAGGTTAGTCCGTGTCTATCGGAAGTATTGATGGGTTATGCGTACTTTGATCCAAGTCTGTATCTTCCCGCTCCTCACGAGCGCATTCATTCCCAGCTCTGCGATCCACGATTTCGTAACCTGCCTCTGCACCATGACTTCCTGACCAACTGCAAACCCAGATGCATCCACGACATGCACTGTACCTGTGCCTGCAGCTATGTAGCTGTCTGTGATCAACGCTGTTTTGATCGCCTTTCCTTTTCCCGTCTGGTCACCGATAGTGATCACATCTCCCGACAGACTCTTCACGTTCAGGATCGTTTTACCAACCCCAGCTCCTCGGAGAGTCGTGTAGTTGCGGATCACCAGGCCGGGGGTAATGGCGTATTTGCCCGCTTTGAGCGCAACGACGCCGCCGCCAGCCTTCCAGACGGAGTCAAGTGCGGCTTGGATGGCGGCGGTTTGGTCACCGCTACCTGGACTGAGCGTTTTGGTTACTTTGCTATTGGATGCGGGTAGGGATTTCTCGGAGGCATGGTAGCCAGCATAGCTAAAGTTGGGAAGTTTGTCGCCTTTTGAGGTTTTGTAGTTTTTGTAGTCGACTGTGACGGCGGCAACGGATGTTAATGTAGATAGGAGATAGAGTAGAGATGGCAAGATGATCAATGAAAGAGACCTCATGTTTGAAAGTATATGAGAAAATGAACGTGGCGAATTGAAAGTGATGTTGCAAAAGGAAGGGTGCGCGACGAGACTGGATGGAGATAATGAATAAGAAGGTACAAGCATTATCGCTGCTTTCTCTGTTGGTTAAGTATCTTTCTGATGCTGGAGTTTTTATATCACAGGGGCCCGTATAACCCATAAATCGATTTAGGCCGCTTCAGCCTCGCTGGGGACAAGCATTAGGAACCTTGAGTCGACAGCGCAGCCCTGAGCAACAGGTCCATCCACGGTCGGAGACGCCGCATCTCGCAGCTTACGTGAACTCATTCGATGATTAAATATAAGATCTCGCAAGACAGGTCTGTGTAAAGTTAAGCTGTCAGCATGTTGCGAGCTGAAGACGAAGCTGAGCGGAAGATGGAGATTGAGCTGAGAGATGCCGATGGTGGCGTCGTGGACCAAACCCTTGCGGGAACAAATCCTCCTTCTCGTTTTGAGGATTTCGTCACTTTTCTTGTCCGTACACCTGAAAACCCCATGCGGGACGCATACTGCACACTCCAGTAGAACTGAACGTAAGCAGCGATCGACTATGACTAGATTGACCTCCCCCTCTGGGTGGCGAAAACCCCTGTGTGCCGAAAGAAGTCGGATGTACTTTGGCTTCCAAACAATCTAGGGCCCGCCTATACACTGTTCTTTCTATCGAAGCATTAGTAGAATTATACATAGCGAGTAATGTAGTTATAGCGCAGCTTTCACCCAAAATTACACAATGTTTGGCGTCTTATCGCTTGATTTTCATTCAACGTGCTGTGGACCTGCAATACTATATCTGCCACAACAACGCCATTCCGTCCTGTCACTAGCTGAAAAATCAGACGATCGATTCTTTTAAGTATGCGATCCTTTCTACTCTACATCTAGGCCACTAACAGTTATGCACGCGGTGCAAAGTGCATTTCCGCCACGGAGGTCGGTACATGCGGCAAGTAGCAGCGACAAAAGCGGATATGGTGGTATCGTTATGTAATATCTGAACAGACAGGCCGATGTACCGTTTGGAGTTCATTCCACATGACCCCTGCCATGCTCAATGCAGGTCTTTCCTTGTCAGCTTCAGCTTTAATTTAGCCACAATTATGACTAAGAGACCTGCTGCCTTCCTGGCGCAGTGTGGTGCAGTCACTGTCTCCAAGCACTCAATCGCCAGACCTCAACTGCCATGCGGACCGTGCGTACCATCCTTTAGTCCCACCTCCCGCACCGTCGCAGGAGAGGCATTGGATTTTTGGGTGTGTAGATGAAGAAAGAGGTTGCAGGTCGCGACGCAGACTGGAGCAGGAGGCGCGATCCGCCAAGAGTGACTCAATCGGACTGCTCTTGGCAGTTAGTTGTTCAAGGATTACTGGCGCACATCCGCAGGAAAATTAGACTAGCAGGATCCAGGAACCGAAGTAACTCTACACCAGGGAACCACAACAAGAGTTCCTGGGAGCTAGATTGGGCTCAACCCAAAAGCGGAAGTGGCCACTATCTTGCGCTTGCTGTTGCGCCATCGGGCTCATCACTAGCCACAGTGTCGTCGCTTCGCAAAAGGGCAGATTGCGAGACCAAGGCTGTGCCAAGAGTATTGCCTGAAGCCATCATACGCATAAATTGCCTTTTCCTTTTTGTTTTCTTTGCTGCAAAGTGAACAATGTTTGGTTCAACCCAACCAAGCGCGCTGTACTAGCCACGTCGACCATGAGTTGACTAAAGAAATGCCAAATTGAGGAGAATGGAGGCTCCAAAAAGAACGAACTGAATGTGGTATACTGGATACCAGAGCGCAGGAAAGTTGCACACGTAGTGAGGCGATGTAAGGTTAAGGTGAGTGTATATAGAGATGAATGATTGTTCAACTGCTCGAAATACAGACAGCAGTCCATTCTAAACCATGCATATGTTCTACCGCACGAAGAAATCTAATGTCAACAACGCTAAAGTTACTTAGATATCATACCCTGTTGACAACTCCAAAATACAGCAGCTCGTGTCGGGCTTCTCTTGTGGCCGGCCCCGCATAAGGACGGATTGTATTACCATTGTGGCTCCACTCAAGTTCTTCGAGCAGAGAAAGAGAAGGGATATAATTACTATTGTTGTCCAGCACGATAAAACAAGAGTCATCGCCAAGGGCAGCACGGAAAGTCCATGTGTCTTCATCCTTGGGTGCCCTCGTGGAGTGAAAGCCTCTGAGTATATATTTCTGAACTGCGGCGTCAGCTCTCTCTCGTATTACTTCGGGAGCTTGCCACTGATATGCCATCTTATCCTCAGCGAGTTTGTAGTACATATGTACGGCAGCGTGCTTGCTTAGAATACACTGGACGTGGCTACCGTAGAAGCGAAAAATACTTCGAAAGACACTCTGAAACAATGATGTTAGTTCAGTTATCCATTGTTTTCGAGGGTCTATGCGCCGACTACCAACTATACCGAAACAGTTCTATCGAATTTTTTCGCAGAGCGCGTTGGTGTACGAGCTAGACTAGGCGACGTTGTCTGGAATGCGGAATGCGGAGAATGTAGCCAGATCCAGCGGTAGCTAGGTCGACCAATACCAAATACTGTCGACCTCACCTTATTAGCTATAGCGTTGTCGTGTTATCTTCCGAAGTAGCATTCTCCTCCACATACCCCTCGTCCGATAAGATGTCAGTTTCCCTGCGCTGAACTTCCACAGTCTAGGGCTATTGTTCCTTGCTGTCCTTCCGCCATGGCGACCGACGATTCATATCCGTATGCGTAGACTAGAGCGGTTGACGTCATATAAGTTGTGGTGCCAATGGGATTGGAACTACGGGAGCAATTTTGGGACGGACGAGGCGGGCGAGGCGAGGCTGGCTGGTCGACGAGCCATCCGCGAATGATGGCGGAGTGATGCTGCTATAGTTGCAGCTGAGGGTGCGGAGAGAGAATGGGGAGTGAAGGGATGCCTGAGGACTCGATTGTTGTCGTTGGAGAGTATTGTTGCGTCGGCGGGTGAACAGATTATCGTAGGCGAGCCATCCGTGGATGACGGCGGGCTTGAACGTTAAGGGAGAAGTGTGCGGGCACGGGATGCTGCTAGAGTCGCAGCCCGGCGAGGTGCTGGGCATACAGGGCGAAAGTAGAGTCTCTAAGGATGTCTGAGGACTTGTTTGTTTGTTGTTCGAGACTGTTATTGCGTCGGCGTCTACGGATTATTGCTGGCCACAGTGCACATGTTATCGCGACGACGCGAGACGGGCGACGCGCTTAGAGGGACGATGCAAAAGATGGCCGTACAATAAGCAGTAATGATCCATGAATATCAATAATCGGTAGTTTAGAAAAGACTGGAGCGTGGAGCAGAGAGACACTGAGGATTAAAGAGGAGTACAGCATATACTCACGTCTGGTGACCCAGCGCTAAAACCAAGCCACAAAATTACCGTGTAAGGTAGCATTTCCGGACGCCTTTAAGGGGGTATAGCAGCCTCCTAACCAATCAATCTTTAAACTAGCTCAACATTAGCCCAGAAAAGGTATGCTGTAGAGGACGGAACGACAAAGACCTGGCGGAACTCTCATCCCGGTGTTAGTGCCGTCGGGGAAATAATCTACGGGTGGCCCGAGCAGTGGGGCATGCAACAGGGCTGGCTGAGCGGCGGGCCAGCAGAACCCTCAACACCGAACGGTGCGGGGGAGGCCCTCTCAACCAGAGAGCAACACCCTGCGTCCATCGATCTCAGTCTCATTACACACGAGTCCGGATGCATGCCAGAATGGCCAATCCATCGCTTCTTGCTTGATTTCACTCCCGTCCGTCCCTAAAGCTTGAGGTCGAGTTTACCGCGCCTTTATATGCCTTGCTATTTCATGGTCTGAGACCAGATCGGCGTGATTATGGTAACTCCAATGGGCCAGATTTTGTGGGATGAGGCTCTGCATACCCTTGAAGAGGAGGACAGGGCCCGTTATGAGCATCTACTCGTGAAAGGTGCGGGGTACGAAAGTGTCGTCTCTGATGTGCTCAATGCGACCCTAGAAAAGAAAGAAGAATGCAAGAAGAAGAGATGGAAGGTGTCAATTAGGGGCAGGATCATCGTTCTCCGAGATATATTGGAGAAGGTGGCTGTTTGGGTGACCAAATTTGTCGCTGTTGGCGATAGTGCTGTTCAGTATGACCCAGGGCATGCGGCACTGCCTTGGGCAGCAGTACGATTCATCTTGAAGGCCACGATTACTGAGGTCGAAGTCTTTGGCGCTATTCTACAGGTGGTAGAGTCAATATCTAATACCCTGGCGCGGTGCATCATCATGGAGAGTCTATATTTGTCCAGGTACAATCAGACTATGTTCCAAAAGAAGTATGCCTTCTAATGCGGAATGCAGCAACTTCGAAGTCACCGATCGTCTTCGCCAAAGTCTGGTCGAGCTTTACGCCTCAATACTAGGTTTTCTTGGCAGGTCATTGAAATATTACTCTCACAGCACCGCTATCCGGATTGCGAAGAGCATGGTCATCAATATCAACGATATTGAATCATGGTCGAAGCCGATCGGAGAGAAGCAAACGGAGGTGGATCGCCTCTTCGCGCTTGTAGAAGCGGAAAGAGCGAGTAAAACAGCCGAGAACCTAACGCAATTGCGAACCGGACAGTTGTCACAAAACGAAAAGCTCGACGAGACATATTTGACCTTACAACAGCTGTTTGACGAGCTGAGACGTCCAATAATCAGGATTGATGATCAGCTGTCAAAGGCCCAGGACGATTTGGAGCGACAAAAGAGAGTTTCCATCATCAAATCTGTATCTACCATCAACTTTGTCACCCAACACAAAGTGGCAAATGCAAGCCTGCTTCCAGATTCGGGGAGCTGGTTTCTCAACAAACCCCAATTCCAAGAGTGGCGCGACGAGAGCTGCTCTTCTGTCCTATGGCTGCATGGTATACCTGGCTCGGGCAAAACCAAATTGACTTCCATGGTCGTCAGTGAGTTAAAATCAACTTCTCACATAGCATACTTCTACTGCGTTCGGAATCTTGCCGAACCGGAAAGGGCAGAGTGCGACAGTATTCTCTTGTCGTTGGTCCGGCAGCTAGCATGCCCAGCTCCAAGTGGCCCGATACTGGCTCCAGTCATATCAAGATACGAAGATGCTCTTGACGAGATGGTGGAATTTTCCGATGTTACTTGGACCCGCGAGGAGACCATTCAAGTATTGGTTGAACTCTGCGACCTCTACCCTGCCGTCACATTTGTCATCGATGCGCTTGACGAAGTCAACCCGATGAACCGATTGGAGCTTCTTGATGGGCTTCTCAAAATTATGGACGAGTCTCAGGCTTTGGTCAAAGTCTTTATATCGAGCAGAGAGAACATGGACATCGTTGCACGACTGGAGAACACCCCTAACCTTAGGATCGGTGCCAAAGAGAACACTGAAGACATAGCCAAATTCGTCCATCAGCAGCTGAAGGTGGCGAATCTTCTCAATGGAAGGCTTCCGCCATCTCTGAAAGAGAAGATACCGGAGACTCTTATCGAAGGCGCACAGGGGATGTTTCGATGGGTGGACTTGCAGATACAGTCCTTGAGGCCGTTGAAGGTAGCAGCAGATATAGAGGCTAGACTTGGGCGGCTTCCCCGATCACTCGAGGAATCGTATTCCGAGATACTAGAGCAGATTGAGGCGTCAGGTGAATATGCTTTCAAGCTGGCCATCTTCACCTTTCAGTGGCTACTATATGCTCGCAAACCTGTCGCCATTGCCGATTTCGCGCTATTTGCGACAGCCCGATCGACGCATACGGCGCCTTTCACCAGTTTCGAAGTTCTGGACGTCTGTCAAAATTTAGTCGTCAGTAATGACGCGGGCATATTCAGGTTCGCGCACTTGTCTGTGCGAGAATTCCTCGAGAAACTTTCGGAGGGACAGATCAAGGCACGACACGTCACGTGCTTTTCTTTTGAGGAAGGAAATGCAGCCATTGCGACTGCTTGCATCTCCTATCTGAGATCAACTATGCATTCAGGGCCAACGAACTCGGATAATCACCTTTCCACTTGGCATCATATCACCAAGAGTCCGGCACTTAGGAAGTATACCGCAAATTATTGGCCTCTGCACGTGTCCCAGAGTGGCCGCTTCAAGTCCTGTTCCCCTCTATCTAGTGAGGTTCGTTCCTTCTTGATATCAGACAAAGACGTCGCTCCAGCGTTTGCGCACTGGTGTACCATTGTTGTGGAGGAACTGGGCAGCAGTGCCTTACCGAAGATCTGGGAGGCCGCGCAACTGCCTCCAAATCCGATTTGGCTCGCGCATACGTACGATATCGTCGAGATCAAGCACGTCGCCCTCGACGACAGGAGAATGCAATCGAAGGCCTTTCTCTATGCTGCGGAAAAGGGAAATTGCAAAGTCATGTTATCACTTCTGGACCAAGGTCTTGACATCAAAGACATTGGCATTGAAGCGATGGCTGCAGCCACGTCTGCTGTTCAGGGAGGCGCAGTAGACATTCTGCTGGACTTTCACGTTCCTCTAGACCCTGATTGGCTTCTCCATGCTGCAGTGTTTCAGCACAGCGATGTTGTCGTGCCTTTAATCAGAAAAGGATTCAAGAACTTCAAACCAGAGCAGCTCAAACAGGCTTTCTGCATTGCAACTGCTAACGGTGACTCCAAATCTATAGTCGCCTTCTTGGAGAAGGAGGTGGAAAAGGATCAATTCGCGGTGACAAGGGCCTTGAAGGCTGCCACCCCTGCCGCCACGATGCATTTGATTGATACAGGCTTCGACGTTCGCGGTTCGTATCTCCTTGAGGAACGCACTGCGCTGCATTGGGCCGTAGAACGAGGGTTTGCCAATGTTGTGAACAGACTGCTTGGGAAGAAGGTTGAAGTCAACGTCAAGGACGCCTGGGGAAACTCGCCGCTTCATCTTGCCGCATGGAAAGGTCGGGATACAATAGCCCGGGCATTGCTAGATCATGGTGCTGACCACGATCTTCTGAACGAGGAAGGGCAATTGCCGCTTCATCTAGCAGCAATGATGGGTCACGCCGCAGTTGTCCAGCTGCTATACAAGGAGACTTCTAGCACGAGTGTGAAAGATGATCGAGGCAAAACGGCACTGGACTATGCAGAAAGCTGGGCAAAAGAAGAGGTTATCACCATTCTTAAGGATCAAGACAAGGCCGCACCTAGCATCTCCGGAGAAATCGCCTGTGGAACAAATGCTTCGCTGGCCATATTCTCGGGCGAGCATCTTGATCAGAAAAGCGAGGGACATATCCGCGGTATTGCATGCGTGGGTACGCCTACCCTGAATCTCGTTATCCCTACTCCTCCGCGATCGCCGAGGTCGCGCTCGACGTCGTCGTGCTCTTCGTTAAGCATCTCCTGCGCCGCCGCTAGCTCGACCGGGAGCGCGCATATCCATCTCACCGTGTAGTCGTAGCTGCGCAGTCGGCGCGGCATTCACAGTCGTTACAAGGGAGAAAGGAGGGCGGTCCTGGCGGAAAGCTCGTGAGAGGGTGAAATGGTGGTCTGAGAACCTGACAACCTGCAACGAAGTCTGCTCAGCCTCGTGGCCTGCAGTGCAGCCGGCCGCCTGCTGGTGTCGACGTCGCTGAGAGATGCCGATGGTGGCGTCGCGGGGTGAGATGCTGGAATTGTCCGTGCTGCACACCGGCGATTGAAACGCGGTAGGGCTATAATATAACCTACGGGACGCTGACTCTTGTGCACCTGTGCACCTACTCTCCTAGGGGGCCTCTTGCGAGTTGCTTTATTTAGTACCACCGGAAGCGAGGCTTTCAAAAATACATTCATCAAGCTTCGACAGATTATTTTGTGAAGGGCCTGAGGAGAACTATGATGCAAAGGTATTGAGTACTCTTCAAAATCTAGTCAAACGATACAAGGTTCTCATGTTCGTATGCACTGCCTGTGTTTGCAACCAGTGACAAGTCCATAGGCAGACGACTAAATACCATCTCTACCAGTACCTAAGTACAGCCTCTACTTCTTCGAGCCTCTACCACCTCTACCACTCTTCCCCTTCCGCGGCGTCTTTCCGCCACCTCCTCCGCTGCCCCCACCGGCCATCATAACCCTAACCTTTCCTACTGGCACTACACCGTAGATTTCCGCCTCCTTCCAACCCTTGATGAGGTCAATCTCCCGTGGCCAAATGTATTCAGCATCCTGGCTAGTCTTGTCCACCGTCTTCGGGTTCTTGAATGCTCCATCCCACCGACTAAGAATTTCCTTGACCGCTTTGCCTTTCTTAGTCGACCCTGGTTGAAGTTTGACTTTATACTTGTAGCTCGCAAGCGCAGACCAAGGAGCGCAAACTGGTATTGCTTCAAGAAGCTCGTCGCCAGGGAGCGGGCGTCCGATAAAGGCGTCTAAGCCAGCGAGTTCGAGTTTCGTAGCTTCTTCATCAGCGGCACCATCATCTGCACCAGGTCCCGCAGTTTCACCCTCGTGAGCCGCCCGACGAGCCTCTTCTGCGGCTCGACCGAGAGCTTGTACGCGCAGGTGCTGTTCCCTTCGCCGCTGCTTCGCCGCTACTAGGTCCTCTTCTTTCTTCTTCTTAGCTTCAGCTTCAGCCGCTGCGGCCTCTTGACCTGCCTTGGATCCTAATAGACGCATAGCTAACGCGCGATCCTCTTCGTCCTGTTCTGCGTATTTAGCAGCCTTTTTCTTAGCTTTTGTTCGTTTCCCTCGGGGTAGGGGTTTGACAGGAGCGTTCGATGTTTTGGACGGCTTGGAAGTAGCATCATCGGTGGCTTTGTCTGAATCGAGTGCCCCGTCCAAGTCAGATCGCTCGTCGTCATTCGTGGCGCTACCACGGGTTGAGGGAGGGCCGGAGGGAGTGGTAGTAGAGTCGAGGTGCTGTCCTTTACGAAGTAATCGTCTTTCGCGTGCAGATAGGTGGCGACGACCGGTCTTATCGGTCTGAGCCGTGGATGCAAGGGATTGGACATCTTCGTCCACCTCGTCAGTACTTTCTCCAGCTTTCGCAGGAGGTAAGTCAGGGTCTGGCGCCGGCTCCTTGATAGCAGGCGCTTCTGCTTCTGGCTCCTCGTCGTCTTCAGAGTCCGAGTCCTGCACACTCAGTGGTGCCGCTGAGTTCCCTCTTCCTTGCAGTGGGTTACTCTGATCCGCTGTTTCTGACTCCTCATCGCTGTCGTCTGATGCAGACTCCAACTTTGCATCAGGGAAGTCCTCATCGCTATCGCTATCTGACTGAAAACCTGCAGGTTTCTGCTGCTCTTGTTCCACTTGGTACTTTGCTGCACCTTCCGCTGCAGTTCTTTCTGACGCACCTTCGTCTAACAGTCGATGTTTGACATGCTTTGCTTTACTCTCGTCGCTGATTTGGAACATCACGGCGAAGCCCAGGATCAGCTGCGCAGGCGGCAAGAAGTTCTTCTTCCCACCAATTATGAAGCCCCCAGCAGCCAAATACTCTCCAGCAGGGGTTGTCTTCGAGACCTGGTTTGCGTTCACCCACCAAGCGGACATAACGGCCTTCGAGTCCCACGCATCCGAAGTTGCGACTGATAAGTTACCGGCCTGAGAAAGTGTGGATGGAGGTATCGGCGCCTCCGGGGTCGATGGATTGTTCTTAATTATGACGGAAGATGCACCATGCAATTCCGCATGGACGTATACGTCGCCTTTCTTCAGATACCTTTTGTAAATAATCTCGGCCTGCTGTGCGTCTTTCCCACCGATCACCAAGTAGCCATCGGAGGAGATGAAATACATGAACTTTTCAAACCAATGCTGTTTGCGAACAGGTTGAAGTATAGCCTTCTCCTGCTTAAGGCCCTTCTTAAGATCGATGGTGACCTTCTTCTCAATACTCTTCAATGCCATAGTCGATGCCTGTATCGTCTTGCCTTCTTTTACAACGGCGCTCTTCTTTTCATCAAAGTATCGCTTGGCATTGACCCAAGGCGACTGTCCGAGATCAATGTCGATAGCTAACCTCTTATCCACAGGTTTCGGAGGTGGTTTCTTCTTCTTTCGTTTGTCGTCCTCGCTTTCCGAGTCACCACTGACGGAACTCGTCTCGTAACCCTCGTCATCCTCTTCATCACTCTCTGAGTTTGGTTCGTCGAGTAATAACGTGACCGTGTTCTCGTAAAGCTTGAGAGGAAGTTTTATCATCTGGCCTACGGCGTTCCCTTGTCTTTGCTCGCGCTCTATTAGGCGCGCGATTTCAACCCAATCCATACCTTGGCCGATTAGTCCATTCACAGCTGCCGTGGCTTCCTGGACTCGATCAACATTCGCTTGAATTGCTTCCGCTTTTCGAACATTCAGTTCTTGAACTTGCTGAAGACCTCCGATGCGCTTAGCATGCTCCTGCCGTGCCTTTTCCAGCTTCTTCTTTGCATTTCTTTCGTGCTCGTACAATTTGGATTCTAGCTTTTGGCCTTCGATGGACGAAAAATACTCATCCACAGTCTTGTTGTACCCCTCGAATTCAAGAAAAGTGTAGTCGGAATCCTTGAATTGTTTTGGTCTGAATGGGTGGAAGTCATCATAGAGTAGCTCGGAAGCTTTGTCGGTGCTTGCGCCTTCGCTCGGTTCATCTTTCGACACGGCCGCTGCTGGGTTGGGTTTGGCTAGAATGATTCCGCGGGCTAGGTCTCCACTCGTAATCTCATCCGACACCTCTTTAGCTACGTCGAATGAAGCAAGCAGTTTGTCCAGTAATGTATCATCTTCCAGCACTTGTTCCAGCTTCAAAGTGGTATCAAACCCAACCGTATGCAAGGTATGATCGACAAGTAGTGGCGGGTACTCTGTGATAGAAACTGCCAAAGCCTTCCTTATTAGATCCTTGCCCTTCTTCTTCGCATTCCTCCCTATAGCGCCAGTATCCAGCTGCTGCTTGTCCAGAGCTTTTTGTAACGCGTCCTTCAGCCTTTCCTTGGTCAGAGGTGGTGCCCCGCCATAGTTCTGCCGTAGGGACAAGTTGTATTCCGAGCCAACCCTCATCTGCTCGTGTTCCGCGCCTTCATCAACACTGCGCAGAAGCGCAAGGATCTTCAGATTTTCATCCGTAAGAACGATGTTGCCGCCCGCATAGAACTCGAGGTACACCCTGTATAGGCCATCTGAAAATTGGAACTCTATTATTCGGTCCGTACCGACTTGGGAGATGGATGTGACTCTTCGGGTCTTGAGGAACTTCCGAAGGCGGGCGACGAATGGGGAGGGCGCAGCTGCGGTGGATCGCGCATAGCTGGTGAGATGGCAGCGGAAGCCGGAGTCGACTACCAGTTGTTCTCGTTGATCTGGCTTATGGAATTTGAAGAGGAATATGCGCTGTGCATGGTATTAGAGCCGGGAGGGTTAAGGCAGGGTCAGAGCCTACCGATGATAGATCGTAAACATTGGTGACTCTGAGAGGGCAGAGGTTCTTTGAAAGCTCGTGTGCTATGACCTGCAGCGAACGAGGATTAGTTTCGATCATCGCGGAAGGGCTAGGGACCTACCTTGACATCCAAAGAAGAGAATCGTTGCTTCATGACTTCGTTAGGGGAGAATGGTGTTGCTGCAGAATCTGTATGCCACCGGCAATGACGATGTTTGATGCCAAGGTGGGGCACCTGGGACCTCGTAGGGCTGAGAAACGACTTGTCTTCTCGTGCATCCTTCGATTCATTACAAAACATCCGTCATCGTCAGCCGCATCACTTTCGTCTCTATTACTTCATTGAGAGATCCTCGGTCCCAGCCTAGTTGCCACCAATTGCCTTTCTTTCTGTGCGATCGACGGTACCCCTCATTATTCTACAAGTCAAAGCCTCTCCGCCAGGAGCTGCGTCCTACAAACTAGCAGCATCGCGCTACAATACGTAGATACTTTTAACCAAGAGTCCTTCATCACATTTTGATGCTTCCATACCACCAGACATTGTACAATCTCAGTGTACTGTCCACAAATCTTTTCAGAAAGGTTGTCAGAGGGGGATACTCACATTTACCACACAGCACCAAAATCACTAACCTCCCTCCCTTTTTGCCAAACAGCCCTGTGTGCCGAGTTAGAAATCACAGGTACTTTAAGTTTTTAAGCAATCTTAAATCTCCACTCACGCTAATATTTTTATATTTTCGAGAAAATATGCTCTATAGACACTATTTCGCATATGACGTCCTCTTCTAGAAACTACAATAGCACTACTATGTCTCTGCGTTACTATAACATAAAGACCGCATATTCAAAAAATATTCTGCTCGCCGTCGCTATCCAAAACTTCTCTGCTTCCCGATTCGTGACCCGCCTCTGCAGAGTTTTCCACATCTACCCCCGAGGACGACGAGCAAGTTCGGTTACCATAGATTTCTGTCCTGGCCGTCGCGGTGCCCAGGGCTGCGATCCCAACCTTTGGCGCTCTGCCTCAGCCTGCTCGGCTGTCTCTTCAGTCTCCTTCCGAGGCTTCGAAGCAGCGCCCAACTGCGTATTATAATTGTAGATCTGCGCTAGACCAGATTGGTATGGGAGCTTGCCGCGTGCTCTTTCGTCCGCTGCAAGTTAACCCATGGTTTGAAGACGCTGCAATGATGCATCTCATCAACACAGGACCTTGGACACTCCGGCAGATGGTCACTGGCATACCTGTCTCTCTGTCTCTCCCTCGGCATATTTCGCGTAGATGGAGGATGCCGAACCGTCGCCTCACTTCTACAATCCGGACTCAGTTAGGCCCATTTGAGGCCTGTTTACGGAGTAGAGGCGCCAGTCGAGACCGACTGGGGATTGCGTTCCTGGAGGCATGCCGGAGTAAGGTGGGATATACGATGCCGCCTGTCCTTGAATGTATACCGGCTGCCATAGGCTACGAACTTCCTTACCTGGAGTGTATCCTTGCTGTGACTGATATTGATCATTTTGGTTTACCCCAGACATTGTAACGAGACTTGTTCGGATTGTTAAGTTATGATAATCAGACTGATTGATTGTTGAAGAAAAGTAATTCTAGTTGCTAAAGAGAACCGGTTTTAGGCTACGACAAGAGAAGGGAGAGTAAGTAGTGGCTTTTCATGGATGTATTGACGGGTTCTTCCAATTAGGAATTGCCACATGTAAGCATTTTCCACCCCGCCTTGAGATGATGATCAGTCGAAGTTGTTTGGTCACGGAGGGGCTTCCGCCACGCAAGGGGGGAGGTAAAAAATGATAGAAAATAAGAATATTTCTAAAATGAATTCAATTTAGGATAACAGTGGACGCCAAAGAGCCTAAATCAGGTATTGAAAAAATTGCAAACACAGTCAAACCTATACGCCGACCATTTCCAAAGCCGGGGCATCAAGCGTGTCAAGAAACTCAAAAAGTTGATGGGTCTCCGGTTCAAATGTTCGACTGAAATAGCCATCCGGCTCCGCATCGAAGTGAGCCGTGATGAACTGGCCGTCCCACTAGAAAATCACCTCCGTGGATCCATCTAGCTTTATCACGCGCCGTGAAATCCGCGTGTTCTGTTGAAGGAAGATGAATCGAGTGCCGTCCGGCCAGACCTTGTAGGCGTACCTTGAGCATCCATTATTCTTCTTCCAAGTAATCCGCGAGCTTGAGTCATCTAGCCAACCTGAGGTAACTGCGACCTCTTTGCCGTGCTCGAGGACTACGACCTGGGATTTCTTGTCAGGGTAATGGCCAGGGATCATGTAATCCGCCAGTATGGGATCTCGCAATTGGGATTTCAAGTCTAAGTCTCCGTTAGCCCTCAGCTCTCGGAAGTTATCCCAAGTAATCTCGAGGAACCACCGCTTGATCCAAGGCAAAGGGATGTAGATCGTTCGAGCGACATTGTGATTCGGAGACTCGGCATTTGCTCGATTCTCTCGAGCTACCAGGACCGAAGTTTTGGCCGCGTTGCTGTTCCACTCGCAGAAGATGTCAGGCGATGCACCAAATAAATATCCCTCCCATGATCGTCCGACCTCTGCTACGGTGTCTAATTTCAAAACCTTCGGTTCCGGTCTCGCCTTCCCACGCGCCGTTTTGACAAAAGCATGAGCTGTCTCATGAACGAGGGTACAAGCAATTTTGAACTGCTTCTTCAGCTTGTCTCCTTCCGGCAGCTCTGAAAACTCCATCGCGGTCCATGAGAACAGCTCCCGATATCGGAAATGTAATGCCACTAGCGGGGTGGTGTAGTTGTTCTTGCGGCTCCTGATCGTGAAAGGCTTTGTCACCCTCGAGAGATGCTCCGGGAAGGTAAGCATCGTGAATTTGGCGGTTGCTGCGTTATCATACGTGACTCCCCAGGGCCCCATTTTCTTGCTGTCCGCACATGTAGTGCCGAAGGTAAAGTGCATATTCTCAGTCATCTCTTCAAAAACGGCCTGGACTTTATCCTTAGCATCTGGCGACTCTTCGGTAGTGTAATACTTCACATACTCATCATCCGGCCCGACACTTAGAGCGAGCAAGCTGATCCAGAATCCCTGGAGCTCTTCTTACGTTATCAGGTGGGTGGCGAGGCGAAGGACTGTGGTCATGTTAGCGTACGTCACGTCCATTGCCTCGTCATCCTCTTTTCCAGTCAGGAATTGCAGACTTACTTTGTCGTCAAATAAGGAGGTTTCATCGATGCCGAAGCTCCAATTCTCGCGCCGAAATAGTGGATGGATTAAGCCGCTCAGCAGCTCGGTTTTGGGGATGCGTTCGGTGTCGTCCCATCCAAGACGGTGCGAGGCTCTCTCTATTTCTTTCATACTTTCGCAGCGTAAGCTAGGCGGAGCTTGGTTATACTGATATTGATTTTGCATCGTGATCTTCGAGTCGCTTCTGTGCTTCGAGACGTGGTACTGGATGGTATCCGTGAGTACTGCTCGTTGTTGGATTTCTACGAGGAGGTTTTGGTGTGGTGAGTATGTTTTCTTTCAGGGAAGGAAACTGTGTCTTCTATGCCTACACAGCGTATGCAGTCTATATAGTAGAGAAATCTGCGGGTTGTTTACATCCTTTGAGACATTGTGAACGCTACCCGATACATGCTTTTGTCAATTCGAGCGGCCTTCACAATGTCCTTATATCCATTCTGGCAGCACCACGCCATGATGTGGCTCGAGAGGGACTACACCGCCAGTCAAAAAGGCCGTATGAAGTCGTCTACTCGCCACTACATTGGATATGTCGGCGCCTTACTAAGATTCGAGATAATAACTTAGTCGAAGTACTCCGTACGAATTACAGATGCTCCAAATGCTTATGATCACTTACCCTAGTGCTGAGTGGGTGGTTTGCAGGGAGTCAAAAAGCAGGGAATAATTCGTAATGCTTCAAATGCACTCAGCAATGTTTATGTGGTTTTGTGGAAGATGCGGCTTGATATCACGTGGGATTTCGAATGTCCTCGGAGTCTCCGCTAACCCCTGGATTGGGCGTTTCTGTGGCTCACGCTGACAGCACTGACAAGGCTAGACCATACCGTATCAGTATCTCGAATCCTCCCACAACGCCTTCTAGGCCGCCTCACAGCAAGGGGCACTAGTTAGCCGCACCGGAAGCAGCCATGCTCCGCACGTGCCGGCGCTTCAGGGCGCCTCGATCCTCTGCTCGTAGAGCTTGGCAATAGTAATTTCTCAACACCATGCCATTTCAGATTCGCTGTGTTGGAGCTCCGACGCGAGCCATGCCCTATACGTGGGTCCGCTGAGTCGCCCTACTTGTAAAATGCCACCCCCGCGCATCCTTCTTTTGCTTTGAACCGACAACCCTTGATGAAGATCAGGCGTCTGGCCTTTTGACAGCTCAGTTATATACCCGAGCAGTCTGCTCGTCCAGTCTTTTCCGTTCGTGCTTTTCGTCTTTTATAATGTGGGAATCCTTTGTTATCCTTTTTTTTCGCTTCTCTTGTATTTGCTGCCCCGACTGTCAATACGCCCAAGGAATACTCGCCTGGAGTCTGCCTGGAGAATGCTGCCATCAAAGCACCGTGGAATTGTAACGGCGTCGATACGTACATTAGCACTGAGATTTTCAAGACCGGCCATCTTGACGTAGAATTGTGCGCTGCGGCATGCACTGCCAAATCAGCCTACAATCTCCGGCATCCGCCGGCGAAGGGAAAGCCAAAGACATGTCAATTCTTCAACACGTACCTGTTGTACAAGAATGGCGTCAATATTGGACAGGTGAGGCGTATCTTCGGCCTTCAATTGCGCGGCGCTGATACGGCATAGTACTGCGCTTTGTATACCGAAACCTGGTCGAAATCTTTTGCGAAGGACACCGGACACTATCAAGGAAGGGACAGATACACCATCGGCTCCTCGTATAGCTTCAGCAATGCGAAAGACAAGGGCGTTCCCAAATGTCTCTCGCCTAGCAGCTCTGCTAAATGCTCCACGAAAAGCTCCACGAAGGTTCCGAGTAGCGTAAAGCCGTCTACGAAATATTCAAGCACGGCGAAAGTATCTACGAGCACCCGGAAATCGTCCACGAGCTCTCTTCGGAGTTCGCCACTATCCTCGTCCCTACATACGTCTAAACCGTGCACTACTTCATCAAAATCGAGTACTCGGAGCAGCTCTCACGCAAGCTCTATGGCGACATCTTCACTAATCTCTACCTCAAGCTCTGCATACAGCAGCCTCGTGTTGACACCGGCATCTAGCTCCTCCGTTTCTTCAAGTTATTTGGGAAGCTCCTCGCTCTCGTCTAGTGTTCAATCGCCCTCATCGAGCAGCACGCCTGGCATATCCTCTACAATATCTTCTTCTTCGGATTTCTCTCAATCAACCTCATCCACAAGCGCTGGGACGTCGCTCTCTAGCTTGGAGTCGTCCTCCGTAACAAACATTTCTTCTGATACCCTGACACCTACTCCTGGGCCGTCGACAGAAACTACACTCACTTCAAGCCCAACGCCAGACTCCACGTCTTCTTCGTCGGTTTCAGACTCATCAACTAGCAGCCCGGACGCAAGCTCAACGACTTCAGCTACGGACGTCACATCGACGATCTCAAGCTCCACCGATACTCCGTCTTCGTCGCCTACAACCGTTACAGAGTCTTCACCAGCGAGCACGCCTCAAATTAGCACCACAAGCGCAAGCATTGATACCGCATCCTCATCAACTGAATCCTCGCCTACCAGCATTCCTGAAGTCAGCACGACAAGCTCAAGCACTGATACTTCATCCGCATCAACCGAATCTCCGCCAACCAGCACCCCTGAAATCAGCACAACGAGCTCAAGCGTGGACACGTCATCCTCATCAACTGAATCCTCACCTATCAGCAGTCCTGAAATAACCCCAACAAGCTCAAGTATAGATGTTTCTTCCACTTCCATTAGTTCTTCCGAGTCCGAATCGGTGTCCTTAGCAACGGCTACAGAGTCCCTAACCACTAGCATATCTGAATCTAGCTCACCTTCTTCAGCGGTCGATACCACTACTATCTCATCTACGACAGCACCTACTGCAACCCCTACTTGGATCCTAAACGGCGGCTTCGAATCTACAGACAACGGCGGATACCCGTGGTTCGTTCCTGACAACAGCACCACTGGCTGCACCTGGGACATTGTCGAATCGGACACCGATGCTGTCAACGGAACTCACTACGCCAGAGTGACATGCACAGCGGCAGGCCAGGGCATCTACATCCTACAACCGTTCAACGCCATTGAAGTCGGAGCCACCTACGTGCTCTCCGTCTGGATGCGCAAGCTCGCGGTGACCGCAGACAACGCTGGGCTTGGCTGTATGCTGTCCATCGTCGGCGGCCCTGGCCTCATCACTTCAGGCAACCTTGCTTCGGGCGCTGCGTGGGCGAAGCAAACAAATACCTGGGAGGCGACTTCTTCGGCCGGGACGGGCATTGCGCTCTACTGTGCCCGTGCTGCCAATGGCGGTGCGCCAGACGGTACCCCGGTCTACACCTACATCGACTCGATCGAGATGTACCGAGTGCCCGACCGTCCCGAGATCGTCACTAATGGCGACCTCGAGGACTCCGCGACAGACCCCTATCCATGGTATGTCCTCTCAAACTCGACAGGCGGGACTATAGCAGTACAACAAGCCGATGACACCAACGCGGCCTACAACGGCACCAACTACCTCGCCGTATCCCTAGACCAGATCAGCACCACGATCTACGTCGGCCTCCCGGTGCAGATAACCGCACCGCTTCGGTACCTGGTAACCTACTACACACGGTCGCCGAGCTACGGCGTTGTAAACCTGAACTGCCGCCTCTGTGTTTCCAACGACGACTACTCACGGAGCACGTGTATCTCTGTAAATTCGATCAGCGCGACTGCGACCTGGGCGCAGAAAACCAACATCCGGTTCCTGGCGGATACCTGGATGACGCAGATGGTGTTTGTGTGCTCAAGAGGGACCACGAACCCGGATATAGTGGGGCAATATTTCATTGATGATTTCACGATGAGTGAGTATGGTCCGTTTTCATAGATGGAGGCAGATGTAAAATGCATTTTGGGCGGCGCCGTGGACTGTAAGATTCAAAGTACAAACATAGATTTCTAATCGAACACTGAGACGAGAGACTCATCAACATCACTAGAAGCTCACAATGTTGTCTGAATTATGGATCATCGTTTGACTAAAACGTATGAAGAACTACCAAGCTCTTGTTGTCCTATAGCAGCCTCATCGATCCTACTCTACCGCGAGGAAGCATTATAGTTCTCTCGAATGGATCCTCGTCAATCAGGTTAAGCACTACCGGATCATCCTATCAAGATATGTCGAGGTGCTTATTGAGCGCCGCAGCTACCGATCAGCGCCTTCCGCCACCTCACCCGACCAGACTCGACCGGACCGCCTCTCCTCGGAGTTTCCCACGCATCCGGATTCAGCACTCGTGCAATCCGCTCGCGGCCACGCACATGAACCCTGAATATCCAGGCGTTTCGTTCTTTCTTCTTGGTCGCTTTGTCCCTAGGATCGTCAAGTACGAGGACTTCATCGCAATACTCATCCAGGTCTGCAAGAGATAGCGAAGTCAGAGCCGGCATCCCGCGGACAATCTCGAAGACGTCCACCCACTGCCGAAGGCGCCTGCCCGGGTCACGGTTCACTGCGATGGTAACGTGAGCAAGATCCAGCGTCTCGAGCGAGGGAGCAAGCTGCACCAGCATCGCCTTCAGCAACTCCGCTTCGAGCTCCCACATGTTATAGATCCTCAGTGCTTTCAGAGGCGTGTTGAAGCCCACGGGCAGCATCCTCAACACCGCAGAGTCTGAGCCTCTCAGCCTGCCTAGCATATCGCGGATGTAGACTGAGGTCGGCGCTGTTTCGCGGAACAGCTGCTCGACCCACCCCTCACTCCAGCCCTGACTCAAACCCAATCCACCCTCAAACTTCAGCGATCGCACCATGGGAAGGCCATAGTACACGTCTCCTTCCTCCAGATCGAATGGCTTCGAATACCGTTTTTGTAGCCGAGGGATAACAAGGTCCACCTTCAGCTCGCGACCCGCCTCCCGTAGTGCTCTGAACAGGACTCCGAAGGGGCGATACTCCTTCGTTGTGTCCGAGAGTAGCCGCATCCGCGTTGGGGTCTGCTGCTCCGCCGTCCAAAGAATGTGAAGGGCTATCGAGGGAAGAGGATGATTCAACGCCCCCGGATTCACAGGAGGCTGCGCACGATTCGCCACCCTTAGCCTCGTGAAGCTGCCGTTGGGCTCATCGCCCGCCCCCAGCTCGCGAATGAGGTGTTCCGCGCCCCAGCTCTGCATGGAATCCTCATCTTCGAGACGACGGAGGTCCTTAGTCGGGGAGATCAAAGACCCTCCGCACACGCCCACGCTCTCGAGGTTCGGTAGGGACGCGAAGACTTGGGCGAGGATCCGTGCGTCGGTGTTGTAGCGCTCCATGAGTTCTTGTTCGACGAGACGGAAGTGATACTTTTCATGGTATTTTTCTTTCCATTCTCGTAACGCGGAGATCTGGCAGGGCCTGAAGGCGTCGTGGTAGTTGTACTGAAGGCGTTCTAAGCCGATGGTGATGTGGCGGATGAACTGGGCAAGTTGAGCGTGTTTCGACATAGCTAGTAGCGCGTTTATGCTGTATGGCGAGAGCATAATCTTCCTAGTCTTGAAGTAGCGGCGCCCAAATGCCTTCTCAGTTTGTTCCTTCAGATGCCTCGACGTCAGACGCAAGTTGAGGAAGTCATGACTCTCCAGATGTTCGTTCGCCAGGATGTGCAGGACATCGCCAGGTAACCACTGGAGCTCGAAGCGCTTGAGGATGAGAACCAATCGGACTTTCTTCGTCTTCTGTTTGTCTGCACTATCGTCAAGTGCATGTCGTTTTCTAGGTGCAGCGGGAGTGAGTGCGTCGGGGTCGATCCTAGTTATGCTAGCTTTGGTGCTGATGGGCGCGCTGCCAGACGGCTGCGACTTCTCTTTGTGCTTGCGCTTCTGACGGACGGGGGCGGAGAGGTCAGGAGGGTGCTCGTTGGCCGGAGTCGGGGGTAAGGAGCCCCTCATCTTGAACTTTATTATCAGAGACTTGGATGGTGTAGGCTGTGAACTGCTGGAGCCATCTGAGGGCGTCGCCATCTCGGGCATCTAGTATGATGCTATTGATGTTACTGTAGGTAGTTAGGTTTGGGGGTGGTGGTGGAAGTGGTGTCGAAAGTGAAGGTGCGGTAAAGAAGGGAAGACGGGCGTAGTTTGAGTACCAGACGATGACGATGTTACGCGCGCACAGTGAATGCGGCTGAAGATTTGGAGTCCTGGCGTAATGGTGATGGTGGTGCCGCACTCGACAACGTTGGGATAGGATATAGAGAAATAGAGAGCAAATTAGAAACTATAGATATTTATACAACCCAATAGCTCCTTTCATGGTGAACTCAGGACAACACGTCACGTGGTATCAAGGGATCTACCCCCAATAACTTCATAACCGCAGGCAGCAGCTATGAATTTCTAGTGAATCACCAAAAGATAACACCACCTGTGGTGCCTTGGCAAGTTCACCGATTGTTTGAAATGACGGAGCTTTTATTCTTTTGAGATTTGCGAAGTGTATCGAGTAACTTCAAACGGGAGTAGAATAGTGTACGTGAATCCGGTGACGAGATACTGTAGTTACTGTGAACTTTTCTTGTAATGTCAAGTACAATGACCATTCCACATGGACTAGGGGAGCTGACTTCGATGGTTATTCCCATTGCTTCATCTCGAAACCCCTATCCCTTAACCCGCACACAGGACACCAAAAAAGTGGCACTCTTAGTTTGAACAAGCCACGGTCAGAATCTGTTGAACGAAAGGTGGAAGTTCAACACTGCCTGAGGCGGCCTCGTGACCTGTTAATTTTGTCAAAATTGCACTTTCATAGTTCTTGATAACGTATCAGAGGACCTCAAACGGTGCCAGGGGCGGAAGTGTATATCCAAAACGTACGAATTTCAAGAATAGCTTCAGACGCGTGCCTGCTACTTTTCGCTCAAAGGAGCCTGGCGGTGGATGTGTCCATGTATGCCACTGCTTGGGGTGCTTCAAAGCAATCTCGACAACTTAAACGCGATGGAAGCTCTTCCCCTTGCGCTGTCCGAAAATCCATTCAAGCACTCCAAGCAGTGGCAGACAGGTGTGGACAGTCGATAGAGCGCTTGATTCGCGTGCTGCTTTTTCCAACACCTCTCAAACCTTCGCATGCCATCACGTTCTCAAAACCAGACCCGCAGCTTTCCACACCAACCAATCATTATTAAACCGCTACATACCCCCTCCTAATACCCCAAGCATGCACCTAATAAAACACAAGCGCCCTCACCTCAATACTCTCGCGCCCTTCGCCCTCCTGCCCCGGAATCTCAAACGCCGTATGCGGCACCCTCCTCGCAATCCCCTCCTTCTCGCCCCCCTTCTCCCCCCACGAATCAAAACACTTAATCAGAATCACCTCCTGCGGACCCAGCTCGCTCTTATAGTACCACCGGTGCCCCGGATTCGGCTTGACCGCAAACGTCTCCCCATTGCGCGTCGGATAGATCAGCGCTGCGCCGACCAGATCCTTTTCTTCCACCGAGTGCGCGTCCGCGACGGCCAGGGGGTCGCGGTGGATCGTCTTGATGGGCCGCCACACGTTGATGATCTGGAAGCGCTTCTGGGCTAGCTCGGCCGCTTCGTCGGGCAGGTGGTACGGCACGCGCGAGGCGGCGGCCGTGTAGGACTGGTCGATGTGCACGCGGTTCACGGGCCCGCGGAGGGCGTTGGCGGGCGCGCCGGGGGGAGGCGGGCGGCGGATGGTGTGGTCGAAGATGAAGACGCGGGAGGCGCCGGTTCTGGGGTCTCTTGTCAGCATGATGGATTGGGGGAACGGGCGAGGAGTGCACCTACGCGTCTTTCAGGAGTTGTTCGGTTTCGGGGTAGTACTCCGCCTTCAGCTTGTCGTCGTCTACAAAGTCTTTCTCTGCCGAGACGTGGGGGTAGATTTGGAAGCCGTTGCCATCCAATGTGTATTTATCCTCGCTTCCTCGAACGTCGGTGATGGTGACGTCGAGGTCCTCGGAGGGGCGTTCGAATGTCTCTATGCGGCCGACGTAGCTAGGGGCGGGCGCGGAGCCATCGCCGGGGTCTTTGTAGTAGTGTAGGGTTGTTTGGACGTGCTTGGGGGTATTGTTGGATTTCGTGGAGGAGGTGAGGATGGGCGTGGGCGCGGAGGTAAAGGCGGGGCCGTGGCCTGTAGTGGAGGAAACCGCAGCGGATGCCATGTTGGCTTTCAGATGCGAGAATTGAAGTGTTTGACGTTGGTTGTAAAGTGGGTGGTATCAGTGATAATGATAATGCAGATAGGCGTTGTTGTTTATATATGACTTCATGGCGCCCTTCCTATACACATCAGCGCGGGGTAATTTGTCAGATACCCCATCACGCAATTCGTACATGCGATGGGCAATGAAGAATGATCAAATTGCTGAGAAATGCGCCGCGTACAACATAGACTAGTTGCCGTTATCCATGCAATCGTCTACGCGTAGCATGATGTAGAGTAATCTCCAATCGATAGTATAAGAGTGGGTGTATAGATACGTGTGCATTATTAATCCTTAGAAAAGCGTACGACACACGACGGTTCAGACGTGGACACGCGACCTAATACTGACCGGCGTTCTGCAGGTTGAAAATGCAGATACGATTTGCTCTAGATCTCAAGATTAGGACTATATGCGAGATGGCAAGCTGCTTAGAGAGATCCCTTCTTCGTGAACAGCGACATTCTAAACCGGGGCCACTACATCTTACAATGGGGTAATATGAACAAGCTTCGTAATACTGGTGCCGTCCGGAAGGACCTCCACCTTTTCTTCAAGGGTATATCCTCGCCAGCGAGGAAGAGCAACTGTCCAGATATACCAATATAGAACAGCGAAAATGATACTATCTGAGTCAGCTGGTGATTAATGGAAAAAGGTAAAGTTACATACATCCCAATGCCAACAATTGCATAAGTTGCGTAAAAGAAGTCTACGTCGCCTTGCCCTCCCTCTGGCGGGAAGAAAGGGGCAGAGATGAGCGCCAAGCAAAACGCGATTTGCAAGAACACCGCCGGAATCCAGGCCTTGAAGGGTCTCTTGAGATCAGGTCGCCGGTACCTCAGTAGCAGTACGCCAACGGCACTTGCAAGAACAAAGAATTGCCCTGGATATCCTTCTACGTCGAGAATGAAGGTGTAGACATCTCCGGGTGGCGGTAGAGTGATGACCAGCAACGATGGAATATAGTGCACAATCAGACCACCGAGCGGAGCATTGAAAGGTCGTGATGAGGCTAATATGCTTGCGTAAGGGAGGAAGCCCTGGCGGGCAACTTCTTGGTTCACGCGGGCCTGGTTGCGGAGTCATTACAAATATAACGATTGATTGGCGATAGACCTACCATTGCATAAGTAACGACCATTACATTACCTGCCCCAGAAATGGCAATGGCAAGTGGGAGAACGGTCTTCCCGAACCCTTGCCCGAATACCTTTTCAAAGAACAACGCGGCCACCAACTCGCGGCTTTCCTTCAGCTCTTCTATTGGTACAATGACGAAATACGCAACATTTACGAGTAAATAGAGGAGGCATGCGCTAAACAGAGCTGCAGGGCCAACAGTCTTCAGGGTCCGGACCGGGTTTTTGACCTCGTTGAGAACATTGTTGACGTTTCCTAGTCCAGCGTACGAGTAGAAGACCTTAAATAAGGCTGTCGATATTATTCCCCAGCTCCAGTTCGAATCTTTCCACAGATTATCCCAACCGAAAACGCCTGTGTTCGGAGGAGCTCCGGAGGCGGTGTTCGGTCGAAAAATGACCACGTACAGTCCAGTGAGACCCATGAACACACACAAAGCTATCTTGATTGAGCCCAGAGCGTTCTGAATGAATATTCCGGTCTTCAGAAAACAACCGTGGATGATGGTGATAATAGTCAAAAGACCCACTGCCAAAGCCTTCTGCGAAAATTCTGTGGGTTCAATATCAAGAGCAAATAGCACATATTCTCCAAAAACGATGCAGTTGCTCGCAGTAAATCCGAGAATAACAGCCTGCATGGCAACCAGCGTAGATGCCAGGAACCGTGGATGACGATATGTAAACTCCAGATAGACCTTGTCGCCCCCGGATCGAGGTAGCATACATCCATACTCCATTGTGATGGCAAGACCGCATGCCGAGATAACAGCGCCAACGACCCATAGTACTAGGGTCAGACCGACACTCCCGACCGATTTTGCGATTGAGCCTGGTGTTGCGAATATGCCGCTGCCAATGACCCGGGACATAATAAGGATGTATGCGCTCCACCAGTTGAGATTCCTGCCATACGTTGCTGTCTCTTGGAGCACGTCGGACTCGATAGCCCGTAGAACCTCGACTTCGCCGATGGAATCATCGTCCGATTCAGAACTAGTGGTGAGACCTGGGCTCTTCACTGATGATGACGGTGATGGCGAGGGTGATCGGAGGAGGGGTTGGTGTTCGGCTTCATCTTCGTCCTGAGGTGTCCGAGGCATGATCGGTGAAGGATTCGGGTGCTACGGAGCTGGCGGGTATCATTCGAGCTGGGTATAAACAGTAGGAAACAAACAACGAGGAGGTATGCGAAATATGAGGAGGAACCGGAGACGTGAGTTCAACATGGAGGCCTACAGGCACGACCAGCGCATGATTACCAAGGGGAATGACTTGGACATGTCTCACAGGATTGCAGCCTCGTGAAACGCGCTCGCGGGTAGACGCGCTCGCACGCCATCTCCCCTTGGGCTGACGCGAGGCCGTCCTGCCTGAATCGTCGCAAACATGGTTGCAGCTTATCAGGATTACCAAAAGGAGCTGCCTGAATGGTTCGAGAGGCAACCCTGAGCTGGGTTTATATATGGCGACTTGATGGTGCTGATGGCAGCATCTCATGTCGTCGAAAGTGGGGATTTGATAGCGCTGTAGTCACGTGCATGAATTCGACGACCTCAAAGACCCAAAGCATGCAATAAGACATTGAAAATCGGGTGTGATTTTCCGAGTAATGGGTATAGGAGTCAACCTCAAGTATGTACCTTGCAAACATCCGACTTTCTACACAGAGGCATGGAGAAGGTCACGTGCCGTGCTGCTAACTCGCTCCAAGAATCATCACAGCTCGAAGTCTATTTCATAAGCTACCTATACACTTGATTCAATGCTGTACTGCAGCTAGCGTCGATTCGTTCTCTAGATCTTATGCTGGCCTTGCCATTCGATAAACACATGTATCTCGTATTCCTTGCGTCGGACTCTTAAAGTCGCGCTCTCGGATCTCTAATAGCTTGAAGCCAGCCTTCTCCAACACTCTCCGACTAGGCGCATGTGTTGTATCTACAAGCGCATCCGCGAAGTCATGCCTTTCCTCGCCGGAGTAGTGATCGAAGAAAATCGGCATGTAGCCCTGCAGGGCCTCCGAAGCGTATCCCTTCCCCCAGTATTCCGCATTAATCATGTATCCTACTTCTGGTGTTCGCATGGCTCCAATGACGCCAATCACCCGCGGTGCGGGCATGGCATTCTCTTCTGGGGAGGATGTAGTAGTGGAAGCAGAGGGCAGCAGCTCCATGGAGAAGTTGTGGCAGTTGGAACGGGTGATGCAGTCCGAGACCCAGTCTCTAGATTTTTGGATGTCTGTAGAAGGTAAAGCGGACCTGGATGTTGGGTCAGCAAGTAACCTGTGGTAATTCGAGGGCCCACCAACGTGAATTCCATCACCTCCGGATTCGATCGCATGAGAAAGACGTCGTTGGCATCGTCGAGACGCAGCGGACGAATGAGCAAGCGCTTCGTCCTGGCCGATTCTTCTTTCTGTTCTGTAGACATAGTTTCCGGAGAAGCAAAAACGAGCGGGATGGCTGCTATGACTGAGGCATTTGTATCGCGATAAGAATAGAATGCGAGAGCTGAAGTTGGGTTAGTCTACAGGTTAGCAGGCTGAAGAGTATGCGATGCCAATGCATTGCGGCGCCACCGGTGGCCAGCTGAGGATATGGACCTCGATGATTACGATGTACAAAAGGGTTCTCCACGGCGTCTGCTTTCTTCCTCAGCCCTGTGAGGGTCGGAATGCCGCATTGGTGTCGGCGAGTCGTCGAAGGATGGATGACCGAGACACCGACCTGGAGCGATGCGAGCACGATAATCAGACGGGACCTTAGTGTAGGACGCTTTACGCAGATCCTCTGGAAGACACCATTCATACTAGAAGAAGAGGCGGCACGACTACTTTGGCCCAACAATAGACTCGGAAATACAGTCATACAGCGCAAAATCGGGGCAGCTCCGGTCTGTCTTCGTGTCGCCTCGCGCTGAGCCACGTCCAGCGCGTCAACTGACCGCAGTCCACTCCTTCCTCGCCGTCTGCAAATGTCGAGGAGCGCAGCCAATTCCAGACGCGACATAGTTCTAAGCACGGAAAGACTCTCTGATTTGCTTGTGCTTCCTTTTGGACAGGGGACGACGCCGTGGATGCCGAATGGCCCTGAGTCAATGGGAATGTCCCGTCGCGGGCATTCACTATCAAGGTGGGATCGCGTGGGTACGGCTGACGTCTGCGTGAGAGTATAAAGCAGGCTGGTAGATGCCTGAGTTCCTTTTGCCTCTTCAAAGCCTTTTGTGTCTCACTCTCATACCAAGAACATACCTTTCAGCCTTCATTGCTGACGCTTCCCTTGCTTCACTTTCTGCCATCATTCATCACTTACAACTTCGTCTGTTTTCCCAATGCTGTCCACACGTACAGCAACTCACACTTCCCTGGCGTCTAAACAGACCGGCGCTCAGATCTTGAAGACACTCACATCTTCAACAAGCACTGGTCTTCGGCCAACCTTCATCGTCGTCCGCCAATATGGCTTGACCAATTCCCACCGCAACTTCTCCACAACACCACAGCACAGGATCAAAGAGTTCTTCCCCGAAGCAGATGCTCCAAGCGTACGGAAGACTCCTGCAGCATGGCCGCATCCGATGTACGCATCCCATCCCATCTCGTCGTCCCAGGTAATTCAAGCTAATACCACTCGCAGCTACACCCCCGACCAAATGGCCGCCATTCCCATCGCCCACCGCGAAGCGACCACCTTCAGTGACAAATGCGCCCTCGGCCTCGCACGCTTCGCCCGCTGGGGCTTGGACACTGTCTCGGGGTACAAGCACGACAAAGCCGTTGCACTGGCTGAGAAAGATCTCGCAGCCGCGCAGACAAAATACGGAATGACAGAGGAGAAATACATGATCCGAAACATATTCCTTGAAAGCATTGCAGGTGTGCCGGGCATGGTGGCGGGCATGCTAAGGCATCTGCATAGTATGCGAAGGATGAAGCGAGACAATGGATGGTACGCTACCTATTACCTCCGCTAAACACTTCAACGGTGTGAAGTAATGCGCAAGCTAATTCATATCGCAGGATTGAGACGCTGCTCGAAGAGTCGTACAACGAGCGCATGCATCTTCTTACATTTTTGAAGATGGCAGAACCCGGGCCTTTTATGCGCCTCATGGTGCTCGGCGCCCAAGGCGTGTTCTTCAATGCCTTCTTCGTCGCCTACCTCGTCTCGCCACGCGCGGCCCATCGCTTCGTCGGCTACATTGAGGAAGAAGCCGTCATCACTTACACACGCGAAATTGCGGATCTCGAGGCCGGCCGCCTCCCATTGTGGGAGAAGACAGTCGCCCCGGACATCGCGGTCGAGTACTGGAAGATGCCCGAGGGTCACCGCACGATGCGAGACCTGCTTCTCTATATCCGCGCGGACGAGGCCAAGCATAGGGAGGTCAATCATACGCTCGGAAACCTAGACCAGAAGAACGATCCAAATCCGTATGCCAGTGTGTACAAGGATGCGAGCAAGCCACATCCAACCAAGGGAATGGAGCATCATAAACCCACGGGGTGGGAGCGGAGTGACGTTTTGTAAGCTCGAACAAAGAGAGACGAGTAGGATCATTAGACCCATGTTTTAAAGCGGTGGTTTTGAGCGCCGCATTTTTCTCCTCTCTTGGATTTAGCGCGGCGTTTGGGGGAATTCTATAGACGGGGCGGGACTTTTACCCCAGTGGCTAGCACGGAGGTACTCTGAATTGCAAGCTCGAACGTTGTACATAAACGCCTTCGCAGTGCTTATACGCAGTCGACGCTGTCTGATTCGTACGCTCAAGTATTTTACATCTTGTCCCAAGCCCTCAGGATCCTTTGAAGTACCTCAAACACCAGTAAAACCAATGCAAGGCTACTAGACCTCCGAAGTACTCCAGTCCGGCCTCTTTCAGACATCTACATTTCGCATTTCGCATTTCAGTTTCTTCTCGCACGGCTTTAGTCCGTCATAGCCTCCGCCCCCCATCTTTTGTCACGTACTCGAAAGTGTATAGCCCAGTATGGCAGCTTCGTTAGGATCGTTTAGAACCGCACCGGACACATTTTCCGCATCCAGCGCGATCGGGTCAGCGTCCAATGAATACTCTGCCATAGCAAGAGGCCCGTTAAGGCCTCGCCCGAGAGCGCTATAGATGCTGATACCTGGCTTGCGTCCACCGCGACTCACGGTCACTTGATCTAACCTTCCACTCCGTCCAACTATCTCCTAACTCCCACCATCGTTCGGAAAGAACCCGCCTCTCTGCAAAGAGAAAGGAACCACAAAAAGAGAGGGGAGGATTGTCCGGTGCCGAGGATCGAACTCGCGTTACCTCCCCGCAACACCAGGACTAAGAGGACCTCAGCGTTATAACCAACTAAACCACACCTGATTCTTGGGACAGGGAGAGGTGAGGGGGTTACGTATTGTAGACTCGAGAGAGAGGAAGGGAGATGAGGGCTGCAAGGGGGAGTTTTGAGAGTGATGGAAGCGTTGCTGGGGCGTGGAGTGAAGGGGAATCGGTCTACGTGCTCTTCATGCATAGTAGAAGCGCGGCAGCAGGGGGTACACTCTTCTTGTGCGCGGAGGAACGCTCAACGGCGAGAAAATCGATTTGCTCTTAGAACTACGATCGAAGTGTCGATGTGCTTATTGGACCGGGGCTAGCGAAGGCTTACATTTACTCATCCTCTTTGCGCAGCACCCCCAAGTGGGTTACTGGGCAGATTATAGTCGTGACGCCGCAGCTAGACATCGCTAACTAAGAGCGCTGCCCACCGTATTCGAGACAGTACAAGGCGGTGACATAGCACTCCACATCAGCGATAATGGACGGGAAAAGCCGGATTACAGGATAATGGCTTCCGTGCTGGGGGTGCACATGCAAGGACAACCAGGGTGTAGCTATAACTTCGTATAGAGTTTGAAGTATGCTACGAAAACTTTGCAATCTAGCGAAGATCAATTGTCTGGTAGTTGCATACATGATGAAAATAATAACGTAGAAACTCTAGAGAGGCAATACAAAAGGCGAATCATAAGAATGGAATGATAATATAGAAGAGACCGTTAAGAACAATAGAGTCATAGGAGCGAGATGGCTTGACTGTGCTGAAGTGAGTTGGAAAGGAGGAAGTCTGCGTTTGGAGAGGCGGAGCTGAAGAGTTCGAAAGCTAAAGTAGCAGAAGTTGTATCGTTTATTTGTTGTTGATGGAGATCTTGACCCCAGGAAGCAGGATAAATCAAATTTCATTTCATGGGTTAAAAAAGAAGATGTAGAGCTTGCCTTTTCCATTGAATGAAAGAAAGAGGTAGATACACGTCAGTATTGCCCACCACGAGAGGGGGCAGAATAAGTATTGTGCCAAGAGCCACAATGAGATTGAAAATGAGAGGAAGAAGCCGAACGAGCGAGGAAAAGATAGATCTACCGACACCCAACAAATGGTTCGGCGCCGCCTTGAAAATTGTTCTCGCGAAGTTAGATGAAAGGTGGGCTGCTTAATCTGTCCATGGGATTCAAAAGTAGTCCTACGAGATCACTAGAAACCGTAAAATAAAGCCATGCCACCTGAGCAACTTTACTCCTCTCGGAATCAAGAAACCAACGTGAACATAGATTCCAAACCCGCCAACCACACTTCTGCCGTCCTCGTCAGACAAACGGCGGAAAGCAAAGGTAGGCTTCACAGCACCCAGCCCGCTGCACCGCTCAATCCAGGACCACGCGGACCCGCGCGTGAGAATGCGGATCCGCACAACCCTCGACCTACATACCCTACCCCACGGATGAATCGGGAACCCTTCCAGCATCTGCACAGCCCGATTCGCGCACACTTATGTCCGTGGGCCCAGAAGAGGGGGGCATGCCAGGGGCAAGCCGGGAATAAGACATCCACCCGTAGCTTTAGGCAAAAGCACACCTCCAGAGCCCGCAAAAGCATCAGCATGAAGACGTCGCGCGCTTCGCAGATCGATCCATCTATCGCTCATACCTAGCAGCTCGCCCTCACGATCGAACGCTCGCGCTAGGAAATTAGTCCGTGCAACGCACGCTGTTGGATTTCAGCTTTCGGCTATGCAGTAATGGCGAGGGAATAGCAGCCCGCCGTGGGTGACAGGAAGAGGCGTGGAAAGGCGATAGTTACCGTGATGGTGCTGCGGTGACAGGGGGAAGCTTGGGGAGAGCTTCCCCGCAATTGCTGATCACTGGATACCCCGGATTTCGGCCCCACTTATTTTTAGTAAGGCGGGACAACGTTGGACGGGAGGAGCGATTGGTGCGGTTTTTGTGGGTGACAGCGGCGGGCTGCTTTGGGGTGATTAATTTGACGTCGGTGAGGCGTAAGAGTGAGAGTGGGTTACTTCTTCCTTTCGTTTGGGGGATACTGTATGCTACGTATGTGAAGTTTGACGGATTTTCTGAACTTAAAAGTCGTTTCATATCAGTTAGAAAATGAGAAACGATCTTTACCTTGATGCGGTGCAAAAGTTATAACAAGTTTGTTGGGCTGATATTGGCCAGGATGCTATTCACAGTCAGAACCGCGGGGAACCGTTGATGCGGCTTCTTGAGTCGGCAATCGAGCTTGAGGCTTCCCCGCAATATGCTAAGGATTAGTTAGACGCCGACACGTACTGAAGTAGTGAAAGGATTGGCTATCGTTGATTTTGAAGATCGCGCCGTGGGGGGGATGGGCGCAGCTCCGAAAAGGGTAAACTTTGCTCCCTTTCGAGGTCGAAGATCTTGAGTCGTATGCCTAAGGGTGATTCTCTGAAAGTCTGTAGTTCGAGTTATTCAAAATCTGACAGCTTGATGATTTCCCCGTCATCAGGTCTAAGGGAGTCCTTGCCACTATCTCTTACCAGCGAAGAGATAAAGACTGAATGTTGGTTTCCCAGTAACCCAAACGAACCGGATAACTTCCAAGTGAGACTTTCCATAGCCCCAGAAGCCCCTCTTGATTTTGGTGGAGCTTCTCCGCATCCCAACGTTTGATAGAGCGGCAGCGCCACCTTAGCGGCAGTTCTCCACGTCCCAGCCGTACGGTCCGCCGACTATTTTCCACGCAAGCTCCGAGATATTAAAGTCACGAGCTGCGATATACAACGCTATGCCTCACACTGATAGGATGGCCCATGGCGCCAATGCGGCCGAGTGCGAGATGCGGGGGCCGTATAGACGTCTTCTGTCATCTTGCAGTGCAGCTTGCCTCTTTCAGTCCGGCACAGTTGGATATGTGGAGGTCTCAGGCGTTCTTTGACATGGATGAGGCTTCCAGCCATCGATCAGGACTCGAAGCTCTCGTCAGCCGGTGAGGAGTTCCTTAGTCCCGAGAATGGGGGGAAGCGGGGTCGAGGGATTTAAGACGTGGTGGTTTCGTTTAAGGTTTCGTTCATCAAAGTTCTTGTAGCTTCGGGAGCTCAAGTTCACGCAACCATTATCCTCAGTAGTTTAATTCGAGAATAACGAACTCAAAATGACGATTCCAGACGAGGTCGATATCATTGTTTGTGGTGGTGGGTCGGCAGGGTGAGAATTGCCAATGTGGCATCCAAGTATGCTTGCTGATATCCCTGGGTAGATGCGTAGTCGCTGGACGACTGGCGAACTTGGACCATAATCTCCAGGTCCTCTTGATTGAAGGAGGCGAGAGCAACCTGAACAATCCATGGTAGGGGCTTTGCAGCCGTCTCCGTGCTGGTAGTCGAAAGTCTTACTGACCATCCTGGAATAGGGTCTTCCGCCCAGGAATATATCCTCGTAACATGAAGCTTGATAGCAAAACAGCCTCGTTCTATTACTCAAGGCCTTCGGAGTGGCTTGATGGACGGCGAGCAGTCGTTCCTTGTGCCAACATCCTCGGTGGTGGATCGTCCATCAACTTTATGGTATGCCCCACGTCTATTTGTATCAGTCTTCGAACCTAGCTAACGTCAGTCAGATGTACACCCGTGCTTCCGCTTCCGATTATGACGATTTCCAAGCCAAGGGCTGGACCACCAAGGAGCTCATTCCATTGATGAAAAAACACGAAACCTACCAGCGCTCGTGCAACAACCGCGACCTCCACGGTTTCGACGGCCCTATCAAGGTTTCCTTCGGTAACCACACGTATCCCATCAAGGAAGACTTCCTACGTGCCACCGAGTCCCAGGGCATCCCCACCACCGATGACCTGCAGGACTTGACGACTGGCCATGGTGCCGAACACTGGCTCAAATGGATCAACCGTGATACCGGCCGTCGCAGTGACTCGGCTCACGGCTACATCCACAGCACCCGATCGGTCCACCAGAACCTCCACCTTATGTGCAACACTAAGGTTGATAAGGTAATTCTCGAAGGAGGTCGAGCTGTCGGTGTCCAGGTTTGCCCGATGAAGCCGTTACATCCGAACCAGAAGCACCAATTCAAGACTATCAGGGCTCGGAAGCAGATTGTCGTCTCTGGAGGCACCTTGAGCTCTCCATTGATTCTTCAGCGCTCAGGTATTGGCGATCCCGAGAAGCTTCGCAAGGCTGGCGTCAAGCCTCTGGTCGATCTCCCAGGTGTCGGCTTGAACTTCCAGGATCACTATCTTACCTTCTCGGTCTTCCGTGCTAAGCCCAACGTGGACTCATTCGACGACTTCGTCAGAGGTGTGCCAGAGGTCCAAGATAAGGTGTTCCGGCAGTGGGACACAAATGGTACCGGACCGTTGGCTACTAATGGTATCGATGCCGGTGTGAAGGTCAGACCAACGGAAGAGGAGTTGAAGCAGATGGATAATTGGCCATGCAAGGAGTTCAGGAGCGGGTGGGACAGCTACTTCAAGAATAAGCCTGACAAGCCGGTCATGCACTACAGTGTCATTGCTGGATGGTTCGGAGGTATGCCCACTCACCTACATCCTTATCATTACCATCTATCATCGCTAACAAGCCTCTAGACCACATGCTCATGCCTCCTGGCAAATTCTTCACCATGTTCCACTTCCTCGAGTACCCTTTCTCGCGCGGCTCGACCCATATCACTTCTGCCAACCCTTACGAGGCTCCAGACTTCGACGCCGGTTTCATGAATGATAAGCGCGACATGGCCCCAATGGTATGGGGATACATCAAGTCCCGAGAGACGGCACGCCGTATGGATGCCTATGCTGGTGAAGTTCAAGCCATGCACCCGTTCTACAAATATGATTCAAAGGCGAGGGCCAAGGATCTGGATCTGGCAACGACCAATGCATATGCGTTGGAAGGAAACGTTAGTGCCGGTATTCAGCATGGTAAGCTCGACATTAATGCTCTCCTTTTCCGCTGCGTAGTGTTCTACAAGTCTTGTTCTTCATGCGTCTAACCCAATTCGTTAGGATCTTGGTCAATGCCGGTCGAAGAGGGCCGCAAGCCGGAGCCTTCACTCATCAACTCGAGCTGCCAAGATATTCGCGATGACCTCGAGTACAGCAACGACGACATTCAAAAGATTGAGGATTGGACCAAGAGGCACGTGGAGACGACCTGGCACTCGCTGGGCACGTGCTCGATGGCGCCGAAGGAGGGTAACTCGATTGTAAAGCATGGCGTTCTGGACGAGCGACTGAACGTCCATGGCGTAAAGGGCCTGAAGGTGGCGGATCTCTCCATTTGCCCCGACAATGTTGGTAAGTAACTCAGTACACCGCTTGGGTCCCCCGGGGATTTTTTTAGAGTACGATTGACTGACAAGTAACAGGATGCAACACGTATTCGACCGCGTTGCTTATTGGTGAGAAAGCCGCGATGCTGGTTGCCGAGGACCTTGGATATTCGGGTGAAGCTCTCGATATGAAGGTTCCGAATTACCATGCCCCTCGTGAGATTGCGGGCTTGGCTAGGCTTTAGATGCTGAGGGTATGTGGTCGCAGTAACATCTTGATGTTCGCAAATGAGAATGAAAGAGGCAAGACTGAGCAAAGCAGAACTGGGGGATTGCCATGATTTATGAGATTACACTTTTTGTTTGTAAATAGCTTTCAATGAACAGTAGACGAGATGGGGAGAACGTGTTGTTGCAAGACTGATGATGATACAAGTATGTGAAAAATTGGGAACAGTGCATCGCCGGAAACAAGGTTATGGAAGTACATTCTGTTGAAGATGACGAACATGCTAGGGATAAAGTCGTGATGCAGAAGTGGGAGAGTTGATGCTGGTCGAGACGAAATGAGAGGTTCCGCTCCACCCCGCCCGCACGACCACCGCAATCACTTCCCTTACTTTCCATCTCAACCCAAGCCGACCATGTCGAATCTCATCCCCGTCTGGTCCCAGATGTTAAGTGCGCAAAGCACGCGAACCTCTGACACCGCGATGGACGCTGACTGACTCGCTTGGCAATCCTCTCGTCTGTTAGCAAGGCTGCCATATGGGAGCCCGACAACCTCTCCACTTCCGGGCTCCAGCCTGCGCATGATTGCGCGCAGCTGACGCGTAGAAAGCAGTGGATAGATGCTCTTTCGACGCGTCTCATCACTTATCGCACGGCAAGTCCTCCAGCGCTCTTCGCTACGCATTGTCACACGGACCATTTGCAGCCAGTCCACTCTAGTTCTATACGGAATACTATACGAAGTAGTTGGCTTAGTATTCCGTAGTCCAGGGCCTCCCGCCCCGCCATCAGATTCTCCGTGAGCCTCCGCAGCCTCCGCAGCCTCCACCGAGACCGAACTACCACAATGGCTTGTCGCAACGATGGCGATGAGCCAATTAGTGTTCCTGGCTTCGGACTTCCCATCGATTGAACTAAAGGCTGGGATGACGAGGATAAGTTTGCCCACGGTGCGAACAGCTGGGCACAGGACCCCCGTCTGACTGTGCACGAGCTCGCTATGCTCAAGGTCATGCAAGTTCTTACCGACACGCGTCTCAAACTCCCCTTCTTTATGAAACCCCGCTAACATGTGTACTGCGACTTTAAGTCAAGGGCACTCATGGTGGCAATGGTCGCGTGCCTCCTCGAATCCAGACTTTTGGCTCTACATTTGAGACCGAGTATCCGAAATGGAGAAGCAATTTGAAAAGCGACCCCAAGGATGAAGGCTACAATGAATCTCTAGCCAATGTCCAGGAGTACCTCACACTTCCCGAAAACCCAGATGCCGAGCATATGCGCTCTAACAACTACGAAAACAAGTATCAGGACGGTACATGGGTGGAGTCTGACAATCACAGCGTGTGGGGCGCGGTGGATTGGAAATGGAAACGAATCCGCAAAGTCGCGCACCCAGAGCCAGGCGTTGCATATTCATTTGAAGAATGGAAGCAAGGGAAGACAGATGGTGCCGTTGTTCCCCCGCGATATAGCAGAGGCCAGAAACACAATTATTACGACGTCAGTCTGCAGGACACGTTCCGTGAAAAAGGTCTCCAGGTCATCGTGAAGCTTGCCAGCATCGAGCTGAGCTGACGCCTGATAAGCCTAGTTACGATGGCGGCAGCTGGCATATCGAAGGAATGTTTAACGAACACATCGTTGGCATCGCGATCTACTATTACGACGTGGAAAATACGACTACTTCACGCATCCGATTTCGCCAAGAAGCCGGCCTTGACAGGATGCATTTGGAATACGATCAAGACGACCATGAACCCCTTTCGGAGATCTTCGGAACTGCCTCCTTGCGGGATGAAGCCGCCGTGCAAGAGCTGGGCAGCGTTGCCACACCTTAAGGCCGTCTGATCGCTTTCCCAAACACGCTTCAGCACTGTGTTCAGCCCTTCGCCCTGGAGGACAAAACACGTCCTGGACATAGGAGATTTCTGGTGCTGTGGCTCGTAGATCCGTATTATCGCGTGATGTCGACGAGAAACGTTTCCCCGCAGAGGCATGACTGGTGGCTGGAGGCGGGATTGAACCAGGTGGGAGACAAAGTCTATGGTCGGCTGCCCGTAGAGCTGGCGACAGAATTAGGTGAAATGATTGGCGAGTGGCCAATGGGAATTGCTGAGGCTCAAGCTCTGCGTCTGGAGTTGATGGAGGAGCGCACGAACCTGATGGATACGGTGTACGGGAACTTGGAAGTGTACAACTTTTGCGAGCACTAGTTTGGCTGTAGAAGAGCTCGCATACATATTACCGTAGGTTCAGGTTTCGCTCAAGAGCTTGCCATGTTTTCGTTTCACCTTGTCAACACCATATCATACATATTTGCAGCAATTCAAACTCGATACTCCATCCCAACGATCCCAATCCTTTTTCAATCAAACCTTTCCTTTTAATGTCCACTTCCCAAAGAACCCCATGATCTCCGTCGTCGCATCAATACAACTGGTCAAATTCGTATCATCATTCGCAAACGTGCTCGGCCAGTCATGGTACAGATTCTTAAACGTATAATGCACCACAGTTTCCTCCCAGTTATACCGCTTCACCGTCCTAGCTCCGTCGCCGCACAACGTCGTCGTCTTATTCGTATCAACCTCGAAACCATCCCGCGTCGCCCAGTCGTCCACCCACGATACTATGGGTATCGTATCTCCACGGTTCGACGCGTCAGGCCCGCCGGTGTAGTTTATCGTGTGGTCTTTCAATCCATGCGTCTCCAGGATCGGGATCGGCACGCGAGCGGGCTTGCATGGCGGTAGCTCGCCCGTCGATTCGTTGAGGTAAAACGCACCGGATACAGCAGCGAAAGCCGCGATCTTTGATGAAGTACCGACATCGCAAGCGAGCAGGCCCACGAGACCACCGCCGTTGGATTTCCCGGCTGCGTAGACGCGTGAAGGGTCGATGCAGTAGCGGCTGAGGAGGTGGTCGATCAGGTCAGACGTAAAGAGGATGTCGTCGATGTCGGCGGGGGCGTCGGGATCGCCGGTCCATTGCTGGGTGCCGTTTTTGTCCTAAGATTCGTAAGTGGTGCTTCATGCGGTGCAGAGATGGTGGCTTACTGGTACACCCTCGGGGTACACGGCGATGCCGTCAGGGTTGTACGACGAGTTTGAGAATTGAGACAGCCCCTCCTGCTCTGTTGCGGTCTTGGCGCGGCCGTGGAAGGAGAGAATCAGAGGCACGGCGCTGTTGACGTCGTACTTTTCAGGTACGTGGACGAGGTATGTTCGTTTTCGGTTTCCGCTGTTGATGTGCAGAGGGGTGTTTGATGCTGCGAGCACGCCGGGTTTGACCCCGGTAGGTAGAGGCTGGCCACAGCCCCCAGTTTGTGAGGCGCATTGGGCGCATGCGACAAGGAGAGAGAGGGAAGGGAGGAAGAAGGTTGAGAGCTTCATGTTTGTTTTGGGTTCATGAAGCTGACGATTGCTACTTATTCCGCAAAGCGACAGGCAGATGCAGGTACTGCAGATATACACGTTACCATGCATGGTTTCACCATGGGGGATTCTATATTAAGGAAGCAATGACACGTTGGGGCGGGCACATGCAAAATAATCAGAGGGAGCGTCCGCTTGGAATCGAAGGGATTGGCAAACAGTGCACCTCGGTGTCAGCACCACATCCCCAAAATAGTGGTCATGAGGCTTTTTTGTGGTGAAAAGAGCCGCATGGATGGTCAGCAAGGGAGCTGAGTTCAGCCCAAGCTCAGCCCTATTCTGGATGCCAATTCGCCGCGACTCAGTACAATGGGGTAACCCTGCAACAATTTACGGGAGAGGTGCAGGTCGCTAACTCGATGTAGATATTGTGCTTCAGGTTTCTCTTTTGCCCTATCGGGACTCTTCTTTTGCAGCTACGCTCCATAGGGCCGTGGTTGCTGATCGTGCAATGCTCCACCGCAGGAATTTTTCTGGTAAAACCAGCGTTGTCAGAATCATCACCCTTCACTCTACCATGCAGTATTTAACCATGTATGCAGCAGCGTATCACTCACAAGCAAATATCCATCTCGATTTCCGGCGAAGAATGGTACTTTTGTGAGTCTCTATATCAAACCTTCGAGGCCGGGAATAAGAGCGTGACTGCTTCGCCATGTATCCCTGCATGCAAGGCGTGTTTTGATCAACACATAATCATTCCCCGCAATTGTTTCTCGTCATTTGAGAGGTCACAGATCTCATGCGCTAAACCCGGAGTACCGTCAACTACCTCGGCATCACTCATACAGTACTGATTGGCATCTCAGTAATCAACGGCGTCGAGCGACAAAACCAACCAGGCAAAGCAAAAAGAACAAAATGAGAATCTGCCGTCGCCGGGTGTGCAAGGAGCAAGAGGTAATTTGAATGCTGATACAATCTGCTCTCGTGAGCGGGATTTCTCTCTACGACGCTGGACGGCTTCTTTCCACCATTTCTCCTTCATGAAGCAACGGCGCAAAGCAACGTCCACTGCCAAATGCGATCTTTGAACCGCGACACGAGCATCAGTCATACACACGTCCCGCTTTGCGAAGAAGTCATGTTCATAGCTGCTTGGTTTTCTACCCGCCGTACATCTAGCGCATGGCTCTTCTTCATCGCGCTATTCTGCTTCTCAATACACGCCGCAGCATCGAACCTAACATGCTACTACCCGGACGGCCTTGAGAACAGAGGCGACGCGTGCAATCCTACCTCCTCCGTCTCCCAATGCTGTGGTCCCGGCTTCGTTTGTAGGTCTCCCATCACCCAGCAGGACAACCAAGCCTTAATTCCCACCACCAGGTCTCGGTAATGGCCTCTGCCTCCCAGGTCCCGAAGACACGAAATCCTACGACTGGAAATACTACCGAAGCGGCTGTACCGATCCAATATGGGCTTCCCCAACCTGTCCCAATTTCTGTCTAGGCCGTATGCTCCCCAACCCTTCCCCCTTTCCTCCCCCACCATCTACCCTCAACCCGCCAACAAGCTAATCCTGTCCCAGCCAACGATAGCATCGACTCGGGCCAAGGCATCCAAAGCTGCTCCGGCGGCCCGAACCGCTACTGCTGCGCCCACAGCCGCCGTATGGACTGCTGCTCCAACTCCACCAACATCTTCACCCTCGGCTTGGCGAATATCGTCACCACGATACCGTATATCTCGAAGGCAGCTAGCACGACAGCTCCGCCCAGCATTACTCTGGTTCCAGGTCCTTCGTCCGGCAGTGGCGGTGTATCGAAGAGCGTTTCCACAGGTGTAGGCGTCGGCGTTGGCGTCGGTGGCGCGCTCGCCATCATCCTCGGTGTTCTTCTCTTCCTACGGCACAGGCAACGAAAGATGGGCGCGAAACGGTCCCCGGAGTTTGGTTCGCACAGGTTTGAGACGCGGCAGGATGGGGCGGGGAATGATAGTGGGACTGTGGTAAAAGATGCAGAGTTTTTGGCGATGCGCGACGGCGGGGGAGAGGAGATTCGGGCGTATCTACCGAGTAGTCCGCTGGAGCTGGAGAGCTCGCCACGGTTTGAGTTGGGCGTATTGCCGGATCATGACGAGCGTGCGCCGCTGGGGAAGAAGGGGGATGAGGCAGAGGAAAGGAATAAGTACCCTGGGAAGTATTTTAAAGAGGAGGGGTTGCATCGGCATGAGGTGCCGGGTTGAGAGAGGAGATGGGATGAAGAGAAGTAGTAATGCTAATAAGAGTTCGCTACTAGGTATCCGGGCTTCGAAGTGATATGTATGGAGACAGCTAATGCTGCGGCTACCACGTGGTACAGTACCAGGACACAAGTTTGGGCACGCCGTTCTTTTCATCTCGTCCCGATTTATGACGAGGTGCTGGAGCACTACAAACAGCGGCAAGCTGGCCGATTGTCAGGATATGAAACGTCTCTAATCCAAGCTCTCAGGGACTTTACATCTTATCAAAACTTTTGGAACGTGTCGAAGCATCCCAACAGTGATGAGCAAGCGTGCCGTGCGTGCCTAATATTTCGACAAAGCACAGCACACTTCGCCGGCCCTGAAAGGAGAGATGATACAGCTCCAGCCTCGACACCACTGTGAGGAGCAGCCCAGCTAGTAAGCAATCAGTTAGCCAAGAGGCAGTCAAATCTGCACTACTTGGAACTTGACATCGCGCCTTGGTTTTTGAAATTCCATGGGGGTCCCCCTAGCAGTGGTCAACGCGTGTGCACAGACTTATGACGTGTCACTGTAGAAGGGAGGAGGGCGCCGTATCCAACTTCACCAAGCCATTGCTACACACTCACCGAGACAATCTTCTCTCTATCCGCTCCACCTCCCCATCCAACGCCCCACGCCCGCTCTCTACTAGCCCCTGCACCGACATGATGAGCTTTTTGAGGAGCTCGTTCTCCTTCCTCAGCGCGGCCACGTCCTCCTTCCGCTCCCGTTAAGGAATGGAAGGGTAGACAAGGTCCGCAAGAGGTAGGTTTGGTTGAGCTGGTTTAATTTGGCAGAGGAGAGAGATGAGCTGAAGTGAGGAGCGGGGGAGAAGCGTGCCATTAAGCTTGAAGCTTTGGTGCTTTTATCAGCCTGTAACCTTTTGAAACTGCACACGCGATGTGAAAGCCTATGTGGTGGAAATCAGAAAGTCTCTTGATACGCTCGCGGCCTACTAGCTGGGCCACTCCTCACAGTGGTGTCAAGCCAGCAAGAGTGGAAGCCGAGCCGTTGTAAATACGTGTGCCTGACCTTATGAGCTAGTGATATAGGAGTTTGACTTCTGATATTCGGTAGCCGTGCAGTTCGTGAGCTGCGGTGCTTAACAACTGATTCTGAGGTTTTGGGGGCTGTTGAGGTACCACATGCAGTGGTGAGATGGTGCGGTCTAACAGTCGTCTAGTCTACATTCTGTAGTGCTTAACGTCCCTCTCGATTATCCTTCGCTTTAGAAGTATTTAGCGACTAGACCGTGTGCGCTTTACCCGTTGTGCTTCAATATGTTGACAAATTCCCAGATAAGATTATTCAAATTTTCTGGCGAGATTTGCACGTGACCTCCTCTTTCTATCCCATCTACTTCCATCCCAACTTCTTCAAAAATAAGGTTATCAGTCTTATGCAGCTCGGGCCACCGCACCACGCTAGTGTAAATCATTGACCACATCACGTCGCGCGCGAGCTTCTTCTTTTTCTTCTCTATCGTAAGATCCGCCAGAAGCACCCCTTCTCGCCGACCTCGACGCCGCCATCATGGGCCGTACAAACGTAAGTTGTTTTCTTTCTTCCGTCAAGAATGCACATCAGGGCCTCCCTCTCACGGTTTAGATGCGTCTCTTTCTCGTTGTTATCCTCTGAATGACGGCCTCTCTCTCAGCTCGCGGCTTCTGGACTCGACGCTAACGACATATAGACTCACAAACCTACCACTGCTGCGCCCGGCCTGGCCGGTGACGCCCCTCCCCCTGCCCTGAAGCCCCACCGCGCCCCTAAGACCTCGGTCAGCCGCGCCGCGCCTCTTCCGAGCCGCCCGCCGCCTCCCAAGGAGAAGAAGGCGAAGAAAGACAAGAAGGAGAAGAAGCCTGCCAAGCGCGCCCGGGGTTAGTTCTTCCCTTGTTACGGATCATGTTCTGCGCTGTGTGTTCGGAGGCACTGGACGCTGTCTCAAGATCTTGAGGACACTCACACAGAACTGGACTTGTGCATCAGGAATGTAGGAAGCTAATGTCTGTATTCCAGACTCCGACGACGACGACGACGAAGAAGAAGAGAAGAAGCCGGCGAAGAAGGCGAAGAAGCCAGTGCGCGGTTAGTTTCCCACGTGTTTATCCCCTACAGTCTCATCCGCGCTAGTCTCTTTAACGTTTTGGTGTATATCAAAATGGTCTGAAGAATGTCACGATGTTTGACTAGTTGAAATTGATGAATGTAAAATACTGACGTTGCGTTTTAGCCCCGACTCCGGAGACAGAGAGGGATAGCGAGTTGGAGCTTCTTGTTTCATTTTTAATCACCGACAGGCGGAGAAGCGCTGTTAAACACACTGTGCTCAATGTCTGAATCTCTCCATAGTGCCCCGCGACGAAACAATTGGAGGTTGGGAAAATAAACTGAAATATTTACCCTTAAAAATAAAAGTTGGTCAATGCACTGTGTTATGTCGCCGCCACTACGCATGATCAACGAAGGTGCTCATAGAGAGAGACTCGACTCACGTGTTCACGCTACTTTCTAGGACACATGATGCCCCATTCGGCATGAAGACATCCCACATAGCTTTCATGCAACTGCAAATGGCCCGCAACTTACCAACATTAACTTACCAGCATTCCTCAATGTGATCACAGCTCTGAGAGTCAGGGGAATGTCCGACTCCGGCGGCTTTCTTCGTTTTCCTTGCATGCAACCCTCCGTAGGGCCTGGACTTGTGGTCTTGGGATGCGCCGCATGAAAAAAGCGCCTTGAGGGTGGGGCCAATGGTACGGTAGCGCAACGGAAAGGAGGCATCTTCAACGCACAGATCTTAGACTAAGTAAAATAACTTCGGTATCGTCGTAATTGCGGAGATTGTTCCAGCAGGCAAAGGTGAGTGTTGTATCACATGATCTTGATCGATTTTAACGACGTATTGCACAGCGTTCTAACATTGCGGAGCCAGTGAATGAAGAGATGTAAGACCGGGCGGTTGACAGCTTCAAAGAATCGAGAAGGATGCCCGGCACAGCATTTCGATCCATCTCTTGCACGTATGACCTGCGGAGCTTGACGTCGGAAAGATTATCGCTGGGGGCGTTCAGATTCGGTGATTATTCAATTCACAGATGCAAGTTCCTGGAACATCATTTAGCCAGATATTCAATGGAAAATTGATGCTGAGGGTCACGGAGAACGGAATCCCTTACGAACACTCAGGGACCTCCTCACGAAGGCGCTTACTCCCAAGGGTGATCCTGCGGCTAAATAGGATGTCCTATGGGCTGAAGAATGCTGATTTTGGGTGAAGAGATGATGGAGGTGTCGTCTGCGGCGGACGAAGGTGAAGATAGGGTTTGGGGCCAACCTTGGAAGGGAATGGCCGGTAGAGCTAACACGGCGCGCAGGGGCTTTCGGCAATGGAACCGCAGGACGCATCTTACAACTCAACGTTATCCACCAATACATCATCAAAAGCGCGCAAATTAATGACCCGCCCAACTTACGCACTAAAGCACCTAGATAGCACCTTCTGCAGTGTTAACGTGGCCATTCAGCAGCCCGTTCAATTCGCGTCGTGGGGATCTTTCCGTCCCCTTTTGGATTTCATGCAGTGGCGTGGAGATATTATTCTGCAGCGACAATAGTTTCCACACGAGAGACCCTTACATCAACTTCTGAATCTCGATAACATGCTATGACACCTCGCGCAGTGGCGCGTAGGTGCAAATCGACAGGCAAATCCAGGTCGCGCCATTGGACGACCGCGGGAAACATGGAAAGCCTTTTGCAGCCCTGTCGAGGGAGGCCAGCGAGCCCAAAATGACAGATCTTCGCCGAGCTCATATTTGGGGAAGTGGGTTGAAGCACCTCATGACATTGCATGCAGACTTTCAAGATTAGGTCATAAGTCTGGGTACACGGACATCTCACTGCTCGGGGTCCACTCTTGCTTGCTCGACGCCAATGTAAGGAGTATACCAGCTGATATGTCGTCAGTCAGGCAAACGGTAGCCCTATTTATATCGCGTCGAGGTTTCAATCCTACTTAGGGTTTAGCGCGCCTATTGGGTGGGATACCCAAAGCAGGTGTAAGGAGTACCTAAACGTATAGCCTGGTTCTGAACGACAAGGCAATGTTCGCACCAATCTCAGTTGCAATGTTACAGTGCCTGGGCAAAAGTCAGTACACTCTAGAATCCCACTGTTTGAGATCCTTCGTTGTATTGACAGGAATTTAGATAAGATATAAAAGCCAAGACAACGCAAACTTCAGCAGCCCGAAGCGCTTTTAATCGACCCGTTACGCCGTCGTTCAGGGTGACCCAGCATCTCATCAAGAATCCGGACGCAAGGTCAGAACCAACTGCAGGAGGGGCTTGGAATCCGCATGGTAGTGGCAAGAAAGCGTACGAAGATCGCAGGCATATCGAATTCTCTGAACTAAATACATGCTGACCGCTCCAGACATCGGAGATAGGTATATACATTGAAGACATCTGAGACTGTTCGTGCAGTCTACCTGACATAAAGAACTTCTGACACCTGGGGTAGTCGCAGACTAGACATTGTCGTCACCCTTCGCCATGAAGAGATCGAAGACAGGGGCATCTTCGCCCATCTTCTGCTTGAAATTTTGGCTTATCCCTAAAGCGAGCATACTTGCAAGGAGATCCGCCAGGTCCTCGCTGAGACCGGGACTGGTGAGCCTGGTCGACACCTTTACCGTCGCCAGCAACATGTCTTCTTGGCCCCTCTGCTTGGCTTGCTCCATCTCACGCCATTCCTCCTCAATCTTATCCCATCAAACAACAAAGACGTTCTTGTCCATAACCTCGCCTTCATTCAGGGACTCTCTGAAGAGGAGGAACTTGGCATCGAAGTGGTCCTTCTTCTTCTTGTCGGAAGCCAAGCTGTCATAGTACTTGGTGACGCATTTCTGCTGTTCGGCTGCACTGAGCATGGCAGCAGGTCCATGCTTCTCGAGGTAGCGTATGGTGAACGCATCTTTGTGATGCAAGCGGGCAAAAGTGATGAAGGCGCTTAGACCTTCGGCATTCCAGTAGGACAGGACCACCTACTCTGGTTAGTGCTTGGCCTTGAGTCGACTGGGAATTGGACAAGACGAACCTGATATTCTAGACCCGACGCTCCCAGACCCTGAGCTGCCTTGCCTTCCTTGGCTCCGGGAACCTTGACGCTCTCCGCGCCATCCCTCCTCACCTCCGACGCAATTCTCAACTGATCCTGGAACTTCTCCTCTTCGGTCCAGTTCTCCTTCTCCAGTATCAACTCAAGATCCTCCCAGAGCAACGAGTAGTTCATCAGGTCAACGATGTCTTCTTCGCCCTTGTTTTCCTTCTTGTACTGAAGCCATGCCTTCTCAACTTTGGCCATTCGCTTCGGGTCTTCCAAGCGACAGCCCTCAACCCAGGTCTTCTGGGCTGACGGAATCAAGATGGCGATCTTTCCGTAACGGAACCCGCCTAGCATATCGAGACTGTTGGCCTTGTGAACGGATCGGAAAGCTTCGGTGACTTGGGAAGAGGTCAGGTAGCCGGTGACCATGTGGGCAGGCCACTGTGTTCTTCAACGTCAGTGGTTTTGAGTGCCTCTTTGATGGATGGGAATTGACCTCTTTCCAGCCACCAGAGCCCTTGTGGCCCACATCCTTCTTCTTGTTGCGATTCTGCTTCTTGCCGCCTCTAGTCGGCATGGTGAGCAGCGGAGCGGACGAGATGTTTTTCGACCTGCGAAACGGGTGAGTAGAGAGCCAATGATGGGATTGAGATGCATACCTGGAGGACGCGATGGTGAGGTGAAGTGGGAGAGGTTGAGGTTGAGAAGAGGACGGAATGAGTGGGAAGAAGGAAAGAGCCACTCCGCGTGGTCACGTGTTGACGTCACGGCCCTCAACAACTTCACCTGGACGGCCATGACTCGTCAAATCTACGTGTACTATCAGCCATCTCTCCGAGGTGCCCTTGTACGCTTTGAAGAATTTGGAGGGGATGTGAAGTTCAATGCACAGGGGTGCAACTTGGGAAAGCCTCGTGACTGATCAGTTACCTACCAGACCACGGGGGTATTCCTGATAATAGCATCGAATACACCATAGAGACACCGAAGCATGTTTGATAGACATGCGAGAGATAAGGATACTACGGGGGTACATGCGAACGATAAGCAAGCTGGTCAAAAGCAGACGGCGGGACTGCTTCCATTCGTAATGTTGCTGTCTGACGTGGCCCAGCCACTTACCAATTCCGCGGAAGAGTAGGAATCATTTCGAAGTATGGATCAGGAGCAAAGGTAGTAGCAACAGTTCGCACCCTGATTTCGCCGTCAGAAATAGCACGACATATTTAATGATACTACATTAAACTGAAAGCTTCAGCTCGTAAACTACGAGTATAAGGGCCATAATGATCAAGTACAATAATCTGTGTAGAAGTAGATCATAGAGAAGAGTTTGAGAAGCAAAGACTGACTCGCCATAGAATTGTACCCTCGCCTGACGCTGTTTGAAGTGCTTCAAGCTATTCTTAGAATTTAGAGGTGCTTTCACGTATCTCCGAATTCATCCTCTTGCATCGGTGAGTAAGCAACTTATCCAGAGAGACGTGTACTGCTGCGAGGATACTTACATGGTGTCAGTGACGTGATTGGTCAATTTAGCGGAATGTGCGCTGTGATTGGCCACTTTGAAGGCATGTTTCCTCCAAGCCCGTCAGCCCCCTCCAGGCACAATCACTGAGTGCCTTGAAAGCCTTATCTACCATCTCCACGGGGATATCTGCCCCTTATACGGTGACAGGTAGCATATATATAATGAGGCACCTCATTATGCTCCAAAATCACACCCAAAGCTTCACCAACCCGCCAACTGCACACTTCAAACTTGCAACAAAAATCAAATCTTCAACTCTTCATCCATCCCCATACCAAGCTCTCAAACTCCCAAACTTATCCGTTAATCATCCTCCTCCCAACCATGCACACCCCCATCTCCCCCGCAATCCTCTACTGGGGCACCCCCGTCGTCCTCATCACAACCACCAACCCGGACGGCACTCCCAACATCGCGCCCATCTCCTCCGCCTGGTGGCTCGCGCACCGCTGCGTGGTCGGCCTGGGGGGCAGCTCCCAAAGCACCGAAAACCTGCTGCGCACCGGCAACTGCGTTATCAACCTGCCCACCGACGACATGGCGCCCGCCGTCAACCGCCTCGCGCGCACCACGGGCACCGACCCGGTGCCCGTATGGAAGGCCTCCACCGGCCACGTCTACGTGAAGGACAAGTTTGCGCACGCGGGCCTGACGCCGCAGGCGAGCGAGGTGGTCGCCACGCCGCGGATAAAAGAGTGCGCGGTGCAGATGGAGGCCGAGCTGGCGGGGGCGCACGAGATGATGGAAGAGATGGGCGGGCTGAAGGGCGCGATAATGGCGGTTGAGCTGCGGATTGTGCGGACGCATGTCGAGGAGGCGCTGCTGTTAGAGGGGCATGCGAACCGGATCGATGCGGCGAAGATGCGGCCGTTGATCATGTGCTTCCAGGAGTTCTATGCGATGGGGCCGAAAGTGGCGGATAAGAGCCGGTTGGCGGAGGTGCAGGAGGAGAATTATCGCGTGTTGACGGGGAGTACGGTTGTGGAGGGCGAGGTGGTCGAGGTAAAAAAGGGCGAGCTTTTGTAGGCTGTTGTGGGGTTCGGCGAGATCAGCGACGAGAGCTTGTTTGGGATTGTTTGGTTGGATTGGATGTAAAAAGACTAGGAATTAATATAGACGGTTGGGCTGTTTAACTGCTAAAAGCTGCCGCGTTCAGGTTAGACACGTAGTGAGATTAGAATCTTTAGTTCTAACATATCCTCTGCTAACCACGAAATTACACTTAGTCCGAAAATTTTGAACTTCATGCAAAGGATAAAGCACCTCACGAGCTTACAGTGAGGCCCAGTACAAGAAGTATAAAGATTAGAAAATCCCTTACGATAACTAACTGTCTGATCATAAATGCACGAGAACTGTAGAAAAATAAGAGATCAACAATGCTTTGCGAGATTTCTGTGCCCGTATTGGATTCAAAGAAAAAGGACAAGATGTAATATCCGAAGCACCCACACCCGAACTGGCCTTCGAAGTCTTTTGATTGATCGGCGGTGTGATGGAATAGCTCCAAACAGCATGTCTAGCGTCGAAAAGTGACACCCAAGCAGACGGGAGCTACAACCTGCCATAACTTACGCCTAGTACTGTAAGAGAAGGCGCTAGGTACTCCCAACTCAAGTAATACGTTGCGAAGAACCATTCTGCCCAAACAATTTGAAGAGAACATTGATTTCCTCATTGCGATCGGGGTTTGACTTGTTCCAAAGCTCTTGCGGCGTGACAGCTTCTGTGACACTGCGCAATGAACGGAGTCGGCGACTGTGGTCCCAGAACGTACACGTCCTCGCAGTCTCAATGTCGGCACCGTGTTGGAGCAGTAGTAGAATCAACGCCTTTCTGGGCCGAGCCTACTAGGTATAAGATCATTTTTCAACAATGAGTGTAGTGCAGTCGGCCAACCGTCGCATTCTACGTTGACGTCAACACTAGCCTCGAGCAAAAGTTTGATAGTAACCAGAGGGAATGAAGGGCCGTGGGCCTTAGATCTGTAGATCAGGCCTGCTAAGGGGCGGCCGTTCCCCCATCCTTCGATGTATATCGGCTTTTCAAGGTAGACGGCAAACTCGAGGAGGATCTTGAAGCATTCTATGCTCTCTGAAATGATTGCCGCGGCCAGTGGAGCCACTGGGCCCGAAAGTTCTTTTTGTTTTAAATGCGACTTGTATAAACAACTGATTGCGTTAGGATCGGTTCCCTTGGCGAGGATTCCTTGGAGTCTTTGGGGTGCTGATTTCCTGTCCATTATGAAGAGGCAATTTTCCAGATGCTCTCTTTCCTCATCAGAGAGTTGCGACCTGCGTGTGCGTGCTAACAGCACTTTCTCTCGATCTACTAGGCCTCCGGATGACGCTCCTTGCGCAGGGGGGCGTGTGTTAGGTGGCCTCGGCGTTCCTTGTCCTTGGTCTGTAGTGGCCGTGGTTCTCGACGACTGTGTGGTGGAGGTAGGAGATGCTAATCCTTCCTCGCCGTCCCAGGATCGTGCGCTCTGAGACTGGTCGTCGTAGTCTACAGCCGACTCTGCGTACGCGCTTTTAGCGTAGGTTGTAAGCTCATCCAGGTAACGCTGCATGGTGATGCCTCCGTCCAATTGCTGGCCGTGTATTCTTTGTAAAGTTGCAATCATCTCGGAGACATCTTGTCGGACTGTGGTTGCGTCCTGGTTGACCAAGGTGGTCGTCTGACGACCATGGCCAGAAGATCTGAGAATCTATTAGCAAGCTATATATTGATTAACTCCTTGTCATGGGCCTACGTCTACCATAGCGCTGCTTCTGGTGCTTCGATGTGTTCTCGAAAGTCGGACAGAGAAGGAAGTTCAACATTTCAAACAATCCATAAACCCGTTACGCTACCTCAAATGGCGATGCCATAAGAGGGCCATAGGGCTGCCGAAATACCCCAGTAGAAGTAACAGAAGAGTGTTTGCAGATCAATGGTAAGGTACCGCCAGGGCCGAACACTACGGCTCAAAATCGACTTTTGGTTCTCTAGGGTCAAACGGCAACGTCTTATCCGACTCTTCCCAGTGTATGACCAGTCCTCCCCATTGGGCTGTAGCCAGCCCCCATTGGGCTGGCCAAGCTCTGTAATAGTGGTGCCGCAGTTTTGGAGCACCGAAATGATGTCCTGGTGATCAGCCGGCGGATAGCGGCCTGGTCGAGTAGCGTCTCGAGCGAGCGTTCGTACAATCTTTTGCAGTGACTCAAGCTCTTGAACAATCGGGGTTGTATTAGCGGGAGCGCTGGAGGGGGTCTGCTCGAAGGATTCGAAGCCTGTGACCGACTCTCCAATCTTGGACAGAAGGCTCAGGCAGGTTGCTTGGATGGGTTGAGGCTCCGCCATGTTGTCCGGCGAACAGCGGGGATTTAGATGCGCAGATTTCTGTAATAGACGATAAAGGCGGAATTCAAACAGCTTAATGACATCCAGCGTTTTGAGCAGAACACAGGTACTTCAGCCTTGTTGGAGGATACGCTCGCGACCAGCACGACAGTACTCCTAGCCAGGACGAGGGGCAAGAATTCGGCCACGGGGCCTACAGAATTGATGAACGAAACTAAGGTGCATGATGCGTCAAAGATTGCACCAAAGGCCGGTGAAGGATGAAGGAAGCGTCAGGTGTATCTGGACGTCACATATTCTCAGCTAGCCGGGTGCGCCATCTAGAACAAGCTGTCTTGTGTGTACCTGTCTGCCACCGCTTGGGTTGCTTCAATGTGTTTTCAGGAATCTCAAGAAGATAGATGCTCTTCGCCTTAGACTATGTGGAAACGTGTTGAAGCACTTCCTGCAGTGGTAAACAGGTGTACACACAAAACAGAGTGCTTAATAGGTGGCACGTTAATCCCAGAACAAGCGGTCTCGGTACACCTGTCTGCCACCACTTGGGGCGCGTCAATGCATTCTCAGGAATTGAAAGGAGACAGAAACGCTTCACCTTGGGCTCTATGGAAACTCGTTGAAGCACCTCAAACGGTGGCAGACAGGTGTACACCCGAACAGAGTACTTGATGAGTGTGCCACTTTTTCGGTGCCTCGCGTGGGTATTAGCTACGGCAAAAGGTAGTCTAGTCTCCATTACGTTGGCTCTTACATCCTATTTAGAGTTTTAAAAGCCTACGGGGATACCCCAAGCAGTCGCAATGAGTGCTCCAAACTCATGTATTGGTACTGTAGATGCGATATAGGGGCGGAAGCAATGGAACTGGGCAATATTTTGGCTGACTAGTGGTAATTAAGTGGACATAGCTATCCCCAGGTACTCTCTTCCCGGAACATCGCCATTCATACCGCTTTTAGCCCTTTAAGCGCCAACATGTACTTATCTAACCCTCGTTCTGACCACCCTCACGGTTCTGGAAGTCGAATTGCTACATATTCTCCCACGACGACTCCATCTCCACCGGCTCCTCCACGACCTCACTCCGCGGCGCCCTCCTCGCCGGCGTAGAAGTGAACCCTTCTGGCAGCGATCCCACCCGCGCACTCCCCCTCCCAGGCCTCCGGTGGTACAGCGCGTCTTCCATTGACGGCGCCCCCCTCGTCAACGTCTCCAACTCCTGCGCCGCCTGCTCCGCGCTATCGGCACCAGCTGCCCTCGCCGCCTTCGTTGCCAAGTGCGCTGCGGTAGCCCGTTCACCAAATCTCAGCACCATCTCTTCCCTCGAGAGCTCAGGTCGTGGTCGCAGGGGCGTGGATCTGAAGCCGCGGGATTGAAGGGCTTGTTCCTTCGCAGCTGCATCCACCGTCTTGAGTATTGCTTTTTGCGCCTCGAGGGCCCTGGCCATCTCTGCGGCGCGGTATTCTGAAGCAGCTTGCTCTTGGGTAAGAGTGTGGTGTAGCGCTTTGAGGCGGCGACTGGCCAGCTCGCGCTCCTCGGGGGTGGCGTGGCCGGTGAGGGAAGCGGTGATTAGGCGTTTCAAGTCGGGATCGGCGAGGGCGCGCGCGTGGAGCATTCTCCTAACCGAGTTGGATATAGGTGGCCGAGGGCTTGGAGAGGGATCATTGTCGTGACGCTCTTGTTGGCCATCGTTCGAGTTGGAGGGCTGGTCCTGGTGCTGAACGAAGCTTTGGTGTTCGCTCTGGTCGACCTGCTGGCCTTCACCTAGATTGGACTGCTGAGCTCCGTGATGTTCAAAGCGCTGGTTCTCATCTTGGTCTCTTCCTCCTCCTCCTCTTCCTCCTCCTCCCTCCGTTTCTACACTCTCACGAACGAACGTCTGGGCCTGGGACGTGCTGCGAGATCTATTTCCAGCTCTATGCGTGAATCCCTCGCGGTTCATTCCCCTAAGCCTCTCTTCCCACGTTTCTCCTCCTTCCCTCGCCTGCTCATACCGCTCGGCCTCCCGAATCTCGTCGCCCTCGAACAAGCGTTTGAAGGCAGGAGCATTGTCATAGTAGAAAACGGGATATTCGAGTTCAGTTTCTTCGAGAGAGAGTCCGGTGTGGGGACCTGGGGCGTAGATCAGGACTTCGGGTTTGGGCTGGCTGGGATCGCTTTCGTGGGGAAGCACGTTCTCGGCAAGAGTAGAGAGTAGAGCTGCACCCTCAGCAATGTAAGAAGCATCCATAGAGACGGGGTCCGCTGCTGTCGTGGCTACATCTTCACGTGCCACTTCGCCCATTCTCTTCCGTCCTGGGCTCCGATGCGGCGAAGTCTGATCTTCCGGTGCCCGCTTCGCACGCTGTAGAAAAGGCGTGTTGCCAGCAGGGCCTGTCACTAAGATATCCATCGCGTCCGGTCCCTGCGGTGTGAATACAAAGTCGTCGTATGTATCGTCGTATGTGAAGTGGGAGGAGAGCGAGCTGCTCGGTCCCGCCGGGGTCATCGTGGGATCTAGTGGTGTTGTCTCCAAATCAGGGCGTGCTGCTGCCACCTGGGGTGTCGGCAAGAGGGTGCGAAGCATGCGGGGGGCAGCGAAGGTAGTTGTTGGCGCGCCGGTAAGAGGGTTGCGTTGCGGCGGTGCCATGAGACTTCGAGGATCAATGTAGCTGGGCGGGTTTGGAGTGCCTTCGCTGCGTGACGATCTCATCTTGGACTTCAGCGGCGTGCTTTTTCGAGCCAGACAAGTATGCTTCCGGCGTCGTCGTGATAGTGTGCTGACCAGAACGTGCGCGAACGAAGGCTCCGGAACATTGGAAGTGGTGTTGCGCTGCTGCGATGTTGTGGGCCTCGGGAAAGATATTCGACCTGATTAGGTCATAAGCCCACGCACATGCATTCACCACTGTCTGAACGGTACGTTCCGTTCATGACAGCATTGCTGGCCGCGGTACGATGATGTGACTTAATAATCAAAACCCAAGCCAAACATTTCCGCACGAGTCTTGCATCCTGCATAGAACCTTGAGATCGTGTACAGGCTCTCAAGCACGGGTAAAGAAAACTGTACGAAGTATTTCGACAAGACGCTTCGAAACTTGGCGAATGGATTGAAGCTCGAGAACGAAGGAGAGGTTTGAAATACCAAACTCTGCACGAACGATACAAACTTGGTCCAGTCCAGTGTTTGATAGCACCGTAAGGAGCACAGCCTTGGCATCCATACGGTACCAAAGCGGTCCCATGAATCAGCAGGATGAGACTGAATTGAATCGGCAATTGTTTTTGAGCACAAGTATATTAGTCCGTACATGCCTTAGCCGGTACAAGCTCATCGTGATGTGATTGTCATTTCCGACACACAAGCATTCCCATAGAAAATCTATGTCACGTGCGCTTCACCAAAAATTAACAAGGATTAGCCATTGGTTGTGATAACGTGGGAAGAGGTTGAAGCATTTCGAGTTGAGGAAGGGGAAGACATGCTCGCCTTGTTACGCTGTACTGCATGTATTCACGAGCTGCAAATGCGAGGAAGGCCTATGAGGGATACCAATTGCAAAGATGACCTGATTATCTTTCTAGTAATGCTGAGTGCCTCTCCTGCTTTCCTTATCATGTAAGTAACATACTCCCGGATCACGACGCCGTGTCAACTGTACCTCATTCTACTCCATTCATCTCCGTCTCTTTGATAAACTCCTAGAGCGAGCCTAGAGCGAGCTATAAATGAGCTTACAGCTGACCGGATGACAGTAATGTTGAAGTAGCTATCGAGCGGGGCATCGAGTTCCGAGGCGCATCGTCCCGATGTGATGTTCTGACAGGCACAGCTGGTGGGTTCTCTGGCTCGATCTCGTCCGTTGCGATGCCAGGGTTTGTTACGCAGCTCAGAGAGTACATCCGGTACTTATTGAGACGCTCGAGGGCAGTCTTCGTGTGGAGGATGGTTCCTGGAATGTTCAGCTCGAGGCCCTTAAGTGTTGTCCATGGTATGGTGTGTGTATTTTGTTCGCCCTTCCTCTTATCATCATCTCTTTGCCCGTCGATGCTTTGTTGCCTTGCGTCGCGGCTCCGGTTTGCGAATCTTATGTTCGGACACGCCTTTCCTCTGTGTTATACGCTGACTGCGCCGAGGCTCAGATCGTTGCCTGGTCCTCGTATCTCGCTTAACCGCTGCGGCAGCTATTCGTCGTGGCCGTTGTGAGGGCGGGACGATTTGAGATGTGGGCGGGGAAATGGGCGGAGTCGACGGCAGGTGATGAGACATGGCCCTGTCGGTAGGAGGCGATTGGAGCTGCTGAGCTTGCTCATCCAGCATGGCTGACAAGTCGAATTGCTTAACGGGATGGAGAGTTTGGAGGACGGGAGATTGCGATGGTGTTGGAGGTGGCTGCGGCCCGTACGACAAAACGCCGCGCTCGTCAGGTGGTAGAAACATGCTAAAATACTGTACAAGAGCGTCAAGAGATTTGGAGCGAAATATCCTCAGAGCGGTGGCCCAGTGATCCGTGTCGCCTGGCAGGAGGGATGGCCGTCCGATAAGTTCGCAAGCCGTAGAATCCAAGGCCTGGTTGAGTTCGTGGAGGCGGGTATTACGACGCTCCTGGAGCTCGGCATGGAACTGGTCCGCGTTCATTGTATTTGCAGCAACATCAAGAACATCGTGGTAGAAGGCTTCGTGATCCTGGATAGCGGAGGGGAAGGTATTATACTGGTCGTGTAGAGTCGTGTAGAGGTCGTTTCGCTCGTGGCCAAATTTCCAAGCCGGCCACCTCGGTGTGGCTTCGTTCATGATGAAGGCAGCGGGGCCGATGATATGGTAGCTCAAATGAAAAGAATAGAGATGCGGATGGGTGGACTAAATGGGTGGACTGATGGGTAGAGCGATGGGTGAAATGATGGGGGTCCGGAAAGCCAAGAATCGTCGTCGGCGCGGAGAAACCCGAGTGCCGAAAACCTTAAGCGGCTGCCTGCTGGCCTCGAGAACAACAACACACCTACGACGTTTACAAAACGCCTCGTACAATTAGCCAGCATTCATACTACGTCTTTTCTTTGCAAAGATCTATCCGTCTAATCTTTTTGCAAGCCTTACGGTCTTCTTTCTTCCCCGAATACTCAACTTTTGCCCGCCGTGCACTCAGAATACAGTACTAGGTGATAAGTTTGGGTACCCGGATTTACCACTGCGTGGGTTCTACTCTTAATCGCCCGACACTGCCGTAAGGAGTAGCCCAACTAGCATTCAGCCGGCCAGTCAAAAGGCTGCCCAATTCCAACTGCATCGTCGTTGACATTGTGTCGGAGTTCTGAAAGCCTATAGGGGTACCCCAAGCAGTGGTAAGAGAGTGGCCAAAAATATGCTGCAGGGCTGTAACCTTCAGGTCAATGCCACAGGACGCTTCATACTAGTCCGCATGCTATAGTCAACTCGATATTTGACTGCACCTACTGTCTTACTATCATCCTTATCATGCATTCAAGGCCCCCTCCTCTACTTCAATAAAATGGCAACTACAGATACAGACAATCTCGATATTCCTCTAGAGAAGTTGCATATTGAAAAGCACCATCATTCCGAGGGTGTCAGAGCTATCATCCAACCGGTTCAAAGTGGTGTTCTTGTTGACACTCCTGAGGATTGCCTTCGTGTCGTTACTCTCTACGCCTACGGCACCGTCGTACACGCCGTTCGAGCATTCGCTATTGCTCAAACACCGTCAGAAATCAAGTTCTCGCTTCGTCTGCGCCAAGATGGAGATGTTCGTTCTCTTTGTGACATATATTACTACGGGAGCGATGGCTTGGTTCTTCGCAATACTTCCCACACTTTAATACACCTCGACTCCACGTCTAGTTTTGATTCACTCGACGAGGCTGCCAGTCAACATCGCATAGAGCCCGAAGATGCACAAGTCATTGCCCCCGCAGTTTGGAGACTAAGCGTCAAGGGCTCACCCGTATTAAACTTCAGGATTTTGCCACGTTTCCACCCAATCCTCCAACTGCCAGAGCGTCCGGCACTATACCCTTCCGCGGAGCCGAACAAGTTAAAACGAGCTCGTTCACCGTCCGAGGAAGTTGAAATACCCACATTTCAAGAACGGGTTAACCGGAAAGTCAAAGCACTCCACCCTGAAGACGAAGGGGTACTTCTGTATATCCCTAGCAGTCAGCGCGGAGACTCCTTGACAGCGTTGACTTCTCCTAGCCGCCACGTGCACTCCCTTGCTGAAGGTGACAAATTAACACTTCCTGGGGTCTGGGATCACGATGGGTATTCCATCACAAAGCGGAGGCATGTCGCTTCGGCAGGATTGGCAGAGGTCTATCACGCTAACCACAGCGAGTTTGGCGAATGCGTCGTCGTAAAAGCCCTGAAACCTCCAATCTCAGACACGAAGTCACCGCAAGAGCTAGCACGACGTGTCACCAGCCATGCAGATGGTTGGTTTCGGGAATACGTCATCCAGAAGCAACTTGACCACGTGTGTAACCTATTCTCGTTCTCCTACCAGAAGGCGACGTTCATTGATTCAAATATAGGACTCGATTGTCAAGATATACGGTGGTGATGCTCGATACATGACGCTCTACCTAGAATATGTTCCTGCAAATGACTTGGCCAAGTGTGGAATCTGGCGAAACAACGAAAACAACTTTACAGGAACCAAAGACGACGCGTCTCAGATATGGAGCGAGATTGCTGGGGCGCTTGAATATGTGCACGGCAAGGGCATCGACCATAACGATATCAAGCCGTCAAACATCCTCTTCTCTCGGGAGCGTGGTGCCGTTCTTTGCGATTTTGGTCTCTCTTGCCTTACGGGAGCCAAGCCCACCACGAATGGAGGCACGCCATACTACATTCCACCCGAATACCTTACCAGAACTCTTAGAGGACAGCTTGCCGACATTTGGGCATTTGGTATAACAATGTTGTATGTTCTAGGGCATATACCTTTACCAGAAGCCAAGCACAAAGTACTTTATTGGCGCATCGTTGAAGTACACAGCCGAGCTCGACCACTACAGCAACCACGCCAACCTACTGCAGCAGACAAAATGCGGAGCTGGATAAGTGAAATCGAGGAGACGAAGAGGGGTCTTGATATGACAGACTACAGCACGTTCATGCTCATTGACATGCTTGAGCAAAACCCAGTACGTCGTGTGATGGCTTCTGAGCTCCGGAAGCGCCTTATGTTCGAAAAGATGCCCAGCAACCGCGCTCATGTGAAGGAAAGATCCCACGAAGAGCAAGGAAATGATCCCGTTGAGCTGCCAAGTTGGAGGTTGTCGTCACATGAAGGCTCTACCACCGAAGAAAATACCGTTGTTGCAACAAGCGCCGCCAGAGTGTCGGAAACAGACCGCGTCACGGCGCCCACCGACAGTGTTAGGCCATAAGCCTGGGCACATGGGATTATCACTGCTTGGCTCAAGTCTTGCTCGCTCGACACCACTGTGAGGAGCAGCCCAGCTAGTAAGCAGCCAGTTGGTCAAGAGGCAGTCTAATTTGCAGTACTTGAAACTTGACATCACACCGAGATTTTTTGAACTCCATGGGGTACCCCAAGCAATGGTAAATGCGTGTGCACAGACTTATGACCTGTCACTGCAGCGTCAAACCTTTCGATCTTCATGACTATTTTACAGGCGTTTAGCAATGGCAGGAGGGCCCCGGCGATATATTGGGAGTTGGAAAAAGTTCCCTCACCCTATAATTAGCTGAGGGGTCTCACGATAATGTTTACAGACGTTTGGCGATGGCGGGAGGACCCCGATGGGCCATGAAAATCCAGAGGCCAATGTCAATTCCCGTACGCTAAGATGCGGACACGCTTCCCTGCTTTCACATGTGCACAGGCTTGCCAGCGTAAGGAGCGTCTCAATGAGGCACAGAAAATCAGGACAGGATGTCATGTTGAAGAGCGTCAAATTTACATCAATATCGAGGTGGATTTTGACAACAACGATGCGATCCGGGGCACCACAGAACGTTCCGACATCCCTAGATATAGATCCGTTCTGGCGACACAGATACCACGCTTCCAACAGTCTGAACCACCCTCAGCACATCGCATCGTACCGCCAATTCAGAGCCTCAAGGCCTCCCATTCCGCTCCCTTCGGCATACCCAGATGAAACCGTCCAGTAACAGCCCAGTCAAGTAAAAGCGACTTTCCGTCCCTGGCCTCAAACTCCAGCACCCTGCCACCAACTCGCTCGCCTTCCTCATGGTCGCTAAAGTAGTAGCAATGGACTCCCGCCACACTGATGCCGGCCGCCCACTCGGGACTGAAAATCCCAACAATGGAGCCCTGTTAGTTTTTCTGGACAAAGTCTTCGTCGCCCTCGCCCACCTGCGTCTATCGCATGGAGATGTTGCAACAGCCAGAAGCCGTCGGCGCGAGCCTTCCGGAAGCCCGTCTGGGATGCATGCTCTGGAACGAACGTGGTCATCTGCATGGCGGCGTCAGCGGGGACGCGCGTGACGGCGTTCGCCGAATCGAAGCTGTGTGCTACGGTGTCGATGAAGACGAGGGGCAGGCCGTTGGCGAGGACACCGACGCCGAAGTTGCCATACTCGGAGAGGTTTGCGGGCGTGGGGCCAGCTGGGCTGGCGAGCCTGCCAATGTTGGTGGAGAGGGAGAATTGGAAGATGTCGTTTGGGATGTGGGTGACCTTTTTGGGGCCTTTTGAGGCGCCTGAGATGGCGGAAAGGAGGGTCTCACAACATGAAGGCATGGAAAGCATGGGTTGGTTTTGTCGTGTTGATTGGGTTTACGACTCTCTGAGATGGCTCACTTGAGTTTTTAGGTGCGCGACCGCGGATACTTGTCTAGGACGTTGGTTGTTATATCTAGAGAGGTGATCCCGTCTATTTTCGGATGTCCAGCCTTGCCTTGATAGGGCCCTGAGCTGTTTCGGTGGTAGCGATCAACCTTCAACAGTCGAGACCACGATGGTTGTCGATGGAGTTCCACGGTCCAGGCGATGCTGCTGCCAGTAGGTAAGTGCCACTTCGGCATACGTTCCACGGTTCGCAGTCCACAGACAACGATGAAAGCGCCACATCTTTTCGTTGGCAGGTACCTAGGTACGAAAAACGTACGAAAATAGACGACGCCATGTATTACGCGCAATCATTACCTCCATAACCATCCCATCATTACACCCCAGATTATATGTACAGTCATCCCCCCACTAACCCAGACCAAACACCCAATACCCCAACGCCTTGAACTTTTTCTCCAGGCCTCATCCACAGGCCGCCTCATCCCCATTTCCTCCCATCTCCCCCTCCCCCTCACGCCTCCCACCTCAGCTCAAGACTCCCCACCTCCTCCCTCTTCCCCACCTTCGGCACCTTTTTATCCCCGTCCATGGTGAAATTCTGCACCTGCATGCTGCTGACCCAGCTCTCGAGCTTGGTGCACCCGGCCGTGACGTTCGCGACCTGGAACCGCTTGGCGCCCGCGCCCGCGCTCTTGCACGCCTTGCCTTCGATGAAGACGACGATTGTCGAGTCGTCGATCGCGTTGGCGTCGAGCAGGAACGAGCCCGGTGAGAACCACGAGTCCCACGGCTGGCATTCGATGCCGCCGCCCAGCCCGGCCCAGTTGAGGTCGGTTTTGCAGTGCTCGTCCGAGTAGATGCGGACGTTGTGGGCGGTGGCGAGGAGGGGGAGGAGGAGGGTGGCCAGGAGGGTGAGCGGGGTGGGCAGCATGGTTGGTGGGCGTTGGTGGGTTGTTGGATATAGGTGCTCGCTTTGGTCGGAGTCTTGACGAACCGAAGGCTTTTGTGTGCGGATCGAGAGTTTGTACAGCTGTCCAGTGGGCTTCGGAAACTGATATTCAAGGAGTTCGTTTGGCCTTTGTGCGAATTCTTTTCCGATTTCGTGATCGAATGACGCGGGATGCTCGGATCGCTCAGGACTTTAGGACCACGGACGGGGTTTTTGCGAAGTCAACGACAGCTTCAAAAGACACACTGAGCACGTGAATAGATAGGTTGACAGTTCTGACTAATTAAGGCTCGCAAAAGGGCAACCGAAACGGCAGCCAGCAAACCCTTTATAACTCACCTCACCACGCCTGCGCCCGTCACGTCGTCCGTCGTGGCAAAAACACATGCACGCATCAGCCATGCCATGCACACGACGCGCAGCCCGTGTCATCCTGCCCCGGTTTTCCCAGCGAACGGGTCCCCGCTACTGGCTTCCACGCCGCTCCGCTGTCTCTGATACGGTGTGTGCATCGACACGGAAACAAAAGGCGATGTCAGAAGCGCGTGCTATTTTTAGGGGGACCGCGCTGCTGACTGTGTAGGCCTGCGCTGGATGCGGGAAGATGGGCGGCAGGGCGGCATGCGGGAGCCCGGGATGGGCTGACGCCAAGGCACGCGGGGAGGACAACAGCACAGCCATCGATGCTGTGCAGATCGCGATATATAGTCAGAGGGTTCAGCCGCAAAGTGATCGGTCGATTTGGGGAAGAGGTTATTTTTTTTTGGAGTGCTATTTTGGAATAAACCCGATGCTCCGGTCTCCGAAACGTTTTTGTGGTTTTTGCTTGAGCGGAGTGGGTATGTGAAACTTGCTGCTCGCATGAGGCACGGTAGGTAGGTGTGCTGTTCCCATAGGTTTGTGCGGAGGACGGACAGCGATCTTGGCTGAAATGGGCGAATAGATCGGCGCGTTCAAACATGTGTGTTTCGGATTTGCTAATCGGATTAGCTTACGGAGAACTGCGGCGGTAGTTAGAGTTCCTGTCATGGAATACGTAAAGGAAGGGATTTCCAGAGCTTGGAGTTGAATAAAGATCGTACGCCCAGAAAAAGGACTGCAGCGAAATTGCGGAAACGAAGTGTTGTATATTCCAGGTATAATTCCATTCTACCGGACCTTCGCATTAGGGAAATGTCTTCAAGTTTTCTGCACACCGCCGTTCGTTAACCGCTTCCATGTCGTTCCCTTCACGCCTTAATCCATCCGTATTTTCTTTTTCTCAGTCCACGCATTCGCGTCATTCAACCAAGAAGAGGATACGCCAGATGTGCTCATGTCCAAACAGAACTCTCTCTCCTCCATATATCGTCGCCGAAAGGGCATAAGTTTGTGAGTTGCTAACAGCTCCTACAAGCTTTCGCCGAGGCCAGAGTCAGAATGCTGCTCGACATATCGGTGTTCTGTTGCTCGAGATAGAAGTGCCCACAGGCTCGTGCACGCTACTGGCTCGTGCACGGTTTCCTCACCCCTCACGGAGCCCTCACCGCCATTTTCAAACTCACACAACTCCACCAGAAATCAACGGATTTTGCTTCAAAATGGATGCCATGCAAGCTGCGCTCGAGGAGCTATCTATCCAAGACTCAAAGGGAGAGAAGAAGAACTTCCAGGCCACCGCAGATAAGCATGGGCTCAATAGAACAACCCTGTCAAAGCGGTTCCATGGGAAGACCGGTAGCAAGGCAGATGGCTACAATTCTCAACGGATCCTCACCCCCGGGCAAACCAAGGCTCTCATTAAATATATCAACAACTTGACAGAAAGAGGGCTGTGTCCTACGCATCAGATGGTTCGAAATCTAGCCTCTGCAATGGCTGGGAAAATGCCAGGAATTAACTGGGCTTCTTGTTGGGTTAAGCAGCATTCAAAAGTCCTTAAATCTGCATACTTTCTTCCCATTAATAAAAATAGGAAGAGAGCCGACTTAGCTCTCTACTACAGCCTCTACTTTAAGCTATTAGAACGGAAAATTAAGCAGTATAATATTAAGCCAGGAAATACCTGGAATATAGATAAAAAGGGATTTCTTATGGGCCAGATAAGCAAATTAAGAAGGATCTTTAGCAGGAATGTATATAAGTCTGGAAGAATGCGGAACTTTATCCAGGATGGCAATAGAGAGTGGATTACTGTAATAGCTGCCATCTGTGCGGACCTTACGGCACTAGCGCCGACGCTTATCTATTAAGCCACAATAAACAATGTTTAAGATATATAGCTGGAGGATTTTAACCCGGATGAACACAACTGCTTCTTCACATTAATACTAAGCGGCTGGACCAATAATAAGCTGGGCCTTAAGTGGCTAAAGATCTTTAATCGAGAAATAAAGGCCAAGGCGCTAAAGGATTGGCGGCTCCTTATTATTAATGGCCACGGCTCCTATGTTAATATGTCCTTTATTGAGTACTGCTTTAGCAATAGGATCCTCTTAGCTATCTATCCTCCTTATTTAACGCACCGGCTCCAGCCACTAGATGTCTCCCTCTTCTCTCCGCTTGCAATTTACTATTTTAATAAATTAAACCGGTTTATGGCTAATTGTGAAGGCTTCTTAAGGTTTACAAAGAGAGACTTCTTTAGGACCTTTTGGATAGCATGGGAGAAGGCTATAATAAAGAAGAATATAGCCAGTGGATGGAAAAGGACTGGTATTTATCCATGGGATCCCAATGCAGTACTAGCGCAATTCAACGCCAAGAAAGTGGATGAAGAGGATAGACCATCATCCAGCAACTTAACCGAGTCAATCCTGACTGCAGGTGATTGGAAGAAGATCACCCAACGCCTAAAACAGGTGGTAGATAAGGTTATTTAATCTAGGAAGGATTCAAAAGTAAGAAAGCTTACTGGGGAGATTTAAGAGCTTATAGCTACTAACATTCTTCTCCAAAGTCGAATCAAGGGCTACTAAGAAGCTTTCAAGATAGAGCAGAACAAGAGGAAGAGGCAGAAGAATCTCTTTCAGATTCTAGCCTCGAATGAAGGTGGCAGAGCAATCATCTATTCGCCAAGCAAGGTTCGGCAGGCTCGGGAGCTCCACCAAGAGAAAGAGGATGCCAAGGCTCGTGATATATCCTCCAAAGCGGAGGACAAGGTGCAGAAGCGGCTGGCTAAGGAAGAGAAGGAAAGAATTGCTGAGTTGAACCGTACTAGGAAGGCTACTACCAAGAAAGAGAAGGACGATGCTGCAGCCCTTAAGAAGCGCCAGCTTGAGGAGATACGTATAGCACGTGAGTTTGAGTTTGAGCTCCGAGAGGAGAGGGAGTTGATGCAGCATATACAGAAGCTCAAGAAGGTTGTATTGGTTATTCCTGATGAGGCTTCAGATGAGGAGTATTGTGAGGTGGACGATGGGGTAGCCAAGCCAGCTTCTAGCCGGCCTCAACAAATGCGCAACCTCCCCAAGTGGATCCAAAAGGATGTTATCAATATAGAATAAATAAGCAGCGTTAGGAGAAACTCCCATTCAATTCTGGTAGAGATCTGTTCATTTTTGAAGAAGTTGTGAAATCTTGAAATATGTGATGAGTCGTGAGGAAACCGTGCACGAGCCAGTAGCGTGCACGAGCCTGTGGGCACTTCTACGAAAGAGATGTCTCTGATGTGACGGGGGAGATTGGGGTCCTTGGAAAGGGTGGCGAGGCACGTGAGGTTCTTACATGTCATGACAAGCTGGATCGCCTGGAGATGGTTCGTCGCAAAGAGGTAAATCGACTTGTCCCGTAGCTCCTTGCATACCAGCCGGAGGGATCTGAACCCGTCGAAGTCAAGGGCTTCGCGTATAAACTGTACCAACTCCGTAGGTAAGCTCGAAAGACATGCTGAAGAGGAAGAGGTTGCCTCCGGAGGCGCCAGCGGGGACCCAAGGGCATGAGTGATGGACGACATGCTAGAAATGCTAGTGGTAGAATGTTGCTGCAATCGACATTGGAGGTGTTTGCGGTCGGCGATGGTTCCTCCTCATATTTGAAATGGGCGAGCGCGAAGTTGTGTGGTTGTCAAGACCTCACTACCAGAGTCTCAGAGACACGCAGCCGTAACGACACGAGGAACCCCCTATCTGACTTCCAAGGTTGGTGTCAGAGCAGTGCGCCACATACCACGCAGGGATTAACAGGAGCGAAGATCTAGATGCGTCTGTGAAGCTGCTGAGTGTGCTTGTGGCGCTGAAGATGAAGAGGCTAGAAGCTCCACAGCAGTTGCAATCTGTCATAATCCATCCAACAGTGGATGTGTCTAAAGCGAACCATAGGACATGAGTCTGAGTGCCGTTCTTCGTGCTAATCTCGAGTTCAACCTCCTTTCAGGATCTCTGAGTTTATGCTCAATCATCCGAAACAACAGGCAAACAGGCGAATGAGAAAGTCATCGTGAGACGCGATCAGATGATGCGGTCTAGAGATGAAAAGGCCGGTTTCTCCGGCAGAGCAGTGGATAAACTGGTGGGTCAAGTGTTGAAAAGAGTGATGAGGAGGATGAAGTAAACCAACAGCACGAAGGGAAGTCAGTCAGGCAAAATTATTTAATAAGCAGTATATGCTTGCCCGGTGTTCACAAAGTCATCTACCTTACACATCACGAGAGAAGATCTGAATCATGTTTTCAGTCACGAATATCTAACGTGTAGGAGTTTAATAGGCGATAAGGTTGAAAAAAGAGTCTGCTCCGAAGTACCAAAGTCTATGAAGTCCAGAACTCCAAAAAGCTCCAAAGTCCAGAAAGTCCTAGAGTTTACAAGGTCCCAGTCGTATGTGGCCCTTAGGATATGCATTCACGCTCCGCGATGTCCTTGCTCCGTCGCATCCTGCTTGAGGGGCCTCGCAGGTCATGCGCCTACAAAGAGCCGATGCATGAATCGGAAAGGATGCACCGAAGAACGCACGAAGGAGTGTTACGTACTGTAGGTGCCCCGGTCACCTTACACCTAGGTACAAACATACAGCACATACGCCATTCCAAACTTCATTACACAGGACAGACCACAGCGATCAAAATCTAGCCGCTCACGGCCCTCGCCAGTGCATCACAGCTCGACAAGAAGCCCCAACACTCTTCACAATTGTATTCGGTGGAAGATTGAGCGCCCTCGGGACTATTAGTGCCACACCCGTCCTTGAAAAGAATCGTATCAAATCCCTTGAGATTGGCGTCTTGGATAGTGGCAAGGACACATTGATCGGTATTGACGCCCCCAAACAGCAGCGTGTGGAATCCGTTGGCACGCAGGAAGTCGGTGCACGCCGTCATGGTATCACACATACCGGACAGGCGACTCTTGTGGAAGCGGACATCAGGACGCTTGTCTAACCGGATGCCATCCTGATATGCTGCCTCCAGTGGAGCGTGGAGAGCCGTGTTCCACTGTCCTTGCATCAGAAGTCTACCTCCAGGAACAATTTTTCCACTCAGCAGCTGGACCAGCCCTACATCGGAGCCAATGCCGTCGCAGAACAGCTCCATGTTGGAGGATGCCGAGCGTTTGTAGGTCTGGGACTCGGAGCCAAGCCGAGTCGTCAGCTCAATTTGCCGCTTCTCTGTCCCATCGAATTGGAAAATGCGCGCAGTTGTAGGGTCCATGGTGTCTAGGTCGGCTTCACTAAGACCCCAGGTCAGCCAGACCACTTGAATGTGAGCTTTGCGGGCGGCAGGTATGCCTGACTTGAGCAGGGCCTCTTCCGCAACGTGGCCGGCGCCAGTCCGACCCAACGACCTGGATAGGAAGAAATTTTGCGCATCGATGATGGCCATGGCATTTTGTTCGGGCGCAATCGTGATGGGTGAATTTGTTGTTTCCAAGCCTAATCGAGCGGTCGTTGGGGGTGCAAGCGGGTTTTTTTGAGCGTGTCAGGTCGAAGCCATGATGTCGATGCCACCACCACAAGTTTTCCGGAGAACCAATTTTCTTCCAACCGCCCAAGGCATCGGCGTGGTCATCGTGTGCTGTTGTGCGTGGCATTTGGAGGCTAGATCCTATCTCACACAAGGTTTGGGGAGGACGCGATGACGGTGTGGAAAGTTGGAGAGCTGTAGAGAGCCGCTGGTGGAGGCACGTGGATCAAAGCAGCCGACGTGGAAATGACCTGACCGTTGCAAATGCCTTTGCGTCCCAGCTTTCAGTGGAGTGATCAATTGAATATTTAGCATCAAGAAGTCTACGAGGTTGACTTTGGAGATTGCATATGTAGCATCCCATGTCCTGCGCTCAAACTAGCCTGCGCCTGACTGCAACTCTTTGACATTGCAAACATCCAAGACGCCAGTCACGTTGGCGCCGCAGAAGATGGCTCTTGTCGTAATCGACATGCAGAACGTATTCCTTTCCTCAGCACTGGGCCGCAAAAAGGGCCCAGGCCACGCGGTAGAACAAGCACTCTTATCGAAGTGCATACCTGCGGCCCGCAAAGCCGGCATCCGCATCCTCTGGCTTTCGTGGGGCATCTCAGACGAGGGTTTGCAAACGCTGCCTCCCATGTTTTACCGCAACTTTGGCTTCACATTCAACCCTACAGAAGATGGTCCTGAGTTTACCGCCGGCGGCTCGAAGCAACAATGGCGACATACAGACGATGGTATTGGCCTGTCATTGGGAAACGTGACGCTGGAGGATGGCAGGTCGGTGGATGCTGGTAGACTGCTCATGAAGAATCAGTGGAACACGGAGCTGCATGGTGGTCTTGCCGATGCGTACCGCGAGGGCTCTCGTTGTACGCCTGCGGATGTCAAATTCCACAAAGAGAGCCACTCTGGATTTTGGGGCGGCAATACCGAGTTTGCCCAGTATCTCCAAAGCGAAGGCATCAGGACGCTACTTTTCGCCGGTCTCAATACGGACCAGTGTGTGCTAGCAACACTGCAAGACGCCGCACCGCAAGGGTATGACACAATCATGCCCAAAGACGCCTGCGGCACTACAAGTCCAGAGTTCGCTCAGCAAATGGTCGAATTCAATGCTGAAAAGGCGTTTGGATTTCAGGCAGCTTGTGACGATCTGGTGCACGCAGCTGAGCACGTGGAGCATTCATATCCAGAGGGCCTTTAGAGATCAGAGCTATAGTTGAATGAGCGTCAAATGATTGGACGCGAGGATCCTCGCACTGGCCAATCATCCGAAATGCGACTGTATGCCTTCCTGACCTAATTTCTTCTGCTCGGGGTTTCGTCCCTCGCTTATCGCCATAGGATATAAACCAACCTGTCGTAAGCCATTTCCCCAGTGATGTCTGTTGCGTTGGTACTGTTATTGAAGATCTGCATTAGTCGCCATCGACCTGACAAACGATTCCAGGAGGACCACTCACTTCGAACCTTAATCGAAAGAAACCCCATATTACTGCTGTGTCAATCTGGAGGTCCAGGACGTCTACTGTGACAGGCTGTAAATTGTTCACTGCGCGCTTGATATAGACCCTCTTTCTTTCGAACCTGACATATAGCAGTCTAGGTAGGCTACTACCAATATTGACATTTTTTTGGTGAACGTATTAATTGGCTCATTATTTGATTAGAAGACAGCAGACGATTATTAGGCTAAATGAATTGTCTAAAGGTTATGTAGTACGTCCGCTGACTGGAAGGGTGTATCTCTGATTAGGGGCACCCGATATAGCGTCTATTATAGGAGAAGGCCCTCGTGGCTCGTCGCCCTTAGGATATCCATGCCCGGTCCGCGACATTTTCACTCCTCGTCGCCGCATCCTTCTTGAACTCCAGAAAGAAATGACAGAGATTGAAAGCGACTTTTGATTGGATGTCAGGAAAGTGGAAGTGGAGGTAAGGAAACGTAAATCTGTGCTTCAGACTGGGGAGTGAATTAAAATCATGGGCCTAAACGTGGAATGCAAACTTCAGGCCCGAACTTGAAATGTAAATGTACCACTCGTTGCAGAAGATCCGTGTCCACTCGCCTGGCACTGCTCGGAAGCTCCCCTAAGCTTTGACAGTTCCAGACGGGATCGAGAACTGGATAAGGTGGTAATGTAATCGGGCTAGCTTTTGAAATGGGCGGCCACCTACCAGCTGATCTCGACAGTGGTGTCAAGCAGCCGAGAGAGGCATCCAAGCAGTGAAGATATGTGGGCACGAAGTCATGGACTAGCGCTGTAATGCAAGCCGTGCTCCCAGATGCAGTGGTTGAAAGTAGTCGAATGATAGAGAAGGCTCCCGTGCAAGTAATGTTGAATTCCTGAGAATCATGTCGTTCGTGAACTCCAGCGTCCCTAGCTATCCGCTAACTTTGTGATGTGATGCCTTTCCCCGAAGACACCGAGGTGTCTTTGCTCAATGTCTAGAGCTTTCTGCCTCCTTGTCATCGCTTTCGATCTCGAAGATGACCGCTACCATACCAGTAGCATGCTTAGAGAACAATCCCAAAGTCTCAGCTCCGCTAAGGGGACCTAGTTTTAGCCTAGAGACGGCATGTTTCAGACCGGGTGATATCCCTTCGCGTCGAAGCACTAGATGGCGTTGCCCAGTGTTTGGCTGCGGCATTGCGATGCGGTTCTGGTATAGGTTCCGCAGATGCACGAAACAAAGGCGAGGCATCCGTTCCAGACCCTCAAGAATTGGAATCCAAGGGTCCCTTTGGTCGCGGAGAAAGACGTCATGTAGGCTGATGTCTTCTAGAGTTGCTCCTGCCTTTGAGAGAAAGCCACGAAGCTCCCCACTGCCACTGAAGATAGTTTGATTGATGCTCAAGTGCTTTAGAGAATGCCAATTGAAGGCGGATAAATCTAGATTAACATTCTTTTCATGGCCTAGATGTGAAAACCTGAGTTCTTCAAGTCGTTCTGATACAGACAACCCTCTGAGTAGGTCGGCTGTCCAATATTTGTCGGTCCCAAAAGTTTTTTCGCACTCCCCATGAACCACCAGACTGCGGAGGTGCCGCTCCGCTATTTTTCTCCAAGCTGTGGTGGCGCGACTGAATGGTTCAGTATTCCAATTGTCAATGGAGCGTCTGTAAGAGTAGAAATCGAACGGGCCCTCGTACGGGGACGAGAATGTGACTGTAACGTCAAATTGAATGGCCTGGCGGCCGCTCTTCTCGAATGCCTTCACGACCACTTCGTTCAAAGGGTACAGCGATAACCCTGATGGACGGTCCATTTCAAATTCCGTTCTATCCAAAGCTGCTTCAGCTCTAAGTTTTCTCTTGACGGGAGCAATAAGATGTGCCTTAGGGCGGTGATATTGGTCAAAGTCTTCCGATGCCCATTGTCGCCGCAGCAAGTTGATCTTCCTGATGGTCGGAAAGTTAGGATCACTGACCCCGTCCTCTGAGAAGAGGTGACATAGCTGTACGATCTTGAGATTTCCAAAGTTCTTGAAGGCCTTGACGAAAAGGCGGACATCGGAACCAGCTTCCCTCATAAGCTTTTGCTGATCAAGGAGATAGAAAAAGGCCCTGACTTCGTCGCTGATTACGAGGTCATCGTCGTGTATGTTGGAATCATCAGAATCATCAGAATCGAGGTCAGTGGATTCGATTTGCCAGTATAGGTGGCTGAAGTTCATAGGCTGGGAAACGATTGAGAGATATTGAACATAGCTGTTGAGATCTTGGGATATTGCGACGAGATTCTTCAGAGCCCGGAGTGAGACGATGGTACGAAGAGCCCGGAAGTAGGCAGTCCCGAAGTGATGCAGCGACTTGTCCCGCAGTTCTTTACAGGTCTGTCGAACAGCCTTCAAGCTCTCAAGGTCCAGGCATTCGCATACGCCTTGAATCAATTCGGTAGCCAAATCCAGGATATGTACTTTGCGAGTTGTGGTGGCTGGGTTCGAAGAAGGACCTTCTGGAAGTTCTTTGACGACGAGTGACATCGTGGTGAGTCCGTCCTAGGTTGATTGTTGTTGGCAAGTCCAGTGATGTGGAAGGAAAGTAGTAGGATTGCGGTGTGGGAATTGAAGATCCGACGAGTTGACACCTCACTGGGGAGAGACGCCACGAGAAGGTATGTAGCAAAGATCGAAGGATGAACTCTTCACTAAGAGACCTTTCCGAGCAAGCAACGTGCTGAAGGCATAGAGTAGAGGGTGAAGGAGGTCTAGGTAACCTCGTCACCAGACTTCTTGTTGAGGATTGACGCGTCCAGAAGGAGTTGAGCGGAACTAGTCAGACTAGAGCCGCTCGAAGAAGTAGATATAGTGAGGAGGTTCTCGCGCTAGCAGCTTGTATCATGTTGTAACATGATCAGAAGTGAGGACGCAAGCTCAGGCAACTGTTCCTTCGGGTGAAGGCTCGTGCGTATAGATAGTGCTAGACGACGCTGGCTGAGGGACATTAGTGAAAGCGTAAGCGGGCCGATGACGAAGAGTAGTATACGACACCGGCTGAGGTAAGTCTACGACCCAACGCCGTAGAAGCTGGGAATGCTCCCACCAGGGATAGAGAAAGCAATTTCTCAAAGATAATCTACCACTTAAATTTCCCAAGAAGCATAAAGGATGACTCCCTGGCTCAGATGGCCCAAACTTACCCATGCGCGGGAAAGTTAAAGACGCTGAGTTGGGGATCGACTCGCAGAGAGGACTCCTTTTTGCATTTCCTTTTTTGGAGGTTATTTAGCATTCACCATCCCCCGCACCACACAGGAAGCTTAGAGCAGGAGACGAGACGAAAGGAAAGGAACATGGAAGCAGACGTTTGAGATAGAGACGAGTGTGAGCGTACGCTACCTCGCATACTCACATGTTAATATACCATCCTTTACTTGCTTCGCTCTGGTCTTTCCGACTACCCTAATAGCCACCGGAAGACCCCAAGAAACTTGTGTATGACATACATGAATATACACTACCGTGGTATCTAAGTATCGTATCCGCCCCGCGAAATGCTCATATCTAAGCTCCATGTATGAGCCGCTTCGCGCCGCTGTGATAGCCAGAAAGTCCAATGCTCTATATCTCTGATGGAAATGTTCTACGCCAGACTTTAAAGAGACGGCTTCTTCGATAGGAAGGGGAACACATGCCCCAACCCACCCCCAGAATCCTCATCCACAGGCTTCATCACCTTCGCGGGATCGACCTCCTTATCCTGCGAAGGGTCAGGCTGAGAATCCGTTCGTCGATCCGCCGCCCCTTCATCAGTCGCATCCGCTGTCCCACCTGTCTCCATCATCTCCGCCTTCTTCCACACATGGCCTTCCAGCCACTTATTCTGCTCCCTCATCGCCGCCCTCTTGTCCGCATAATGGTCTTCCAGCCACGTCCGCTGCTCCCCCTCCAACCTCAACGTCTCCTCCACCTCCCTCCCCAGCTTCTCCACTTCCTCCTCGAGCACCTCCTCCGCCGTCCTATTCGCCCTCCTCTCCTCCTCCTCCTTCGTCCTCCGCGCCTCCTCCAGCCGCCACGCCGCCTTCTCCGGCGCCGTCCTTGCCCACAGCGCCTCCAGCTCCTCCAACCACCCCGCCGCCTCTGCCAACTTCCTTACGCCCGCATCACAATCCCCGAGCACCAGCACGTCGTCGGCTCGCGAGCCGATACCGCCGACCTGCTCCATGTTGATGAGCACGCGCGGCGTCTCCTCTCTACACAATGACGGTAGCCCGGCGAATGGTTGCACCGACAAACTCGTGCCCATGACAATACACAAATCCGCCTCTCTCGGCAGCTCCCTATTCTCAAAAAACTCCCTCGGCAACTGCTCCCCAAAGAACACAATCTCCGGCTTCACGAGCCCATTACACGCCGCATCCACGCACCGCGGCACCCGCTTCTCCCGAATCGCCTCGCGCATCCCCTCCTGCGGGTACGGCGTCTTGCACTCGATGCAGCTCTGCCGCGCGAAGCTGCCGTGCGCTTCGACGATTTTGTCGTCGGGGACGCCGGCCTCGCGCTCGAGGCAGTCGATGTTCTGCGTGAAGAGCTTGAGGAGGATGCGCTTGTCGTGCAGCAGGCGGACGAAGGAGTGCGTGATGGTGGGGCGGTAGTTGCCCGGGTAGAGCTCCTGCGCGAGGGTGTAGAAGGGGAGGGGGTTGGAGCGGAAGTAGGCGATGTCGAAGACGGCTTCAGCGTAGGGAAGGCGCAGGCGCGCGAGGTTGGCGTAGAGGCCGGTCGTGGGCGAGCGGAAGTCGGGGATGCCGGCCGAGGTGGAGATGCCGGCGCCTGTCTGGGGGAGGGGCGTTAGGGAGGGTTCATAATGTGATGCTGTTGCTGGAGCTTCGGGACTAGGAAATCTGAAGCATGGCATGAGGAACTTACCATCACGACAACCCGCCCTTTCTCCTCCTTCTTCTCTAGCGCCTTCAACATCCGCCCCACCGCCTCCACAGACCTGCTTTCCAGCGTTTGTGGCGGCGTGTTCTCGTCCACCAACGGCAGCGAGTTTTCCTGGCCCATCCTGCCTTTTCCTCTTCCCTTGCCCCTGCCTTTCTTGTCTTTCTTGCTGCTGTCCTTCTTACTACTGTAGCTGTAATCGCGGTCTTCCTTCCACGGCTTGCCCTTGTGGGCTTTGGAGTGGCTCTTGCGGGCTATGGTTGCGACGGCTGGCGTGAGTAGGATCAGAGGCGTACGGTGGTGCCGAGAGGGTTGGATAGTCTAGGGGTGGCTTTATTTGCGGAAGATAGATTTAGCCAAGATCGGGCGGGATACAGGAAGAATCTGGCGGATACAGGAAGAGTTGTTGCAGGAAGGAGTTGGAAAGTCAAGGGTGTGGGGTGAGGTCGAGGTCGTACCTTTGTAGTTTCAAGAACATTATTTCTAGGCAGCCCCGCGAAGCCCTGATCACGAGTCATGCATGCACGCGCACGTAACACAGAAACGGGCTTGGCGTATTTGTCGTATTCAAAATAGCGTGCAATCCTTCCATGGTGCTTTTCTTCTGCGCCGTCCACTTGCGTGTACAGTATTTCAACCAAACCTTAGGTAGGTCGAACATATACATAGTAAAGAAGAGTCTACAGATTTAACGGAACTACAATTCTGACACTCCTCACAGCCTCAGACGGAGTCAGATCAGATTGTCATGTGAGCAGCCTCGCGGATCGAAACCCAGCCAAGTTGAATGCTGATTATAATTGATGAATACTGATTACAATTGAATTGGATTGAAAGCATCTATATGTGCCAATGGCATTCACGCTATGTCTTCTCGAGCCTGCATCTAATTCCCCCCTCCCTCATTCCTTGAAAACATAAATACAATCTCGAGAGATGTCTTTCGCTCCGCATCCGGCCTGTAACTCCAGGTGCCTGAATGCACTACGATGCCCTCCGAATGCCCACGCTCACGTCTCGCTGACGCCCATGCTCGGTACGGATCTGCAGCTCCAAAACATTTGACAGAATGCGACTCGCAGAAAGGGGATATCGCGGAGAGTAATTGTTACATGTATTGACAGGAAGGGAAGGTGGTGGGCTGGAAAAGGTATGTGAGGGTGTGGAAATAGTGGCAGATGGAGTTTCGGGGCGGATCTGAGTGGTCCTGGGTCGGATGAAATGTCCTAATCGGTAGTACATCTCAGCCAATGTCTGAGGTGGTCTAGCAAGTCTACCGACTGTTCAGATTCGGCAACTCTCATTTCGTTGAAGCTCTTGAGAAGAAATCGAAGCACCACAGCCAGCGGCGAAAGAGTGGTAGTAGTTGGAGGTACGTGCAATCGAGTCGGGATATCTAGTATCTGCAAGAACACTCAAGTTAGCAAATCATCCTCACTCTTCTCATACACCAGGAAATAGTAGACTTACCCATACCCACTCCCCCTCCTCCCACTCCCCCGCCTCGGCGGTCTGATATCCTCCTCCTCAATAACCTCCACAATATCATCCCCCGGCACCCTACTCCTCTCCTCAACGATAATACTCCTCGGGCGCGGCCTCTCCCTCCTCTCCTCCACAATCACCCTCTCCCGCCTTGGACTCCGACTAACCTCCCGCACCTCGGTCCTCGTACTGCGCCGACTCCGCCGCGAATGCCCCGGGCTCCGCGACCGCCGCCGCCTAACCACCACCTCCTCGCCCCCCGCCACCGAGAACATGTTGCCGCCGAACAGCGAGTAGAAGAGCCAGATGAGGAACAGGAAGCCCGCGACGCTGCCGAGCACGATGCCGGCGGTGGTGCCGGGCGTCGGGCCGTTGAACTCGTAGTACGTCGGTATTATGCCCGTGGTGGCGCGGGACGCGGGGTGCGGCTTCGGCGCTGCGGCGAGCGAGGGGCGCGGTATCCGGCGCAGGAGCTGCGCGGCGGTGGTGGAGAGACGGGGGAGCAGGCGGCGGAGCGAGGACTCGGCGTGCGCCGCGGAGGCGCGGGCGACGATTGGGATGGCGGGCATGGCTGGTGCGAGCCTGGAGGCTGTTGCGATGTGGGTGTGAAGCGTGCGATGCGCTGGAGTGGTGGTTGCGCGAGGAGTGAGGAGGTGTGTATGCGCGTCGTTGGAAGTTGGCTGGGTGGTGTTGTTTGTGGCGGATGGGTGCGGGATGGTGCTGGGATGGCGTTGGTGGGGTGAGCTGTGATGCGGCGAAGAAGAGAGCAACGTGGAGCTCGAGGTGAGCTGGAAATGAGCGACGATAAGACAGCAGGCGCAATTGCAGCCTGCGAGAAGAGAGAGAGAAAGGTGGTGAAGAAGGTGGGAGACGAGAGCGACTCGGCACCGAGAGGCCAAGGTGCACGCAGCCTGACGCAATGCCAAAATGCGGGTGGCTGGCCAACCAGCCACAACACCAAACCGCCTGTCACCATGAGCCAAAATTCGTACCCACCATCCTTGCAGCCGAGGAGCCTTCGAGTCTTCATGTGAAACGTGTCGCATCCCGCAGGATTGGTGAACAGCTTTGGCGATGCATACCGACTGAACAGCTGGCGCATGCGCCGATGACGGCGGGCTCAAGATTCAATGCTTCACAGGCCACACAAGACGGGACAATTGATGGAGAAGACACGGCGCTTGCTCAGAACATCATGATTATAATAATTACAGGCAAGCAATACTCAATTCCGAGCCAATGCCATCCCAATCCCTATCCCTCATAACCTCGTTCGTGAACTCAATCGCTCGTACCTTTCCTATTCTTCATCTATTATACCATCAACACCATCGCAGCCACAATCGCAATCAGCAAACTGCCAATGGCACTGCTCCTGACATTCGTCTTACCCGCCGCCCCGTGAATCCCTATCGCCTCGTCCTGGTACCCGAACGTCAGGTTCTGCAGGATGCTCTGGTTGAGACAATTCCCGTTCGCAATATCCAGACCCATCAGGTCATCTGGCGTCTTGAAGAACATGTAGCTCTTGTTGTTCAGTCCCTGGAACCCGCTCGTGTCGTACGGGAACTTGTCGCCGGAATCGGTCGCTGAGGTGTTGCGGAGGAAAATGCACTGCACGTTGTTCGGGCGGTCATGCGCGAGCAGTGGGTAATCCTTCATGACGTCCGAGTTCGAGGTATCTGCCACAAGAACGAACTTGCGCTCCGGGTACGTGTCGAAGATCTTGTTGAGCAGGAATAAGCGAATGCTGAGCGTGGCATTGACATCAGAGAAGTTAAGAGGACGGGTGTCAAAAGAGCCGCCGGGATACGTCTTGTAGATGAAGTCCATGTAGTTACGCGTCACCTGCTCCGGGGTGGTGGTCAGGTAGTGGAAATGCGTGCTGTTGGGGAGAGAACGCGACCAGTTGGCGTAGATGTCGGGCATGTTCATCCATGGCACGAATGCACGAGCGAATGAGTTGAGAAGACCCTCTGTCGGCTCGTAGATTTTGGTGACGCGCAGGATGTCATCAATATCCGAGATGATGGTAATGCCGGTAGGCGGGACGAGGTAGGCGGTCGCGTTGCCATCGATGGATCCGTTCGTGTAGACATTCATGCGCTGGATGTTTTGGGTTTCGTTTCCGGCAAGCAGTCCAGCGCCAGAAACGTTTTTGATGGGGACAAAGGCATCGAAGTCACCTTCAACGGTGGTCTCGTACGGGAATGTGATGTTTTGTGTTCCTCCTCCGGGAGTAATGGCTCCTCCTCCGCCTGGTTGACCCGATGCGCCGTTTGATGGAGACGGCTCGAGGTGAAACGAGACATTCACGCCTCCTTGCTGAACGACGAAAATCTCCTTGGTCAAATTCCTGGCTTGGTTCTGCTGGTCTGTCGGTAAGCTCGAAAGTTCTACGCCGATGAGGAACTTGTTGGCCAGATCGTCCAATTTGGAGGAACTGATGTTTGGAGTCTTGTAGATGTTGCCATGGAAGCGAACGTTCCAGCCTTGGTCTGTCCAATTGGCATACGGAGGGATGAGAAGGGCTTGCGTAGGGGTCGCGGCTAGGTCGCTGTCGCTGATTCCTAGGGAACTCTTGACAGCGTCGCCGGTGGGGAAGTCTTGGAAGAAGTTGGGAACACCTGGACTTTGTTAGACCAGTGATTTTTAAAATACAACTAAACACTTCAACTGCATTTTCGTAAAGCTTGGGAGTAGTTCGCACGTCGCGCGGTAATGGCGCGTCTCGTAATACTCTCACACTCAACGACTTCGTCCACAGGTTTGACTCACCAGAAAGAACATAGCTTGGAATGTCACTTCCAAGCGCGCTCAAAATGCTCTTCCCATCACCCTCGATGTCACTCAAAATGTTTCTTCGATAATAACTCCGCGTGGAATCGAATTGAATCGCCGCAGGGGTAACAAGTGGAGCCGGTGCAACCATTGGCACTGGCACCACAACCGTAGGCGTAGCAGAGGGAACCGCGACAGCAGATGCGACGGCAGCATATGCCGCGGGCAGGAGAAGCCATCGTGGGCTTCGTTGGGAGACCATAGTGTGTAGGAATGGATGGCCTGTTGGGAGGAGAGGATCGGCCTTTGTCTACGCAGCAGAGGACTGGAGGTGCGGAAGTCGCGACAAAAGTGACAATCGAAGGGTGCAAGAGGAGAGAAACGGTAGAATGTATATCAATCAGGCGTGGTGGTGAGATTGCAGGAGAGGCGGCCCTAGTCGGCGAAGTAAACAAGGACGTGAAAATACACCGACGTCATACATCGTCTAGGCCAGGGCAAGATTTCTTATCCCTGCGCCACGCTTGTCTCGGCAAAGGCTTGTTTGCAACCTTCCGCCTTGGGCGGGACACAACCTTGATCCGCGCTCATCCCAACGGCTCTGAGAGTTCAATCAAGGCCTTACTTTTGAGATCACGATGGTACCACGGTCTGTCTGCCATTCTTCTTTTCTCGAATTTGAAATGTCTAGTGTGCGATTGGTTCGGCCAATCCTCGGCGCTGGAAGCTAATCGAAACATCAGCCTCGTCTCCTCTCGTCTTTTCTTCCATCAAACTTCTATCATCCGTCGTCCACGGAGAAGCTCTTGTGGCTTTCGGTGATTCCACAGAACTTTATTACCTCTGAGCACGTCACAGGCTGAGCTGTTTTCTGATTGCCCTCATAGCCCGTCTCATTTCGTTTCTGTTCGTTCAGCTCAATTCATCATCTTCACTAGCCGCTCAGTGCAGAATGAAGCTATGCCAGGTAGTATCCTGACGAGGTTTCTTCCTACACGACTCCTCTGAAATCGCACAATAACTTCTGGCGTGAAGCCTCAGGCAAGATATCCAGTGAACTGGAAGACAGTGTGCCAAGGCTGACGAATTACATACTAGCAGCCCGACGGAACGACCGCCGCCGCCATTGAAGACGTGACAGACCTGTGTGGCTTTGAGAGATTCCCTTCGCTTTTGGTTTGCCATGACCGCTGGAACAGCTTTTTTAACACCAGCGACTTCCTTCGTGTATGTACTGCCAAGGAAGAAGAGATAGACTTCGACCGCGATATCGTTCATTGCCAGAAGACAGTGCGTCACATTAATAAGTCAGCATCTGAGGGATGCAATTGGTGTAAATGCATTCAAAGAGCATTCATGTTACACAACGCCACAAACGAAGGCTTCTTAGACCCAGACGAAGGCTGTACTATTAGCCTGAGTCGAGACTATTTGTACGAACCCACGCCAACAGGCCACAATAGCTATCTACTTTCTCTACGTCACAGAAACCTTGCGTCGGACTCGACCAATTGTCATCTGTTTGCTTTCACCAACCATAATAACATCGCAGCGTCGCTTGTCACGGCACAACCTCGTCAGACCATTTTAGACACGCCCGCTGCTGTGCAAGAGATGAGAACCTGGCTCGCAGATTGTCGTCTTCACGACTGCTGTCCCTTGAAAAACGATGTGGTTCTACCGACGCGGGTAATAGAGGTTTCACCAGCTGCTTCCCCGGATAACCCGCGAATACTGGTCGCGAATGGTAGCCAAGGTCAATATGCGGCTCTTTCATACTGCTGGGGAGAAAGGCCATACGGACATCTCCAAAACTCGAACTTAGAAGAGTACACCCGTCGTCTGGATCTTTTGGCTCTGCCCCAGACACTTCGAGAAGCGATCAAGGTCGCAAAGGACCTCGGAATTCTCTACCTGTGGATCGATGCACTATGTATCCTCCAAGACTCGGATGCCGACAAGCAACACGAATTAGCTACCATGCAACGGGTTTACAGAAATGCTCTCATTACTATAGTCGTTGCTAGCTCTGACGATGTGACGAATGGTTTCCTTCAACCACGCCCTCAACTGTACACCGCTTATACTTATACCATCCCGTTTAGGGTAGGAACAAATCTGTTCGGAACCGTTTCATTCTCAACCATGAAGGAGATAGCCCATGAAGAGTCCCTCGAGCCCATAAATAGTCAGTGATCAGTTGTGCAAGCCAAAATGCGCAGAACTTGCTGATTTGCTCTGTTGGCATATGTAGGACGTTGTTGGACCTTACAGGAGCAAATCTTATCAACTCGATCCCTCTACTTTGCCTCACACACTCTCCAGTGGCGATGCTCACAAGGAGAGCGGAATTTGAGCGACTCATTGCACGTCACCAGATGGCGAAATTCTATCCAAGATATGAAGTATGGAGTATCATACCTATACCAGAGCAACTTCGAGTGCTGGGCAAAAACTGTCGCCGACTACTCCCATCGTTCCATGGTTCTTTCGAGCGACAAATTAAACGCGATCGCTGCAATTGCGCAAGACTTTGCACCAATGCTAGGTCCGCACTATTACGCTGGGATTTGGGAAAAATCACTCCTCTCGCAGCTTCTATGGTTCTGCGATGGCAATGCTCCACGAGCGTCGCCGTACCGCGCTCCATCGTGGTCCTGGGCTTCGCGCGACGATGGAGTGTACATGATTACAGCATTGGAACTGGCTGAACACGATACTGAAATATGTAGCATTGTTCGAGTCTCGACCCAACTAAAAGAGAATAAATTGCCCTTTGGTGAAGTTATCTCGGCTTCAATTGAGTTGAGAGGTGGTTTGCGACGAGCGCGTCTAGACGGGACTCCGCACGAGTTCATCCCCGAAAAAAAGAAACCGAGACTAGTATGGGTAGATAAAGGCGAGGGAGTATTTGAGGGTCAAGGAACCTTCTTGACGACACACGGCATCCATCTCGACAATTTCGGCCTTGAGCTTCCTATAGAAGTTTTGGGTATGCCACTCGTTGCGAACCGCGATGGAATTGGGAGCGGACTGTTGCTTGTACCGACAGCTGAATATTCATATGAAAGAGTTGGAACCTTTTACCAGACAAAGTTGGCATCACTCCATCAGGTGCATGAAGTAGAGATTACGATCGTATAGGACTGTGGTCGAAGCGCTATGAACTTGGTGCTCAGGCGGGGACGCAAGAGCTTTCCTGAGAACGTTTGTCTCTGACAGCCTCTTATTTACAACTCTCTGGATTTAATATGCCCTTTGTTGAAGTTATCCGGTTACAACCCTGTAAACCGTTCCATACAATCGTCGACGCTTAGGTCACGTCCAGGTCACGTCCAGGTAACCCAAAACGTCTTTGACATCCCCTGAAGATGTCCATTTAATAGCTCCAGCCTGGCAAATATCCCAAGTTTTTGTTGCGCAAGATCCGTATCTTCTAAAATAAAGCACAAGCTGGGGAAGTCCGCAATCGTGTGCCAAGTCCACCGCTGTCCCCAACGGACCAGCGTCCCTAATGCCGAATACGTACTAGAGAGGTTCACTTCTTAATGAGCGAAAACAGGAGCAGAGTCACTTCGTGATGCAAATCTAGTGTGTTGGTCTCGGAGCGCGGTTTGGGAGACTGGGAAAGTTGCTGCAGCGCGTTGCTCGCTTTCAATTTGTTCTTGGTCAACTGCTAAGATAGCTAACAGTACCCTGCCCCCCATAAGTTTCAGCAGCAATAAGGAGTGACTGCTACGTTCCCCGCACAAGACCGAAATAGCCCCAGGATTGCTTCACCTTCAGATCATCAACCCTTCCATTCCACTTGTTCTCTCCCATAACCCAATTCGTGCTCTAGTTGCTTTTCTCCGTGACGCAGCAAGTATAGCAGGATCCGAACTGTCGCGACTCCTGTTGTTTTTAGTTGCGTTAGAATCTATGAAGCGAGTAAAGGGATATATCGAAGACTTACCCATCCATCGGGGCAGGGGAGGCTCCGGTCGCCGCATATCCTCCAACAGACATCAGATGGTTTGAAAGAAAGGTCGTGAGGCTTGGGCGTCTTGGATTGCTCGGCAGGGTCGCGAGAAAGGGTGGTACCCTCGATCATAATGACGACACGCTCGTCAGGAGTCGGGGCCGCAGCGATGAGAGCGGGCACGAAGAGGAGCGTGGCGAGTGCGAAACGCATTTTCAAGTGTAGTAAGGCTGAGGAGTCGTTTCGATGGGTTCAAATGAGTTATGACTGAAGATGTGAAGGACGTATAGGAGACATGCTGCGCTTTATATTGACGAAGGCTTTGCGAATACTAGTGTGTACACTAACAGACTGCTTGCGACTGAGAAAACTTTAAAGGATACTGATGAAGTCATACATTATATTAAACTTTGCAGTACGACAACGGAGCGAGTGGACGTACTCGGATCTCATGAATATTGACTGGGAAAGCGTAAGAGCATTCGGCCGCGTCATGGTGCCACAGGAACATGCCTTGTCTATGCAGCAAGTGTCTAACCAGAAGAAATGCATACTGTCCTTTGCAGCTTGGTTTCTGCAGGCAGCAGAAGTGGTCTTGTTATAGTTCTAATGTCTCCAATCCCCGCTCGCCCAAGCGCCGAAGCACAGCGAGTGTCCGGTAAACCTTCACAAGCGACAAAGTATCGCCCATGCTCTCCGTGAACTGCAGAATTCCCTGGCGGAGTCAGTGTCGAAGAGTGATGAGCAGGTGTGTGTAAGCCCTTTTCGACCGCAAAATAGAGATGCTAATAGCGGTTCAGCACAGTGATAATCGGTAACGTGATGACACGGTGGCCCTCGTTCTCGCTAAGCTGGCAAACCCGCTCATGCTACGCACTCAGCTAGATGCTATTATGCACCCGAGCCCCTTCTTCAGACCTACTGGCCTTAAACCCCACGGATACCATGGTGGGGTGCCGGCAGAGCGGGGCGTAGAGCGATTGGTTGACAGCCATTCCGAAAGAGACTCATTGGAGACGGATTGCAGGGTGAGGTTGACGGCGAAATCGGCGAGTGGGGATTCGGGGTACCAGCCGCTAGTGTGGGGTAGACGCTCTTTGGTGGGAGGGTGTGTGATCTGGAGGTCAGCAATTGGAGTCCTGGGTGGGAAGAGTACGTACATCTGCTAGGGCTCGATGTGAGACTGGTGACGGAAAGCTAGATGCAAGAGTGGCCACAGTACCGAGCAATACCACTGGGGCTTATGGTTCCCGGTGGTGGACAGCGAAACAGCCGCAGCTTGCACCCTCTTCACCGCATCAGGTTCGATCATGAGGTCGAGGTGGTAGCAACCAGCAGCGTATCAGACGGGCGGGCTAGTCGGCGAGCCACTCACGGATGACGGGATGACGGCCGAGTTCAACGTCGGGGGAGGAGCTTTTGAACACCATAGGCTGCTGGTGTCGCAGCCAGACAAGACGGTGGGCGTGCGGAGCGAGAATGGAGAGTGGAGGAATGGGTGAGGGCTCGATTGTAGATGCCGACGTACTGCTAAACCCGTTCCGCATATGCACTACCCTCAATCTGCCGCTATTAGCAAGGGAAACAGATTCTCTGGTGGTTTTACTACTGATATATCGACATCTCGCTCCGTATTCTGTTCAAAACGAGCGATTAGGCAGGATTGTACGCGACTCCCGCATTCTAGAATCCTCAGGGAGCTGATAGGAACAGGTATTTTGTTTGCAATGTCAGTAACTAGGTGTATGCGGGATACGTTGTAGACACGTAGATAGTTGTTAGATCGGAACTGAAGGAAGCAATACACTAAAGCAACAAGAGAATTTCGGTTAGCACTTCAAGAAACGCGTAATTAGGCAGTGGAATATCTTCAATTCATATGTACACAACGGTGCTTCGTGGATTTTGAGCGACTTCCTTTTGATCTTCTTGCGTAGAATACCTACTCGGGTGAAGCCTTCCCTCACCGCGCTAACCCCATTTTGGGACACCGTTGAGCGGCAGTCAGATGAAAGAAGACAAGTTGTGGAGCCAAAAGCTGTTTTATTGATGATGGTGAGGAAGCCAGCTATTGAGCGGATGGAGGAAACGTATACACAAGATGCTGAGCAAGCCTACCAGATATGAAGGGGATGACACCGTGTTGTCGATCTTTGGCACCTCAACGCAGTTCCCCCATCGTTTTGCAATCATGGTAGCAACATGCTAGCATCATGTTAACATTCTTCTGGCCTTACGACATGACGTCCAGGTGATTACGTCGTCAATATCTTGACTATTTGACTTTCGAGCCCTGCCAGGGCGCCAAGGTCCACTCTCCATCCTATCAGCCACAACGTACACTGCCACAGCTGAACTCCCTTCTCAGGCCAGTCAAACAGCTCAGTATTCTCTTGCCGATACCATCACCTGGGAATTTCTCTATTTCGTTAGTTGTTCATTCTTGCATCGGATGAGACTTCTTCCATTCATTTTCTTAGTTGGCATTTCGGCCAATGGCAACACAGCATCATCAAATTTAGCAAGAGCCGACTAGGTGACAGAGGTCCAGTTATACCGCCTACGTCGTACTCCGCCTCACGATATCAAAATCCCAACTTACATCACGTGATGTCCAACATCCCTCTTGGCCTTTCAACCTTGGAGCTGATGTCCTATCTTCATGGTTAAAACTAGCAGAGTTTCCCACAAAGAATGGGGTTGAAGATTTAGAGTTGCGATGCACCATGTTCGGCCTCCAAGTATGCCTCGGTGCACTGCCACCGTCCAATAAGGGAGCATGCTCCCTCAGCCTCCAACCTCTTTTCAGCCTTGTCGCGTATTCCCGTTTTTGCATATTAGCTGCCACGACCCCACCGATCACTAGATGTCTTCGACGGCTACAAAACCTCCCAAACTCTCAACTCGCATCTTCGACTTCCCTCGGACCTCAGATCTCCCAATCTAATGACCTTGACCGCTGCGGGTCATGTCATAGGAGCATTTAGAGTTCTCAGAGAATGCAAAAGAAGCCCATAGTCTCGTAAGGATGAATACTCCGTTTTTCTGTTCTTTAGGTAAAGAAAGCAAGCAGGAACTCCATTTTTCATGTCGACAGAAATTCGATCTGAAGAAGTCGGGCACTTCTTTAATGCTCCTACCAGAGGCAGCGACGTCTTCTATGGCCGAGAAGACCTCCTTCTCGAAATAAAGCAGTCGCTGCACCCAAAGCCATCCCAACCGAAACCATCCAACCAGTCTCTTCCGAATACCGTGTGGCTGTCAGGCCTTGGAGGTGTCGGAAAAACAGAGATCGCTCGTGAATATGCGTTTCGCTGGTCTTCAGATTACAAGGTCGTCCTCTGGATCAACGCAAAAAGCGAATCTACAATCTTGAGGAGCTTTGCCGTCATCGCCGTTCTGCTAGGCATTCTGCAGCCGAACGTTGAGCTGAATCCACGACATGGTTTGCGTTTGACGCAGAACTGGCTGGCAGGCTTAGCTGGAAGAAATCCCGATGGTCATGACTCTTGGTTGATGATCTTTGACAATACTGACGATCCAATTTTGCTGGATGATTTCATTCCTCGACACAGTCCTAACGGTGCAGTACTCATCACAAGCCGGCGACCATCACCAGGTGCCTCCGAGGCCACTGCTCTAGAAGTCCTACCACTGTCCAACGAAGATGGACTGCAACTCTTACTTGATTTGTCACACCTCCACGATAACGCTGAGGTTGAGGGTGACAACATGGCAGCTGGCGTAGGAAGGGCAAAGGATCAGTGAGGAAAGCATGAGTTGTATTGAGGTGCTGACGAGTGGCTATATAGTGAATAGAACAGGGGTCGCAGGTGGCACCGGTTGCAACGGCAGCAACGGTGGCAACTGTGGCAATAGTGGCAAACAACAGGTGAACCTTGTCCAGCTGAGACGCGTATACAGATGTGCGTAGGAGCATTCTAACTGGCTGCCACAACAGGAGGGCCGTAGAGCCGCTCGACGGTCTACCTCTTGCGCTAGTCTTGGCGGCACATTGCATCAAGGCAAAAGATCTTTCGGCTTCAGAATACGTTGAATTCCTTTATCAGGCCCTCAAGTCTTTAACTCCGAAACGCTACACCACACAACTCGACGCGCTCGATGCGTCGCTATATCTGTCAATAGATCAACTTGACCCAGCAACACGAGGCGTTCTTAGGGTATTTTCGGTCTTGAGTCCAGAAGATATCCCAACATACCTATTGCAACCGGTAGCCCTCAGTGGGTCGAAAAGCGCGCTTGATTCAGCGCTGTCGATGCTTCTTTCATTATCATTAATCAAGCAATCGAAAGGAGGTTGAATTCTGTGAAAAAGGTGACAAGAGGCCATTCACCTCTACATTTTGTGAAGACGACCGAAACTTTGAAGACTGCAGTATTTTTACCGCCATTAACATTGATCTCGAAAGATTTGGAGACTCTAGTTCCTGTACCACCACAAACATTGCTCTCGTCAACTTTGGTGAAGGCGATCTCTCGCAGTGGCATCGCCTTAACTCGAAGGCACAGAGGCCCGCCAGCTGCCGCAAATACTAACCAAACCACCTCGACGACCGACGACCCTGCAACTAATGATACAGCCTCAACAATCTCAAACATTCCGTCAACTATCACCAGTGTTAGAAAACCAGCATGCTTTGTTCGCCCTTGTATTGGAGTCATCATCACTATTTCCCTCGCTTTATCTCTTAGCCTCGCGGTCTCGCTTTGGTGGTCCTTCTCTCATGGTGATGTTTCAGGCGCTTTCACTGTGGGCTCATATATCCTTGCTTTCTTCGGGCTTCCCCTTGGGATATATTACTACTTCCATTCTCTCAAATGTAGATGTTGGCCAGCTCAGGAGAACAATGACGTTTCTCTTCGAACTCTCTAGGATGGAGGCAGGAAAGCCCGAAGACAGGATTCTTCGCTCTCCACATGGATGCTTTACAGAGATTATAAACTTTGCGAGTAAAGAAATAGCAAAGCAATGAATGATATCCATCTGGAGTATAGCACTGTCTTGGCGAAGTTCGCAGTCGAGTGCTAAGTCCAACAACTGTTACCAACCGACCAATGTCCCGAATCCCGAAGACACACTAAAGGTGTCTAGTAGAGAATACGACCTTTGCTTCCACATCATTCTACTACGCTGGTACATCTGCAGCACATACAAGCAGCCATCGAGAAACCCGCCACCATCAAATCTCTTCCACAACCGCCGCCTGAAACAGCCTCTCCTTCTTCATCCCCAACGCACAAACAACCGACAGCACCCCCGCCGCAACACTCAACCAATAAACCTTCCTCACCGCCTCCGTAATCGCCCTCGTCGCCGCCTCCCTCAGCCCCTCCCCCAGCCGCCCAAACAACGCACTCTGCGTCCCAGCAACCGCACTCCGAATCTGCGCCTCCGAGAACCCCTGGCCGCCCAACACCGCCCGCAGGTTCTGGTACGCAAAGCTCTGGAATACCTGCCCGAGCACGAGCAAGCAGAACAGCGTGCCGCCGATCTGCGCGCAGTTCTGCAGCGACACGGCGTCCTGCACGTCCTTGCCCGACCACTCTTGCTTGGTCGCGGCCTTGATGCCCGCGACCGAGTAGCCGATGTTGAACGTCAGGCCGGTGCCGAGCGCGAGGATCACGCTGTAGCCGTACAGCGCAGCCGCGGGACTGGAGCTCGTGATGGTCGTCATCAGGGCGCCGCCGGTGGTCATGAGGATGCCGCTGGCGAGGTACATTAACCAGCTGGGGGTAGGGAGGGAGCGTTAGTGCATATATCGTTGGACAATCTCTTTGGGAAAGGGTAGGGTGGCGTGTAGGGGGCTTACTAGTAGTTTATCCGGAGCAGCAGCGCCCCAGAGGCTATGTTCGCAGACACGAGGATCATGACAAACGGCAGCAGGCGCACGGCGGCTTTGATGGCGGTGTCGCCGTGGACGAGCTGGAAGTAGAGCGGGATGTAGTAGAGGGGGACGAAGATGTTCATCGCGGCGGCGAAGGTTTCGAGGCCGGCGAGGGCTAGGGAGCGGTTGCGGAGGAGGTGCGTTGCGGGCGTCATGCGCGTTTCGGCGGTGGTGAAGAGGAGGAATGATTGCTGGAGGATGGTTAGGATGAAGAGAAGCCCCGAGACGACGAAGGTTGCTATCGTCCGCGAATCGCTCCAGGCCCATGCTGTGCCGGCGAATGTGAGGACGAGGGTGAAGCCGACGATGGTCGCGGTGCTGAGGAGGAACCCGATCCAGTCCATCCGGCGGAGCTTCCCGAGAGTGCTGGTGTTTGCGTCCTGGGGTAAGGTTGCGGAAGGGAGGTAGAGGAAGAACACAGGTGCGCATATGGCGGCGAGAACCCTTACGAAGCGTTAGGATCTCATGGACAGTAGACTGGGGAGTGAGGCTAACAGGTTGATATAAAACCCCCACCGCCACGTCGCCGCGCTGGATGAGAAAGCCCCTCCAACGACTGGTCCGAGGATGGCTCCAACGCCCCAAACGAGGCCGATGCCGGACATGTAACGGCCGCGTTCCAATGCGGTCGTTAGCAAGGTGATGTAGTTTAGCAGGCTACCCATTGGAGTCAGTTAGACTGGCTTTTACGAACTGACGGGGCGGCTTACCCGATGTACAGGCCTGCTCCACCAACCCCAGTAAGCACTCTTCCAACAATGAGGGCGTTCATATTAGGAGACGCGCCGCAGAGCGCAGAGCCAACTTCGAAGAGAACGATGCTGGAGATGAAGAGGGCCTTGATGTCCAAGACGGCATAGAACGAAGCGCTGGAAGTTGCTATCAGCTTTCCCGATATGACGATAGGGGATGAAGTGGACTCACAGGGGGAGAATCACACAGACTGAGCCCAACGGGAATCCGGTGCCGAGCCAGGTGATCTGCTCGACGTTGCCGAAGGTCTTGATGACGGCGACTTGAACGTCGGCGGCGATGGTGGCGTCGAGGCCGTAGTTGATGCCTAGCGCGTATAAGGCTGTGCAGACTAGGAACCACTGGTTGGAGCTTGAAGTCAGAATAGAAGGAGCTGCTGAGAATAGGGAGTTGGGGAGAGGCTGGCGTTTACCTGGAAACCATGGATGGTTCTCCCAGTGTCGTTGAGAGTAGTCTTCGGTTCTTCTGAAAATGATACATCTTCCGAAACGGACGCGTCTTTTGAAACTTCTATGTCGCTGGTTTCGACGCCCATGATGGCTTGTTTTCGGAGGGCTTAGGGATAATGACGGGAATGGGCCGATTTGACGGGAGCGAGGGGTGTGAAGCTTGAAGTGTCCTGAAAGCGACTTCATTGCATGTCTCTAAGTACTCTAAAGGCTTCCTTCCGCAAAGTAGAAGGGGGATTGGAAATGCCGGGCATTTGTAATTAGCTCCGGACAATGATTAGAAGATAACTATGCTGTCATATATGGCCAAATCTTTCTGAGAAGCATATTTTCGCCGGACCCTCTTGTAGCAGGGGGGTTCGAGACTCCTAGACTCCAAGTGCCTGGACCTGCAGGTGGTGGCTTTAGCGGCTAAATTGGTTGACGGCCAATTTGGCCGGTCGCGTATGGAGACCAATAACGTCATCGCATATACGTCAGGGTACGGCCAGATTGGCTCTGTGGATAGAGATTGGCTCTGCCAACAAGTGATTTGTAAAGCAGGCTTGGGAAAGGGTTGGTTGGAGAAAGATCCGCATACTTTACATGCTAGTATTTCTTTTTGCCGTAAAAACGGCGTGCATGCTGCGTTGAGTTGCGGAGGAGTCGTAAATGTATGTAAGATGTTTCATAGAAGTAAGTACAACGTGTAGAATTTATGGATGTGCGTAAATAATCAACTAATCAAAGACGATATGGCGTTGTCGTGAGGGCTTGTCATTAGGCGGACATCGCCTCCAAGCGACATGCCTAAGATCGATTGAAAGGTCCTCGACAGGACGGCATGGAGGAAGGCAGCCATTCCCATGAATGGTCTGTAGGCCTTTAGCAATCTCGTCCCTGATATGCTCTCATTGCAACGCGAGGGAAAGTGAGTGTTTCTCGGCATAATCCTCTCAAAAGACGATTCGTAATGCCGTTATACTTCTCTGCAAATAGGCATCGCATTATTAGCGTTATAGACTGATCGCCCATCTTTCGTCGAACAGGGGCCTTATACTTGATAGGGAACTCTTCTATAGGTAACTACTTTGGAATATTCCCTCTTTAGGAAAACGGCCTCTTGGCATTGCCCCTGCATCGATGTCTAAGCAATGCGATAGAATCCTAGACTTCACAGGATATCTTAAAAAGCTTCAATAGGAAGGAAATGGTCGTACTCATGGCCCCGATCTGGAAAATCTTCTCTGCTTACTCAGATTGGAGAATGTAAATTGGCCCGCTATTTTGTTCCAACTCTTCCGCATTGTAATTCAAGCCTTGGTATTCTGTCCATGCGCTCGAAATCTACGATGTTTCTCTTTTCAAAAATCAACTCCGAGGCGGACGAATGTCCCGCAGAACCCTGTTTGCTTTGAATTTGATCTGAAGATGAGTCTAGCGCTTTCAGACCATGACGGTAGCGATTGCGAGCAGCGTACTCAGCCCATCAACTCTTGAAGTCCATGCATCAAGCTTTCGTACGCTTTCAGCGTGCTGCGTTCTTCTTTGCGCATCAATTAGGTCGCCAAAAGAGAGAAATCCATTATTCGTCGTCGATTTACCGTGATTCTGCTCCGAACGCCACACTCCTTCGTTTTCCGCCTCCCACAATATCTTAGAAGAGGGCAAGGGTAGCGCTCGGAAGTCTCCAGTAATCTCGCATAGAGTGCCTGTTCTGATGCAGACGATGCGGTCGAAGAGGAACCAAACCACCGCAACGCGACGAAGGGACTCTGCAACCACCCACTCCGCCCAGCTGGAGCTGGGATAATGCAGTTCGTGTCTACATATTGGGCCACCGGAGTTCTCGCAGTAACGCAGACACAAAGCTTGGAAGGATCGAAGCGTCGCAAAATCTTCTTCGGCGTGCTCGGCTTCCTCGTCCGTGATCCGCATAATCACGTACATCGTGAAGGCTTGGATGGCAGCTAGCAATTCCAAATTCGTGAACTTATCGATTTGTTTCAATAGCCGATACTGTTCTTCGCGTATGGTTCGCCATATGAAAGGGGTTGTCTCGGAAGTTCTTGAAACAAACATCTGCGCGATTCCAATGCAGTTGCCGAGGGCCTCCGGTAGAGCGGGCCCATGGGAACTCCAAGATTGATGTACCTTTGTATGAATGAATGGCGGGAATGTCTCGATTCGTAGCATCATGTGTGGATAGGAACGTAAACCTTGCAATATGAACAATGCACATCTTTGAGAAATGGGATCCGGCATTCCAAGTCGTGTCAGGGAGGCCACAATAGGGAATACTGCTAGTTCCGTGCATGTGGAGACTGCTGGGATGTGGTCTTCTTGGGTGATAGATCGAGAATGAGAAGTGTTGAATAATCCATCCACGGGAGAGTCGATGGTTGCTCTATCATCGCGAATAGTATCATTAAAGGCGATGGGATTTAATGGAAACCCATTTGCTGCTCCCTCCCAGAGAGTATTCTCGTCAAATGAATATGTAGAAGACCAAATTGGCCACGTAGACCTGCCCTCTGCTAGCTCTTCAGAGATTGGTAAGGATGATTCCATGCTGATTGCCGGAGTAGAAGCCAGAGAAGATGACCTTTGAGGAGTTGAATTCGTATTCTCGTAAACGCATTGCATCCCTTTTTGTGTGCATCGCGAACAGGGGGCCTCAAAGTTGCACTTGGCTTTGGCACAATTACATGCGCGGCACGATCGCCGCCGGACACGCGCTTGATTCTGAGTTCTCCTACAATACGAAATGTGACGTTTGCAGGAAGATGCTGTCTAGGTTTAACAAGGTCTACAGGTTTAGCAATATAAAGGAACATACCCTTCGCAAATGGCTTGCTGCAGGAATCGCAGAAATATACCGAGTCTGTGGAAGCACCGCTCATCATGCCTTCACATCTGTAGGAATATGGCTGACCGACAGTCTGGCGCGTCTACGGTTCAATGAGAAAGAATGGGGGAGTGGACTTCGTCCCTTGTGATTGATAGGCGTTTGATTACAAATCGCTTATCCCCACGTGACAAATTCGGTCCTCGTTGCGATCACGAACAGAGCTATAGGTATGCGGTTCTTAAAAAGCCGACTATGCTTGAACTTTGCTTCATGTTGTGGGTTGATCTCCGCATTAAACCATTCCACCTTTCTTTCACTTCTCTTTCTCATCAACACCATCGCCCTCTTCCTGCTCCTCTTTCTCCCACCGATTGGGTTCCTGATACTTCCACTGATCTCTTCCATCAGGTCCCTCTGCCGCGATAGTCATGTCGTTGTGCATCAGCCCTGCCAGCAGGATCATAGCTGCCGTGCCCGTGATAACCAACTCTGCCATGGCTGCTTCCGGCAGTTCTTCATTGATCGCAAGATAGTTATCATTCGCATCCCCGAACACCTCCCCTGTAGCAGGATCCTTCAACTCCATGCAGTTATTACCGAACACCGGAAGATCATACTCCCAGCAAAGCTCGCGACCGCCGAGCGCCTGGACTTTTACAAGCCACCGGTTGCTGAAGTCTTCTTCTGCTGTATTATCCATACGAATAGGACCTTGAGCTGGGGTCTCGCTTCCAGGTTTGGTTAGGAATGTGATATCGGCGCTCCAGTCATACTCTTGCGTCTTGATAGTAGCTAGCAGTGGTGACGATGTGTCGGCGCCCCTGTGGACGTGCGCGAGATGCTTCTCGGGAAAGCGTGTCTGGTACACGATTTCCTCTGAGACCTCCTCGGGTATAAAGCTTAGGGAGGCGTTCCAGTTCCAGTTGTTCTGCTTGCCGCGGATGTCCCACGTGACAGGCATACGCATTTTGGTTTCTTCATTAGCGCCATTGTTGGTAGCTGTCGTCATCATAGGATCAACTGGAAAGAATCAAAGAATCGGATGCTAACGTCTTCATGATAGGATATGATGGAAATTCCAAGTTTGTGTTGTGCAGGTTATATCCTATGCTTACATGCGAAGGATTCTTTGAGTCATGAGGTTTAAGCCGCCCGCGTGCTCTGCCTTAACTACCACTTAATTTGCTCGAAGACGATGAACGTTACCGTGTAAGTCGAATTTTGGCTCCTCGTTCGATATAGCAACTGAGCAACTAGAAATTAACACTCAATATTCAGCTCGTCAAGGGCCGTGAGAACTATTATCTTAAGCGTGCTGCACGCATGGGCCAGTAGAATAAGTACCAGCAAACTTCCTTTGGACGCAAATGTCGAATTTAATTCTCATCATACCCCTTCCAAGACAATGCCCATTTTTTCATCTGATACACTCATGGCTGGTTTTAAAAATAAGAGACGATGCATTAAGTTTTGACTATATTACGTCGATTTCTTTAACGAGGCAGACATTAGCAAATTTTATATCGATCACGCCGCCTAGGCAGATGGAACGGGCCATGTCGAAGACGGATCCGTCGTATTCATGTTGCCAATTCTCCATTCCAAGCGTAGAACCGTATGCTTTGTTCCGAGGATGGTTGGTGGGTCTGAGAATACGTGCCAGCGAGTTGTTCGTTGAGTGACCATTAGGACCGTTCCGATAGTGCATTTGCCGCCGCCCAAGCCAGCAGCTGATGGATCAGGACTCTTTAAGTCGCTAGGACCGGACCTGAAAGAGGAGTTAGAAGGTGAGGTAGAGCGGAAGCCCCATAACATAACCACATTGTCAAATCCAGGAAGTTTCTATCGATTGTGTCAGCTATAGTTCACTGAGCAGGCAGATCTGATACATAGTACATGTCAAAATCAAACAACAGATCATGTTAGCAGGTGTAAACTGATGTACTGCTATAGATGGTGGAAAATGCCAGATTGAGGGGCCCAACGACTTTCCTAAGCTTCGAACATAATTGCTGAGGTTCTTTCTGAGGCATCGAGCGACTTCAACGATGGCAGACCATTGTACTTTCACTTCTGTAGAGGTAATTAAAATGAGAGCTCAATGCATGGGGAGGTGATGAGTTGAACAAGCTCCCGTTTTTTAGAGTAAGAAGAGGAGAAGACAGTGAGACTAGCTACTGACTGGCTATAGGGACTGCACAAGCCCTCAATTTGTGGGAGATTGGGAGCTACTAGCTCATATAGGTTGGGCGGCTACCACAGCTACCGCAGTATATCCATCTCCTCCCGGGAAGCTTCAAACTCTTATGACCGCAGGAGCGGTTTATCGTCGTCTCGAGGAAGGACTTGAATGCGTCGTCCGCGGCCTTCTTATCCTTGCTCATCTTGGTGAAGCAATCGCGACTGAATTGGCTGACCTCATGGAACACCTTCTGAGTCGGAGTTTCGGTGCCTTCTCCGAGAACGATTAAGTCATGCTCCATGATCATATCAACGACAACGTCGCGAAGACCACGGTCGGAGGAGATAGTAGTTTCGTAAATGGATCGAATGATGTCCGCAAACCAATCCTTGTCCCAGTGTTCAGCCACCAGTATCTTCAGGTAATCCTTGGCCATCGTCTGTAATCCCGGTATGTTGTATTTAGCGGCGATGGCGTGGACGTGGACATGGCGCAGCACTTGTTCTTCAGGGTCGAGATTCTCAGCAGGACCGTAATGATCTCTATAGGCGTAGCGAATCATCGCGCCAACTGCATAGCTATCATCGTGGCTGAGGTCAATGGCGCCTTCTTTGGCTTCCTATTCTGCTATCAAAATCTAAATCTAAGCGGATTCATTGATACATCACGATGGAAACTGGCTTACGAAATAGGCAAAGCATGAATGATTGGAAGGCCATATATTTCATGGATTTGCTAGGTTTAAGCCCTTTTTGGGTTTGTTAAATCTTTGAAGCTAAGTGCTCGCAGCCGTTGGAGTGATTCCATTAGTGCTTCTTGTCGCCCTTCCTCTACAACTTTATAGCGATCGGGGATCCGATGTCTCCGCATTCCACACACCGTCCGTAGGTGCCTGTTTGGTCGTGCCACTTCTGATCGCAGTTCTCGCACTTCCAATATAACTGCAGGTCATGAGCTCCACTCTTGGTCCTTTTGTGCAGCGAATTGAAGCAGTCCCGGCTGAACTCTCCAACCTCCTCCAGCAGCTTTTGCATCGGTGCTTCGTCGCTTTGCTCAGCAAATGCCGAATGGTGTTTGAGAACAATGTCCACGGCAATGTCACGGAGTCCATAATCAGAAATGGTGGTGTCGTAGATCAAACGAACCATCTCTGTTACCCACTCTTTGTCCCAGTTTTTCTCTAGTACCGGGGTCAAATAGACTTTCGCTTTTTGTTGCAGGCCCAGGAAGTTGTATTTCGCTCCGATCGCATATACCTGTGCCAATAAGACAAGGTTTCATGCAAGGGACCAGTGTCAACTCACCTGGATCCAGTGTTTCGCCAGATGACCGTCCTCGGCGACATCGGAAGAGGCTGCACAGTTCCCAGTATAGGCGTATCGAATCAATGCATTGACCGCAAGGGGATCATCGTAGCTGAGATCAACAACGCCTTCCTCACCCTCCTGTTCATGTCTGCATTAGCGGGGTTATCTCTACGACCATTGAAAGACTCGCCCTCCAAGATCCTTTGCACGCCCTTTCGAAGAAGTTGATCTGGCTGCACAGGATGAGACGGTGAACTTTGTAGGTGGCGCCATTGCAGATGATCTTGAGGTCGCTGTATTCGCCGTTTGTCAAGTAGTCCTCCAGTTCCGCGGGCGATGGCATCTTCGGCGAACCTGGCAACTCGATCGCAGCTAGTGGAGGGTGTGAGGGAGTGATTCAGCAAGAGCGGGGGACGAGGTGCACAAATAAGTGAAGCGGAGCTCGCTTGGAAGGCTTATGTAATCTAGCTCGTGATCGTAGATGTGCAGTCGAACGCGCTTTGTGACCGCCGTCTGGGGCGGCTTAATGACGGAGTACGTATTCTTAGCCAGCTAGCCTACGGAGTATGGTACGGTTAGCTCGGCTACCTTGATATAGAACACGGTTCCTATACTTAGCCCACACAGTTCTACGGTACGGCTACGTAAGCTTCCACACACACAGAATATATATACGGCGTACGTAGCCTAGATAGATGCTCGTCCAATACATCACTTACCTCGTTCAATGCATTGTTTCACCTCCATCCTCACTTAACGAATTTGGTAATTAGGTGAGATGTCCTATTTTGTTCTATAAGATCTCAGGAAGCATACTCATGCGCCCATCACAGGATATATGTATCTGGGTGTGGCACTGTACGGTGGTATGACATAGTTTTGGGCGCTCCTTGCATATGCTTAGGGTATACCGATAGGATTATGAACCTCTAAATACAATGTAAAACTCCATGTAGTGGATATAGGGTTACCGTTTGACTGACCGAAGGTGTGCTAGCTAGGGTCCTCCTCGCAGTGGTGTTGAGCAAGCAAAAGTTGAGCCCGAGCAGTGAGATGTCCATGTGCCCAAACCTATGCTTCCCTCCCGAGTACGTCTCAAAAGTAACCTGAATGACCACAGCCGAAGCAATAGAAAACCTCCTGATAGGGAGCTCTGAAAATCTGATGACCGCATCTGGCGCAGTTATCAGTTCAACCGGTTGTGTCCTTGAAGGCCTTCTCTTGTTCATCTTTGGTCTTCTTGCTTAGCCTAGCGAAGCAGTCACGAGCAAATGCCCCGAGCTCCTCCAGCAAATCGTCCATCATGTTCTCGTCACCTTTCGCAGCGAAAGCAGGCTGGTGTTCGATCATGATCTCGACAACGATGTCCCGGAGATGATGGTCTCTCGAGTAGCACGAATCGTAGACTGCCCGTACGACATCCGGTCCGGGAACCAACGGTCATAACAGCCTTTCTTGACCACGGGCTCGAAGCGCCTGCCGGCTATCTCCTGCGAGCCTGAGAGGTTATACTTTGAGGCGATGGCGTAGACCTGAACGTGAAACAGCGCTTGGCTGCCGGGATTGATATGGTCTTCGGACTCATAGTCTCCAGCATATGCGTATTGAATCATTGCATTGATTGCGGGGCATTCATCATGGCTGAGGTCAACCATACGCTCGTGGCCCTCCTGTTTATTCATTAAGCAATCAATATCGATGCCTTTGCGGAGCTTCTCACCCGGAAATCTCACCTTGAATACCCCTTCCTTGCAGGCCTTTTCGAAGAACGGTATCTGGCTGCACATGATGACACGGTGAACATTCCAGCTTCGGACGCCACAGCGGATCGTCAGATCACTGAATTCGCCAGTTTTCAAGAAACTAGCCACCTTTAGCCAATCTGCCATGAAACTGAACTGTGCAATGATCATTACCCCAAGAGATCTTTGGGAGGCGGCATCGTGGACACCCCCGCGTAGTATGAAGGTGTTAACTTGAGAAAACGAAAGACTGAGGCGGCTTTTGATGTGCATGGAACGGCAACTAGGAGAGGCGAGGTCAATGTACGGTTGGAGACTCTGCTTTTCCTTTCCTTGCGTATTCACCTTCTTAATTACGTACACTTGTTTGGCACTGCCTGGAGTCTCCCAACAGGCTTCCAATACCCGATACAAGCCGCAGGCGATCCATATTGCCTATCCGTAATATCTCTTTGAGCCACCCCAGACGTCGCTATGTGCGGTTGTTTTGGCGAAGCTTACTAAGCATCTAAACACTTCACTTCTTCGCGTGCTCGACCAACCAATCCTCTGTCCTCGAGCTCGATCCACAACACCACCGTGTGGGCCTCAAGATGTCACCTTTCGAAGGTGTAACTCTTTAACTTGCAGAGTAAGTCTATTCTGCATCGTTTCCTTAATCATGTGCATTGGACTGATTACGCTATCAGCTATTTGAACAACGGCGAATACAGCGACCTCGAGGTCCGCTGCGGGAGCATCACCTACAAGGTTCACCGGCTCGTCTTGTGCAGTCAAATAGAGTTCTTCCGGAAAGCGTGCAACGTCTGTTGGAGAGAGGGCAAAGAATGCGTTGTTGATCTCAGCCACGACGACGCCTACGCTGTCGACGCGCTGCTTCGCTATGCCTATACTGGCAAATGCGACATCTTTGCGGAGAACGTCGCGCCTAGTCGGAAGGCCCTTCACTACGTGCAGGTTAGTTAGGTCGATCTTGTAGCATAATTGCTTCTCTGGTATAGCCTAACACATGCAGATATACGCAATCGGAGCTAAATACGAAATCACCGGTTTACAGGACTTAGCGAAGGACTATCTGAAGCCTCTCCTCGACGCGCACCGGAACGAGGGTTGGCTGGCGGAAGTCATCCGTCTGACCTACGAGACTACAATTCCTACCGACCGAGGCCTCTGCGACATCGTTGTCGATATCATTGTCGAACAGCATGGGATCTATGCCGAGCAAGACGACGACGACCCCATCCCGAATGTGATGGAAGAGCTTGGATCCTTCTCGCGGGACTGCTTCGTCCGGATGAGCAGAGGCAAGAAGATGAAGAGCACTGTGGATAGTACACTCCTGGGGGTAGACTGGAAGTGTGGTACCTGTCGTCTGGACTGGCCAGTACCGACCAGTGAATGTGCGACGTGTGAGGGATGCGGGTTCTGCGGGTATCCGACCTGCATATAAGGTTAGGAAGGGATGAGGGGAACTGAGTGTTCCGTAGGACTTTCGTGCTTCTGGCGGCCAGGAGGTCTCTAGGGTAGTCATGTAAGGCGAAAAATGAACTGTGCTGCTTTTGCTATGTCCGGGTACAGTGATTTACCGTGGCGTGACGTGCTTCGATACACTTCATAGTTCTGGAATTCCTTGCGGGATGTCCGTTCTTTGAAATCAGTTGAAGGGTTTCAGACGATGTCAAACGGGCGTACGCAAATGAACGTAGTCAATTCGCAGCCACTGGAGAAGAGTGAGACCCCGCGACTAGCGCAAATCTCACCTAAATTCTGGGAAATCGATCTAGCTAGCTATCGAGGGCGATTCTCGCTAGTCTATTGCTTAAACAAAGTAGCAACTAACCGAAGGGAAATGGTAGGCAGATTAAGTATCATAAAATACGGCATCACTTCACAGAAAGATATTATATATAACCGACGATCTGATGTAGCTGCATTGTGATTCGCTACTTCGTGCTTTCTAGCAAAGTTATGGAGTGTTCGAACCGCTCAAGGAGATCCGTTCCTCTTTATCGGCGCTCTTGATGATCGGCGTATTCCAAGTTCGGCACTCTACGCGTTCCAGGCACCCGTCATTGGCGATAGGCCACTGGTCTCCGCAGCAAGAGAATTTGTAGCGGTTTGTGGGATCCAAGCGGGCTTCCTCGACAATCTTTTTCCGGCACATCGTGGTGAAACAGTCCTGACTGAATTTTGCAACGCTACTCAACGCGACATGGATATCCGTACCGCGTATTAGTGCGATGGTAGCGTAGTGATTGACGACGATATCAACAGCGATGTTGCGGAGCATGGGATCTTTAGTGTTCTCATAAATCTCCTCAACAATGAATCCGAACCGCCCCTTACTCCAGAGCTCCTCGACTAAGCCTTTTAAAAGATTTGCGGCCAGGTTTCGGAGGCCGTATGCCTTGTATCTGAACGCGAGGATACAGGCTCGTACATGATGCAGGGCCTGTTCCGTAAGGTCCCTTGAGCAAGAGTGAAGCTCGTTATCGTAGTCGTCATTGTAGGCGAATTGAACCATGGAGGCCACCGCATCTTTTTCTTCGTGACTAAGGTCTATAGCATCGTTCTATGAGAGTTAGTGGCACATACTCGTTTTGCTACGGTTCTAAGGACCTTGAGCTCCACTTCCATTTCAACGGACGGGTGTCGCAGCGCTCCCAACTGGCTGCACATGACAATGCAATGAACCTTGTAGCTGTCGGCTCCGTGGCAGATCTCGAGGTCGCTCCATTCGGCAGAGTCCAGGTAACTGTTTCTGTGGTGTCATAGGGTCATTGATGTGAGCGCGCGCTTACCCTGCGAGGTCCAGGGTCACGCCTTTGGAGAGCGCCATCTTGCGCATCACCGGGCAATCCTGCCGGAGCTAGCGGAGTGGCTGAAGTTGTGCGGTGACGAGAATAGAGAAGTCGCCTAGAGATCGCACAAAAGTGAGGTGGAACGGGCGAAGGCGGGGCTTATGTAATGAGAGTAGGAGCGGTGAACTCGGCACGTGCTCTTCGCTTCATTCTGCCAAAGGAAGTGAAGAGGTAGTAGAGACAGAAAAGAGATTCGAGGTGTCACATGTACACGTCCTTCACAGCACTTGCATGAAATGGCTAGCTTTACCAAGATTCTGAAGATGATGCACTAGTTACAGGAATGATAGTACATCATCTGAAGTACCCGTCTTCACCGTATCCTAGCGCTATGCAAAAAATCATGTGCTGCTGATGCTGCCGCATCTACCATACTAGCCTTGGAGTGTTGGCCGAGAGTGTAGTTGAGATCGCTGGTGTTCTTTTTTTGGGACTGGTGTGTGGAGAAGGACTGACTTGCTTTTTGTTTGTCGACGAGATGGATCGTCGAACTGGGAAATCCGATGGAGTGATAGTCGTCTACCACCAGAGTGTGAATTAATTTGTCGGGAGCGAATGCTTTCAAGGTCAGCGACCATCCGTATGGATATCCCTTCAACCTAGCCATGGCCATGGCAAATCCGAGTCTTTCTGCCAGGCCATGGATCACACGTGATTTTTGGGGGGTATATCATGCAACGACAAAGAAGTAACTTCCCACCTCCCCATCCCCTTCTTACCCACCCTCCAATTGCCCATCTATACCCACATATCTACTTCTCTGGGTCCATGCGGAGGAACTCTGCGTAGGTCGGACCATATCCGTTAGCGATGTGGCGAGCCCTCTCTTGTTGGGTAATGGGTTTTGAAGGATTTTCGTAGGAACATAGCGGGTTGCGGACCCGATAATCCCAATCGTCGGCTCCAGGCGGGAGCACAAAAGTATCGACCGCATCCTGGAGGCGCGAAAACCCGGCTTGAGCAACGTACTGAGCCTGCTTCGCTACTTGCCTAGCTGCGGCCTTGTCTACACGGTATTCACCCGGCGTTGAGCGCTTGACGCCCTTGGGGCCCTGAACAACCTTCAGCTCTCCCCGTCGTCCTGCGGACTTGTCTTTCTCGCAATGCTTGGCGCCTGGCGACGTGCTCTCGGCGGGGGCGGCGAGGGAGTCACAACCTGGAGGAGTTTCAGGAAGAAGACTAGACTCGAAGTCGGATATGTATACGAAGCCTCCGTTGCTATCCTCCTCCTCGACCACGAAGGTCTCGGGGCCACGTGTGATTGGCGAGAAGAAGCCACGGCCTGGTTCACTGTTTGGGAAGATGGACCGCGCCATGGAGGTCAATTTGCTTGAGCTGACCGATGTACCGGGGATCGAGCGCTTGAATTTACTGAGCGCTTCTATAAGCCCTACGAACTTTTCCTGCTTCTGGCCCTGGGCGGGGATTGTCTGGGTCTCGAGGGAGAGGCCAGGGGTGTGGTGGTACTTGCTTTTGTTGGTATTCAAGAGCTCATTGGAGTCGGTGATTGGGTTTTTGATCCCCCCCACGAGGGTGGATGAGTCTGTGTTGCCTGTCGCGTATGGTGAAATACCCTCAGCACAGGCGGCGAATGTCCCATCATCTTCTTGAGTAGGTGAAAGCTGAACTGAACCCTTCCAGACAGGCTTAGACTGTTTTGCTACAACTGAGTGGGATGTGGTGTCACGTAGTGGCGACTCTGCGATGGGAACGGGGCTGCGGCTGGAATTCTTCTTCTCACGCACCGAGCTCTTGCTAGAGAGTGGATTAAGAGTGAGTGGAGTGGAGTAACGGTCAACGGTCACGGATTCACTGTCTTGCTGGCTGGGAGAAAGTGCGGAGGCTACTTCTTGGGCTGGGCTGGATGGGCCGGCAATGGTGTCGGATGAGGCTGGGCCTGCTGTTATTAGCCACTGATGGAAACGGGTTGTAGATTAGATGTATTCTATCGACTTACATTTGCACTTGGCGATCGCACGAAGAAGATTCGCTAATTGATCCAGGTCTTCTCGGGGAAGAGAGAGGAGGTGCTGCTGCAGCTCCAGGCCATCGTGAATACCTGCATAGCCTCGAAATTGGTCGGGATTGCCGATGTGGATGCTCCCCATGATATGTGTGTCAACGGCCATGTTGGGCAGTCGCGGCGGGAATAATGAGCTTGGGTTCACGGAATCTGTGGAAGTAGAGTTTAGGTAAAGGGGCTGGCTTTTGAGGGCGGATGTCAATTAGCAGTCAAGCAATAAACTGTATACGGCAAATAGGGGCGCTGGTCGAGGAAAAGGGAAATGGTGGTAGCGCAATGGAGGATGTAAAGGGAGGTTTTCCGACGGAGGCGTGTCCTTTGCAGGAGATATTCTTGCGCACGGATGTTCTCTTTGGCCAACTCTATATTCACTAAGTGCCTTTTCGATATCGCCAACGATCAAGCCAGATTCCGTGGATAGACCACCTCGACCGTTAGATCATGAGTACGAACTAGCCATGTTTAGGACCTCTCCTCCTCACAGTGTCCTCGCGGAGACGTCTGAATGGAAGAAGTCGCCGAACTGAATTTACGATACCCATATCCCGCCTCTCCCACCTGCATAGACCCCCGAGCTTCCGTTCTTCCCTTCATAAGAGCATCCTTTACTAACTCTTCTAGATTTTCGGGCACTGGTTGCCCAGTCGCCATCTCGAGATCGCGCAAAGCCCCTTCATACAAGATCTTGAGAGCGGTGGCCTTCTCATTCAAGCGCGGTAACGGGGGCACATTCCGGTGAACCTTGTCATGTTTCTTGATCCGCTTGATCTGACCAGCGAGCGAGCCAGAAGTTGATAGTTTCCGTTGGCGCAAGAGGTCTGGGATGTATTCAGGATCGAGATTGGCGTAGTTTCCCTCTGCGAGCGCCTGTTGCTGCTGCTGGCATGTCTGGTAAGAATTTTTCCAAGCCAGCACCTCTGCATAGGCGTTATTCCGAACGTCCCGATCTGCTTCATCGTCTTGCTTAAGTAGTTCGATTTTCAAAGTTGCTGATGCCGTGGGCGCGGTCCGGATCTTGCGTCGCTTCAACATCTCCGTCAGTTCGCCCGTCGTCGCATTTTCGTAGTCAAACGAGGTGTTGGTGCTGGCGTGGAGAAGGATGACGTTGAATCTTCGGTTCTCAAAAGGGGGGTATCCGCGATCGAGCAGCATGTTCCATAACTTGCTGTTGTCCTTGGCGTCGAAGTCGGTTCGCTTCATCAGCCTCTCTAGAAGAGCAGCAGCCTCTGCATCGTCCGGCGGCTTTTCTTCTTCGACCATCTTATCATACTCTTGAAGGCGCCTGATAATGGAATCTCTTGTTGGGACATAGCCGCGGGAAAGATCGCGCGCCCATATCAAACGTCCTAGCTCTTCTCTCGACTTCCACTGGTCTTTTAGGTGCGTATCGGCCTCAACCAAGCGGGCTAGCATCAGTTTTATCGGCATGTTGAGGTCATAAGGCTTCATTGAAAGAGAAATGGGTGTTTAAAAATTCCAACCCTTGGTGGTGAGAAGAGAAAGGAGAATAGTTGGCTTGATTACAGGGACAAAGGAGACAGCTATTCTAGGATAAGAGGAAACTTTGAAGCGAACGAGGGAGGAAACGCCATAAAAAAAACCGTTATCGCCATCAGGACGACCATGGTTGAAAACCTCCACGTGACGGTTCCAGACCTTGCGAGAAGTTTTTACCTTGGGGGTCCAACGCGACTATCTTCAATCAACGCGAATGATAGCTTAGCGCGTGAGATAGATCATGAAAGTCGGCAAGAATAGGCTCTCGGAAGGAAGGTGGATGACGAACAAGGCACGTGATCTATCTCCTTTACCTACATTGCGCTTCGATAGTTTCCACCGTCAAGGAAGCCATGGAGCTTCTCGCATCGGCGCACGTGATCAGAAGAGCCGACGTAGCCGACGTCCGTCGAACCGAAGGGGTTCCAACCCCACTCCTTCGCCCACCCATCCAGAAAAAGAATAAAACAATCAGAAAACTTAGCGACTTCAACTCAGCATAGCCGCTCTCCGTACATACCAGCTCCTTCCGGTTTTTAAACGCAATACTCAGGACTGCTAATGAATACTAGGCAGGGCATATTTCTAGACTCTGCAAGCTCGTAAAACTCGAAACAACTCACTCCTAAAGGATTCTTCCTTCTAATAAGCAATAGTGCAGGATAGGGGCGATTTTCAAAGAAAATTTGAACTTGGGAAGGATGTTCTATCCACGGAGCACTCGGATACTCGGGGGTTCGGGATCAGAACAAATGTGCTGATCGTCCCGTATTTCCTAGCTACCGGGTTGGATCTTTCTCCTTCCTAGGGAGTCAATAACCCTCCATCGAACGGAAGGCGCCTCAAAAATGGATCCCCCAGGTCATGATCAGCACCACCCTTGTTGGTTGTCTCTGATCTGTCATTCCGCCAACGGCTTCTAGTGCGACACGAGAACCACTAGAATAGCATAAATATACCAGCCCATGCTTTCTGAGATAGGATTATCCTAGTAAAAGCCCCGTATGATCACTTCGAGTACCCTTGTTCTCTTGGTCCTCGTGTTGGACGCTTGCACAGCCCTGTGGAGGTCCGCCTGGAGCACTATGTGGCCCGCCCTGTCTGTTTCATCATTTACATGTTACAAGTCACATTTGTCTCGTCATTTTCTAGAAGGTTGCTCTCTTGGAACCATTCCTTCCTTCGATTCGGATCATCTGATCATTAGACATTCTTCTTTTCAGCCTTGCCCAAACCCCTACGCAAGGCTCCCTTGAGCCCTTGACGCCACGGACCTAGCTAGCTTTGCTATGCACGGCCGCATCGTATTCAAATAGAAAAGGAATTGATGGTCGCACGCATGTAAAGATTGCCTAGTGCTTCCATAGCAAATCCTTCGCCGTGAACATTTCAGTCCTTCTCATATTGCGAGTTCTGTTGTCAACACCTAATATGCCGAGTCGGCACCTACGCTCTCTATCTATACAAGATATCGCCTAGACAAAATGTACCCTCCCCATAAGGATGCCTCGCAAAGGTATCCCACCAGTTTCGCAGCCCCCAAACAATCACCAGTTCGTTCGATTGTCCGGTACTTTCGTTCGCTCCCTGCCGTCCTCCGTACCTCGATCATCATATCTATTCTCTTTTCTACCTGTGTTCTTTACGGGCATAGGCATTTCTACCGCGATCCTGGCAGCATATTTTTTGACGAGACTCGTGCCTATGTTCGATGGTACAGCGCTTTCAGAGAGCACCAGGCTACGGCTTACATCACCGAAGTCGAGGCGCAGGGCGCACTTCTGGGAGAAAGCGCGGACGATATGGGTTTCGCTAAGGCAAGGTATAATGCAAGCATGTGCGCCACATTCTTGACGGTTAGACGGGATGTACAGAAACAGTATCTTGAGGTTCGTAACCAGCACTACCAGACAGATATACAAGCTTTCCCGTTTCTAATACACCCCAGACCTCCCTTGGCAGCATTTTTGCTGGCCTAACCTACGCTGAAAGACGCGATGTCAACATCCAAATCTTCTTTGCCAACACCGACCCCGCCCAACACTCCACCTACAACAAGCCTTGGCTCCGTCACCTCGTCGACCGCGTCTACTCCTATACCGATATGCTACCCGTGGAAGAACTCCCCTCTACCCGTGCTCTCGAGACCGCCGGCAAGAACATCCTCTCTAAGGCCCCACTGGACTACACCCACGCCCTCCAGCAGTGTTACGATACTACCACCTCCCCCTACATCGCCCTCTTCGAAGACGACATAATCGCCGCAGATGGCTGGTTCGCACACTCGCTGTGGGCAGCGCGAGAGACAACACGGCAGACTGTGCAGGAAGGGAAGCCTGGTAAATGGGTGTATATTCGGACATTCAACCAAGAGCGCTCAACCGGATGGTCCTCCAAACGCATCGGCGGGCACCACGAGCTCCCCATCTCCCTCGCCATCGGAGTTACACTTGACCTCATCCTTTGGATACTGCGCTCGAGAACCCGCCTCCACGTGGACCGATCGAGCGCATTCGTCATCTCCTTCATCGCCATCCCCGCCTTCGTAGTCCTCTTCTTCCAGTCCGGCAAAGCATCCCTTTTACCTCCCGCGCCCGGCGTGCGCCCGGAGTCTTTCGGATGCTGCAATCAAGCACTTGTGTTCAATCGTGAGCACATCCCGGGGCTGGTGGAGCATATGCGGCAGTGGGCAGAGAAGGGGATGCATGATATGCTGATCCGGGACTGGGCGTGGGCGCAGGGGTTACAGCGGTACTCGGCGTATCCGATGCTGGCGCAGCATGTCGGAGCGAGGTCCTCGATTCAGAGGAGCGCGGGGGAGAGTCGGAAGGTGTGGAGTATGGCGTTTGAGGGGTTGGATCCGCGGAGGTTGGCGAGGGAACATGCGGAGGTGGTGAGGGGGTTGTATGGGTAGACACAAGGGATGGTATGTAAAAATTGTATGTATAGCGAGGTGTAAATGTGATACGGTGCGCAATCTTAAAAGTTCCTACGCCTCTGGAGCAATTGCAATCCTCGCCCTCAACTCCCGATGCACAGCCCCCATCTCCGGCCTCCCAAACTCCCTCTCCATCCTCTCCCGAAACTTCCCCATCTCCCTTAAAAACCTCTTCTACTGCGCCACCCTCGCTTTCATTGCCCTCCGCGTCAAGTACCTCGCGGACTGCCCCCATGGCGCCCGCGGCTGATACACCTCCACCCTAGTTTCGCTCTCTACCTCCCTCGCTGCCTCCCGCCACTCCGCGCACGTGTGCCCCCTCGGCCGCACACACCCCTGCTCTCCCTTCCCGCACTTCAATTTTAGCACGATATCAAACCGCTTCAGCCCGCTCAGCGCGGTGATCCACCAATAATTCCTACTCTGATCCAGAGTCTCCGCCACCATCCCCCGCCGCGGATGGGCAATATTCGTCACTTCGCTCAGAAAGTCGGTGTCATTGTCATCGAGCCGCAGCTCCAGCCGCTCGAGCTGGGGCACCGTTGCGAGCGTGTTTGCGAAGCTGTGGCGTGTGGAGGCGGTTTCGGCTGATGGGACGAGGGAGAGGGCGCGGAGGTGCTGCAGCCCGCGCGGGCTGATGTTCGTGAGGAAGGGGATTACGGTGACGACGGCGCGGCCGCTGATGTGGAAGAGGTTGGCGGAGTAGTAGATTGGGTGAGCTTCGGCGTAGAGTTGGTGGGAGACGCGGAGGAGGGAGAGGTGGTGGGTAGGGGAGGGGGAGCGGGGAGGATGGGAGCGGTGGATTTTTTGGCGGTAGTTGGGGTTGGAGGGGCAGAGGGCGAGGGCGTAGATGAGGTCGCGGAGTTCGTGGGGGAGGGTGAGGAGCATGGTTAGGGATTGAATTTGGGTGGAAGGGTTATGAGAGAAATAAGGTGGTGATGAGGTCGGATGCTTTTCTGATATCTATGCTGTGGCAAAGCAGAAGGCTCTCGATTGCGTTGAAAAGTTGAAGAAATACGAAGTGTCTCAGAGTAGGGGAGAAGGAAAATATTGTGATCAGATGGCTGCCTGGAAGGAAGAGACGGACGACGCGCTTTTAGGGCGTATAAAACACACAGCTTACGTGTCGCGTAAACTCCAGCTGGATTAAGATCAGATGAGTGATTGAATTGTATAACTAAAGCGAAGATTGAATGCGCTTTGACGGAGCAGGAAGAGTGAAGGTCGAGGAACTTGACCCCGCGATAGAAGTCGATGTTAACCCCGAGCAATCTCCGACAGCACGTGACCTTGGTGGAAACATCAACAACACTTCCCCGTTCTCTCAACCTCCTTCACCTCACACTTGTCAAGTTTCGTGATCTACCCGCAGCACACTGAGGCCAGCAAGGTAAGATGTATCGGCCACAACTGCGTTCTCATCATCGTCTTTTCGCTAGAATATGCTAATGCATTCACTCTACCGATGACAGCGCGTCTAACCCTCTCTTCTTCAACAGCCCATCACTCATTTCTCAGATCGTACCGAACACAGTCCTTTCAGCAACCTCAATTGCTCCCCGATTCGCCGCCGGCTTCTACCAAGTCCACGATGCGCACTCACGTCTTCTTCGCCGCGGTGCTCGTCATGGCCGTCAACTGGATCGCCGTGCTCGGTCAGACTACCAGCGTTACCTCGTTGTTCGTCCCGTTCATCCCGAACTTCGCCGTTGACGCTGCTTCGCATGTCAGTGTAGTGAGCTCGCATGCCTCCACTGTCGTCTACGCCATGAGCAGTTCCAGCTTGACTTACGGACCAGGCTTCGTCGAGGTCCAGTACACCATCGAACCGGCATTCTCTCAGAGCATATATTGCAACACTATGGGTACTACTGAAGCAACCTGTACTATGAGTTTGGGCGGAGCCGACTTTACGACCGACGGCGAAAATCCTTTAACACTCACCTTCGGCGCTGATCCGGGGGGGAACATTCTTGAGGCCGTCACTATTACCGCCGGCTTAGAGAAACTGGGCGTAGAGACCAGTGCGACTCCGGCCCCTTCTGCAACTCCGGCCTCTTCTGCAACTCCGGCCTCTTCAGCGACTGTGTCTTCTGCCGCGCCGACGTCTACTCCAGCCTGCACGGGCTTCTTCAAATGTGGTACGGCCTGCTGCGGCGATGGATACATCTGTGAAGATGCTCGTAAAGCAAAATGTGTTCTACTCCCCAGCTTCAGCTGGCTGCAACACTCAACCACCACACCTACTACATCGTCCGCAGCGCGGAGCGGCACAATCTCTAATACCTGGGCTGGCTCAACCTCGACGACACTCTCCTCTGACTCAAGCACTACGACGGCACTCATTACGGTCCTGGGAACTGCGTCCGATACGCCATCTACCGAGACACACATTCACATGACGACTTCCACTGCCAGAGCACCATTCAGCATGCCAGCAACCATCACGCATGTCATGGGCGCCGGAGGCCACTACACGATGGTCGTACCAGCTGCTGGCCTTGCAGGACTGTTCCTAGCGGCCTTGGCCATATGATTTTCAATGGTTCTACCCAAGCTGACTAATCAAGAATTAACCCCAGCTAATTGTCCAGGGGTGGACTGTCTAGCGAGGTTTCGGAATAGCTTGGAATGAATGAACTAATTTTTGTACATGCTATCTTGCTCGCTACACTGTTCTGATACCCTTTGAAGTGCTTCAACCCATCTGAAAGGTTCAGAAGCTTTTCATTTTGACAGCCCAGCCACCTGACTGAGACACCTCAGGCGGTGGTAGATAGGTGTACATGAACTCGCCTCTCACCTCTCCTCCTTAAAGTCGACTTCCTGAACAACTTCCCACCCCTCCCTATCCTCTTCCATCTCCTTCTCACCACTCTCATACTTCCGCAACACCTCTCTACACCACCCCACCACCACCTCCCCCCAAACCTGCCTCGCCTTATACCGCGCCACCCCCTGTGGCAACGCCTCCACCGCCCCCAGCAACTCCCTCACACTCCCCACCTCCCCCTCCAACTCCTGCAACGCCGTCAAATACGTCCGCACCATAAACACGACCGCGTGCGTCCTCGGCAGCCTCCGCAGCGTCTGCCGCTCATGCCGCACCCTCACATTCCCAACCCCCAACGCCTGCGGGCGCTCCACCGCAAACGGCTCCTGCTGGAACAGCACGTCGTTCGTCTGGATGAACCAGTTATACCGCTCCACGGGCTCGGACACCTTGAGCCTGCGGAAGAAGCTCTCGACCGGTCTGCGGAGTTTCGCGCCCCACAGGAGGACGGGGAGGTGGAGCTTGTACAGCGGCCAGCCGATGCGCTGCTGCAGGTACCAGCCCGCGGGCGCCATGGTGAAGCTCGCGACGAGGTAGTATTGGTCTGGGTCTTGGGAGCCGGTGCCGGGGAGCAGGATGTTGATGTCTTCCATTGCGAGTTGCGCGGCTATGATTAAGGGCGGTTCGTTGAAGGGCTCGTTGATCTTGAAGCTGAGGTGGGTGAGGGCATTGTGGATGTATTGCCCCTCCCCGTTTTCTTTCTCTGGGACGAGGAAGAAGAGGTGGGGATACCGCTTCGTCAGGAAAGCGACCACGCATTCGAGCGTCTCGACGCAGGCGGCGTGGATGTGGGGGCCGGGGAGTTGTTGGTATACGCCGTCGCGGTTGTTGGTGAGGAGGACGCGGCGGAGGGTTTGTTCGGGGAGGTAGCGGTTGTCGAGGAGGAGCCAGTTTTCTTCTGGCATGCGTTTGAGGCCCATGGTCATGTGGAATATGCCGGATTTCCAAGGGCGGTAGGGGTGTGGGGGAGTTGAGGTGATGTCGAAGTCGGAGGTGGAGGGGATTTGGGCTACGGAGAAAGTTTCAGTGGGAGGGTTTGAGGGGGGTTTTCGAGCGCGGCGGGAGCGGTGGAGGAGGAAGAGGAATATGCCGAGGAGAAAGCCTAAGATGATAGGAGGTAGTGTAGACATAGTGTTGTGGGAGATGGAAGGTCTTTTCAAGCGGTGAGATTTTCTATGATTCTTGAAATTATTGGCTTCATAGTGTGGAAGTTGTAGATGTCAACATGATGACTACTCTGTCTGAGAGATAAATAATCATCATCCACTGACATCAAAGAAACTCAAGGACATGGCGCTTGCGTGGCGAGTTGACGCTGGGGCGTGTATGACAACGCAAGAAAGCCACAACGTGACAGCCAGCAAAGGGCCAATGCTGGCTTGACGAACTCACCAGTCTCATGTTCGAGAAACCTTCTACAATCCACCTCATACTTCTCACCCGCTATAGCTCGCTTGCCTCCACATCCTTGCCCATCCTAAATTCAGGCCTGAAGAGCGGCTGAGGTTAGGCGGAGCGCTTCACTACGCGCTTTGCGCACACTATTGATATGAGAGGACATGATATCGTTCAAAAACAGTGAAAACCAACCGACGCTGGCTTCTACCTGGTACGGTCCTAAGAGCAGTGGAACTGCCCTGCTGTGGGCCCTCTTCGTCAAAAACTGTCGCAGACAGGGACAACGTCAAGATTTCTGGTGTAATGTTGCACTTGTATGTCGGAGATGCCGACTCTTCTATAGCATGCCTGTTGGCGTGCTTTCCCCGTGCCTCTACTATGCAACACACTCAGTCCTCGCAGTGCTTTGCGGCAGATGTTCTGGCATTTGGCTAAGATGAGCAGATGGACGTTCACGGCTCGGCTGCTCTCCGTCGTTCGGATCAAGACTCTGAAGCTTGCTGCTTAATTCACCCCGAAAATCTTTATTTACCTCTCTGTTTGGCCTCCACGTCGAGAAAAGGAATTGGATATCTCCCGTGGTATCGCACTCAAAGAAATTTGATGCCCTCGCTCTCATGTGATGGCTTTTTCCTACATCCTTTTACCAAAAGGATTTGGCCAGCCTCTGCTCCGAAATCGGCAACCCCCGACTATGATGCGCATTCCTCCGTTGAAGCTTTCCCTTGCGCCAATTTTATCCATGTATGACAATGCCTCAATGTATTTTTCTCTCAGTGCTGAGTTGGCTTTGATGAGTTAGTCAACCTTGGCATCACGTAACATACCACAAGCGGACGACTAGCAGAAATCGAACACGGGCGTGCAAGCACTATCAGCTACTTCCGACAGCTCAGGTGAAAGCACAGCAAAACTATGAGATGGAGAATGAGTGAGACAGCGGGGAAGAAACTTCAAAAGAGAACGCGTTGAGTGAAATGGGGGCGAGGCGTGGGCTGTGCCACAATATCTGCCGGCTGTGGCGAAGTCCAGGCACCAACATGGAACCTAAATTCGAGAGGAATGGATAACAAATGCCTAAAATGGACGGAGAAAGGAATATCGAAGCGGAACTCGGTATGGGCACCGGACTGTAGGCAACTGGCGCAGAAGGAGAAGAGGTAGACATAGAGAACCTTGAGAAAATGTGACTGAACAAGAAATTTGGCATTACTAACATGACGATGGAGCATGGGTGATGACGGAGGGAATGGACGTGGGGAGCTCCGGAATCCGGAGAAAATTGACTTCCGAAGGCCTCCGTTTCATCTCGTCTTTCTCCACTCTCTGTCCGTCAACTCTCAACCGCCGCGATCGTGAACATACGTCTCCCATCTATTCTACTCCAATAAATGCTCTAGCTTACTCCGTGCCTCATTATTTGGTTGAAATCCGCGGTATGCCGATGGCCAATAGCCGGCGCTTCCAGCCCGTGCTAATAATGGCCGGCGGCAAGGTCCAACCTATGAGGCACATTTGCGACACGCATGAATCTATCGTACCGCCAGAGTCCTTCCAGAGCAGATGTACATTCCGTGGCGCAGCTTTTGCCTTTGAGACAACTCTGAGACCACGATGAGGCTCGGGATCGAGGTCGTCTCATGATGAAGGGAGGTGGGCACAGAGACGATCGTCTTTCTTGTCAATGGCAGCGCAATGCTCATCCATATCCTTCATCGCAGCAACCTCAACTAGAGCAACTTCTTAGACATCACAAACTAATTAAAAGCTTCCTTAGAGAGGCGACTGAGAGAGCGCGATGGGCGGGACATGTGGCATGCGACATTGCGCGATTCAGACGGCGCCACGTCGGGCATCTCTAGCTTCACCCCCCTGTTTCACAAAATTAGTGGTCCGACCAACCCTCAAAGTCTCACTCATATCTTCTTGCTTCGCCCTGAGCGGAATTGTTTGCGACTTTCAACTTCTCTCCATCCCTCCTCTTCTGTCGGTGACTGGCTCGCTGTTATCGTTATCCATTCATTTCTCCTCAACGACCGGCTCGTTCATCCCTCTCTTAATATCTTATATACCTCATAATAACTTCAGGATTCTCGACAAACGCAATGCAGAACTCACTTTTTACCAACCTCATCATTCTCCTCTCTTTCTTCCACCTCAACGTTTTCGCTGGGCCTACCGTGGAAAAATACCCCGCCGTTCTCGCCGTCCGCCAGACGACTTCCAATGCGCAATGCGCCGACTATTCCCGTATCGCCAATCTCTCCACTATCGGCGCAAATGCTACCTATCGGTCCCTCTTCCTACAAGCCTCACCCCGCGGCACTTTTGCGGACGCTGATATGCTCAATGCCGCGATCGCTAAACTCCCCAAACTCACCAAAGACGCGGGCCTAAATAAAGCTTGCGGAAATCTCACGACCGTTGCATTCGTCGAGGCAGAAAAGAACTTCACGCAAGGCGTCGTGGCACAGTTTTCTGGATTGGTCCCGACTGGGATCAGGGCGGGGCCGGAGGTGGCGTTAATTGTGGGCTTCATTGTGGTTGGCTTTTGCGGCATGTTCGTATTTGTATGAGTGTTGGTTGCGGGATGAAATGGCAAGGTCTGCAAATTATAGCAAAGTATAGGCTATTCATGTATTGGAGTTCGTGTGGCGCGCGTGTCGCAATGGGATTGGAGAGGGTTTGGGAATTTGCAATCGCCTATCTGTGTCCTGCAGCTCTTTTACGAGGAAATAACTGCTGCTTGTTCTTCATGTTTTGGTTTCTTTCTTCCATATTTAAAGCCCTCGACGCCTGTCGTTGCTGCGAAGGACCTGTTTCGGGAATGGACCCCTCGAAACGTCACGTGATATTTTCAAGTCCGCCTCCACACGCGGGGCATGAAAAATGTGGCACACTCAAGCATTTCAACACCGTCTGAGATGGCCCGGTAAGCTATCAGAAATGCCAGGACTAGTATCCTACGAATGATAATAACATACCAGAGGACCTCAAGCAGTGCTAAACAGCCGTATACAAACATGTGAATAGTGTGTATACAGTTCACAGGTTTGTGGACTACCACGTTCTATTAACACTTATCACCCACGCTGTCTTATAGGTGCACCTGTCTGCCACTGCTTAAAGTTTCCACATGGCGTAGAGTGAAGAGTTTCTATCTCGTTTAGATTTCTGAAAAGGTATAGAAGCACCCCAAGCAGTGGCAGACAAGTGTACCCACGAGACAGCTTGTCCTAGAATTAGAGTACCACCTTTTTCGTGCCCCGCATGGCTGTCTCGCGTGTACACCTGTGTGCCACTGCTTGGGTGACTTCAATGCATTTTCGGAGATCTAAAGAAGATAGATGCTCTTTGCCTTGGGCTATGTGGAAATTTGTTGAAGCACTCCATGCAGTGGCAGACATGTGTACATTTTACACACGGGCAGAGTACTTGATGAGTGTGCCACTTTTTTCATGCCTAGCGTGCTCCACGGGGTACATTTTTAGCGCCATCCGCCTCGCTTAATCTAGTAGCTAGTTTCGCTTGTTTACCTTCGACCTCATCATAGCCGTCAACTCTCAAGCTTGAGGAGAACAGTCCGCAGTGTATAGGACTAGAAAATCTGCCCCTCTACACTCTGCAGAAACTGTCAAGTGTACCTCAATACCCTTCACGGCCTCATAATAAGATGTGAGTACGTTGCTCTGTGCATTCCGCAGCCACGCCGACCCACCGCAGACGAAGCCATCCAGCGCCTACCGAAGCATGGTCAACGTTCGCCGTAATAAGCGTGCGCGCACCGCGCTGAGTCAATCTACTCTCATGGTTACCTTGGCCATTTGGCAACCCTCCAAGGAAGGAACTCTAGCCCAGCTTCCGGACGAGCTTCTCTTAAACATCATGTCCTTCCTCGATGGCGATACTCTGTTAGTGGTGGCAAAGCTATGCAGATCCTTGGGCCGCACCGCACAGGAACAGCTCTTTCACAGCATCACATTGGACACAAGACACCTCAAGGGTATTTTCCACAGAGCTAGACAACTAACACGAACCCTTCTCTGTCGCCCAGACCTTCAAAGCAAAGTCAAAAACCTGTCAATGTATATCGCACAAACTGGCCGTTCAACAACAAATGATCCAGACCCCCTCTCTCAAGATCAAAAAACGATTATGGTGGATATGATGGTAGATGCCCACTGGGGCATGATCGGAGGGCGAAGTGGGCCGGCTGCTGAGGCATATCGCAACCGCTGTGGTGGCACGCTGGGAGCAGTTCTCATCCTACTTCCTACGCTGAAGTCGCTGAACATCAAAACCCAGTCTGTGAAGACAAGCATTGCGCTCTATACGCTGATTTTTGGCGAGTTCAGAGCTCCTTTCCACAGCATCCCGGCGTTCTCCAAGCTCCGCACCCTGACTATCCAGCAACCCCCCAGCTGCCCTCCGCCCCCATGGCTGCATTTCGCCGCCCCAGATTCCCTATTGGATCTCGGCAACCTCACACGGCTGGAACTTTCGATCCTCAGTCCGCGTACTCTAGAGCCCTTCGCCGCTAGCGTCTTCACGCCGCCTTCGAAAATGTTCGCGATCAAACATCTCTCGCTCGAACTGTACAATTTTAGCGGTTTTCCGACTACCAATGTCCGTCTGGCACACTTCCTTGCATGCATCGGTCCTCTAACTTCATTCACGTACAAGGACGCTACATTATGGTGGGAGCGAGGCGACTCGCCGCAAGACAATCTAGCCTACTGCGCACTACCGTCCCACCTTACGGCCTCTCACGAAAGCCTCGAGAAGCTCACCATCGTCTGGCGAAATTACGACTACACCGAGAAACCTCTAAATGCCTATCCCATAACTACACTGCGGGATTTTAAGCAACTCAGGGTCCTAGACATCGAGCAGGGTGCTCTTGTGGGTCGTCCGATTGAAAGAATCAACAGGGCTTGGGATCACCTGGCTGGACAAGAGGTGGAGGTTGGAGGCGGACTGCTGGAGAAGCTCCCACTGTCGCTGGAGACTTTGGTCGTCCAGGGCGCGGATTTGAATGTCATCGGGCTTTGTGACGAGCTGCTGCTACAGAAGAGTATGGCGGCGGAGCTGCGCGATGAGGAAGGATATGACGGAGAGGGCAGGGCCTGTGCGCAGGCTGCAGATGGTGAGTATGGAGGCGGGCTTTACGAAAATGAAGGTCTCTACAAGGAAAACTCGGAGTACGACATCGACAAGGCATCAAAAAGAGAAGGCGAGGGCTTGAACGCGTCCGGAACCTGCCACGCCAAGGAGCCAGAAGAGAATCAAAATATGTTCCCATTAGCGAGCCTCCGGAACGTCACCGTTAGGCTGAACAAGACCCGGCAAGTAGTACCAGCTACCTTGTTGGACCGCTGGGACAAGGCCGGTTGGAAGCTGGATGGGGAGTTTGTGATGGAAGACCGGAGTACTTGGCCTTGGAAATTCCTAGTAGAACGAGTCGAGGTGTAGTTATACTGTGGCTAAGGTAGGTAATATTTGGATGTTCAAGGTCAGAGTTCCTGCGGCTTGTAAACATTACTGCTGATAGAGAATTAACTGATCCCTTCTCTTGTACTTGTTTTTATTGCTATCGTGGCGTCAAAGCATGGTTTCAGGAACGTGTTGTGTGACACTTTACTTGCGCGGAAGGAAGGTTCTACGCTTAGGGGTATGAGTGTGCAGGAAGCAATTGGCTTATAGGCCTTACGTTCGCTGTTTGTATAAACATCTTGACGTAGAAGGAGTATATAGACTACGTCCTGTATTATGTACTGCTCTTTCTCAACGCCAGATATGTAGAGTACGAGCTATCGTTCCCGTCCGCAAAGGGGGCTAGGAACAGCCTCATCACGAGCTACGAGGTCGGCGCAATGACTAAATACAGCAATCGCCTGAATCTCCTCGTTAGTCTAGCTTCAGAAGTCATTGTCCACTTCATTCTGCTCTATCTTGCGCATCAGGTGCAAGTGCTGCAATAAGCAAGGCTCGCGTAGTGCTAGGCAAGATCACGTGCAATACGATCATATGGACCACCACTCCGTTCAGTGCGGCGAAAGGCAGCTTATGAGGTCATAATGAAAGCAGAATGGTGCTAATTTTCCCGAGAAAAGGGACCACACTCGGCCTAAACCAGCGTGGCCAGTAATCCGTCCAATCTTCAATCCACCCATTGGCCGGCCGGTTAATCCACACCCATTCAAACCCAATCTAATCAATCTAGAGGACTTCAATCCTTAATCGGATTGATAAACTAAATTTCCGATGGAACGAGCTATAAATAGGCTCGTGCCACCCCTACGTTCCTCTTTTCTATACCTGTTACGGCAGTCTTGGCGGTAGATCTACTGTGGTACCCGGGGATATTTTGTGCCTAGACCGTGCGCAGCATTCACCTTCTATTTAGTAGGCACCAATTATAGCCCCTATTTGTATTGCCTGAGCATTTTAATACATACAAACAGAGGCTCTGGTTGGTGTCTTTGAAAGAAAAGGTGAATGCCGCGCACGGTCCAGACACAAAATATATTCCGTATACCACAGTAAGTGGATTGATCCAGATTGATAAATCCTTTCAATCCGTCCAATCAATCCCGAACTTTAACCAGCACAATCCAACCAATCCAAGGGCCTCGAACTCCGTCGGCCGGATTACTGGCTACGCTGGCCTAAACGAATGCGAAGTACTCCCTCATCTCTCCGAAGATCGTCGTCGAGCGCTCCTTGGGCTTTGGCTTAGCTTGCAGTTTAGAAGCATCAGACTCCCTTTGTCTACTCTCAAGTTTTACATATGCCGCTCCTGCCCAGCTAAGGCTTTCCCGATATCTTTGTAGCAATCGTTCACTGCGTTTTCTGACTCTGCCAAAAAGATTATCAGTAAGTGTTTTCGAATGACATTCACCAGACATGCATACACGAGTTTAACCAACATCTGCTGCCCTCTCTGGCGTATTTTCACCCGTTCCCCATTTATTGTACTGCTTCTTCGCCTCAACCACACACCACTGCAGGCACCCCACCACGACGCGGGCAAGCTCTTACGGGACCCCGTCCGCCCACCATCACCCAATTTCGACTTCGGCTTTTATACAGATACTAGAGGCAATGGACATTCCGTCGCTTCGTAGCACGAACGTGGCGTAGTTCCGACGCGGGGCCCTCTGGGTCGACTACCTGACGAGCTCCACTTAGGCTCCACTTAGAGATCTTCTCCTATCTCGATAAGAAAATGCTTCTATTAGTTGCGAAGCTGTGCAAAGCATTCGGACATACTGCACAGGAGAAATTGTTTCATGTTGTTGATCTGGATTCGAGACACACCAACGGGATATTCCACCGAGCTCGACTGCTACTCCGAACACTCGTACCTCGCCCAGACCTACGGGGTAAAGTCAAGAATCTCTCAATTTACCTCGGAAGGAATCTTTTAACCAAAACCTTCCCCGCAGAGAAGACTAGTAGAATATACAACCAGATCGAAGACCCCCTCGATCAAGGAGATATCAATTCCATCATCGAGCACATGGTAGACCAACATTGGGGTATGGTTGGGGGAAGAAGTGGGCCTGAAGCTGAGGAGTTCCGTGGACGCACTCGAGGATCGCTAGGGGCTCTTTTTGTTTTGATGCCCTGCGTAGAAGGCTTGGAGATCATTTCAGAGCTTGTAGGACAGCCGCCTTATCTAACTCTCTTTCGCCCCTTCCGAGTTCCTCTCGAGCGTATCCCAGCCTTTGCCAACCTGCGTAGCTTGGTTATTCACCAGAGCATGTGCAGCGAGATTCCGTGGCTCGACATCGAGAGCCTGACCCGCCTTGAGCTTTCGAAAATCTCGGGCCAGGCTTTGAAGTCTTTCGCCAACAATCGCGTCAACCCGCCCATGCTTTCTAAAATTAAACACCTCTCTCTGAAACACGATGACGACGAATTCAGCGGGTTTCCTTCCATTGACATTCGGTTGCAAAACTTCCTTCTAAGCTTTGGTCCACTGAGTCATTCACCCTAGAGGACCATACAGACTACAGGAGCGATGTTACTGTAAGTTATTCGGATCTATTGAGCTACCTCTCCGCATCCCACAGCAGCTTAGAGACCCTAACTCTTGTGTGGCCCGGCCGGAGTTTTGATCCCATCGACGCATACGCTATCACCAGTCTTCGACCTTTCAAGCGCCTGCGTCATGTGGAAATTGAGCAGATGGCACTCTTCGGCTATCCGTTTAGCCGCATCAACAAGACATGGGACGCAGTCAATCAAGTGGAGGTTGAGATGGAGGAAGACGCGCTGCTAGGGAGAATGCCAGATTCTCTGGAGACATTGACTGTGCAGGGCGGATATGAAAAATGGGAGTCCGCAGAGTTTCCCAAAGAGGTGGGTTATATATTGTGTCGCCTGGGCAACATTGTGAACAAGGCTTGCCAGGAGAATTTGAATGTCGAAAACCTGAAACGGCTGTTGGACGAAGATGATACATCGAGCCTCTGTGGCGAGGAAGAGGCTACTCCCAGCCTTGCTGATGATGAGAACGGAGATGATCAGTCCCAAGAATGCGACGGCGATGTGATCTTCATCGATGCCGATTTTGGCCTCTACGGACATGAAGAGGGTGACGAGGACGACTGTCCGGGCTCGCATTGCACGAAGGTTGATGAGCCAGACGAAGAGTATTGGCAGCCTGGCGATAGCGAATACTTCGAAGAAGAGCCAGATCTGATTGAGCTGCCCAATGAGGACGGATCGGCGAACCTGCAGAGGGTAGTCTTGAAGGTCAACACACCTATTGACGAAATTCCGCCTGAGGCAATGAAGTTATGCGAGGTGTACAAGTGGAAGTACTACGGGGTGGACGCCGACTTCCAGTGCAAATATTGATTCATAGTCTCGGTTTGCGCGGCCACAGGAAGATTTAGTATGGCATGATGAGAGTTGTTTCGAGGCTTAGATGGTACCAAGTCTAAGTTACTTGGCCAACTGTACTGCAGATAGAGATCAATATGGTTTTCAGATGCTGTTATACTCAGGTTGCAGCACTACAACCTAGGATCAACAACTCATATGCTAGAAAGCTACTCCGAACATCAGCTGTAGAGAACACAGCTGAGATCTCAGCTGTGGAGAGCCCAGCTGAAAACTCAGCTGTGCAGTGTTCAGCTGAACTTACTAGCGCGCCACCCAGGGGTGGCCCCCCTTCCTTCCCCTAGTATATATACAACTAGCTAGACGTCTATAGAAATCAGAGTTCACATCAATTTAACCTGAGTGTTATGATTGAGGTGGTCTTGAACGACCTCACACCGCATAACTCCAAAATTCTGCCAGTGCTCACTGATTAGTGATGCTATGTGAACAGGACTAACCCTCTCGTGCATACTCAGTTATAAGTTCGATACCGAGGGCTACATTTAAGAGGCCTTTCGCGGTGTTTACAAGCGTGGTGGAGGCTACTTGAGTGGAGGATTTAGGAATATGTGACTTTAGATTACGTGCACTAAACATACGCGAGTCAGGTTACTGATCGAATGCATGAGATCAAGGAATCACGCTAGTGCCTCTTCTAATGATTTGACTCTCTATTTGCTCAAGAAGGTGGTCTCCGTTTTGCCACGTATTCGTTTTCCCTTACTCTTTGGTACCAAATCTTTGAACCGTGGGTGTCAATTTACTTTGCCTTGGCACGCACATTGCGCAAAGCTTTGAACTTCGCCTATCCAAATTTACATCCACATTCCACATCATGCTCATATCTTGTCTATCGCAGCCCCTCTATCAACGATACCTGTCCATGAGAGCCGATTCGTCCAGTAATGGCGTCACATAAGATAGAACAGACCTTCTATGGGGTTTGCTCTACTGGATAAAGCTAAATCGTCCAATCAAGAGACCTTAAATCTCGAGCATGTACTGCCCGAAGAGCTTCTCTTAGCTGCCCGGGTGTCCAAAACTTTCGGCCGGATTGCCCAGGAACCTCTTTTCCATACAATCGACTTGTACTCAAACTTCCCTACCGTCGTGTTTAGAGCAAAGCAGCTACTGCGCACTCTTGCCTACTGAGAAGATCTGCGGAATAAAGTCAGGCAACTGTCTATCGGCATTAGCAAAGTTGGGGGGAGTTGTCCCGAAGAGAACCCGCTTCCCCGAGATGCTGTTTCAATCATATTAAAGGTCTTAAAAAACATAGGATGGACAGCTGAGAGGTTCCGTGAAGGCCGCGGGGAGATTTTTGGGCCTTTACTAGTTCTTCTTCCCTCACTGGAGTCATTGAGCATTCGGAGTGAGTGTGAAAGAAGCGGTTATGGCGCCCTCTTTGGCACTTGGAAAGTGCCACTAGAGAAGATTCCAGCGTACTCAAAGCTCCAGACCCTAGCCATTCACCAACCACGTGGCTCTATCATACCGTGGTTCAAGGCCGGGGCACTACACTCTATCCTTATACCTCAGCATCTTACTCGGCTAGAGCTCTCGTGCATCGACTTCAAGACCCTCAACAATATCACCACCACCCTCCCGACAGAGCTATCAAGAATCAATCATCTTTCCCTCCAGCACGACGGATTAGCTCATTTAGGCACAATCCCGCTCTTAGGCAAGCTCCTTGTCTACGTCGGTTCACTAAGTTCTTTCACCTTCACCGATTGCTCAGACTGGTCGCCAAGGGGAAGGTGCTTTACCTGCTACTTCCACTTGCTAGAGCATCTCAACGCCTCCCATGAAAGCCTAGAGCAGCTAAATATAACATTGGATCGACGAACAAACACTTTGAGACCTTCAATCGCATGGCACATCACCAGCCTCGCCCCTTTCACGTGCCTACGACACCTGGAGATTGAGCAGCTTGCACTCGTGGGTCGCCCTTTCAGGCGAAAGCTCGAGGCGGTTGAAGGTGGGCTTTCGGAGATATTCCCAGCCTCCCTGGAGACGTTGATGGTTCACGGCATGGATGTGGAGCTGATCGAGCTCGTGAATCACATGGAAAATGTAGACTAATGGAACGAACTGAAGACGAGCCAACAGGCTTAGAAAAGTGCGCCTACGGGGTCTATACACCCCACCCCAAGCTGGAATATCTCAAAAGTGTTTCTTTCCACGGACCGGGATCTAGCATGATATTGGAAATCGTCGGATCGACTTAATGCGACGGGCGAGAGTAGCCTGTGTTCTTTACAATACGATAAAGACAATCATTTTCTTTGATAGAGTCTTTCAATGTTCTCGCGAGGGTGGAGACACGAAGAGGTTTGTTGGAGACGGTGGTTGCAGATGACGTAGTCAGAAGTTTGGCACTGAAAACAACCTTGATTTCGAGACAATCCGAGCTCCCACTTTACCCAGATACGAGGGAATTATTAGTTCTCAGCTTCAAACTGATTTCGTTGTAGGAGTTGCAAACCAAACCACTCGCCTCTACGTTGAGGTGCTTATTGGCAATATTTATGAGTTGCATTTGGATTTCTATTAAAATCGATTGGATAGCTCGAGAAGTTCTATTATCAAGAGTTATTACTATAACCTGTCGAGTTCTCTATACTTAGGTGCTACTAACTTGTGCTGAATTTCCGAAGAAGTCTTTGCTGGCCAGCGTTTTAGGTGGCTTATAGCTGTCCCCTGATTCATCCGACATAACAATTCGGGAAGCGGTTAATGATGCATTTATGAATGCGGCTATATACGCAAAATGTAGCTCTGACTAGCTCCTTGTACAGTTAATGGGCCTGGGAGCAAGGAAGGGTTACTAAGCTGACTAATCTTCCCATCGCGCCTCGCCGACGTGTTAGACTGTTCGAAGGTGAACAACTTGGATCTATGGCCACGATGTGTTGATCTCTGTCGTTAAGGAGCCGGCACAGTGGAACTTTACATCTCCAATGAACTCATCACTTTCTGATACACCACGCCACTGTCCTAGACAGGTGATGCTTTCCTGGAATTGATAGATCTACATCTTAAATTGAGAGTAGTTGCTAACTAACCACAGATGCTCGCCATGCCAAATACGGATCCACTGGACACCCATTCCACTTCCACCATGGCTACTGCATCCACACCCGTCGCTTTGCCGTCGCTTCCTGTCGAAATCTTCGACAACATTCTTGACCAGCTGCAAGAGCTCATTGAGAAAGATATTGAAAAGCTGGAGGGTGTCATGAGACAGAGGAAGGCACATAGCAGAAAGCGAGAGCGTATCATGAGATGCGAAGAGCGAAAGAGAATGCGGATGACTCTGTATTCGGTTCGCCTCGTGTGCAGAGAAATCAGCACCAAAACTCGCATCCATTTCGCTCGCCGCTACGTCAAAGGGTGGAAGCTTAATCTCAATGAGCAGGCAAAGATCCAAGACCTCTTCATCATCTCAAAGAATCCCGACTTCTCCGCCACTCTCCAGAGACTTACTGTCAACATTACCTATTCTGAAGAGGAACCCGTGGATGACTTCGAGGAGGGCCGCAAGCCCCGGTCCGAATCAGACCCATTTCTGTGTCGAGAAGAAGAACACCGATTCTTCAACGTCAAGGAGAACATTGTAATGATCACTGAGGCTGTTTCGCATCTGAAGAATCTCGACTGGGTCGGCTTCGAGCATAAAAACTTCGACAGTAGCTGTGTTCGGTGGGAGAAGGGGACGTGGAACACGGAGAACGCCCATATTCTTCGGATTGTGGAAGCCTTCCTTCCTCCTATGAGGAAGCGGACCAACGCTGTATCGAAAATCCACATACGTTTACGTGCCTGCTATATCCTCGGTCTCGATATAAAGTTCTTTAACCAGATCAGATCCTTCCAACATCCATTTAGTGAGCTGCGAAATTTGACCTTGAGGCTGGTCAACCTCGATGACGCTAGTAAGTACTTTTTCTACGGTGCCCACAGATTGCAGCACCTAGTATCTCTATCGCTGTTTTCCTTACAACGTCATGTCAAATTTTTGCTGCGCATGACTAACGCGCTACCCGTAGGCGCAGAACTAGACGGTCTGATTTCTGAATTCGTCGCCTTCCTCAACAATTGCCAGAACTATCCTCGCTCGACCTGAGCTCAAATCTCTCCTACCGTAGCGCCGACATCATCAGACGTATGAGCACCAACCTTTGCCTGCCTAAACTCAACCAAGTCTACTTTCATACCATCCGATTCCGACCTAAAGAAATGACCGCTCTCATACGAACCAATCGAGAGTGCCTCACACGTCTCCACCTCACCGACAAGGTTTCAGCCATTGGTGGATCTTGAAGAGATTTCTTGGGGGACTTGTGTACTGACCTTGCCGGGTTGCTGGTCTTGAAGATCGATCACACATTCGATGACTGCAGGAAAGTCTCTTTCGGGCCTATGTTTGACGGCCGGGTACACACAACCCCGATGTATGCGGTGGGAGGAGATGACATGGCCCAGCAATTGTTACACATGATCGGCTGCTTGCAAGTGGGAGATACTCATGCTCCACAGATGCCGAAATCTGCGCGAGCTAAAGGCGGAAGGTGGATGTTTGCTCGAAGCAGTTCTTTTCCCGAGCTAGTGGCCAAAAATGCCAGTACTCACCTGAGCAGATATTCAAGTATATAGGTCCTCAGACGATTGCTGGTAAGGAAGTTTCTCAGGAGGCCGTAGACGGCATCAAGATGGTCATCTTCTGTGTGGGTAACGGTTCAACTGGCCTAGGCCTGAAGGTGGTTGAATATTGAATTATTCTACAGAGCTTCTGAATGGTCTAGGTCTAAGGTGTGTACTAGAGCTTATCTATAGATTTTATCAGGTTACACGCTTAAAGTGCCATTCGTCTCGTCTTTCTGCTAGGCCTACATGGCTATAGTGCACAAAAATAACTGATCCGTAGATCTTAATGCATATCTTCTTGTATCTTCTCTGCTGCAAATAAAGACATTCTTATAGTGCATTCATGTGATCTCTATGCAGACCCTACTTCCATTATACGAAAATGAAGATATTTATGGCCTCAATTGGATGTGAATAATGATTGCCTTGGAGGACATTGGCCTGCAGCTCCGAGGCTTTATATTCGTTCATGTGTACGTAAATCGTAAGCTTACGCAGCTTCCCATTGATATGCTCCCCATTATCTTCTAGCTCAATATCCCCACCGACTTCTACACTCAGTCCTCGCAATTCTCGACCAATACTCTGTTCCAAGCACATGAATTGTACAGAGGGCCCATGAAGTAGCTCGCCTTTTAAGGAGTTGGAGAGCGTAGATCGTGGAGCGTCGATTAATCGAGTAGCACATCGTTATTTATGCGGTTGTGTGAGGAGGATGATGAGGATAACAACTGCTGAACAGGCATCCCGAGTGGTCGGTGGGATCAAAGAGTGTTAGTCTGGGTGTTTTCAAGGACGAAACAATGAGATGCTCGGAAGTGCATTGAGTACCTGTAAACAACGGAATCAACGAATAACCTCATGACCTCGGACACCAGAAGAACCCATAGTCTGTAGCGCAGGGTCTTACTCTTTATTACGAGAGAAACCACTGACGGTATGCTGAGATGATTTAGAGGCTAGGCTACATCTTCTTGGCAAGGCGCCGAGATCTTTAGTAGAGCGAGGGAACGGAGCACACAGGGCGTTCTGTTCACTAAACCGGTAGATGCCACACTGATATTTGCACTGCCTCCGAGTAGCTCTGATGGTCGGATTTCAGCTCCAGCGGCGTTGTGGTAGTTATCCAGCGTACTGCACAATCTGTCAGTGAGCACATCTGCAGCCTGTAACGATCTCTGGGTTAAACCCAGCTGGGACACACTGCCTCTACTCCACTCAATTCTCCTACATTAAATAAAAACTGGTTCACTCGAAGGTTCGCTTCAAGTTTGATATTAAAGAAGAACGGCCAGTGTCACGGAACAAGGAGCTGTATGCCGTGTACGTGATGTATGGGATGACGATGATAAAGAAGAGAGAGAGGTCTGGAGGAAGGTAAGGTTATGTACAAGGTGGCATGCGCCTGCCGTAGCCCTCACCGCTACTCCCTGACAGTCAGTGCGCAATTTTATGCCTCGCTCACATGCCACTCTCATGAGATCGTCAGCAACGTTTGTGCAATGGTGCTTGAACCAAGCTTGATTGTTCTGTTCTAGCTTATCTATATATTGAGTTTGGTACAATGTAAAGTTCGAGAGCGCACATAGCCTGACAACGAGTATTCTCAAAACCAGAGTTCAACGTTGGAGGTCCTGAGAGTCATTGGTGGAAGACAGCTATCGAAAGTACTTCTCGCCGTGAACTGTGGGGCAGGCCTGGGTTTACTGTCGGGCTGGAGACGAGGTTGTTTCGGGGTGAAATTGCGCTCTTGAGGTCCGCTGCCTCAACTTAACAAAAATCTTTCCCTGACCTTGGAGCGTCACCCTACCCACCTCTGACCTCTATCCTTCTTCAGCGAAGGTCACCGCCATGCCCGACACCAAATCCCCCTACGACTCCACTTCCTCTGTTATGGCAGCTACGTCAAATCGCTCCACACTCCAGTCGCTTCCAGTTGAAATCGTTGATAACATACACAACCGACTTCAAGAAGAGATAGAGAAAGACCTGAGAAGATCATGGCACACTCAGTGGGAGGAAATTCAGAAGTGGTGGCTTCGCTTCAACAGATATGCATTACGTCTTGTTTGTAGGGAATTGGACGGTAAAAGCCGCCTTCATTTCGCACACCACTACTTCCGATGCTGGACTATCAATGTTCACTCGGAAAAGGAGCTTCGAGATCTCCAGATGATCTCGAACAACCCTGACTTCGCCGCCAGTCTTCAACGTCTGGCCGTCAATGTGTGTTACTTTGACGAAGAACTCATAAATGAATACGGCCCAACTCCCCTCATTTTGAGAGACCCTAGCTCAGCTGCAGCTCGACAACGCGAATACAATTTCTTCGACAACCAAGAGAACAGGACATGGATTTCTCAGATCATTAGCCGCCTCTCGAACCTGAAGAACATTACTCTTGCGCACAGCGATGCCAATCACTATGGCTCATATATTGGACTCCGCGTTCTATGGGAGCAGCCAAGGTGGAGCAAGCAAAACTCACACATACTTCGCATGACGGAATCCTTCCTCGTTCCCAAGTTCAACAGCAGTACCACTTTATTGAGTTTGGAGGCATGGATGAGCTGGCGTGGGGTGCTCGGCCTTGACATCCAGTTCTTCAAGATGGTGAACGGTCGCTATGATGCCTTCAGCGAGCTGCGGTCGCTGGCGATCACGTTGGTTAATCTTGATGTTGGTAAGTCTCTTCAATGCTGGATAAGGCCTGTTTTTTGGTTGATAATGCTAACAAGGTCCATACAGGTTGCGCTTTACTTGAGTCTATCCTGGGATTTATCGAATTCCTGAACAGCGCACCGATGTTATCTTCCCTTCACCTACGCTCGAATCTATCATACCACAGTCAGTTCATCGTCAAAGCAATGAGCAAGGATGTCCACCTCAAGAAACTGAATAACCTTCGCCTGGACAACTTTCGCTTGGAGCCCGAAGATGTCCTAACGCTGGTCCAGAAGCACCGCGCTTGTCTTACGACACTATACCTTAGACATAAGGTCTCCATGGTGAGAGGGTCATGGAAAGGGTTCCTCGAGAACCTGCGCTCGGATCCTGCTGGATTGAAAACCTTCGGCTTCGAAGATGCATACGACGACTGCAAGCGTGTGCTCTTCAGTGACCCGAGCGGATGGAGGCCTTTCCGGGCTACAGTCGACGAAGGAGAAGATATGTGGGAGCGGCTGGCACAGATGATCAGCTGGTTGGGGGTGGTGGACACTGATGACCCTAGGATGCGGGGAGTGGATCTGGATGCAATGAACCTTGAATTCCCAAACATGTTAGAGCTACTATAGTAGGTCATCAGTCTAGGCACGTGGAATCCTCGCTGCTCAAGCTCGAGACTTGCGAACTCGACGCCGCTGTGATGAGCAGTTCAGCCAGTTGGTAGCTAGCCAGCCACAAGGCAGTCTAATTATCATTGCAATGACCTTTACATCATTTCTGATTGTTACAAGTCTGACTTACATGGAAATACTACTGTTCGGGCTACAGTCTTGCAACCGCGACACCACCATAAGGAGAAATTCGGCTTCAGGGTAGTTGGTTAGTTATAAGGCACTCTATAGTCAAAAGGCAGTATAATTCTTACTGCGTTAAAGTTTACATTATGTTTAGATATTATAAGTCTACGTGCATATATACACCACTGCTAGAACTCTGATCTTGAGAGCCCAGCACCGCTGTTAGGAGGGCCTTAGCTAGCTAGTAGCTGGTAAGTCAAGAGGTAGCCTCATTTCTGTTGTTTAAAAAGCGTGCGGACGGCGATGTGACGGTGTGGTAAGCGCTCCGTAGAATGTTCATGTACTGAATCATTCACTGAAACATAAGATACCGGAGGTATTTATACCAAGCCATAGCAATTCTTCTTCCGCAATTCTCCACCTCTCCTACCACCATTGACTATATTCCACCCCTACATACCACCACCATTTCACTACCACAACCTCACGTTACATACAAGATGTCACATTCACTATCCAATCTACTTGAGGCGTTCACGCGCGTTCGCAATACTTGGTCTGCAATCACGAGTTCAGCTCAGTCCATCGCGTCCGAGATGGATCCATTTCCCCTCTCGGTTACTGAGGTCTTCGAGGATGATCCGCCAAAGCTTCCTCGAAGATATGCATCTACACTTTGTCCTCTTTCCGCTGTCATTGCAGCAAATACTAATACACACAAAGCGAAATTGAAGCTATCTTGATCTTCCGCCATGCGACCACGATTCTCCAACAACTACCTCCCGAGCTTCGACTCGAGGTGCTCAGGCATGCTTTCCGTGAGTACGGCAACATCAAACAGCGCACCAAGCTTGACTATAGCGTTGCACCATGGAACGAGCTCAAGGGATTTGCGCAAATCTACCACTTAGCTACTGAGTCCGGAACGCTGCCCAATACCTCACTCAACGAGTCCAAATTCTTCCCCTGGCGCTGGACCCACCCACGATGCACTGGCATGCTTGCCGCCGAAGCAATGGAAGCCGTATATGAGACGAACCCCTTTAGACACGGTATTGTCAATGTCGAGCAATGGCTGGCTTCACCACGGTGGCATACTCTTGATATTCCCCCAGGCCGCTTCGTTGGTGATCTCTCGATCCATATCAATCTAAAAGATATGGATAAGATATCGCTGAAAGATGTTGCCACATGTCTCACGAAACTACCGAGACTGAGGCACTTGACAATCTATCTGGGAGGAATAAAAGCAGGTTGGGAGGTACTTTTGGACATTCCGGATTATAAGCACCGCAAGGCGGTCGTCGACGGCTTGCGCAACAACCCTTGTTCGATGCAAATACTGAAGCAACTCAGGGACACGATGGTCTCTAATCAGATGGAATTCTCGATTTTTCTGGTCGAAAAGAGACCCTGGATAGACCTAGATCCAATCCATGGACTAGGACACATCCTGATGGATATTGGGTTCTGTTTTGCTGACGAGCAGCCTCCTTATTCAGACTTGCCACGCGAGCAGGAAGCCCTTATGATCTGGGTGGTAGTTCAATGGACATCTGGGAAAATGAAGACTGCGGAACTGGACTCGTACGAGGCTTTACTTGGTTACACGTAGCCGCTGCCTGTGTCTGGGACTGGCCCAACAATCTGAGTATTACGGCAGAACCACTTCACCGAAAGACATAGACTTGTTCCATATACATCTTTTGAATCTCGTTCTCGCCATGTTCCGGGTAAAAGTTCCAGCAGGAGCAGCAGCAGCTATGAGGCACGATACAACATGTTGTATCCAATCATGGGTACTTAGAGTCCTTACGGACACAATCAAAGATTATGGAAGATTAAGCACTCCATATCATGTAGTCCTCTCGGTGAAACATAAGCTATCTCTAGTCTAATTTGGAAACGCGCTAGTAAGCTTAAGCAATCGTAACACCTGACCGCAGTACAGAAAATAGTCGAAGAATACAACGGACCACCATTATCCTAGCAATAAGTGAAGCAAGCTAAATCAATGGGGGGCACTGCACACCCCCTTTTCACTTCCCACACCCCCTCTCATCTGATCTTCAAATTGGCTGGATCGGTGCGGAGCTTCGTCCGGAGCTCTGCTCTCACGTGCGACCGCAAGTGTATCCTGTCCAATTTACTTAGGCGTATGTGAGGCTGTACGTGAGGCCGTATGAATAGCCGTATGAGAGGCCTCACGAGCTGCCTCAAGAGCTGCCTCGCGAGCTGGTGTACGTATAAATGTACGCACAGCCACATGTATACGTCATTCCGTTTTAATATTACTACGATGCACCACAGGCAGTAGTAGGAAGATGTTTGAATAGCTGTGACGAGACAGTCGAACAATGTACAGTTTGGTGAAACCACCAATCATGTGATGCAGAGAAATATCTTATAGTGTCGTTGCCAGTAAGTGAATACCTAACTTTAAAGTGAACTAAAGGTGACTTAGCAGCTTTCGCCTCCACGCGGTGCTGGTCAGGTACTTTGTATTTAAAATCGCAGTTTCTGAGTTATTTCATTCGTTCTACTCTCCAACACACACACGCCCACCACCACAGCAGCAGCTTCTAAATACACCACCCTCCCAATTCTTCACCTCCAGAAGCTCTCCACTTGTTTAGCTTGTTGAACAGGATTACGCCTATTGCTAGTTCTTCCATATCTACCTCAGAAAAAGCAATAGCTCAAAGAGGAGCCTCCATCATCAAAGCAACGACAAATACCTATACCTCCATGACGTCTCCACAGAGCATCATGATCGAGGTAGACTCCTCCATGAACAGGGCTCATGCAGAGGCTCTTACGTTACCTGGGCTGCCCACTGAGATCATTGAGGATATCGTCGGAAGGCTCTTTGACAGCGGAAGAAAGACTAGATCGCGATACAAGCATGGAAAGCGAGATCTATGCAGCCTTCGCTTGGTCAGTCGAGAAATGAACCACAAGTCCCTGTGTGAGTTTGGACGACGCATTTTCAAGGGCACCACCGATGCATACTGGGGACAACGGGCGTTGAGCTTATCCAAGACATCACTCCAGCGCCTCGAAGAGAGCTCCGAACATCCCGTCTTTGGACCAGCCGTCCAACAACTAAACTTCCAGCTCGACTGTTATGACAAAGAGTACGCTAAAGAACTTCAGGGCGAGATGATGTTTCCTAGGTTTCGCTTCCAGCCAATCCGCCCCGACTACTATCGAATCACTTCAATCGACACGAGGGAATCGATTTATCGAGCGGTCTCTGGTCTCCAAAACTGTCGCACTGTCAAGATAGATTTCCAATCCAAATACAACTTTGGCAAGATAGACGCACAGGCTGCCTTCGATTGGAAAACATGGTGCACGGACATTTACACCATGACACACTTAGTCGCCATAATCCTTCGGTCACTCCTGCTCAACGGAAGATTGCTTGAACATCTTTCCGTAGGGGAGGATGACCAAACAAACTGGTGGACGGCCCGCGGATTGGCCATCGACCTCTTGTATTACGATATCTTTATGAGATATCCTAACGCGTTTTCGCAAATGCGGAAGCTCGATCTAGCTCTATGTCTCACTGATTGGTCAATCTTTCCCTTCCAGACGGACGAGATATTCCGTAGCGCTGGCAACACGCTGGAACATCTGGCATTAAGGCTCGACCTCACTACTCGCAGCCGGGACCTTCTCCACCAACTAGCTGCTCGTCCCATTTCTCAGCACCTCTCTGTGCTCAAGCTCACTGATTTCTGGGCCCGGGATGCCGACTTGACGAGTCTACTAGGTAACCACGCAGCCACCCTCAAGGAGGTAGAATTCAACCGAATCATCCTGGGTTCCGGCTCACAATGGGCTACAGTTCTGCAATTCATCAACACCGAGCCATTCCACCTCCGGCGCCTTAAATGCACCTATCTTATCCAGCTCGAACGTCAAGTTCGCTATATTTGCTCCTACGTTGGGGTCTCGTTCGTCGGCCACCATGAGGTTTTCGACCTCGATGTCGTAGACTATTCCAACGCTGATCCGACGCAGCAACAGCGTGCCCACTACCTTGGCAGCGCCCTTGTAAACGACAAGTTGTTGAAGGATGGTGATTGGGTTGCTGTGGGTCTCAAAGAGGCGCCTAGGCGGTTTACAATCGAGACGAACCACCAAGACTTCCACGTTGAGCTCGGGGGACTCATTCAGAGTATGCTGCTTTGCCTGGTAGCATCGCCGCATCTACGGATCGGACACCCGGGTTATCGTAACAAGGCTCAGTTGCCTTATATCTATCCCCGTGGCATGTAAAATTGAGGGATGAAGGAGATTGAGATGGGGCCATAGGAAAATGTAGCCATGTGCAGACAGGCTCCGGTGGACATAGACCGGGAGCTCTGAAGTGCACAAGCTCCAAAATCTACTGGATTATTATCCCATATTCTGACTTCTTAGACCAACGTCTGAATCTTAGTGAGCTCGACGATGCATTCAAGCAAAACCAGTACCTATTGCCCCGAGGTCCTCCAAACCCCCACTCCCCCCAACCCCTCCACCTCTACGCCCAAAAATCCGCCCACAGCCCCTCCATCCCCTCCGCCCCCGCATCCTCAAACCGCAAAAGCGGCAACAAGTACCCAAACCCCCCCACAACCCCCTCCCCATCCCCGCCCGACCTCATCTGCACCGCATGCACCATCCGCTTCAACCCAAACTCCGCTTTCCAGTCCACAACGCCCGGAAACAGCGTGGTTAGTAAACCGTCTAATCCTTAATCGGATTGATGGCCGGTTTGTTAAAACATACTCTTAACAGTTCGATCAATCAATCCAAAGCCTTGTCAATCCTTAATCCGTCTAATCCGCTCTAATTCTCTCTCGCTTAACCCAAAGCGGAAAGATTTACACTCTTTTTGAGGTCTTTGGCTAGAGATGTCTCAATCCGTCCAACCAATCCGCACTTTTATCCGGCCAATCCAATCCAATCCAATCCAATCCAATCCAATCCCTATCTTGGTCTGAACAGTCTAATCCAACCTTAAGGCCGGCATTCAATCGGACGGTTTACTAACCACGCTGCTCGGAAAGCTAAGCTGCTTCTCCCGCTCTCCCACGGCGTCCCATCCTGCCTCATCGGCCCAACATCGAACTGCTCCAGCGCCACCCCACCACCGTTTGGCCCCCCCATACGCCCTCAAAACGTCCCAAATCCCATCAAGAACGCCTTGCACCCAGCCTGCCACGCCCGACCCACACGCAGTCCGCTCTCGGGCACGGTTGGATGCGGCCCAGGCTCACGTGCGTGAGGGTGCGCAGATGGGTGTGGATGAGCGGCGCGAATGCGCTGATAGCGGCGGAGCGGGGACAGCCTGGCCGTGGCGGCCGTTGAGGTGGAAGCCGTTCAGGTTTAGGGTGCGGAGGCTGGGAAGGCCTAAGCGTGCGGCGAGTATGGAGAGGAGGAGGCCGGACTCGGCGCTGAGGTCGCATTGGAGGTCGAGGTTTTCGAGGCGGGTCGCGGCGTTGAGCATGGTGCTGAAGTCGGAGGCGGAGGTGCGGAGGTGGGCGAGGTGGTGTTGGTAGTTGGTTGATTCTGGGGGTGTGAGGTTGGGGATGTTGGAAAGGAGGTCGGAGGGGGGGGGGGGGGCGCTTACTGTCTTGCATGTAGAATGTGAGTTGTAGCTTCAAGGTTTTCAGGTGCTGGAAAGCTGTTGTGGCGGTTAGGGCGATGTTGAAGGCGTTCAGATGGAGGAAGTATCGCTCCTTATACGGAGGGCGAAGTTGGGCGAGCTCTCCGCGGTACATCTCTCAGGAAGCGGCTGGGCTGCAATATTTTGCGACAATTTCATTGGGTTACGGACTCTCGTGTACTCAAGCGACGGCACCGCTGTATTTCAGAACTACGATTCGTCAGTATCCGAGCCGCAAATAGTGTTTCACTACGAAGGCCTTCGACCCGAAGGAGAGCAAAGCACTCGCCAAGGGGTTGAGCCAGCTGTTTGCGGTGGCGGCGATCGTGTACCGTGATTATCCACGAGTCTCATACTTTGTAACGTTCCAATCCGCCCTAGACTTAGTTGATAGAATGTGTGAAGTCGTGCCAGAGCTACTGTACTTAGTAACAGAAGCAAAAGACGAGATCCGCAGGCTGGAGGGCAACGGTGAAAGATTTCAGGACTGGCAAATGCGGCCTGTCGACGATCAAGGGCCATACATGACGAGATCAAATATCGAGTCTTCAATGGTTAAATTGCTCTGGGGAGTTGTTGATCGCATAAATCACCACTGTCCGTGCCGCAGAAAACATGACTCTTCAGGCTCTTCCGATGAATCAAATGCTTGGAACTCATTCGGCAGAGGTTTTGAATGCCCAACACCGTCAATACTCTACACTCTTGTAGCAGTTGCGTACCTGTTCGCTAATGTTATCATTGATGACGGCGATAATCTCCAGGTTTCTCGACTGGGTGTTCGCACCTAACACGATAGACTTTGCGGCCGCAATGTAAAAGAAAGCTGCAGCCGCAGAGGAGACTCAAGCAATTTCATGATAGAAGATGATAAGGGGCTTAACTTCCTTTTTACCGGCACGATCCCTCAACTACCCCGTGATTTCACGAGTGGAGGTTACGGAACAAGGATGAGTGTCTACCTCGATCTATTCGGCGGTTATCACTCCGTCGGAAGATCTCTATCAGAAGTCCATGAGGATGGAAAAGCATCCGCGATGTCAAGTGGGGGGTTCTACTGCTATCTTGAATATTTGCGAAATCCATTCCAGTCAGATATCCAGTGCGGCATGATTCACGTCGGGCGCGGCTCAATTCAGCTCGAAGGTCGTAATTATAGCCGAGTCCACGATGGTAACGACAAGCCGCTTGAGCGAAAGGCACCAAAGGCAATTGCGAAACCGCGTGCTAGAGCTCTTGTGGAGGAAAACATCTCGTTGAAATGCTGGTACGAGCAATGGGATGATTCAGCTCCTGATTCTATATGGCACATCAATCCAGCATTTCGCCTTGACCTTGGCTGGCATGGCAACGAAGGCGCATGGCCCGGAATCAACATGAAGAGGGAGAGTTTGGATCCGAGGGCAAGCCTTTGAAATACCCGGGCACTTTGTAGGTAGCATGATTCACACGCGATAGTAGACATAACAGATGGAGAGCCCTAATATTCACCGAAGGAGAAACGAAGTATTTGTCAATCGAGTGGAACTTCATCCAAGGGTGCGTATGGGGAGGGTTGAAGAGGCCGGACGTCAGTTGTTAGCTTTGAGTTTGCAACTGCCGTAGGAACGTGGATGGTTATTAGGGGGCAGATGTGTGTGTGGCGAACCTTCGTAGGTTCTTAGCAGCCCAGGATATGCTAAGAAGTGAAAGCTCTTCTATCTTGCAGATGGTGATCATGATGGATGAATATAGTGGATTGATGGATGAGTGATGGATTGAATAAGGTCTGAGGCTAGACGCGACGATGGGTTCTAAAACTTCAATACGCCTTACATCAGCAGAGCAGACGTCTAGATGCCTACCGAAGAGAAAAGGTTCCTGAAACAGCCCATATCTCATTAGGCACGTGATGTTGAGTCTCCTGAGCATTATCAAATTGCCAACGCAAAAAAGCCACAGCACGTTGAAATTACGCAAAAGAAGTGAGAGAAGAGTAGCGCTTTAACTGGCTCTGCAATTCTAGCTCAGAGAATCACGTCAATGATATCGACCAATGGGCATCACGTGATGATATCATTCTTCATGGAAATTTCATCTGAAACGGATGACGCGAGGCCTGGAGAGCACTTTCCCGTACAATAATATAGGCATGTGGGCACGATCGAATAGGAATATCCTTGCATGACGGGAATGCAGCTAACATGACGTCTCTTGAGAATGGTCACCACGGTGTGACGGGAGGCTGCAGATTGACTTTAGTACCTACGCAAAGCTGCAGGGCCCTTGCAGAAGCGATCCCCACAGTCCGGCCAAGGCGTAAATGCCCGATGCACTGTAGCTTTGGATTGGCTGGCTGATCGGTCCAATAGCTGCGAGAATCTTGGAACGTCTGCCTTCAAGCCTTGCCAAGGCCCGTGCATTTGCCCATATACTCTCCTCCCAGCCTTCCGGACACCAGACGACCGTGAGACTCCTGTCATCCTTCATGATTGGGCTTGCAACACCAGAAACCCCGGTGCGCTGCCAGCGACGACGGGACGCATCCATCGCCTGACCCGCGCGACAGATGACATCATGGCACAGGCCCGCGCTCTAAACAGCCGAGTGCCGCCGAACAAGTTGCGGTCAGTGTCCGACTCCTTAATACCTCACGGACGGCTATGCGGACCGCCCCGACTCCTCGCAACCGGGCTTCGCGCGCCGAGATGTTATCTTCATACTCTTCAATCACCGCTCCGCTTGCTGCTCATTCTTCGTGAGCCCGCGCCGTCTAGACAGCTTCAGCGTTGTGGGCCGCTCGCTCACGAGACTCCAGCAACATGAACTACTCCAATATGATTGAGGAGAAGAACCTCAAGGTGCGTTTCTCTGGCCTTTTCTAGAACTCTAGCTGATACCGTTGTCCAGAAAACCTTCATTATAGCCACACTCTGCTCCACCCTCGTCGGCACCTTCACCTCGTCCATGGGCCTCTACGAAGCAATCGCCAAGAAGAGACAGCAACGCAAGAGAGACTCCGGACAGGATGAAGAGATCAAGAAGCTCAGAGAAAAGGTGGAGAAGGCAGATAAGCGGGACGACCGGGAACGGGACGACAGCCGGCGGCGACGGCCCTCTCCCCGGGGCGGACCACGTGACGAATTTTCCGATTCGCTGGACCGATCGGGCGCCATGATACAGCGGCAGTACGAGCAAGGCTACCAGCAGCTAGGGCGGAGGTTCGCAGTGGGAGACAGTACGTTTTATGCACCCTTTGTGCTCTCATACAACACCACATATCGCCCCGACCCCCACTGACACCCCGCAGCCCTCACCGAAAATCAACTCCAAGCCCAGATCATCTCCCTGCAGCAAACCGTCATCCACATCCTGCAAGACGCCCTCTACAACGAGCGCCCGCTGTCCCAATCCGACCTCCAAAAGCTGAAGCTCGCCTCGCAATCCGCCCGCGAAGGCTCCCTCGAGGCCCTCCGCGCGCAGCAACAACGCCTCGAATCCCCCACCGCCTCGCCGGCCCCCCGCGCTCTCCCCCCGCCCCGGCGCGCCGCCACCCTCATCGACGAGCCCGCCTCCGTCTTCTGCCGCTACAGCCTCGACCTGCAGTACATCGCGCGCAAGCCCCTCTCCGCCGCCTTCGACGCCCGCGGCGACGGCCGCTGCCCGGACTGCCGCGCGCTCGTCCCCATCGCGCCGGACGACTTCTGGAAGATCGGCAAGCGGAGCCCGATCCTGGTCCCGGACGGCGCGTTCGAGAAGGAGGTGCTCGAGGAGCGCGAGTTCCGCCTCGGCCAGCGCTTCATCGTCAAGTGCCACACCGAGGACGGCGAGTTTGCGTGCGTGCTGTGCAACCGGTTCCGTGATGTGGATGTCGTGTGCGGCAGCGTGGAGACGCTTGTGAACCACGTGGGCCGCGCGCACGAGGTCGAGGAGTTTGAGAAGGAGGCGGATTTGAGGGAGTTGTTGCTCCCGCCGCTGCCGCTGCCGGCTCCGCTACCGCCGGTGGTTAAGGAGCGCGAGAGGGAGCTGGTGGAGGTTAGGGGCGAGCGGAGGGCGCTGGAGTATCGGTGAGATGGGGGGCCGTGGATAGCGGTGCGGACGGACGGGCTTCTACATGGTGGGATGGTTCACGAGTAACGACTATATATCATGGGTTCATAGCAGGCGATGGCGCTGGGATGGGCATAGCTCGGCTTCTTTTGTAGGTACATATACGAATACCTCTTGCTCTCGCTTTGACTGTCTTCGTCTATCTTCATCTAACCTGCTGTCGTTTCCTTTTTCGAGTCTATCTGAATCCGAAGGTATTGAGGGCGTGAGGAGTAAGTCGGCGCTCCTTCCATCTATTTCGACGTCGTACAAACGATCCTGCGGGCAATCTGATGACGACAATTTGCATCCATCCCTTGTCGTCCGAGTTGAGCGTGAGGGGTTGTCTCCGAGGTGTGCCCGAGGTTGTTACGAAAATACCCCTGGTGGGTTACGCGAGGGGTAGCCACGTTACAGATGCTCAGTCAATTTTGATTATCTTGTTTCAGGCGAAGAGTCTATGCTTTTCACGAAGGTGTGTGCGAGGGCAGTGCGTGCGGTGTTCGGGATGGCCTCGGAGGGTATCCATACGCTAGGGTCGTATGGAATGATCATCACGTGCGCTGCCAAGCTGTCACGTGAAAGACCGGGGTGGCTACCGATCTATAAAACCTCCCACTTCTGCGCAGCTCCTGCTTTCTTTCTACGAGAGCGGAGGATGAGGAATGTGGAAGGAGTGGAAATAGATGTTTAAGAAGCCTGATCTTTTGCCGCAAAACCTTGCGGACAGACCTTCTATGGCTGGGGTAGTGTGGTGCAAAAAATCCAAGAGTACAATTGCTGCATGGAGTTGGATTTGGGCGAGTTTTGTCTGAAGCTAATGATCATTATTTTGACTAGGCCATGATGCTCATCCCAATCCAATACTAACAATTGGTACAAATAATCGTACAGATACTTTCACACGCGCATAATTAAACGTACGGATCTTTAGCCTCGGCGCGAACGACTCCATCGTCATTACGGCATCTCTAAGATGGTGACCAGCATCGCTCGCTGGCATTCAACCTTCTCCCGCGCATTCAACCACTACCGCGGCTCCCATTCGTCGGCCCATATCCAGGCAGGGTTTTGATCTCCATCCCGAAATCCAGCACCATAGGTCGGTGAAGATTTAGGTGATCGACCACCACCGACGCTCTCTCCATCAGCGTACGCACCGTACCAGTTTGCAGACCAGACACCATGGGTTGCTAGGTGTCTCCGAGTTGATCGACCAAGCACCCATCCCTCTTCCTGCATGGCGCTCGAACAGGGCTCAAGTTGATCCCCCAACAAGACCACCCGGACCATTGCATTCGCCGCGAGTTCTTTTGATCGAGCTCCTGCTCCCCTCCTCCTCTGCAAAATAAACTCAACCCCGGGCGCGGACGGGCTTTTATAACCCCCCCCCGGAAAAACTCTCACATGCTCCACACGTGACTCCCTTCCTACCACACAGCTAACCACCTCCCTAACCGCGCTAACCCACCCCCTCATCCTCCACTCACTCCCCCATCTCCTCCCCATCCCCCCGCGCCCGACTCCGCCGATGCGCCCCCCGCTTCTCCTCCGCGTCGGGCTCCTTACTCCGACTGCGATGCTCGCGCTTCGCGTGCCGCCGTGGCGCGTTCGGGGATAGCTGATGGCGCGGCTGGTGGCTACGGCGATGCGCCCGCTCGCCCTTGGGCCCGTGGAGCTCCGGCGACGGGCGGTGGGATGGCGAGAACGGGGAGACGCCGCGCTCTTCGCGGCTCTTGCGGTGCCGCCGCTTGTCTGGAGACGAGCCTTGAACCTGCTCGTCGCGGCGGTGGCTGCGGCGGTGGCTTTCGCGCCGCTGCTGCTCTGGGGAGAAAGAGGGGCGCGAGGGTTGGACGTCGTGCGGGCGGTCGGGCGAGGCCGCGCGAGAGCGGCCGTCGACGCGCGAGAGCAGCGTGCGGTACAAGCGCCCGATCAGGCTTTGGGGTTGGGGCTGGTCTGGCGAGGTCGACTTCGTGCGGTCGCGGGGCTTGGGCGGGCCGCTGCGGGATGGAGAGTTGGCGGTTTGATGGCGAGGGTCTTCGCTTAGGTCTTCAGGGGCTTCGTCGCGATGGCGGCGGCGGCGACGGTGGCGCGCGGGCTTCGAGGGGTCTAGCTCTGGAGAGAGGGGGGGTGGGGCGTCCATGAGGGGGTTGGCGAGGTTTTCGTAGGAGCTGGCGTTAGGTTGGTAGACTGGGTGAACGTCGGGGGGGTTCCATGCGCCTGGTGGGGGGGCGTAGGTGTCGGCCATGGTTTATCTTGGGATACTATACGATGATATTCCAAAAGGGGTAGGTTGAGGAACTTCAGACGGGGACTTTTAGTAAGTTGAGCTTTGTGGTGTTAACTGCTAGAAGCTGGTTTTTGGATTGTAATGTTGTTCAAGCCTTAGATTTGGGCTTTGTGGTTGTCAGATAGGAGATGTCGTCGTGGTGATTCTGCCTTGAGGTGGTGAGCTGAAAGCTGACTAACGCTTCGCCACATGCGGCCATCAGCTCTCAGCCGCAATGGAAAGTGATGGAATACTATCTATTCGCCACCGTATATGGCTCATTGACGCCCGCAAGATCAAAGAAACCGCGAGAGAATGTTCATAATGCTGGATGTGAAAAGGAAACATGGGTTCGACTATCAGTTCTAGTCTAAAAGTCACGTGGTCCGCCTAACGCCCCTTTCCGCCCCCAACCAATCTCTCCATCACCAGCCATCCTCAACTGCCCTGTCCTCACCAGAAACCCCTCCACTTGACTCTCACTTTTCTCTCCTTCTGCCTCGGTTCATCGAACTGAACCACAACCCTCCGCTCCTGCGTATACCTCCCCGCATCTCCATCCCTGTGCCGGTGCTGCACCGTGACATCCGAAAGATCACGTCTCGGCGCAATCGCTGGCACATAGGTCCCTCGGGGCCTCGTGTCTGAGCGAGCTTGGACGGGATGGGCTATGGGAGTGTACTTGGTCGCGCCAAGTGTGTCCGAGCGGAGATGGGAGGGTGCGGGGACAGCAGTGTAGCGTTCGGTTGGTGCTGGGACGACCCGAACGACGTCGTAATTCGGGGTGTGAGAATGGGAGGAGTGGTGCTGTCTGGCCGAGTGGGGCTGCGGAGGTGCTGGAACTGTTCTGGTGTTGTGGTACCGAGTCGTCTGGTGGTGTCGGTTTGACGAGGATAGTGGGCGGTAGGTTTGACTGGGTGTTCGGTGTTCGATGTTGTAGGATATCTCGGTTGTACGGTGTGTGTACTCGATGGGCGATATGGTTGGGTCAGCCGAGTGCTGCAGAGCATAGGCTGGAACGTAGGTGTATCCCATGGCGTGGTTGAATTTGATGATTGAGTGGGAAGACGTTGGCTGATCGAGTCCTGGGTAAAACTTGCGCGACTTATCAATGTCTAAGTTGAAGTAAATCTAAAGGTGGTGTGTGAAGATAGCGAGAGAGAAAGTATGTGCTCTCTTGCTTGGCTTCTTATACCACTGCTCAAGGTCATTTGGACTAACGACTATGAACGAGAATCCCGGAACAAGTACCTCGTGCTTGAACGATGATGCCTTATGGCTGTGCATACTCCTGACTTTGAGGGTGAGTGTACCAAGGCAAACTTCTACCTAACACCTTCGCCGCATGTCACGTGAGGCTGAGCCTCCGCATGATGCATACTCGCCGCACGACATGAAGGCAACACTTGAACGCACCACGGATCAAAGGAGCAAAGACTAGTATTCGCGCCCAGATTTCGAGTCTCGGTGCCTAAATACTCTCAAGGGTCGCCACTCTCCCCTTCGACTCCATGGAAAGGGCTCGGTCCGACCTACAAAGGTAAGGTTGGAGTATTTTCTTCACATACTGTCGGAATAGCTGAGATCTCCTTAATACCACGGCGTGGTTATTTGGTAGACACACTAGGTTCGGGCGATATAGACCAATAAGGAGCCCATAGTCGAGGGATATACTCGCTTAGACTTATTACGAGAGTGTAGTCGTTTTTTGCCATCCCTCTTTATAGAACGATGACCGCCGCTGGGGCCAGAGCCATCCTCGAGGTTAGCACTTGAAGTTGGCACTGATTCAACGATGTGATTGTTCGGGGCAGCTGAGAATGGGGAGCGATGTCGGGCTGAAGGCGCGGGTTGTTCTATTTTGGAGTTCTTGGGGATGGGGTTGAGGGACCATTTCTGGTCCGGAGCCAGCGCGGATTGATCCGGAACTAGCGTGGGTTGATATACTCGGGGCTTCTTGGGGATGAGAGGGGAGAATTGGTATGCTTGGGGCTTCTTGGGAGTGAGGGGGAGGGAGCGTTTCTGATCCGGTGCTGGCGCGGATTGATATACTGCGGGCTTCTCGCGGGTGAGAGGGAGGGAGTGTTTCTGGTCCGGAGCCAGCACGGGTTGATATACTTGGGGCTTCTCGCGGGTGAGAGGGAGGGAGCGTTTCTGGTCCGGAGCCAGCACGGGTTGATATACTTGGTAGTTCATGGTGGTGGGGTTGATAGAATATTGTTGGTTTAGAGGATTTGCTGTAGGATGCTAGATGTGGCTATCGAAGGTGTTGGGCGGGTTTGAGAATTGTTGATAAGGAGGAGCGGTAGGAGAATATATCGTACTATCGCGCAGAACGGGCGGGTTGGAAAATTGCTGATATGGTGGAAGCACGGGCTGATAATCCAGGTAAGTCTATCTTGTAGACGATATAGAATCACTGGAAAGATGGCTCATCAATGAGTTTGAGTGTCATGCTCGTGTGGAACAGAACAAAGCCCAGATGGGAGAGCCCCAGCTGCTCGACGATAGTATTAGGGGCTGACTTGCTCGATTACTCTTCCGTGGAGGAATGATCTCGAAATTTGGTAGTAGAAGAAGATTCAGCTTGAGTATAGTCTAGAAGATGCCTTGCTGCCTATACTGCAGGTTATGGGGAGGGCTGTGTGGAATGAGGCTCCTCCCCTGGGGCTGAGCTCTCGCCAAAACCTACTTCAAATGAGCAACCCCACCCTCAGCTCCTCGTTCCTTCAAATTCCTCCGCTTATTTAGACCGCAATCACATAGTCAATTACTTTGCAACTTTAGAGCGGAGAAGAAGAGACTATTCGTTCTCTTCCCAAGTCCAGGCCCGCGACAAGGAGTCGCTATGGATGCCCGCCTCGATCTGACGAGGCGTGTCCCAGCCTTGTCAGTCGACACCTTTTACCACAGCCTAGCTGGATGCTAATTCATTCTTTTTGCCAATCTAGAGCATCTAGACCAGATTTGACAGATGAGTACCTTCGCTTCGAAAGCAAATTCTTAGCAGAATCCGATCACATACGTCGCCTCGCTCGTACCGGCGTAGACATAACAGGTCACACAAGCCCCCTCAAACCGAGAAGTACTTTATGGACTGACCACTCATAGATGATTTTCTCACTAACGATTCCTCTACGAAAGCATGCTTGGTAATAGTTCACTCAACCAGTTCTCATTCCACATACTAAAAGTCGTTGCTGACTAAAGTCACGTGATAGGATTCTCCTGCCTCTTTCAAGCTTCTGTAAGTATAAACTATGTGGTATTGTCGATCTCCTTGGTAACAAGGCCCAGCGGAATAACAGAAGATAATGAGGATGGTGAAGTGAGACTCTCAGCAAGCTCGTCGGCCTTCCGCAATATCCTCCAGTGTTTCGATGCTCCCACCGGCTTTATTACAGCCGTCTGCAAGCACTGGCAAACGAACGGGACCGGTCTCAGAGTCCTAGATGATTTCAGCTCGTTCGACTACTGGTGTTTGATCCCAGTCCGCGTGCGCACCGAGTGCGAGAGAATAGACGGCAATGAGGCTCACAGAGGCAGTCATGCTGCGGCCAATCAGATGGATCCATTCTACTACATTCATCTAAAAGAAGTAGGAGAGGATATCCGTGGCTCTCACATCGCCATCTATATTCACCATGACCAATCTTCAAAAAGTACCAGCGTTGTCGCGGTAAACTTCCAGGATCGGCGCTGGACGCACTTTATCAACACCCCATTTTCCTCCGTTCGAGAGGAGTTGCGAATAGCGAAACTTCAGCCTGATCCTCTTTGTGCTCACGTAGCTTACCTGAACAATCTGATAATGTGGTGGAATGATGTTCTCTACACCTTCAATCGCGAGCTCATTGCAGAGGTATGGCGACGACACACTGAACAGTTTGCAAGGCTGCGTCTTTACCTGAGCTGACCTTCTTATACCAGGAAAACAGCCTTCAGAATGACCTCGAAATATCTGCTAGTTCGAAACAGGCCAGTTCGAGTGCAAACATCAATAAGAAGCTTCATACAATGGCGGCGCATCTGTATAGATATGGTTCTGAGCTCGATCGCATCGATAAAATTGCCTCAGAACTAAAATCCATTCATGCAAAGCTTCGCCCATTTGAAAATACGGAGCCTTCTCGTACCTTCGACGAGGTGATGGAGTGGCGGAGAGTAGATCAAGGACTCGAGCAGATTATTTCCCAGATGACGGCCCTGCGAAGCTTCCGCGAGGAGCTAGAACGAAAGACCAGCAACATACTTGCCTTGCTCTTCAACAACATGCAAGTCCTGAATGATCAACGCATGCAAGGAATATTAAAAGCAACGCAAGAAGATACACGAAGGTCTCAGGAACTCGCCATGAGCATGAAAGAGGACAGCATCGCTATGAAGACTGTAAGGACTATAATCGGATACTATCCACAGGGTCTCGCCTAATACATTTCCTAGATCGCACTTCTCACCATGTTTTTCCTTCCAGGAACTTCTTTCGCAGTACGTATCTTTCTCTAAGCTTTTCACAAACGTACTTCTGTGCTTGTCTTGAAAAACACTAACGACAAACCTAGGCGATTCTGTCCATGCCCTTTTTCACATCAAGCGCATACGTATCAGATCTCAAACGGTTTTGGATCTGGGTAGTGCTCACCGTCCCGTCCACAGCAGTCGGGCTATATGTATATGTCCACGTGATGCGCCGCAAGAAACGGGAGCTGGGTTTATATAACGCAGACCCAGAATCTCCTACTGTAAAGTCTCACAAGAAATCAATGGATAGTATGAGTGCTGGTAAGCAATCATAAGCACAAAGGACAATAGTATACCACTAGTTTGCGACCACGGACACGTTGTTTACCTTGAAAATATAAATCGTCTCATCCGCGTTTCCATTTGTCAGATTTGGGAACGACCAACAGTACCTGTCGTTCCGCCTTATCTCTCCATTTGCGAAAGTCTTTCGCACGCTCATCCCACTGAAAGATCTATTAGATGGGTTGGAGTGCAAAGCTACTGGCAAGCTGGCTCTACAAATCATAAACTCAAGTATCGCTCTGACGATTCATCGGCAATCAGTCTTCACATTTTATGACGTGCGAACTTAGCCCTGGCCTAAATTTCGTGGTGGTTTTCTTCGACAACGCCATCATTGTGCATGGACAAGATGGGCGCAGTTATGGTATCATAAAGTAAAACCCTGTCACAGACTAGCGAACCGCGAGAGTTGCTGTAAAAAGCGGCAGAGCAATACCCTAGAAGTCAAAAAGAAATCGATTATAATGCCACGCCAGCGTGCTGATGTATATACATCATTCAGTACTACCAACGGTTTCTCGCTCAATATACCGCCTATCCAAGACGTACCCCTATACACCTAATTGTTTTACGAGATGCTGCGCATAATCCTTGAGGCATCGTTAGTCCAAAGGTTAAAAGAAAGGGAAGTGTTCACTGCTCGTACCAAAGACTGCCAAGCTACGAACTATAACAAAGTACTCTCAACCTGGCACACATTCACATCTCTTCGCGTTCCAGGCAGCAGCTTTGAGGTATCGCGATCATTGTTTACGTTACGTGGGGGGGTTGCTTTGGGGGCACTTCCACATTCACTGTCCCTCAGCGTTGATCCAGCCCTGCACAATGTGTCGACGCGTCGTGGTCAGATCAGTGATTTCAATACGAGAGGGTACTGGTTGTAACATCTTTCATTTTGGTGATCTGGGACTGCTGTGCCTGCACTTAAACATACGTCTTTCGCAAGTTTCAACTTTTGGAAGAACACATACTTCCTAACCCACCACCCGCACTCGCTTGTATTTTCAACAACGGATCTTGTATTCTTATGTCTGCCACGAATTCTACCAACGCCACCGCCGCAACCCTCATCGACCCCCAAATATTTCTCGAGCAATATCCTGGATTCGATGATATTAGGGATATCAATGATATCGCCTATAACGCTCGCGTTTGCCGCGGACATATTGAGGCTGCTTTAGCGTACTTCAACGACAATAGACTAACAGCCGAACACTTCGCCTCTGCGGCCGGTCTGCGGAAGCCAGAAGCCATGAAAGCGGGTGCGTTATGTGTTCCAGATGATTTCAGCTTATGGCTTGCTGCGCAGGCTCGGCTCGAACAAGGGGCAGATATTGCAGACCCCGCAGATCTTCTGAAAGCCGGATCCGATCCAAAAAATCCTACACCAGAACAGCGGATGGCCATGGACGCTTTCTGTGAACGGCTAATTCTGAGCTGGGAAACATTCCTCCAAGTATATGACCACACACAGAGGGCCAATGGAGACTACCCGATGCCTCGGTTTCGCTATTGTGTGAAAGTCCTCCGCAATGCTTGCGCTCACAAATTTCTGGTTCCGGGCAAGCATCTAGAGTTCGTGGAGGAGGAAGGCCAGGATCGCCTGACCTCCGTCGTCCAGAAAGAATTACCGGAACTTAACGAAGAATTGAAGCACTTAATCGTGCTTTTAGAGTCACTCGTTCCGTTTATTCGAGACAAAGACGACATCCCAGATGGAGTGGAACTTGGATGGGCATTGTTGAGCTCATGGCCAAACAAAGCCCCTCAAGCGGATGACGGATCGGCCAATGAAGTCTTAGACGCAAACCAAGGCGAAGATGGGGAGAGCCAAATTGAACGGTCAAAGAACCAGGGAGCTCGCTGGTATCGTCGCCTACGGTCTTTCTCGCATTTCCATTGGGGAAAGTATCAACTCTCAACTACACGAACCAGTGAGGAGGTCAAGGACGAACGCTTGGGCAATGCCACCACCATGACCTGGGACCCTATCAATGAATCGTCCACGGGATCTAAGAACAATCCTCCAAAGTGAGACAACTCGCAGGAGACGCCCAAGAAGGACGGCCCTACCATCGGCAACCAGCAAGCGGTCGGCGAGGCCAGTATCGGTGACCAAGAGGTTGGACATAAACCCACTAGTCCAGGATACGGGGTGTCAGTCTTTCCCCTAGTCGTACCGTCCGAAGCTCCCGAGGAGCTGAAAACTGGTAAAGCCCCACTGCTTAATCGTACTTTCGATATGGCAATGCGAAATCGGTGGCTACGTCACCGTGCCCTGAAAGTGAGGAATTTCCTCTATGAGGAACTTCAGGGCGTGGATGACCTGAAAGACGACTAGGGAATAGTCTAGCTAGACGACCGACAGTGTTATATAGGCGTCATTGGTTTCAACCAACTTCGTCATCAAGCTGCAATCGTTCATTCTTCAGGGACACTTTTACGTCAATTATGACATGGGCTACAATGAGAGGCAAGGCAATGTAGATTGTCAATGTCAAGATACATACTGATTATACGTAGAGTCCATATTTTTGTCTATCTTAGCAGCTATTTATCGGATTGGTGTTATCATATCTTCACAGAACCAGACTTTTGTCATTGCATAGATTGCCTTGGTATATTAGAGATACTCTGGATTGCCAAGGGATTGCCACTAGCAGGCGTGCTTTGACGCATTGTGATAGCTTAAACTACTTAATTTTCGACCATATTCACGACAAAGAACTTGAAATTCGTTAGTATCATATTCTTCCCATTTCTCACCTACGCATACAGAATAAACGAATTGCTACTTCTATATCTTGCTAAATCTCAGTAGTTTTGCATAGTCATGTGTTCACGACCTTGGGTCCACACATATAAATGGACGATCTTGCTCCGAGCTCGGAAATTGAAAATTCGAGCAGCGCTCGTCGTAATACATACATTCAGCGGGCCTTCAGCGGCACTATGGAGGACGTTCGAGGATCTATCTGAGCGGACAAAGCTCATAGCCCGATCCTTTTCCCTGGACTTCCATTCCGCCATCCACTCAGGATACAACGAAACAATGGCGTCCACCATTTTCTCGTTCCGCACCGCCATTGGGCATTCGTAGAAGATGAAGGCCAGAAGCGCCTCGCAGACGTTGTGCAGTCAGAGCTGCCAGAGCTCGACAAGGAACTAGAGGACCTGATGGCGCTGTTCCAGTCCCTGGTACCTCTCGTGAAGGACTCTAAAGATGTACCGGAAGATGTAGAGCTTGGATGGAGCCTCTCATGTATCTGACCAGAGGAACCAAGGCCGGACATAGATGACTCCTGGAGCTTTGGGGGACAAGCTAATCAGAACGAGGCGGAAAAGGAACATGAAGAACAGCCAAAAAGGCCTAAGCCTCGCTGGTACCACAAACTCTACTTCCTTTCTGTCCTCATTCCCCAGAAGAAACGCGAGAAGTTAGCTTTGGGTGCTTCGGGCGATGGTGGGGAGTTTGAGCTAGAGCAGTACCTTCAGCTTACTATGTCATGGAATCGAACTGAAGCCTCCCCCGAGGAATTCAAGGATACTTCCGCAAAGAGCGGTGACATGCACGGGGCCGACGACTCGACATGGGGACAGCCCGAGTGCGTCACAGCCGAGCAGCTAGACGATGAAAAAGCAACGGAAGATCCGAAACCCAGCTTTCTCCATAGGAGCTTCGATCTCGCAATGCGGAGTCACGTCCTGCGCCGCGGCGCCCTAAAGGCTCGCAACTTCCTTTATGAGGAGCTACAAGGTGTCGACGACATAGACTAGAGTTGGATAGACGTAAGATGAGAGATTTTAGTAACGGAAAGTTAACAAGACAACTTCTTACGATCACTTTCTTGACGCAATGTGGTGGCCACTTAGCTTCGTTAATGTTCATTTTTAGGGCCTTGAAGACACTGAACACAACAGCAGGTATGGGGATATAGATGAGAAAGGCCAAGATGAGTTTTGCCCTTCAATAGGATCTATGTGTATTGGTGTGGTCTGGTAAATAAGTAACCCTCCTTTTTTGGACTTGTACGGGTCATGTTCCCTTTGGAAATTAACGTCTTCTCTTGTCTTGAATTGCCTTTGAGGCCTTTACTTTCGACATTTATTATATCGCCTAATTCTGGCGTACTCTATAGCGTCTTTTCTGTATGCTCAATTACGTATATGATTCTCTAGCAGATTTTGCGAATTTATCATGTCGTCTTACTTTAATTATACACAGACGTGAAACCACCACAATGTGAGTTGATGAAAAGGTAATTGAGGAAAAGGTGTTTCTTATATAGCGCCATTAATTCAACGACATCAAGTAGACAACTGTCTTGTCCTGAAATATTCACGTCTAGACATTGCGGCTCGTCCCGACAACGATCCCCAAGACCGAGCGTTTCGAAGCCTGAAACGCCTTCGGTTTCTGTCAACAGCTTAAACTGACGCTCAACGGATCTCGCATATTCTTGATGATACAATCATGTATGCGAAGACCACCGCAGATGAATTGGTCTGGCTTGATAAGCACACCGATTGGCCTCCTCCCGTGGACAACAGCTAAATTCCCTGGTCGTCCTGCCATTGATCCAGTCGCTTTTCTCGATGTTCGGAGCTATTGTGATAAATTCGAAGAGGTCTACGACCGATTATAGTACGCGAACGTAGCCCGTCATCACGTGCTAAGGTTCACTTCAGCTCACTGGACAACCTCTTTGGAGTCAGCCAAAATCCAGATGCCAGCACTTACCCATAGCATCTTCCGCGGCACAACAGCAGGCAATAGACGCCTTCGTCCCGCGGATGAACGCGTCCCATGAAACGTTGCACGAGCTTTCAGATGAAACAAAGACGATTTGCGACGATTACTGGTGCCTGAGCAATAATCTGGTTAGTAAAGAACGGTGTGGTTTGCTTAGAATACTTCGGAAATCGTGCGTTCACGACTGCATGGTCGCGCATCAGCACTGGCTATTTACAAACGAAGAGGGGCAGGGCCTCCTAGGGTCAATAGTTTATCTGTTTCCCACCATTGATCAGTATCTTTGCGAGATGATCGGGCTACTCGAGAGGCTGGTGCCTCACTTAAAAGACCTAGAGGAAATACCAGATAAGACACTCTTCGGATTGGCTCCGTCGTCTTGGCCAACGCGATCTCAGGAAGGAGGCGGCGCGGAAACTCCTCAGAATGAGCAGTTCGAAAATCCTCGTGATCTTGATCCTTGGTCCGCTAGAGCTGGGCGCAGATAAATGGGCCGGCGCAGCAGATGGTACCAGTGACTCCGAGGGAGGCAAGCTTCCCAAGAATTCAAAGTGGTTTAACCAGATATGGAAGAAGTCTCATATATCGGAAAACCCGACTAGACATGTTTAGGGAGCGTCTATCGATGTCGCTACCGACCTGACGGGAGCATACGAAGGTAAACCGGAACACCGTAAGCGCCTTTTCGCCATGGCGATGCGGAACCAGTTCCTGCGCCGTCAAGCGGAGAAAGTCCGAGACGATCTGTTTGAGGCTCTTCCTGTAACAGACAACATCAAATAGTGGGCAGCTTTGACGCGAATTGAGAAGCTCAAGGGGATGTACGGGATATGGCTATACCTTCGACACGTAATAGACGTGTAACCGGTATTTGAATAGGAAAAGAGCGCGGTCTTCGTACAATGCTGTGGGAATCTCTCAAGAAGTTACGATAAGCGGGGGCTTGTGGCGGTCATGTTACTAAAAGCTGGAAAAGCATATCGAGCAACGAGACCATGTTTTAGTCGAGAAACCACGAAGTTGAAAATATACATGCTGAGCTTCGTAGCTTTAGTATATCTGTACATACACGGAGTGGCAGTTTGGGGGCACTGTTAGACTCACTCGTGTTCCGCCATCTACTTGAGAAGCATCCCAATCAAATCGATAGCGACTCAAATTGCTACGTGTTTGCCACTGCCCAGAATTGCCCAACGCACTGTAAATATATTGGTTGCTGGCGAAGATTCTAGCAGCGTGAATCAAGTGGGCGTTCACACCTTCCGAAACGCTCGATGACGTAAGCAGAGGTGCCTCATAACTAACTATCTTTCCCCTTCCGCTCAATAGCTAGCTTCCTCATCATGATCAATGAAACAGCTTTTGGCCCCACATCTGGCCTTAAATTGTTTTCCCTCAGACTGCCGCACAGCGCTTAATGTTGTTGAGTTTGTTTCCATTGAGTATAATAGTCGCCCATTGAGTGTCGTAATGTCGTCTTCTTTCCATTCTCTGTTCAAGCCAAAGACATGCACTCTCTGCATACTTATCTATCCAAACTTCAATCCACTTATATGAAATGAAGAAGCAAATAAGCAAACAATCATGTATCAGGACATATCACGGTTGAAGCCTGAGTGTCCAGACTACACTTTATGTTTCCTCCAACGGTTATCTTGGGCGAAAGATATAACTGGATGTCCCTGGGTGATTAGCTGAAGAGAGGACATTATACAACACTGGAAACAACCCATAGATCCGCTAGCATGAGGGCGGGAAGTGGTAAAGAAAAATCAGGTTACTTTTCACCTCGAGTATATTAACGAAGAGCTGGAATTAGTGAGCGTTAGATTCATGATCTGCGATATCCCAGTATGATAGTTCTTGATTTCACGCGTATGCATCATTCAGCTCACTGCGAACCAGGCGTTTCTTCAAGAAGTCACGAATGGAGTAACAGCTAAGTAGAGTTCTGGAGACTGTAATTTCGAGCTCTTAGTCTACATTGCTCTATCTACCGCTCTCGAACACTCAAGGGCTTTTCCATTCCCAGAGACCCCCGAAGCCGCATCACGAAACCTACCCAAATCCCAGGTCCTCGGCCTCAAAACTCTAAGAATATGAACGGGAATTTGGGGTGGCCTAGGTCGACATCCTCGAGCAGGATGCTTCGGATCAAGTCCCTTAAAACTTCATGAAAGTCATCGTACTCGGCGCAGATGGTGAACTGTCTCGCAACGTCCCGAAGATCTGTCTTATCCACCACAACCCACTCGTCACGACTGAGTTGCTTGTCATTCTGCATCTCTTTGCTGAGCGTGGTGTATCGTAAGCGATGCGTGATAACTTTCTCCCCCGTAGTCTTGTCCGTTGAGGAAGCAGGATTCGAGCTCATGTCGATGTCAAAGATATCTGGGCATCCGAAGAACTGAACTCGGTGGTAGTGCCATATACTGCCATCTTCTATATCTGAGACTTGAAGGAGCTCAACGCACGTGAAGTCCTGGAGGCTGAATGGCCCGGTGCAGATCGACCTCAGCACCTTCTCCCAGCTTCCGCCCAGTTCAAGAATGATTTGGTACAGCTCCAGCTTGTTGAGAGTGCTGGCGTGGGTTCGGAAGAGCTTTATCAAGTCCTTCTCGAAGGCGAGGGTATTAGTCAGCTTCAAGACGGAAAGATGTCGGAAATGTACTTCGGAGGAGGCCAAGTGTTGAAGGAAAAGCCGGCTGTCGAAAGAGAAGTCGAGACGGAGGGCCATATACTGGAGGGTCCCACATGCGCTCTCGAACGGTTGCGTGTAGCTTGGAAGGAACTGCGCCGTGATTTTCTCAAAGGAGATAGGGAAGGATAAGCCAAGCCTCAGGGTCTTCAGATGGGAGAGAGCATTGATGTTCTTTCCTTTGCCGAATAATACCTGAAACGCCGTGAAAGGTAGACTGCGAGCTGAGTGCGAGTGGGTTTCGCAGATGGAAAGGTGCTCCACTGGCACGCTATTCTGAAATTGCGCAGATAGCGCCCTGATAACCAACCCATGCAGAGGGAGCCATTCATGTTGCCATACGTAATGTCGGAACGCGAGGTTCGGATTCATACTACGGCACTTATAGTGTCTGCCAAAGTCCACCTTGACAGTACGGCAGTTCTCGAGTTGCGACACAGTATCGGCGAATGGATATGTGGACTGCGACGACTGTGCTGCTTTGGTTACGAGTTCGTACTCTTCGTCGGTTCGCCGTGGCCGCGGGTAGCGACGATCTGTTGCCAGTTTTTCGATATATTCTGCATCGAAGTAGTCCAGCTTGAAGTTGAGCTCGCGAACAGATGGGCCAAACACCGGGTGGCGCGAGCTGTCCATGAACCGTCGCAACGAGTCCTTGGTGAAACGGATGCATCTATGCTTGCCGTTAAAGATGAACTTCCCAACATCTTGAAGTGTCTTCTGGTCGAGCTCTCGGCAGACAAGTCTCAGATTGCAGAGGGCCTTCTTTCCAACTTCATATTGGGAAACCTTCTTGTTTTTCAGCTTTTCCCCTGCTCCCTCGAACAGCTTCTCCACTACGATGCCGATAATCTCGGTTGGAATACTAGGCAGCGTGAGGCGTCCTTTGACAATTGACTCCATGGTGGTGTTTTCTCCGGACATCGAGTTAGCGTTTAGTAAAATGGCGTTGTTGGGTAATAGATGATTCTTGGGAGAGTGGTAGTGGATAGAGGCTGCAATATGTTGGTGGTTGGAAGATGGAGCGTGGTGGTTAAAGGATGGAGTGTGGTGGTGGAAAGTAGATAGTGTGTGGAATGGAGAAAGCTCGCGAACCGGAAGGGCTTAAATACAAAGCCTTGGCCCTGTTGACTCAGCGCTGGCACTCACTTCCACGAGCCTTGCGATTCACCACAGAAATTTGGTCTGTAGGTGTATAAGTATCAAGGTGAGGGCGAGCTTTCTCCCTCTTTTCATCATAAACCACCAACTACTCCATCCACAACCCACATCCCCACCACAACCTCAAAATCGTTCAACTTGTTAGCTTTCCATTCTCCAGCACCAAAAATGCTTCAAAGCATCTTCCGGAGCTCTCGCAGCCCAACGCCAACTCCTGATTCGGCCGCATTGCGGGTACTTCATACCACAGAGTTATTTGGGCTCATCGCGTCGAACCTCGACGCCCCGGACTTGATTCGCTGCAGCGAAGTTTACAAGCAATAGAATGGCGTTGTCAACACCTCCCCAACTTTAAAGCACCGGATGTGGAAAGACCAGCTCGAGCGTCTGAGGGCCACCCATGAGTCTCAAGGTCGACATGTGAATCCGATTGTCGAGCACTTCTTCTCCATATGCGGGCTGAATATCCACCGAATCTATGGTCTCGGCCGAACCTACTGGGACTGCAACCACGAGGGACATGGCATGATGGTGCTCTACTTTGCTCATGAGCCTGGAAACCCCATTCAGTCGGGTGGTTTCGAACACAAGGATGCTTCCTGCCGGAACATGTTCCTAACGATCCGTTCTGATAATAAGCTTCACATCTCCGTCCAATATCCAAGGCGGCAGATGACCTGGGGCACCTCTACGATCCAGAACGCTAACGGGATCCGAATTGGTGATTTCCTCGACGCATTTCGTGATATTAAGGAGCTTGGGCAGCGATTGAAACGGATTGAGAAGTGTGAGAATCCAGTAGGATGCGAGGGCTGGATCGTTTTGATTTGGAAGTTTGCTCTCTTTTCGGCTGCATTATGGGCGCAAGGCTTCTATGAGCCAATCTCCACTGTCACCACATTCCGGAGTTACTGCCTTCACCTAAAGGGTATCATTTCCGATGTGAGGTTGAGCTACGAGACAGAGTGCCAAGGCGCTCTTTTGAAGTTGTGCTTGATTCTACTTATCGTTATTCCTGGCGTCAAGGGGGTGGAGGGTTGGGCACGTTGGAGGATAGACAGACTGTCTACGGGTCCTACGAGGATTGTGGCTACAAACCCATGAGCGGACGACGGAGCGAGTAATCTTTCTTCAAATATTGCTGGCAACTCATCTCTAAGCTTACTTTTCTCTGTATTTTTTAGTTCTTCGCCCGTCTCTTCACTTACAGCGGATCGATTCAGGAGAAGTAATCACAACTTGACGTCTACCGGAAGCTACGTGTGGTGAGAGGCCTTCGGGTTTAGTCAGTAGATAATGATAATGTTCAATGGTTCCGAATTGGGTCTTTTAGACTATTTCAGTGAATGCATCCGTTTTTTGGGATCGTAGCAAACTGGCCTAGTCCGAATTCCACAGTAGAGGGATGAGGTTTGCGTATACTAGTCTGTGACAATTTGGAGGTTTGAAAGTATTGTATAAGTCTTGACTCAATCTACAGTGGCCGATTTCAAAGCTAGAGACCCTGCTGGGCAGCCTGGACTACCCCAGAAGTGACAAGGAGTGAGTGTAATCTTTACCCTAGTAACATATGTCGCCGAGAGAAGATGCTGCAAAGATTGCTGCCTAGGAGATTCTGGTGTAAGTCAACTAGAAGTGAATGTCAACGAACTCGAAGATCATCGCTAAGTCGAGTCTACACATTCATTTTTATCTCAATGCGTACTTATATCGCACATATGCAACGCAATTCCTCTGTTCTTATTGTCCTTTCCACACCAAGAGTCACCATGGGTTCCACCACCAACCATTTTGAAACTGCAACACTCAGGTTGAAATTGATGTGAACTCTGATTTCTATGGGTGTCTAGCTCGTTGTTTATATACTAGGGGAAGGAGGGGGGCCAGCCCCGGGGGCATAACGTGGTATCTCTTCCTGACGCGTTACTTGATTCATCCTGTTTCCTGATACAGTACTGATACCGTGCTGCAGCACTGCTGTTGCACTACCTGTTACTTCCTCCTGTATCAGCATGCTATCCTGATACGTTACTGCATATGAGTTGCTGACCCTAGGTTGTAGTGCTGCAACCCGAGTCCACCTGTTGACGAACCAGTTTGAGCCAACAATGTCACCAGAATCAACGGAGCCGGAGACGCAAGTAGGCGAAAAGCTTACGAAAGCCCAATGCATGGCCTTCGACGCTTTGGCCCAACGGCTCACGTCACTTCAAGAGACAGTGGCAGGACTTCTGAAAATGACCTCACAATGTACTCGATCCACCCTCTCGGTAAATGTTGGCCAGCTCTCAGTGCATTCGGTACGCTACACGAGGTACGAAATGCCAATGCTCATAGATACCTCGTCGCACGTCGCCACTTTTACTTTTCAGGAGAAGAACTGTTCAAAGTGGTTAAAGAACTCCCTTCTTGGCGCACGGAGCTCGAGAGTATGGTACAGGTCTTCGAGAGCTATCTACCAGAACTTGAGGCTAACGTTAACATGACCGTCCCTAATGGGGTACGCATAGGGTACGGACCGTCTGCAACCTGGCCACAGAGCGTGACAGTAACAGACACGAAGACCAATTGGGGTGAACAACTGGCGGAAACAGAGACGCAAGGCCTAGAACATCAGGAGGAAGCAACCGACGAGCAGGCCCAAACTTCCGACAATCACGCCGGCCGGGGAGTACACGTCGTCGAGCAAAAAAGAGAAGAAGCTGAAGAAGGACACGAAGCGGCAGAAGAGGCACCAGGGCCTGGTTGGAAGGACCGGCTCTTTGCGCTCGCTATGACGAGACCTTGGTTTCAGCGACAAGCCGTGTCTCTGTGCGACTTTCTTTGGGCTCATCTGCGCCATTTGTACGAAGAAGGAGGCAACGACGGGTACAGCGAGGCTGTTTGAGGGAGTCAAAGAGAAATTGTAGACGCGGATTGTATGTTCTTTTCAGTTCTTTGTCACTCTTTGTAGCTTGTAGACACGAACAAGGCTTTTTTTAAAAACCACTTTAGCTTCTCTGAATGCCATTTGTGCGTGCTTACTCTGAGACTGACATACAAAACGTCTTAATGAGAACATGCATATCTGCTAATAACATCCCCATTTCCATACAAGACGTGATGAGATTCATTCTTTACCACCCCGTACAGCATCGAATGACTGCACGATATGGTGTGATTGGCACGTGGGTTCTGCTTTCCAGGTAAGCTCCTCACGTCTGTCTGCCGGCTTGTGCGTCACACAGTAGCTCCTCACCTGTTTGTCCCTCCGCGCGCTTGTCAGCGGCCCAACGGCAGGTAACAGCGCAACCAGCTATATAAGCTCGCTTGCCCCCGTCTTGCTTCTCTCTTCGTCGCTCTCACAACACACCACACCTTACCCCCTGGCACAACCAAGGCCATGGCCATTGCACCGGAAAGCGACAGAGCGGGCGGAGGACCGTCAACATCCGCTCAGGACAAGAAACATGCGCCTTTCGGGGCAAGCACAAGGGGAGAGTCTCCGCAGGATTTCTCACGACTCGCCGCCGGCTGAGGTACTCCCACTTACCCCCCAGATTCAAACGCGATGTAACGTTTTCGACCCTTCAAATCGCAGGCCTATCAAATCATACCATTTGGCTCCTACATGCCGCCGTTTGAAGTCCTCCCGCATACGATTATCCTCTCAGGCGTGATGTAAATTTCCTGGCCTCGCACGTCACACGAGAGCTCATTGGTTAGCTCTTGGAGCCTACTCGCCAGCGTCAGAGGTCCCCCAACACCCGAATTGGTTCCCGGTCTTGATGTCAAATGCCCAACGGCCTAAATCTCACGCACGATAATTTGCAGATTTTTCACCGACCATGTTGCTGTTTGGGGTCCTCCAGAAGTCCATCGAAGTCCCGCTCAAATGTCAAATACTTGACCTCATGAATCTCACGCACTGTAATTCACAGCCTTCATCACTTCAACTTCTTCTTAGGTATTGCTGGGGACCTTCAGCGCACTCTCGAAAACCACGATGCAAAGCCAAGTCCTCGAGGCTCCAGTCCGCATCCGACAATTGAAGGCTTTTGACGGGTCCACACTACTGTCAGAAGGCCTTTAGCGTGCTTGCCGAATCACGATGCGATGTCAAGTTCTCTGCCTTACAAGTTGCATGCAAGTCTGATACCGCCTTTGGCAATTTCATCGTACGATTGGAAGACTCCCAGCATGCTTTCAAAAGGCAGAAGACGTTATTGGATTAAGTCGGTCACTGTTTAGAGGCCTTCAGTTCACGATCAAAACCCAGGAAGAGACGAGAAGAATGGTTCTGCGAAGATGACCTCCGATCCCATCTACTCTCTCAGCCAACGAAGAAGCAAAACGTGTAGGGGCGGAAGAACCCTACAAGCAGCTCAATATGAATGAGCCACCCCTGAGCTGGCGATCGCGGGCCTTCAACATTGCCGTTAGGATCCCTTGGGCCCGGCGAAGGGATCCCTTAGGCCCGATGAAGGTTCGTCGATGTTGCCAGATTTCGAAATAATTAGTAATTCAAGCAACGTCAAACTTCCAGGAGTCTAGACGGACAGAGTAAAAATATCTACCGGCGAGAAGTCTTTAGAAACTAGTGAATCCGTACTACGGACAAATAGATTGCTCCACGGTTGTATGAAAGTATGCTTCTCAGCTTCCATTGGAGTTTTGAAAACATTGTTCACGCCGGGAAAGTGAATTGTGTCTGTAGAGTACCAACACTCACAATGCAGTCACATTCGCCTATATATTCAATATTCACAATGTAGCCACATTTGGATATATATTCAACTTCTTGTGGGTACTTCGAAGAACCGTTCATCTTTCTCAGTCACCTTAAAGCCCTTCTGCGCCCGGCGACCCAACGTAACAACATTCCCACAAATCACACACCTTCATCGTCCGCTGACATAACTATGGAGACTACGATCTCTTTGCCTTCGCCTGCTCGTCTGCCTAAGACGTGTAGATATTGGCCTGGGTATGAAGATGCAACTCCAGCAGTTACCGTCGCAGACTCGGTCGACGAGAACGAGGAAGCTGAGCGAATAGCGGAAAACTCACCACCTTCTCAAACAGAGGCAGAGACCACTGAACGAACCGACAACACAATTCTAGGCGCTGTTCGAATCCCACAAAGTAAGGCACCAGATCATTTCGATTCAAACGCCGAAATTATCGCCTGTATCAGAGCCGAAGTACGCGACTCTGGAGACTTCAAGACAAGGATGAAGCATTTCGGTAGCAGGCTCAATATTGGGTTATACCAAGCCCGTTGTGCTCTTTTCCTAGTCACGTCTATCCTCGAAATCATTGCGAAGTACGGTCTCAATGAAAACCAGTTTTTAAAGGCCGCAATAACTCCACCAGGTACAAAGGACATTGAGGGCCTAACGTTGACTTATGACCAAAGGATTGCACTCGATGCTGTCGTTCAGCGCTTCACTTCCTTATCTGAACTTATGCCTATCTCGCGCTTCTTCGAGTTAATTACGCACCACAGGAAAGACATCTGGCCAGTCATCTATAACATGGGCAGGTGGCAAACGTACGATTTGTTTGGCCAGCGATGCATCAATGCCCACGAATATTTGAATGGAGTGGATCATCCAGAGGGTTTTGTCGGCTCGATCTTTTACCACATGAGTGTGTTTCCGCGACTAGAGGTCGAATTACGCAGCCTTATAGAGGTCATGGAGGACTTTATCCCCGATGTGGAGGACGTATGGGAATTCAACTTCATACAGCCCAACCAAGAGTCAAGAATTGGCTGGGTGGTGGAAGCGTACGGCCAAAAGATGATACCTCGAAACCGCACCCCCCCTTTCTCGCCGTCATCTACCCAAACAAATAGCGGTGGAGAAGGGGATGCTGACAAGTATCGAGACCTTGAGGCTCTACTTCAGCTCGAGCCACCTCAGGCCGATGCCGATCCTGAATACGACGACACATACAAGAGCTCAGAGGATGCCCTTTGGGCCGCCGAATGCGAAGCTCGTCAACAGGTCAGTGAACCACCTCAAGTAGGATGGGCCATGCGGTTGTTTGCCACTGCGATGCAAGCTTCTTGGGCGAGAAAACAGCTTGGCAAACTATGCAGATTGCTGGATCAGTGGTATGATGAGCATCCGGAATGGTATTGCCAGTACTCGGAGGAGCCCGAGGAGCCTGAGGACCTCATTGAGTACAGTAATCAGGTGTAAGCCTGGAGCCGATGCTGAATCTGGGACTGAAATGAATTCTGTTGGTTCGATTTGAGGGAATATATCGAATTCGAGAAACACAGATAACCTCCAAACGTATCTCTACTCTATCACGTCCATAAAACATCTATCTATTTTTTCTATCCACTCTTTCGATTTCTTGCCTTTTGTGATTGACATGCTTGCGAACTCTGAACGCGTCTCCGCCTCGCATTATAGCCTCCGTGTACCTATTATTTTATGTTTCTAGACTAGAGTATAAAGTTTATCAGCAATACAAATAAACGGTTTTGTAGCGATCTAACGGTAACACTCTCCCACGGAGTTTTGCATCGCTATGGCTAATGTTCTAGCTCTTCAACGAACCATTTAGGCTTGCTCAATGAGTGAATCATAGAAGTCCAGCTGCAATCCTAAAGCAGCTATCGCAATTCACTCAGGCTTGTTTACGTATTCCAGCTGCCGTGAAATTCACTCCCGGGATGCTGCGGTTTTTTTTCTCGGCATTTAAATTGCTTCGAAGAACTTCCCCTATTCCCTCACGGTGCATTCAACCAACTTTCTTCTCAACAACACCACCAAAAGGGGCCCCCACCACAATGGAGAGCACATGGAATTTGTCTACCCCAATCGATTCGGTTCTCTTTAGCAACCACATGCTGATTCCTATGGGACCAATCAGAGATAGTCCAATTGAGGTTGCGGACACCAAGACACAACCATCATGCGATGAGACTCCTCTTCCAGAGAGCTTAGCCAAATCAACACTCCCTCAACGCCAAGTCCCATCGAGCCATGAACTCGAGACTTCCGAAAACTTGGAAGTTGACGAGATGCAAAACGAGGCACCAGACAGGTTGCAAAACGAACCTCGAAACAAATTGCGAGAGGATCCGCAAGACGAGCCACAAACCGACGCTTCTAAGAACAACCAAGGTCTTCGAACCGCTGCTGGAGAACTCCCTCTCAAGTCAGTCGCCGAGATCATTGCCAAGATCAGAACCCCAATAGGAAGTAACACCTTCCAAGGTAGGCTGAGGAACCAGTTCGGACCCAACCTCCACAGCATTATCTACGCCCTGCGCTCGGCTCTCTTCCTAGTGCGATCCTCGCTCGAGATCATCAAGCATGGCCTCAACAAGGACCACCTATTGACAGCTACGATCCTTACTCGTGAGGGCGACACGATGACCGACAATCAACACATCGCACTAGACTGCGTTGTTCGGCGTATGACCTCGCTGTCTGAGATTGGGCGAGATGTCCTTGGCAAGAGCATATGGGCCCACCTACTGGATGTTACCCATTACGCAGGTTCGTTCTGGCCAACCCTATACGGGAATTTGGCAAGATTGCACTACCAGCGTTGCACCAACGCGCATGAGTACTTGGCTGGGGACAAGCATCCGGCGGACTTCATCAGAAGCTATGGGGCCGTCTCGATAACTACCCGTTGTTGGAGGCTGAGCTAGAGAACGCCGTCGAGGTACTGGAAGACTTTATTCCGGATCTTCAGGCCCTGTGGGAGGCAGATGGTTGGCTACTCGGTGAAGCGGGCAACCGGTCGTTCTTCATAAAGCCTCCAGAGCCCACGCCCCCAACACCGCCTGAATCGGATTATGATTGGGAGGTAGTGGTTCCGCGGGAGCCTGCTGCGGCGTCTGAGCATGATTCCATGGAGCAAGATTCTGTGGAGCACGATGCTCCGGAGCTGATTCCATACCCTCCACCCAGCTGGCGACGGCGCGTGTTCGACTTCGTGATGAGGAGCGGGTGGATCCGTCGGAGGGTCGAAAAGCTCATGTGGTTTCTCTATGAGTGGATCTATGAGAATGGTGAGCTAGATCAGGTTTAGTAGGGTACAGAGAATTACAGGGACGAAGTTTAAAGGGCTTGCTACTAGGGAACTAGACTCACGGCGTGGGTAGAAGGCAGAGTACGTCTAACAGGATCAGCAGTGGCTGAGATTGATGACCTACGCGAAGTCAAGCGGTCGAAGATTAATATTGGTAGGCTAGCGGAAGGTCAGCTCTGAATAACCTGGATCTAGAGCCCCTACGAATCAAACCAGAAGCCCCTATTTTCTACGCATAATACTAACTATAACCATGTAATCACGTGAACCAAACCTGACCCTTATGTGCCAAGCCACAAAACCAGCCGCTTGACTTCCCTCCACACGTGACCTGCACCCCTTTCCCTGCTCCCCGCTCTCCCTTTCCTCCCCTATAAAACCCCACCCCCCCAAACCTAAAAACTCTCAGACAGGCGATCCGGAGTTGACTTTCAGACCCTCTGCTCCCCCCTGCCCCATGGGAGACGGAGACGAGAGGAGGTTTGATACATCAAGCAACAGCGATCCTGGTGCTTGCGATGGATCAAAATCCTGCGATTCTTCGTCCAATGGAGATCTGTGGACGAAGAAAACCGATCAAGAAACCTTTCGATGGAGTGGGCGGAGGAGTAAAACCAACTTCGTCAGCTTCCTACGGGGCGGGTGGTTGGGAGTAAAAACAGACAGAGCGACGATGAATGGAGCGGGTGGAGGAGTAAAACCGAGCAAGGAATCCCCCGATGGAGTGGGTGGTTGGGCGTTGGGAAGGGGGTAAATGGGGGCGGTGATGAAGAGCGGGATCTGTTAGACGTGGTGACTGAATTTATTACTTCATGGAATGGCGATTGCGTTTACGCACTAACAATAACTAGCAGTCACTGGTATTTCAGATACTAGAGAGGTATACGACTCTACACTGATGCAGTAAATCACCACTAGAAACTACCAATGAACCGTCAGAGGCTCCTCCACCACCGACTCCACACATCCGCTAGCTCGCCCTCAATTTTGAAAACTATACGGCTTTCTATCGTATGACATGTTATCTCGATTTTCAACCATCGCAAAGTGCCAGGTCGAGTTTTTAAACAGCTTCACAATCCCAACTATCCACTGTGGAGGAAAAGACGGACGCGATGGTGTCATATAGTTTACTTAGGATTGGGGAGCGTGAGAGGCACGTGAGAGATGCTGCACGTGTTGTGAGGTGCGTATGTAATGCTTTTTAGGGCGTTTCCGGGGTTTATGTCTTAGCCCTTGGTTGGGTACCGCCGGCTTCATGTTAGTCTGTCACGCTATCAAGACTAGCGGCGAGTTGTCTAGTGTACCTCCAACATACTCGTCGCACGGATCAGCTAAGGCATCCCCGTATGCAAGACTCTCCAACTTCAGAAGACTACGGGTCGTGGGAACACGCAACTCGATATGTGAAGGAATAATATATATACATAGAATCCCGAAAATAACTTCAGCCACTTTTATAACCAACAATTAATTCTTTCCACCTCCTGCGCATTCTGTCCACCTCTCCACTCTATTCCTTCCCAACCCCCCCCCCCCCTCGCTCATCCTCCGTCCCCCCTGTCCCATCCCCTACTCACTCCCCACTCGTAAAAATCTTATTCACACAACACACCAAATCTACCCGTCGTTATCAAATCAGCAATAGCCCCCTACACCACAAGTCAAAAAATTAGCAAAACATCCACGTACATTCCGTTCCAGTCTTCCCCCTGCAGCTCCCCGGCGCACTCGTGGGTTGCGGGCCTCCAGCGAACGCCGTCACAGTGACGGTCACAGTAGCAGCGGGGGCGGGGCAGCTCGCGCCCGCAGCAGGGACAGTCGCGGCTGCGGATAAGGCTGGGAGGGGTGAGGGGGTTAGATGGGGTGGTGGACTCGATTGGGGGACGAGGAGGGGAGATTTGGTGCAGGGGATGGATGAGGCGGGGATGGGGGGAGTTAAGGGAGCGGAGGGGGATGGGATACAAGGGGTTTTTGAGGGGGAGCTTTCCTCGGGGACAGAGGAGGGTTTGGGAATACATGATGTCTTGAAAGTGGAAGGGGGAGTAGTGGGTTTAGTGCAGGGTGTTTTGGAAGAGAGGGGTGGGCCTGCTGCTGCGCTGCTGCTTCCGCCACCACTTTGTGCGCTACTGGACCCCGCGACGCCGCTGCTCGGGCTTGGGGGGCTGGGAGGGGAGGATTCAGACGTACCAGCCGGAGGGGCGGGCGCGGAGGTCGCCGTGATCAGTGTCGAGGGCGCCGATTGGGCGGGCGACGCGGTGGGCGTGACAGCTGCGGACGAGGCGGCTGGCGTGGCGGTTGCGACGCAGGCGCACACGGCGCTGGCGGAGGCTTGCACGCTCAGTGCGCTCGCGATGCCGCAACCGCTGATGACGCAGGCCTGGGCGGAGGCTTGGAGCTGCGCGCTGCTCACGCACTGGCATTTGAAGTTGTCTGCGCCGCAGCCGATGGCGGAGCCGGCGGAGAGGAGGCAGGTTTGCTGGGGTTGGGGGTGTTAGTGACGGTTGGCGAGGAGGGAGTGGTGAGAGGGAGGGCTTCGTACACCGCAGGCTGGGATGTTGGCGGCCACGGAGGCACACTGTGCTTGTGCCGCAGCTGAGGAGGCGAAGGCCAAGGCGAGGGCTGCAATAATGGTGAAAGACTTCATGTTGAGAATTTGATTGCTGCGAGATTGAAGGCAAGCTGGAAACGTAGAGAGAAAGTGCTGGCTGCTTGTTCCTTCGTTGCGGCCATCTCAACTCCTTATATACCCGTTCGTGAGCCTATCCTCCTTTTCTCATGCCTCGGCCAATATTGGGCCCCAAGAGTTCCGATTCGCCATTCAGTCAAGAAAGGAGTCCTTCTGCGCTGTGCCGCAGTGATACGGTTTCTTTCGGTTGCACAAAACGACCGAAAGGCCTCCAAGGCCCAGTGATATTCAATCACATGGAAACTAATACGGTGCACTTATGAACTCACGTAATAAGAACGTCTCACAAGCCAATTGAAAGAGGAACGTTGACGCAGGCCTAGCCCAGAGGAATCGAGTGATGTAAGTCTAAAGCAAGTAGATTCTTTGGACACGAGGAAGAATATAGATTGCATAACCTAAAAGAGTAATGCCCAGCCTCAACCTGGATGGTTCTCCGTACCCCAGAATATTCCCCGGACGGAACGGCTGCGGGGAATGCTTGTCGCCAGGAACGGGGCACGGACGGCGTAGACCCTGGCTCGCCGCGGCTCGAGGGAATAGTGTAGACTCTATCATGTGAAACAATCAACCATGAGAGATGCCCGCAGGTATGGTTGTTCACATGCAAGCTTCGGGAAACTTCAGATTCTCCATCTCGGTACACCATTGGAGTGGCTGACAGAGGTCGAAACAGGCGTCGAAGACTCATCCTTCATACTATTTCTGGCTTTGAACTCCGTAAAAAATACGATAGGGTTCTGTGGACTTCGGTTTATCGCGAAGAGGCGTCATTTAGAGTGAACAGTTGGTCCTTGAGATCAATCGCAGCGTTAGAGTAAAGATGCATTATTAGCGGGAGGCACGGCTCGGCGTAAGGTCGCCTGCTATGGCACCGTCGATAGCGTGGCTAGGAGTAGTGGTACGACAAGGAGACTAAATGCCGAGAGACAAAATGAGGAGGTGGTACCAGTCGACTAGGTCAGCCCTTGGGCAACGGTAGTTGCTGGTTGCAAGGGCATCGCTGAATCGACGGAGAGTAGAACGAACGAGCTCGAAAATGAAGTCGCAACTCTAGGGAAGTGGACAGCCTCTCTAATTATTATATAGAATAAGATGTCGACATTTCGGACGCATATGATGATAGCGTACGAGCTCGGGGAGTGGGCGAGATGGATATGAGCGTGACGGTTCCAAAGGTTGCGGTTAATAAAGGGGGAGTGGGGCTACGACGCTAATACTAAGCGGACTGCTGTCACGTGCATTAACCGTTAAATATGTCATCTAGATGTTCGAGTGCGTATGAATGGATTTTTTCAAGTGTATCATCCCATATTTCGGTAGATTTCAACTGCATGCTCAGTAGGAAACATAATAATCACAGTCTATCGCTTAGAACATCAGACAAACCCTCGCAAATACTACCCCATACGAAAACTCGCAAACTGTCAACCGCCACACTCCCCATCCTCCTCTTCCTCAATCTCCTCCACCTCCACATCCCCCTCCACAGCTTCCACAACCCCCAGCCGCGTCCCCATGTCCACCGCAAGCGCTCGCACAAGCTGGCCCAGCATCACCGGCACAGCTCCCAAGACTAATTGTGCCTCCACAAGTCCCCGCCACGCATCCACCCCCGCCCCCGGGCCTATTCTCCGCCTGCGTCGGGTCCGTACAATAGGCGCCTTCGCCGACCGTAGGATCTGCGACATACGGGCCATAGTACTCAACATACATCGGCATGCCGTACGGCGAATAGACATACTCGCCCTCATCCCTGTTCGGCGGCTCCGTCCCCTTCTTCTGCGCAGCCTTGCACACTTTGGCGTAGCCCTTGTCGTTGTCGTGTAACAGCTTTGGCCGCTGCTCGAAGCCGTCGGCGGACCATTTGATAGCGTTGTGCGTCGAGATATGCGGCCCGTTGACGACATCGGTAGGCTGGCGCGTGCGGTAGATGCCGACCTCCCACAGTCTCGCTCTAGCGAGAGGGTTCAGCTTTGACACGATGGAGAGGCGTTGGGATTCGCGGGTGGACTCGCAGTACCAGCACGAGCACTCGGAGTACGGCTTCCCGTATTTCCTTTCGTACGCGTTGCAGGTCCATTTGAAGAAGGTGGAGAGATCGCCTTCAGGGATCTTGTCGTCGTGGTTGACGAATTTCTTGGTCTCGTAGACGGTGTAGATGTAGTAGGTTCTCGGATTGAGCTGGTGTGTATGCCAGGCTAAGTCGACGTCGAGGGTGGGCACGGCTGTCCTTTTGGGGTTGTCTTTGATGAGGCCGATGAAGCGGTGGTATTTGAGAATTGAGCGGTCCATGGTTGCGATTATGGCGGGGGAGTGGTACCAGTCGATTTTGTACATCTTTTGTACGAATGTGCCTTGGCGGATGACGGCGCCGATAAGATCAATGCCAAATCGCGAAGAGTTGTCCCAGTACTGCGCCATCATCCGCCGGATTGCATTCTTCGATTTCTTGGAGATGAAGTCGGGCTTGCTTTGGTCTGCGTTCACAACGCTTATTTCCGAGGAGTTGGCCATGATAGATTCGATGCGGGACTTGACATTCTCCATTGTGAGCTCTGGGTCTGCTTTGAACGAGAATCGGAAATCGGGCAGCTGCTCCACTATGCGATTCGGGAAGAAGAGGTCGTGGTTACCCAGTTTCTTCTTTTCTTCGACTAGTTCTGGTGTCCCGTCCAAGCCAAGGATCGTACCTGGCATAGGCCGTTTCTGCGATAGCAGGGCATTGCAGTCATCTATAAATTTTGCGACGCGTAGCTTTTCGTGCGTCACGGTCAAGTGACATGAATGACAAGTTTCGGAGAACCCGTTACCTGCAAAACCTGAGTCATGGCTCATGAAGGTCTTGAAAGACTGATCATTTAGAAGTAATTCCGCGGGAGGCTGCGTCCATGGCACGTGGAGTGTCGTAGAACAATTGGGGCAAGCAATCTCTTTTTCGTTCGGACCGTCGATGTTGTCCCAGGTGATCCCAGTATCTTTCTCGAAGTTGATCTTCTGAATTGCTGGCACAGTAAAGACAAACGTGTCTCCGTTGATTCGTTTGTGAACTTGTTCCCAAGGGAACGGGGTTGTGTAGAGGTCTTGTCTCGATAGACGCATGCAGTCCTCGAGGTACACTCTTGGATTTAACATGTACGCATGCCAGACCATTAGGATGTCTGCATCAATCGTTAGCTTTATCGTCAGGAGCCTTCAAGAAGAAAACGTACCGAGTGGGGGTAGCTTTTCTCCGATCCCTAGTGGCTGTCTAGAGACCGGAAATGTGCGTGGATTCTGAGTAGACGGAGAGGTTTCGACTACGAATTCGAAATCTGTAGTTTTCAAGGTAGGTTTCCCGTGTGGTTCGCTCGTGTCATACTCGCCGGCATTCTTCTCGCCTGAAGTCTTTGGTAGCGAACCCCACCATTTCTCGAACCGATCGGCTGCTCTTGTAACGTAGATGGCCCATCGTTTTTCTTTCAACCATTCGGCATTACGAGTGCGATCAGGCCCATCTGTCGCACCGGGGTCATTGATACCAAAGACACCTTCGAAGTTGCCAACTTCGTACCTCAGTCGATGGAATGCATTTAGAAGCCTTAAATGTGCTACGCACTCGGATGAAGTCGGAATCCCTAGAGGACTGAGGGTAAAGTCGAGGGTTTCAAATTGAAAATCGGAAGATCCGGTAGTGTCAGAATATGCCGGCGGATCTGCTGGAGGCGGCGGCGGCGGCGGCGGCGACGGCTCGGTTCGCGATCCTGACTTCGACGAGGTTTCCGAGCCAATCGAAAGACTCTTCAAGTGGGAAGAACTCATGTTTGCGATGGAGAGGAAGATGAATATTGCGATATTTCGAAGTCGCGAAGTCGTTGATATACTCAATCTAAGGGAGTAATGGCGGCCTGCTCACGCCGTCAGGCTGCGCCGATAATGATGGATTGGGAGACTGCGCCACCCTCATCTCCCTTACACCTGCATACCGATGGCCCTATCTGGGATAAAGCCTCGCCAGTTAGGCTGTTTGTGGCTAGTATGTGTGGCTAGGTAGGCAAGCTTCTGGCGAACGAAAACAAGCTCTTGGAGCACGAGCGTGTGTCCAGCCACTCATCTGCGACATGGGTGCATATCACTTGCGATTGTCTGACTCCAGATCCGCAGCGTTGACACGTCGAGGACATTTGTAGAGGACCTAAAGGCGCCATCAACAGTGTCAGTCTCAATCCCCGAGATTGCGGGCATTGTTACTCGTATTGCCGCCGTGGCCCCCCAAAAAGAGAGACTCAGCCAGCATCGTTCCTAAATCATCTCAAATACCTGCAAAGAACGGCTGGAGATCTTCAAGACACCAACAACATGGCAGCGTGAGTAGCATAATTAGTTGATATAGAGTATATAAGTAAAAGATGTATTTGCAAGAGAAGCTAGGAGATTGACGATATTTGTACCGATATTCTATTTTACAAAAGACAAAGGCGATGTCCTTCAGCCCTCGTGTAAGCTCGCACTCACTCCAGGCAAAATCATGGAACAACTGCGGCCAGTGAGTTGTTACAGAAGGAAGGGTGATTGATGCTGAGCGGGAAGGTGAATGAGGCTGAAGCTGAAGAAAGTCGGGAGGTCTGACGCTAGACTGGATGAGTCTGCAAGCGGTGGCAGAATCGATGTCGTAGCGACGACAAAACACCATGAGCCGCATCGCGGGGTCTCTCCCCACTCTCCGAACGGCCACCTTCGGCTTTTGCAAGATCGGTCGGCTTATTGTGTAGACAACCACGGCTTTTTCTACTGCATTAATTCTATCTCTAATAAGCCTATTCAGACTTCAAGAGTGGTGAAACGCGTCGGAGTAGCTATTTCGACCGACGTCAGCCTAAGGCCTTCTTAATAGTCACTCTCATGATCATCACTCGTAGTTAAACTATTGCTCTCTCCTTCTCATAGCTTTACGCGTCCCTACTCATACAGCACTTACTCTAGCATCATGGGTTCGGCCTCAGTACCGGAGCGGGGAATCCGCATAGCGATCGATGCAAGTACAACGCCACAGCCTTCTTGATGTAGCTAACATTATACAGAGGGGTGGAACCTTTACCGATTGCGTAGGGAACCCCGGAACCGGGAAGATGGAAGATGATATCGTCATCAAGCTCCTCTCAGTAGATCCCTCCAACTACGACGACGCTCCCCTCGAAGGCATCCGACGCCTCCTCTCCAAGTTCACGGGCAAAGACATACCCCGTGGCGAGCCATTGGATACTTCTAAGATCGAGAGCATACGAATGGGAACAACCGTGGCCACCAATGCGTTGCTGGAACGGAAGGGCGAGGATATTGCGCTGGTAGTCACAAATGGCTTCAAGGATTGCTTAGCAATTGGGAACCAGTCCCGGCCAAATATCTTCGCGTTGAATATCCAGAAGCCTGAGGTGCTGTATAAAAAGGTTGTGGAAATTGACGAGCGAGTCACGTTGGAGGACTACGCGGAAGATCCGGAAAGAAACGAGACGAGAGCAGAGCCAATTGAGAAGGCTGGACGGGACGCCGACCTGGTACGAGGAATGTCCGGCGAAGCTGTGCGGATACTACAACGGCCACAAGAGGAGACGATCCGGAAACAATTGCAAGAGGTCTACGATTCCGGCTTGAAGAGCATCGCTGTATGTTTAATGCATGGCTACACGTTCCCGAATCATGAAGCTCTCATAGGAAAGGTTGCCAAGGAGATTGGTTTCGAGCATGTTAGCTTATCACACGAATTGATGCCGATGATTAAGTTGGTACCTCGGACTACATCCGCTTGCGCCGATGCCTACCTTACTCCAGCTATCAAGAAGTACATCTCAGGATTTGAGGCTGGGTTCGAAGGTGGACTAGGTTCTGAGAGCGTGAAGCACGAAAAGGGTTCGAAGGCAGCCAGATGTGAATTCATGCAATCCGATGGCGGCTTGGTCGATGTCAAAAGCTTTTCCGGTCTACGTGCGATTCTTTCCGGACCTGCTGGCGGAGTCGTTGGATATGCACTCACGTCATACGATCCAGAAACCAAGATTCCAGTCATTGGATTTGACATGGGAGGTACGAGCACAGACGTCAGTAGGTACGGCTCCGGAAGGTATGATCACGTGTTCGAGACAACCACTGCCGGGGTAACCATCCAGTCTCCGCAGCTCGATATCAATACCGTGGCTGCGGGAGGAGGGTCGAGACTCTTTTGGAGGAACGGACTATTCGTCGTGGGTCCCGAATCAGCTAGTGCCCATCCTGGACCAGCTTGCTACCGAAAAGGTGGCCCTCTGACAATTACTGATGCTAACCTCTTCCTCGGGCGCCTTCTCCCAGATTTCTTCCCAAAGATCTTTGGCAAGAACGAGAATGAAGGACTTGATGCTGAGGCGAGCGAGAAACTGTTCAAAGAGCTGGCAGCTGATATCAATAAAGAGGTTTCTGGAGGAAACAAGGATAAAGAGATGTCCCTCGATGAAGTAGCCTATGGATTTATCAAAATTGCGAATGAGACCATGACTCGACCTATTCGATCATTGACGGAAGCCAGAGGCCACGATACCTCAAAGCATAGACTCGCTACCTTCGGAGGCGCCGGAGGCCAGCACGCAGTTGCAATTGCCGAAGCTCTCGGCATATCTCAGATCCTGATCCACAGGTACTCATCGGTTCTCTCAGCCTACGGAATGGCCTTGGCAGATGTCGTGGATGAACGTCAGGAACCGGAATCGAAGGTCTGGTCGGATGATAAAGACGTTCGTGAATATCTCCAGAAGAAGATGACAGATCTGAAGGCGAAGTCCACAGCCACGTTGAATGATCAAGGATTTGAGGGCGCCAACATTCAATTCGAGGAATATCTTAATGTACGATATCGAGGAACTGAGTCGGCATTGATGATAATCAAGCCAACGAAAGAGGAGGCGGAGAAGGAATTTGGTGGCGATGAATGGGCATTTGGGAAGGCTTTCGTCAAACAGCATGAACAAGAATTTGGCTTCACGCTACCAGATCGGGATATCATTATTGATGATGTCCGAGCTCGTGGTATCGGAATGACCTTTGAGGGTCTGGAGAAAACGGTCGATCAACAGCTCAAAGAAATTAAGCTGAAGGACCTGCACAAAGGCGAAAAACAATACTCTACCAGCCAGGTATATTTCGAAGGCGGTCGCCAAGAAACACCTATATACAAGCTCGAGGACATCGCGGTCGGCGACCGGATCAAAGGTCCTGCAATAATTGCCGATGGCACTCAGACTATCGTTGTAACCCCCGGCGCATCCGCACTACTGATCAATACACACGTCGTCATCAACCTCGGCGAAAGTGATGGACAGGACAAGAAAGTGGACACGAAAGAGGTGGATCCGATCATGCTGAGTATCTTTGCTCATCGATTCATGGCAATTGCGGAACAGATGGGACGCGCATTACAGAAGACTAGCGTGAGCACGAACGTGAAAGAGCGGCTCGATTACTCTTGCGCCCTCTTCGACTATGAAGGCGGTCTTGTTGCCAATGGTGAGTATCAAGCCGATGATACTGTCGCAATGCTAACCTCTAGAAGCTCCGCATTTACCCGTTCATCTTGGTAGCATGTCAACATGCGTCAAGAAACAAGCCGAGATCTGGAAAGGGAAACTCAAGCGCGGAGATGTCATCGTATCCAACCATCCCATGTTCGGAGGCACCCACCTCCCGGATATCACGGTGATCACCCCAGCCTTCTCCGGCGACAAAATTATCTTCTATGTCGCATCACGTGCCCATCACGCGGATATCGGTGGTATCCTACCCGGCTCCATGCCTCCACACTCGCGCGAACTCTTCCAAGAAGGTGCAGCCATCAAGTCCGAAAAGCTCGTCTCGGAGGGCCATTTCAACGAGGAGCGGATAATAGAGCTGCTTCACAAGGAACCCGCGCAGTATCCCGGATGCAGTGGGACGAGATGCTTGGCAGACAACATCAATGACCTGAAAGCTCAAATCGCAGCTAATCAAAAGGGTATTAACCTCATCAGTACTTTGATAGAAGACTACGGAGAAGACGTCGTGCAGTTCTACATGACAAACATCCAAGACAACGCCGAACTAAGCGTACGAAACCTGTTGAAGGGAGTCAGCAAGCGCTTCGAAGGCCAGGACCTATCCGCAATCGACTTCATGGACGATGGATCCCCCATAAAGCTCAAGATCACTATCGATGCCGAGAAGGGCGAAGCGGTATTCGACTTCGAGGGAACTGGGCCTGAAGTATACGGTAAGCACAACCTCCCACCTTACTCTACAGCCATATCACTAACATCCCCTAGGCAACATCAACGCCCCAGAAGCCGTAACCTACTCCGCAATAATCTACTGCCTCCGCTGCCTCATCTCAGAAGACATCCCCCTGAACCAAGGCTGCCTAAAGCCTATCCACGTCAAGATCCCCCAGAAATCCTTCCTCTCGCCCTCCGCCAACGCCGCTGTGGTCGGCGGAAACGTGCTGACCGTATGCTATCCCCCCTCTCTCTTCCATCCTCCCTCATTTATAAACCCCAAACTAACGCCGTTCTTCCCGCACAGTCCCAACGCGTCACCGACGTCGTCCTGCACGCCTTCCGCGCCTGCGCCGCCTCGCAGGGTGACTGCAACAATCTGACCTTCGGCTTCGGCGGCTCCTCTACCTCGACCTCGGGCCAGAAAACCGAAACTAAGGGCTTCGGCTACTACGAGACCATCGCGGGCGGCTCTGGCGCCGGGCCGACGTGGAATGGCACCTCAGGCGTACACACTCACATGACGAATACGCGGATCACCGACGCCGAGGTATTCGAACGCCGCTACCCCGTTATCCTACGCGAGTTCGGGCTGCGGGAGGGCAGTGCGGGCAGGGGGATGCATAGGGGCGGAGAGGGGGTGGTGCGGGATATCGAGTTTAGGATTCCGGTGCAGGTGAGCATTTTGAGCGAGAGGAGGTGTTTTAGGCCGTATGGGCTGGAGGGCGGGGAGGATGCGGGGGTGGGGGTTAATGTCTGGGTGCGGGAGGTGGAGAAGAAGGAGGGAGCGGAGGGGGAGGGGGAGGGGGAGGGGAAGGAGTATAGGTTTATTAGCCTGGGCGGGAAGAATACGGCGAGTATGAGGCCGGGTGAGCGGATTATTGTGAATACGCCCGGCGGCGGGGGGTGGGGGAGGGAGGGGGAGGGGAGCAAGGTGGTCAGGCAGAGGGATCCGATGGAGGGGTGGCGGAAGGGGAGTTTGGCGGAGAGGCAGAGTGTGGCGGAGGCGTCGGCGTAGGGGGATGATGGATGCGAGAAAGGGATGCCATATGTTAACAATCACGTGTTCACTCTTCTACGCACGCTACTTAACGGTCCACGTGCCCCTCACGCCCCATAACCCTCTCACGCCTATAAAAAACCCCGCCCCTTTACCTACTCCCGCTTCTACTCAGCAGGAGGATTGTCAAGATTGAGAGTGCTGAATTTCTCAGTCAAAAAGCGTATGTGGGGCGTGTGAAACGTCTCCCCATGCATGCTACGATGGGCTGGGTGTTTAACAACCTGGTGAACTTCGAGGCATGGTGTGCAGAAACCGTTTCTGATATGGAATACATGAGCAACAGTGGCTGTTCGCAAGGCCCATGGGTGCAAAACTTAGAAATGTTGTACTCCATGGTGCAAACCGAGCAGAGAAACGCGATGATGGGTAGTGGGAAGTGGGTATGTGTGAGGATTGGTGATGGGGAGTATCCAGGTGGTTTAGTGATGGTTTCCGTGTTGGATTGGTGCTGGGGATTGGTACTAGGAGATTATGACGTAACGTGTATTGATTGTAGATGCTAAAGAGTGTATTTAAGTGATAGAGGAGATTATCATCAGCGCAATCTAGTAGGTTCCACTCGCTCCATGGCTTCATGACGTCGATCGTTTGATGTCCACACAGCCTCCGCTACTCTATTGGTCGTGTTTCTATGGAGTTTGCACCCAAGGAGGACCTGCACCTGCTCCATTATAGATGAGGATGTTGAATGTTGAACACCCTCTCGCCCACCGCCTGCTCATCAGGGTACTCCTGAGTCGTTTTGCAGTCCCAGATGCAACCACCACCCCACCATAAATTGGTGGGGTCGGTCGGTTTTAGTCGAGGACCACACCGACAGTCCACCCATTCAGCCTTTGCCATGCACGGTTTCCATCACGATCACCCACGCTAGCCCACCATCAGAAGAATACCTGGAGGTTTTTGCTAGATGATTTCGAATCACCAGCGGATTCCCCTCCGTCAACCCATGAAGGAGAAAACTAGATTCTGGAGAGAGTGGCATTTATAGGAGAATGGATAAAGGAACAAGAAAATGGATGAGTCAGCAGATCTTGACCGGTCACGGGTTGGTTGCGCGGGAGAGCACGAGTAGCGACGTGACCAGCACAGCGACCCAGACGGTACGATGGGCGAAAGGGGTATCCAAGGCCGCGCTAAAAGACTTACGCTCTTGCTCTTGCTTGGCGCTCTTACTCGATCTTGGTGGATCGCGTTTGCTCCCAGGGTAGTGCGGTAATGGACCGTCTTTAGGTGGACAACCGTGAGCCTGAATGCCTATTTTAGTATCGTGTACAATCTTTGTGTGGGTCAATTCTTGAACACACGCAATGCCAAGAACGCAAGGATGTGAGTTAAGGGCATGATGGGAAGCTGCCAGCAATATGCAAAGAGAGTTGATATTACCAGATGATTTGCGCATGCATCACCTTGCTGCCATACAAAGTTAGAGTATCCGTCCTCTAGTCGGTAGATGCAGGAGTATCAGGTGTAACCAACATCAACGCTGTTTGAATTCGAGGGCTTGGATGGAAAGGGCCTGCTGCCGCTTGAAAAGGGTCTGCTGCCGCTTGGAAAGGGTCTGCTGCCGCTTGGAAGGGGCGTGCTGCCAGACCCGAACATTATCTCACGCCTGAAGGAATAGCCATCGTGTTTAGACGGACGACCTATTGCCTGAGTTCTAACTTAGTGTCCTCTCGGACTTAGTCTGATTGCGAAGGCAATTACCAGGCATGCGCCACATTCATCACCATTCCGCCATACGAAATTAGGACAGTTGAATTCGAGACGGTTGATGCAAGCGTATTCGTTTTATCCACCGTCACCGCCACTCTTGGTAGGATGAGGCCTGCCATCAGGCCCTAATATTATCTCGCGCCTGAAGGGAGGACCCTCGGGTCTTTGCGGGGCGACTCTTCGAATTTAGTGCCTCTTTTGGTTATACTCTGACGAAAGCATTTACCAAGCATGATCCGCATGCATCACCATTCCGCCATACGAAGTTAGAATATTGGTAGTCGTTTCGATAGATGCAACAATATTGGTTGTAGCCACCTGCAGGCGTACTCATTGTGGTGTGCTTATAGGAACTTGAAGAATGAATACAGATGCGATTTTTACGTTGAAATTCAGCTATTAAGGGCTTTGACAGGCAGACTGTGCAAGTGTTGATGATATTTAGCTGATGGATGATAGAGACAACGTTCGGACCGCTGGAGAGGGGAAAAGATATCGCACGTGATCGACTTCGTCGGGCCGACCCGGTCCCCCGACCCCACTTCCACCTCATCCTTCACGAGCTAGCACAACACACGCCAATATCAACTACGTGAGTCCTCCCATTGCCTTTCCCAGCAATATTAATACTGACAGGATGACTGACAGCCCAAAGAAAAATGTACTGGTCATTGGCGGCGGCGCAGTGGGTGCCATTGCAGCCCTCAATCTTGAGCAAGGCGGCCTCGCTGCTGTCACCGTCGTGCTACGGTCAAACTACCACGTCGTGAACGAGTTTGGGTATGATATCGAGTCATGTGACCATGGTGTGCTAAAGGGATGGAAGCCGACTCATGGTATTCCCATCCTCTTCACGCTTTCTACGAGTCAATGCTTACTGGACTCAACTAGTCCGCGCTGAAGTCCCTGACATCACCAAAGAGTCCCTCAAACCCTACGACTATATTATTTGCACGACCAAAAACATCCCCGACATCCCTCCTTCCCTCTCCTCCCTCCTTTCGCCAGCCCTGCCCTACGAAAATACCACCGCCGTCCTCGTTCTCATTCAAAACGGCCTCAACATCGAAAAACCCCTTCAAGACGCCTTTCCCACCACGCCCATCCTGTCAGGGGTCAGCCTTATCGGCTCCGCCGAGATACGCCCCGGAAAGATTATCCAAGATGACCACGACCGCCTCCTCGTCGGCCCTTTCCAGAACCGCTCACTGGCTTCCGTCTTACAGATCGAGGCGAGTCTGGATTTCGTGAAGATATATAAAGCGGGCGGAAAAACGAACTGTACCTATTCGCCGGACGTAGAGCATGACCGGTGGCGGAAGCTGGTGTATAATGCGTGCTTGAACCCCATCTGTGCGATCACGGGGCTCGATACGGGGAGGATCCGGTTGGCGGATGGGGGCATTGAGGGGCTGGTGAGACCGGCCATGGAGGAGATTGTAGCCGCAGCGAAGCAGAAGGGGGTGTTGTTGGCGCCGGATGTGGTTGATGTGATGATTGGAATTGATCCGCTGGAGATTTATTTGAGTCCGAGTATGTTGGCTGATGTGAGGAAGGTGACTGCTGATATATTGGTCTCTACTGGGAGTCAGAGAGCTAACATTATGTTAACAGAACAATTTTATTGAGTTTGAGAATTTACTCGGCGAACCGCTGCGCGAGGGAAAGGCGCTGGGTGTGCCGATGCCGACGCTCGAGGTGCTGTACAACATCTGCAAAACGATACAATGGCGAACGAAGGAAGCTAGGAACATGGTGGAGATCCCACCGAAAAAGAGCGTGGTGAAGAGTTGAATGGCTTAGGATGCGGTAAGTTGGCTGTATATGAATCTTTATCGCAACGATATCACTTTATCTATAGTAATCAACTATCGGAGGCCTACCTATGACCGCGAACCTGCTAATTATACACGTCCGATCTACAGTAGCTTAGATTTGACACCAGGGACAAAGTATATGCAGACAGTCAGCGCTGTTCTGATGGATTCAACCAAAGCGCAAAGCCAGAGTTCTTGCGTCTAATTCGCAGGATTCTGAAAATAGCTAAGGAGATTGTGTTCGCCACAACGGTATTGTCTACATTGTCTTTCTTTGTGGTAAGCCTCATGAAAGCCTTGGAGGCGTACAGGCTTTGTCCTTTTGTCCCGATAGTCCCTAATCTTGACCCATAGCCATTAAATTTGCGTCAACCTTTGTTTCATTATGTAGTGAACAAAGCATTTCCATTTCAAGTATTTTGATATCCCTTGTATTCCCACTTTCTACTTCTCTTTGCCATCCTTGAGAACCTCAAATACTACCCTTCCTACACGACTTGGCCGTCATCGATTCTCGTTGCAGCGGACAAGCTAGCCTTCGGCACCATAATAGAAGAAACCCCTCCCAATCTCAGACCCCTTTTCATTCTTTTTGCTTTTATCAAGATGCCTGAGCTTAGGCCCCTCCATAGAGGTATCGACCCAAGGCGTGGTGTTATTAGAAACACTAATCCAGCTTACTCGACTCTCGAATACCAGCGGGCGCCCGCTGTACGACAGCTAGCACCTATCGCAGGCGCGCCAGCCGTGGCTCCACAATGCAACGACAACCCTACCTGCAGCGGCCCAAACGGAGGCACTTGCTCCAATCATGTATCAGTGTGCCCCGGAGATACTGACAGGCCGGGCCGACCCCTTTTCCGCTGTCACCAAAGAGACGAAAACCGCAACCCACGGGGGTTGTATCCAACATACCCTATGCACACAGTCTGCGAGGACTGCCAACAACACGGACGTCGAGCGCGAGAAGACGAAATCTCCGACCTCGCACTCTATAGAGTCCCCGCAGCCATTGACGTATGGAACAATCCACAAGGCATCCAATACAACCCAAACGGCCGCCGCGGGCTTCTATGCAGAGACTGCACCATGCGCGAAATCGGCTACTACAACGCGCGCATTCAAAACGTCGACCCCGCCACGGGTATCACCATCGAGCTCCCAGTCGGGGCCCCGGGTGACAACAGGCCCTTCAACAGCTACCCGCACGCCATCCCGTTCGGCGACCCGGCCAGGATCCCTATCCCAGCGGCCTTTGGCGCGCGGCGCCGACGCCCGCTGAGCGCGCCATGATCCAGCGCGAGTACATCGTGCAGGACTTCTGCCGATGCCTCCCGGAGCTCTTCCCCCGCAACCCGCGCATCTGCCACGGCCTCCGCAACGCGCGGTATGAGCGGCAAGAGCTCAACGCCGACTGGATGAGGCAGGTTTGCGAGGAAGTGGCCGTGCGCGGGACCGTGCTCGGGCGCGCGTCCACGAAACTAAGGAATAAGCGCCGCAGGGCGTTCAAGATATTCGCGTGTCCGTGCGGAAAGGACGTCGAGTGGCCGCCGGCGACGGAGGGCCCGCTTCTGAGGAACCCGCCGCCGGGGCCCGCGGCGCCGCCTGTCGTCAATCAGCAGATGGTGACGTTCTGTTTTACGTGTAAGGGGGTGAGGGTTGATCCGAATGTGGGGGATATAGGGGCGTATAGGGTGCCCACGCGAAGGAGTACGAGGGCGACGAGGGGGAATGTCGTGAGTTTGTGGCCGGGATTTATTCATTTGGGGGTGGAGCGGTTTGAGATTTTGGCGCTGGATGAGGGGGATCCGGCGTGTTATGGGAAGGTTTTTGATGGTGTGGATGCGGCGAAGTAGGGGGGTGGGAGGGATGGGGAGGCTTTTGGTGGTTGTTGTTGGCTGTTGTTGGGCGAGTTTGGTAGAGGTGTGTTGTGAGTGACTTGAATGACTTGAAGGCTAATGTACGTCCTACTAATACCCCAGGACTCCTCTCTTTTCGTGCCCCAGCAAACACGTCAGGTGTAATCAATATATAACGCGTGTTAGAAAGATATATATATCGGTACGTGCACGTCGCCCATCTAGTTTACATTTTCATTCCTTGTCTGCGCCTATTAGGAGTCCACCAACCCGAATCAACCCCTAAGAAACAATCGCAGGAGTGGACCAGAACTCACTCGAAAGTCTACGCTGAATCTGTTCCACTAAAGTGGCGCTCAAGTGGAAGCTGGTGGACAAGGCACAGTTGAGGGGTCGTAAGCGCAGCCACGTATCCAGCAATGACCTCAGGCCTAACAAATGCAGGACCGCCGACAGGCCGCTGTGCATGATTAAACGCCTTCTTAAGCAAGGCTGTTGGCCGAAGAGACTCGTTCTAGAATGGTCAGCCTGCCCGCTGTTGGCGCGTTAGGTGGCGGGATCTGTTCAGCTGATATGCCTTACTCCGGATAACTTCGAACATTCAGTATCTAATAGGCAGATTACGGGTACTACAACGCCACAGCGCTAAAAAAAACAAGTTTTTTCAAGCCTTATCATGGCCAATAGTTGATTGACAAGACCGGGTGAACGCATCATCGTACATGATGTGCCAATTAGCAGGCGGCCCGACCCCTCCAAAACGATACGAGTCTGCTCAGCCTTGCAGCCTTGCTTAAGAAGGCAGATTTTGGTCAACCATAAACGTGGCACCAGTCCACTCGACTTTCTAGTAACACCTGCTGAGGTCGCTATCCTGCAACTCTATAGCCGGAGCGGGTTGACCACCGTCGCTACTAGCGGTGGCAATACCAAGACTCGTCGTCAATCATGGTCGTACATCGATGACTTAGTGATAGAGTAGCAGTAACTTTCCCGTGAGCATCGAAAGGCAGCGAGGCCGTCCCTAGTGGTCAGTACTGTCATGGGCTCCCGGCTATCCCCAGTTCAACAAGGCTGAGAAGAGAGGCGAAACCATGAAACGCCTCGAAGATCCCCGCACGGATCGACATGGGCTTTCAGTAAAATCTGATATATTCTGCCGAGCTTATTTACGAAAGCCCGTCATATCCCCGCTTGCTGCTGAGCTGCAGCTAGGCAACAGCCGTATGCACCTTAAGCTTCAGCCTTGCGGCAAGCACTTTGTCTCGCCTTGCACCACCCAATCAGGCAGGCGGACGGTCGTGGTTCGGTTGGTGACAAGGCTTGGGCTAGTTTTACATAAGTATCACGGAGTCTGTTCTTTTAGCAACTTCTTGAATTTTCACTTCTTTGTAAAGCGGATGCTCGCCCCGGATAGCATCAAGTCTCTGTATCGCCAGCAGAAGGACCCAATTTCTTCAGTCTCCATATTACTCAGATAGACGGACCTTTGAATCAGCGTCGAGAAGTCGAGAAGGTATTCTTCAATGGCTACATCGCAGGGAGACCAACGCAGTAGTCGGGAACTGGAGAGCTCGTCTGTCCACTTCTCCGATGATTCCATGGCGTCTTCCACGGATGAAGGGGACGACAAGAACAAACGTAGCTCGGCACGGGAGAAGTTTCGTAGAAAATGCGAAGCAACCAAGAACTCCACCTGGGATCAAACAGAGACTGCCAAGTGGAAGCTTCGCAGGAAGACGGCGCCTCTTTGCAGCGCTTGCAGAGAAATTCCGTTCGCTGAGTGTCTCTCAGACTCCACAGGCGAAGGCGGAACCCAGGTTTCGAACGCGAGAAAACGCAAAGAGCTCGTGTATATCAAAAGTTTGTCGAGGATCTTGAAGTATCGGGATTGGTGTAAATTGTGTAGGCTACTGTTCCGAAGCATTTGCCAGCCGGAGTACGACTTGCTGAAAGCAGAGCATATCAGCAACGGCCTGCACGATAACGACAAGCTGAAAGAAATCGAGAGTTTCGCTGAATGGACCGAGAAGCCGGCTCATTGGAGGGCGGGAGCGGATGTGTGGCCGTTCGGATACGCAGTCGATCGCCGGCAAGCCGCTCAATCGACGCAGGAAAAGGCAAAGAGACTCTTTTCTCAGGCCGAAGAGCGCGATCTCAATTTCAAGAGCCTCAATGATATTGCTGAGATGTACAAGACTGACAGCCTGTCTGACCGCACGGTGGAGGTTACCAACACGGCGATATCGATCATGAATACGGCCGGGACAGACAATCCGCAGGTGCGAGAGGTTTTGGCTCGTGCTCAGGCGGTGACAGGCCATATGGCGCTGTTCAATAGTAAGAAGAGAAGGAGACTGCCTTGTATTCTTGTGATAAGGGCGTATCGGAAGGACGAGGAGAAAGCGGGTGTACTGAGCGTCCGCGTATATGGTAAGCTAGTTCTGTGGTACAACGTCAACGTCCAGCGTCAACGTCAATATGAGACATTTCGTAGGGTCTTGCACTTTTCAAGACCTGACTAGTACTTGGCGTAACTCCCCCTACTTTGAGCGACTGTGCTGACCTTGTAACTTCATCTCAGGCCATGGGCGGGTGCCGCTCGCTCCGTTGAAAGAGATATGCCATTTCAGCTTGCGGTTCGAGACGGGGAGCTCCCCCAATCTGCGGAATCCGCGAAGAGTCAAGGAGCAGATTTGGTACGGGAATAAACTAGAACTCCGGATCAACGTCGACTTTTTCGCAGAGTGCGCGAATGCGTGTATGGCGCTGCATAAAGAATGTGCAAAGTTGCAGTGGAGCACGTCAGCGAACTCAAACGCAAGGGACCGTGATGGCAATGCCTCGTTTAGACTGATCGATGTGCATAATATGCGCATCATTGAGACCGACTTTGAAGAGACCATCCGACCAGAGCCGCACCGGTATCATCTGGATTATGTGGCGCTCAGCTATACCTGGGGCAAAAAGCCATTACCTAAGGGCTGGATACAGCAGACTAGGGCTTCGCGCCAAGGGGGGCCTCCGCAAACGGAATACTATAACTTGGAGACTCGACAGGCAACGTTGAATCGTCCAGAACACGATGAAAGCCAAATCCCTACACGACTTACGACGGATAACGAGAGAATTTTGCTAAGCGAGAATGGCTTGAAGGGTGACGGGGTGTATATTCCGAAAACCATCGACGACGCAATCAAAGTCGTAAAAGAAGCAGGTCAACACTATCTCTGGGTCGACAGCCTTTGCGTCATTCAAGAAGAACACACTTCGGACAACCGAGCCAACATCGCGCGCATGGGGCGCATTTACAACCACGCCCTCTTCACTATTGTGGCCGGCGATAGCCCGCATGCGGACGCCGGCATCGACGGCATCAGCCGCGACCGAGATACCTCAGAGGTGATCATGGAGGAGAAGATCGTTGGCAACGCGCAACTGTTTTTGCCGGTTGGTTTAAAAGGGTTGAACTTTCGGCCGTGGGAGGAAAGGGCGTGGTGTTTCCAGGAGAAGGTAATGTCGAGACGGCTGCTTGTTTTTGCAACTGGTTATGCAGTATGGCATTGTAGGGGAGGTGTTTGGAGAGAGGATGTCAACGCGTTAGATGGGGACAAGAGTTCGGTTTCGTTCCCGTGGCTTCGTTTAACCCCGATCGACCCGCCTGATACCACGGCTCTCGCTCGAGCGGGACTAGAGAAGAGGAAAGAGGACGGGAGCGTGAGATTAATGAGGCACCCGGCTATGGATCAGTATATTAATGCGGTGGAAGATTTTAGTCGAAGAGCTATCGGCGAGAGCTGGAAAATCCTCGACGCATTTAAAGGAGTACAGAACATACTCAAAGGTCCTGAACTCCTTCATTCGCCCTTTCGAAACGGTCTACCGAGCAATTACCTAGACATTGCGCTGTTATGGCAGCCTAAACAGCCTTTACGCCGTCGAAGGGATCATGTTGACGAACATGGATGTGTTCTCCATTGCCCGCCGAGCTGGACATGGGCTGGCTGGGAATCTTCACAAGAATGTGAATACCCTAAGTCGGAAGGCGGAGCTGTGTATTACGACAAGCCATTCGACGTCCACTTCGACGATCTAGGCTTCGTCAAACGCCTTAAAAAACTTGGCGAAGAGCGCATTCGGCCCCGAAATTGGACGTTGTATGGGGTCAGCGCGAAGAGTCAGGAGCTTTTGGATCTAGGGATGTTCAGTCTTCCTGGTATGGGAACGAAGGTCTTCAACGATTGGGAATCCTGGGAACCCGAGCCAGCGACGACGGCGTTAAGATTTCCGGTCAGCGAGTTGAATGATCGGCACCTTGTGCTGCAGACGGAGGTAGCGACGCTGTTACTGGGAAAGGAATGCTGGAGAGAGAGGACGTACAGAAAACTTGCGGATTTTGAGTACTGTCGCGAGACTTTCCACGAGACTGACCCAAGCAATGCCTCTTCGACAGAGGCTCACCTTAGCCGAATCGCACCGACAGAGTCGGACGTCAACACTACAATATCGCACGAATACTGGATCAAGTCAAGCAAGGAAAACAACATGGGCATCGTAAAGATAGATGCGGGCTCCTATTATCAAACCTCCATCGATGCAGCCATATTGTCTGAAGCACAATACATAGGGAACGAGAAAAACGTTGATGTTTTAGGATATCCTTTCTATAACGTTATGCTTTTTGAAAGGAAGAGTGGGGGTATTCTTGCAGAGAGGATAGGCTTGGGTAAGATATACAAATCTGCGTGGAAGAAATCGAAGCCGAGGAATGAAATTGTCGTAGTAGAGTAAACGGGGGATTAGCTTACCTAGCAATCGGCATTCATGTCTATTCAGGACTTCTCGAGTCCGACCGTCACTGTCTTTCCATTTCTCTCCGCTGCACCTTCTTCCCACCCCAATATTCGATCGCACTCCGAGCATGCATAGTTTATCAAACACTTCTCTAGGTAATTCATTGGGCATAACAGCACGCGATGTTGGGCACTGATAACAAATGCATCCCATACCGCAGCACCCGAAGGGCTGCTCAGATAATATCCGCAGTTTCCCCCAACGCTTAACGGGCCTCTCAAACATGCCGATAGACACCACGCCCGAGTGCTCACGAGCAGAAGCAAGTAGCACTTATCTCTAATAATAGAATTTCAAACTTAATTGGCTCTCCACTAGGCACCAGAGAGTAAATAAAAACAGCCTCAACTATGTGATGTCTTTCATCACACAGATCTCGTTTCTTCTTGCTTTCCTCCTGTCGACAGTATATTTTATCTTTCGCTCCATAATATTCTCGCTCAAGCCAATGAAGCCAAGTTTCTCACAGCCCACCATTTGGTTCTGATTATTTGGCGGGTCTCCCGGAAGCATCCCCACCATACCAGGAATCTAGCACAGAGCCTTGCCACATTCTTGAAAATCAATATTCTCCAAATCGTTCATCTCGCTTGAGTATTGCGCCCTGAACTTGAACATTTCGAGGCCACCAAAAGACGGTGCCCATCGCGGTCCGGTGAAGAAGAGCAACCAGAGTGCCCCGTCTGAGATCAATAGAACCCACAGCGGCGGCAGCAGAACGACGACATAAATCCAAGACACAACGCCGGGATTTAACGAGATGATGCTAGGGAATAGAGCTCGCCGAACCACGGTTCAATACCACCTTACGGCGCAAGTAAATGGCTAGGCTAGCGTGAACGTCTTCAGTCGAAGTATATGTAGAGGCAGAAGACGTTGATAGTACGCGAAGTAGCTCATGTTCTTGCTCTCAGAGGTTCAGTGGCTAGGAAGAGGATTGGAAGTCTGCGAAGGCGTTGTGGCAAAACTGGACACACCACTCGCACGTACCAAACAGAAATATTTGCTAAAGTCTATATGTCACGTCGTACAATCGGTATTTGGTATGGCTAGCGTTTCGCTTGGGGCATCCAGACAACAATACTCTGGTGCAACACACGCACGTTGGGTTCTCTATCCGACCTACTGTCCAGCACGACAAACACAGGTACGCTGATCTTGCTATAGCCCCCGCAAATTGCATGCGTCATAGATTGCGGCTTGCGACAAGCCCCATCGCTGCTTCTGTCCACGCTAAGGATCTGCATGGCCAGACGGCAATCTTTTGGGCGGCTGCAGACGGGCATGCGGCAGTTGTCAAGCTGTTACTTGAGACCAGCCAGATAGGTGTCGATTTGAAGAGTGACCTTGGCTGGACCCCGTTTCTGTGGGCCGCTTCAAACGGACACGACCGTGTAGTCAAGTTACTAGCCCAGACAGGCCAAGTCGACGCCGATATGAAAGACACGCAGCGCGGTCGGACACCGTTGTCATGGGCAGCCGCGCAGGGTCACACGGCCGTAGTCTCGCTGCTGCTAGATTTGAGCCAGGTCAACGTCGAGGCGAAGGACAATGACGGCCGAACACCACTATCGCAAGCAGCCTGGGCCGGGCACGAAGCTATAGTGAAGCTTCTTCTTGAAAAGGGCTAGGCTAATATCGAGGCGAAGGATGGGAGCGGAGGGACCCCGCTGTTTTGGGCTGCCTGCAACTGCAATGAGGCTGTCGTGAAGCTGTTACTCGAGAATAGACAGGTCGGCATCGATAGAAGGATAACTTCCATCGAACGCCACTATCTTGGGCCGCGGAAAACGGAAATGAAGCTATGGTGAAGTTGCTGATCGAGATGGGCCAAGCGGACGTGAGCGCCAAGGACGAGGAAGGCCATACTCCTCTATCCTTGGCAGCAGCGAACGGACATGAAGGTGTAACCAAGCTGCTGATTGAGATTGGCCGCGCGGACGTCGATTCGAAGAATGTCTTTGGTCAGACGCCGCTATCGCATGCTACTAGGAATGGGCACCAGGCTGTAGTTAAGATACTTTTGGACAATAAAGCTGCTGCGGGCGCTTAGAATCTGCGTTTAGCATCTGCGCTAAGTGCATGTATAACTATTGGTGCGCTGGCTGTGAAGTGGAGAAGTATCAAGGGGAGAAGAGTGAGGTCGAGAAAAATGGCGACGAGGGTGCGGAGGAGGGAAATAATAAGGTTAATGCGGAGAAGTCAAGAATGAGATTTAGAAGCAAGATCCCCGGCGAGATTGTACGAAGCAAGGGTTTCACATGATTAAAGCGAGGTGCTAGACAAGAAAGGGTAAGATTGAGAGTGTTGGTGGCATAGGCCATACATATAGAGCAGGTCGACGAGTTGAGATCCCCAGATTCTCCGCCCCTGTTTCAAACCACTTGAGTTGACGAAGCTATTAGACTCGAAGATGCAGACTAAAATTTCAATATTTCTAAGATCTTGTACTTATCATCCTTTAGAGGCCAAACCCTCGCACAACCTTCCTTAGCTCCGGCCATAGAAACTCACAGCACATATAATACGCTCATAGCTACGAGATACTACTTATGAAGTGGTGTGGATGGGCGTGTAGGTGCTGCTCGGGTAAGGATAACTGCCGCAGGTCACCATCACCATCGAACTTATCAAGTTCTCGGAGTCGGCTAAGGCCTTTTGACATATTGCGCGGTCCTTCCACAGCTGGCAGTCTGTATTAGTATTTTCCTACGGGCCCAAGGATTTCTATTCAAAGCACTTGCCTCATTCGTAAGACAGAAGTCGATGATAGATAGTTGGCCAGCGCCTTTAGCGTTTATGTTTGCGACGACCGCTTCTACGTTGGCGATTTTGGCTGCTTGATAAGCGAGGGGCGCCCACACTCCAAAGATGATCGCTGCCAGTGCCCCGATTATCTGGAATACTGTACTGAATGTGATGTAGTTCCTGCGGGCCTGATGTTGGGGTGCGTTATTGCAGGTGCAGCTGCTACAGTGGGCCGAGGGCATGGTGCTGGAATGGAATCGCAAAGATACTCGCAAATGAGTTGATGATGATGACTTCAAGTTTCCTCGAGGGAAATGGTCTTCGCTCATCGTTTGTTAAATGGTGATGCTTGCAGGTGATTCCCCATTGCTGCGCCCCATTTTGAGCTGTGCTGCAGGGCAAGCGCCGTGACGCAAGGGGCGCTGTACTAAGCCACCACGAGCGACTTCGCGTGGAGATCGGGACCACCACGACAAGTCTTTGAGGCCGGCATGCAGGACTCACGAACGGGTTTTCAGAGCCAACAAGACCTTCAGCTTTTAATTGGTCCATGTCTGTTTCTGCACAAAGGGAATTCTGCGGTGCCCAGGAGCGGTTAGACTGCGGTTAGCCACAGGCTCCAGCAGGTATAGACCAGTCTTGGCTTGCTCGAGCTGCGGAAAGCCTGAGGTATGCTCAGCTACGAGTCCGGGAGCAACACGCTCCCTCTTGGCTTTTTTATCCTTCCGTAGTACCGCTTAAGGTCCTCTAGCGCGGTGTGAAAGATCGGAAAAGGGTAATATTAGCAAGGTGCAAGGCTAATAGCTTTGCAGGCCACCTCGAAATGGTGTCGGACTACCACTTTAATAGTCCTGTTGGAAACCTTACATGCTCAGGTTCCAGAGCCGAAAGAGACACTAGTAGAATTAGTTTTAGGGTACATTCACGCCTATACCACCGATCAATATAGTTCCTTTCATTTCCTTTTTAGGCTAGCGCCATATCTCCCGTTGGTAAGCAAAATTACCCCTGGCTTAACTTCGGCTCACACCTACTACTCCCACAACTTAGACTGCTCACCTTCAGCACACTCATCTGTCCAGACCCCGTAAACTAGTTTGATTGTATGGCATTCGAATCATAGCCGTTTACCCTCTTGCGTGCTAACTATCAAATTGCTGTTATCAATGGGATTCCGTGTGATTGCTTATCCATTGGACATCTCCGTCCGCCGCGGCGGCGGACGGACACGAGGAGTTTCTGTTTCCCGAAATACCAACCCGCCGCATTTCAGTCTGTCATATTGCAACCTCCGCCGAGCAAGATACTACGTCTCTGTTTACTAGGCAGAGAACCCGCGCCCGGCATCGTTGTCAGCATGTCTGCACTATCTCCGTCCGCATCACACTCCGCGTCACCCCACGCGGCTCCGTTCAATTCAGAAACGGGCCACAAGCGGAGGAAGCTCCGCAAAGGCACTCATAGCTGTTGGTAAGCAGGATCCCCGATGCCGTAGGCTGCGTGGAGTCTGCCTGCTTAAACCAACGTAGGGAATGTAAGCGGCGGAAGATCCGATGCATCTTTGCCCCATCCGACGACGAGACGTGTACCAATTGTAGGCGCCGAGGTAAAGTCTGCGCTGGACAAGAATTGCCAGAAACGGTTCCCCCGAAGCAGGAACACTATGGTGCCATCAGCGAGGGCATCGTGAAAGTGCAAAGCTTGCTCAGCGACTTGGCCAGCAAGCTCAACGCAGACGCATCAAACACCGGGATACTCGATGCCTCTGCCCGTAGCAATACCCCGCCTGCCACCACGACTAGCTTTCCTGTAACACCTACTAGCAATGTCGATACCATCTCCGGAAGTGCGAGTGCTCATCTTTCCCTATCGACCAACGAAGAGGCTATCTCGGCCTCACTGCTGGCCGCTTTCCCTTCCCGTCAAGACACAGAGACTCTGCTTAGATCAAGCAAGAACATGTCATTTTGCTGCCAGATGATCAACTCGGAGTGGCAGTGCATGATGACAAAGGAAGAATTCGACGAGGCACCCATCAAAACGCCGACTATGCCAAACTCGAAAACACACCCCGTCATTTTGGCCAGACTAATGCTCGCTTGTGCCGTGTTCCTGCAAAGCGCGTGGTACCATCGTCACTACACCTTCTCTAAACCTCCACATACCATCAAGGAAAGATTAGTAACCGCAGCCATCAAACTAGTGACTACAAACAGCGAACTACACGGAAGCCTAGATAGCCTAGAGTGCATCATGATGGAAGGACTGTTCCACACCCATGCGGGAAACCTCCGGCGAGCGTGGTCGGTATATCGAACAGCTATATCGTCAGCACAATTGATGGGAATTCATCGTTTCCCAAATCTTCCGCTCAAGAGAATCGACCCTGAAGCTACATTCTACCCTGAGATGATGTGGCTCCGTATCGTCTACATGGACCGCTATCTGTCCCTACTTCTCGGTCTTCCGCAAGGCACAAACGTCAGCAGCACCAGCGCATTGATGCCTTCACTGCTGGAACCCGAACCTCCAATCCGCAAGCTTCAGCGATCACTTTCCACTATAGCAGGACGAATCCTAGAACGCAACGAGCTCGGTCTCTCTTCCTACAGCCAAGACCAGATCATCGACGCGGAACTACTCAAAGCATCCCAAAGCATGCCCGGGGACTTCTGGCGCCCCCCAAGCTACGACGGCGTGCCGCTAGGCTCGTTCGAAGAGGCGCAAGAGACCATCCGCCTCATCTCCCAAGTCTTCTACTTCTACCTGCTCAACCAGCTGCACCTCCCGTACATGCTTAGTTTCATCCACAGCGACCGTTTCCGCAACGTAGACCGCCACGAAGATTACTCCACCATCACGTGCGCCAATGCTAGTCGCGAGATCCTCAACCGCTTCATCGCTTACCGGAACGTCAATCACATGGCCTTGTGTTTCCGACCGGTGGATTTCACCACCCTCACAGCCGTTTTAACGTTATTGCTCGCGCATCTGGATATCCATCTCTCGCTTTCCCAGGGTGATTCCACACCGGTCGCGAAGAACTTTCTGGCGCATCAGCGCCTCAGTGACCGGATTCTATTAGAACAAGTCTTGCAGAAGCTTGATCTTGTCAGCCAATACCACAACGACGCTATGAGTATTGAGTGTGCGAAGTTGATGCGGTCGCTGCTCAAGATCGAGGCTGCTGCGGCCCAAGGGGAGGATTACCATTGGACGCCCACCGACACACCGCGAAAGGCCTCGAGCGGCGCAGTGGTTGATGAGTCGGATGGAGGTGATATCGTGCTCCGGATTTCGATAGCATGCCTCGGCGATATCCGCATTTCACGTAAGGGATGCATATCAAAAGTGTTTTCGGACGACGCGGCAAGGTTTAAGCATCCTCGTAATAGCGGATTGGACGACGAGGTAGCGACAGGAGTGCCGCTTGGTCAATTTTCTAGCGTAGATATCTCTGAACTGCCTGACGGGAACCAACAACAGAATTGGGACGTGTCGAACCCGAGTGTGGAGCAAGGCGAGGACTATGTCTCTGAACAGATGCGCCGCAATGCGAACCCTACTACGACTACTGGTAGGGACGATTGGGCGCTTCAGGGAGTGGATTTGGCTTTCTTTGACACGCTGATGATGGATGGACTAGCAACTTTTGATCAAGGCTTCGAAGGCGCTCCACATTAGAATAATAGTAGCAGTTGTTCATGATATAGCATTAGTGAAGTCGTTGTCAATGTGATGTGTTCTAAATAGTCAGACCATTGACAGTGTGAGTAGTCTGCAATCTGGTGTTAGAGAAGTTAGATCAATCTAACCGCACTTCAAGCGCATCTCGACATGGCTTTACGCGTAGCCTGCCTTTCCCTGGGAGACACCAGGTTGATAAGCCAGTGAGGAAGCTTTCCTCTTTCGGGGGTTTCCGCTTTGCTACCCCTACAATAGACAGAAAGAACTGTGCAATGCCGTTTTCTTATAAGCCCATGACTACGTTATCGCCAGTACCTAAAATGGCCAGTGTTTCGTCGCCCAAACATGAACCTCCGCCCCCGCGCGCGGCGGAAGAAGCACGTATTGCTAATTAGATCGCACACAAACGTTCAACGATTCAGATTTCTTACAAAATTGGACCTCGCTAGTTTTGCGTGATGTGAACTTCCGCCCGCGGCGGCGGAAGAAGCACGTATTTCTAACACGTTTCACCTCGTTGATCTCGCACAGATGTAAACTTCCGCCCGCGGCGGCGGAAGAATAGGTATTGATAATATGATCGACACCCCTTTAGTGTGCTAAAAGTCATCAGAGCCTTTGTACTTAATGCCCAGCTACGCACCGTGTATGTTTTTCTTACTATCGACTTCGAGCTGGCCAGAACACGACCTCCTACCGCCAACCCTCGATAAAACGTTCGGAAGGCATCGGAAACCAGCACTTTACCAGAATCTCGATAGATCCTTTCGTAGGTTGATTGACTTTACGGATCTGGATTTCCTAGTCCGGTGCGATGGGATCCCTCCAGACGAACAGCGGCCCCCTCACGCCAACCCTATCGAAAACCACTAGCGACGCCGAAAAGCCTCAGGATGTCGACAACGTCGCAGAGAAGGAGAACGAGAGCGGCGGCGCGCCCTCCCCAGAGCCGCCTACGCCTTCCCTAGAGCCTTCTTCACCTGAGCCTGAAAAGCCCCATGGCCTCCAAATGATCCTCATCATGTCCGCCGTCCTGATGACCCAATTCCTCGTCTCCCTCGACCAGGTGCGTCCTCTCCCTCCCCCTCCCCCTCCCCCCCCCTTCCCCCCAAACTAACAACCCCGCTCCCCCAGACCATCGTCGCGACCGCCATCCCCCGCATAACCGACGAATTCCACGGCCTGGACAAGGTCTCCTGGTACGGCTCCGCCTACTTCATGACCTTCAGCGGCACCCTCCCGTGCTGGGGCAAAGCGCTCGTCTACTTCCGCCTCAAACACATTTTCCTGCTCGCCCTCTTCGTCTTCGAGCTGGGCAGCCTCATCTGCGCCGTCGCGCCCAACGCCAACGTGCTGATCATCGGCCGCGCCATCGCCGGGCTCGGCTGCTCCGGCGTCGGGACCGGCGCCTTCCTCTTCGTCGCGCTGGCCGCTGCGCCGCGCCGCCGCGCGAAGCTGCTCGGGCTGGTCATCTCGACATACGGGATTGGGGCGGTGTGCGGCCCGCTCATCGGCGGCGGGTTCACCGCCAACGTCAGCTGGCGCTGGTGCTTCTACATCAACCTGCCCATCGGCGGGCTGGCGGCGCTGTTTACGGTGCTGTCGTTCAACGTGCACGTCGACCCGTTGCCCGCGCGCTTCAGCGAGAAGGTCCTGCAGCTCGACCTCGGCGGCGCGGCGGTGCTGATGGGCGGCATCATCGCGTTTACGCTCGCACTGCAGTACGGCGGGCAGACGATGGCGTGGGACAGCAGCGTCGTCGTCGGGCTGCTCGTTGGGTTTGTGGCTATCTTCGCGGCGTTTTTCGCGTGGGAGGTGTGGCAGAGGGAGCGCGCGATGCTGGTGATGCGGTTGTGTGCGCAGCGCGCTGTGTGGGTGGGGAGTGCGTTTCAATTTTTTTATGGGGCGTCGTATTTTGTTGGGTTGTATTACCTGCCTATTTATTTTCAGAGTGTGAGGGATGTCAGCCCGTCGGATTCCGGGGTCAGGAATCTGCCGTTGGTGTTGGCGTTTGGGATTTCGTCGATTACGGGGGGATTGGCGCTGTCGAGGTATGGGTATGCGGTGCCGATGATGGCGGGAGGGTCGTGTTTGGCGACGGTGGCGTGTGGATGCTTTTATACGCTTGGTGGGAGCACGACAACGGGGCAGTGGATTGGGTTCCAGATACTGGCGGGCGTGGCGTGGGGGGTTTGTTGGCAGTGTACGATGGCGGTAGCGCAGGAAGGTCAGAAACCAGAACACTTACCCTCCATCACCTCTATCATTCTTCGTAAGCACGCTCCCGTTTTCGTTTCTTACGCCTCTTGAAACTTCGACTAACTCTTGGTGGTCCAGTGTTCCAGATCCTCGGCGGCGCGTTCGGCATCTCTATCGCGCAGTGTGCGTTCAACAACACGATGATCCAAAATGCCCTTTCGAATTTGCCGGGAATCGATGCAAGTTTGTTGCTAGGCACGGGCGCAACGGAGATCAGGAAAGTGTTTTCGGCACAGGAAATCGATGGGATAGTGGATGCGTATATTGCTGGGCTCCGGGTTGTCTGGGGACTCATGGTCGGCTTTGCGGGTTCTGCCTTTGTCGTTGGCTTGATGAGCCACTGGAGGAGGCTTTACCAGGATCCGGATTCGAAGCCCGCGACGCAGCACATGGCCTAGGATTCGAGCTGGCGGCGGTGGCGCGGCGGGTGCTTGGGTACAGGATAGGGACGGCTTTTCGTCCGGTAGCAAGAGTTAGATCTTAGAACTTTAATACATTCTTTGTCTGCTACAAAGGTACAAAAGTCATCGAAAACGTTTGGCTGCTCGACGGCCACGGGCTTGGTTGCCGTTGCGAGCAGTGTCGAGAAATGATCTCTTTTGACCCATGGTAATCTGGTATCTGAAACCACTCGACGGAAAGAAAGAAAGATAGAGAGTTGCTGGTGATTGGGTGTGAATCGCGTAGAACAGAGTAGAGAGCAGTGATGACGTTCGGGCCTCGGCGCGGCTGCGACAGGTAAGTTTATAAACATCGCATCAACCCAAAGAATTCGAGTCTCGTTCTTTTGCTGCGTATGGAATAACATCTGGTAGACCGTTTCCGTGACGAGCATAATGGATCCGTCACATTCTATGGAAATATTGCAGGCTCCGTCTCCCCAAGCGTATGAAATAGCTGCATAGTCTGGGCTTGGTGTGTCGGATAGATCATGGGTCTGCAAAGAGATTCGGATGTCCCGCTTGGGGAGCCCCTGGATGCAGGTAGAGGAACCGGATAGCTTGAGAATGCGGAAGTGGACTCTGCTGATATATGTGACGAGGCCGAATGTCCCTGTACGTGGAGAGTCGTCGCAACCCATAGCGCTGTAGAGGAGGTTGACCCTCTGGCTTGGCGTGGACCTTCCAAGGAAATCGCGTTTTGTTTCGACGATAAGACATCGATATAGACGCGGAGGAAGATGGCGGTAGGACGACGAAGAGAGGCGATAGTCGCGATGATATCGGCAGAGGACGTTGGAATACCAAAGTAAGGACGGCTCAGCTCAACTCTGGAAAGAGACGGGAGAGGAAGCAATTGTTACGAAAGGCTAGCAACGGCGGCAGTGCTCAAGTTCTTGAGGCTAAGCGCTGCAGCCTGCACGTGTGCACAGTCCAATTCAGCCTTGTCTCCAACGGTGGGGCGACGAATAAGACGGAAGGCTGAGCACTTCCAGAGATTTGTCGAAGAGGCTGAAGTTTCACCGCATCCAGCTTCGTGCAGGTAGGTGTAGAGACGGTCACGTGACATAGACGGAGGATCGGTCATGAAGCTCGTAGGCCTGAATCGTTGATTGAAGCATCTTCATGGCATGTCAATGTTCGTAAGATCCTGCTCGAGCAATCCCATAATATACTGATTGCCGGAGAACCACTCTTGCAGATTCGTGGAAGCATCAAATTCGTTCTCCTGCGCCGTGTTCGGATAAACCGGGTTCGGCGCCATGCCAAGCTGGCTCAGATAAGCATCGAATTCCGCTCCATAACCCACGTCCATGAAGTCGTTCGACGGCGGAATTGCATTTCCAGCCGGCTGCGAGCCGTAAAGGTCCTGCGTTTTGGACTCCACGTAGACTTTCGCGACGCGGTAGAAGACATCGAAGAGACGACGCAGCTTCTCAGTACTCACAGAAGTCTTCTTGTGCGAGTAGAGAGTGGCAACGAAGTCACAAAGGAGTGATAGATCTGATTGCTCGTAAACGGTGATTACGTGACAGAAAAGTACTAGAAAGGGCGTGAAAGGTGCATTCATGACAGCCCTATGATACTAATTAGCACTGGTAGAGTAGAGATTTAGGGTTTATATCATTGGATTTACCATCCGATATAGCCGGCCCAGTACTCCGGATGCTTGTTTTTGTACTGGTCGGCGCACTCCAGGTGCTGTCGTATAGCCGCTCGTGCTGACTCGATGCATTCAGTCGAGAAGGTGTTCGAGAGGTCGTTGTACCGTGGAGGAATGGCGCGATATATGAGTGTCAAAGTTGAGTACATTGTAACTTGATCCGCATGCGAGAATATATTTCTGGCATCTTCCGGAATGGGGTCCTTGGTCAATTTCGACTAGCGCGAGAAATTACGACGTGATACTACCAGTGAGGTTTAGGGTGAACTAACCTGATTACTTTTATTGACTTCGCCGATTCTGAAAACAAGCATCCTAGCTCTCTCAATTCGCTCTTTGTGGCTGGCCGCGAATGCTGCCGGGCTGTACAGTTGATCGTATACTTGTCCTTGCACCTTTGTAAATTTGATCCAATGGCAAACCATCTCTTTCCACATAGCTGGTGATGATCCTCCCGGAACAGGCTGAGGGATCGAAATGTCGTCGTCTCGGATAGTTGACGAGCGACCCAATCGCAAAGATAAGCTCTTATCAATGGTGTATATTGACCAGAAGAGGAACATTTTCATCTCTTTGACGTCTTCTGGATCGCCATTCATAGAGGAGATTCGATGGCAGCCGAGACTTTGGCTAAGACTTGCGGCATGGGCAGTTAGAGTCCAACACGAGGATGGCTTGGACAGCTCCATGTAGTGACAGCCCTAACATGTTAGGCATTGTTAGCAAAGTATGAGGAGAACTTACTCCCAGCAACAAAGCTTGTACATTCTCGATGGTAGCTGGCATGAGAAGGGGCAAGTTGAGTAAAAGAGCCTCGAAATTGCGCCTACACAACGCTGCAAGTGGCCCATATTGCTGTTCCGCTGCGTCATCATGCATAACCATAAGATAGTCAACGCAAGCCGTTTGCATGCCGCCATAAAACAGGATCTGTGTAGTCGAAGAGCAATGCTCGTTGTCATAAACGGCCGAACATGAGTCCCTGAGTCTTTTTCCGGTCAGGAAAGGAAAAAAGCAATAGCCAAGGCCATTCAAGTTAGCTCCTGAAGACAGTATGGTGTAAGCTTGGCAGGATCACGTGTCAGAGTTGGGATCTTACCTTCAGCTCTTTCCAAGAATTCTAGCACCAGACGTCGTGGAGGTCGCTCGACACTTGTTTGTCGAAGTTTTCCAGCATTGCTTCTCGGAGCGTCTCCAGATTGGCATTCTTCAGTCTCGGTGAACCCTTTTGAGACTATATTTCGGAGAGATGAGAGCGCAGCAGCCATCTCCGGATTTTGACCGGTGAAACCATCGCTGCCAACTTTCTGCTCAAGCAGCCGGCTTGCAAAGACAGAATGTGCATTGAGACTCGTATCTCCCTCAAAAGGCACATCATCGTCTAGGGGCGGATGAGCTTCCTCATACCCATGCGCAGACGGAGCGACTGAGATGCCCGAGTCCGGGGAGCTGTGCTGCGTAGCGGCCATGTTAGTGGTAAGCGCTCGCAACATTCTCTCAATCGAGGCAAGGCGGTCTTCGATTCGATCGATCTTCTTCTCACTGAATGAGTCAGAGCGAGCCCTGTCCATCTTGGACTGCAGAAAATGAAATGCTTACTATTGGCCGGAGATGAGCACCCTTTGGCGGGGGTCTTTCTTTTCCTGCGTCGTCCGGCAGGTTGTTTTGGAAGCCCTACAACTTGAACAAGGGATCAATTTATCGCACTTGATCTTTCTCGTTCGGCAGTTGTCGCACTGTAAGAAATAAATATCAATCCCCTGAAGCAATGCATCGTTGATGCGTACTGCACGCTGATTGGGCACGAACGAGGCCTGCCCTGCATCCACTGAACTCGATCGAGAGGCGCTCATCTTGGCGATATGGGTGCTTCGGGTCCCGAGGAATGCGAGATGGCGGCGTTGAGGAAGTACAAAGTGTGGCGGGGATGCTGTGTGGAGGGAGACGCGTGGTGGTTGGAAACCTATCAAAGCGGCGGATTCCGCGGAACCCGTGCCAAGACATATCGTATCCTTGTAGACTTTTCTTAGTAGCCACTTTTGCATCACTACCGCCAACATGTAGTCATCCTTCATCAACGCCCGTGCTGCGGCTACGTATTCCTTAGATGCCTGTACTTCAGGACTCTGCTATGTTTCTGCCTTTTTGTCGGTGTCCTCGGCCTCCGCTTCAATCTCATATACACATCGCCGCCTCCTACCGCGAAGCATGCAACATATAGTAGGACTGCAGACCATGCATACAGCGAGAATATACTCATTGTTATCTTTATCTTGATTAGAGAGACTCCCTCTTGTCCATTTCAATTGCGGCTGTTCAAGGTTTTGTTTCGATATCATGGCACGTGGACCCCAGAAGTCTCGATCAGACGAGAGTCTGAAAGGGAATGTTGATGCTGAATCCAAGAGCAAAGAGGGCGGAGGAGTCAAGAGCTACTTTGTGAGTCTGATCGGCCTGACGACATGCGCGATCTCTAACGAGCCATGCAGCGCGTCTTCAGATATGCCGACTTCACCAGTTGGGTGCTCAACATCATCGCCTTCATCGCGGCAATGGCTGCTGGCGTTCTACTCCCCTTAATGGACGTCATATTCGGTAGATTTGTTACAACTTTCAATGACTTTGCAGTCGGGAAGTCGACGAAGGCGAAGTTTCAAGGCGACATACGAACGTTGAGGTGACGTCTCCTCACAATACTGGTCTAATATCGCCTTCTCATCCATATACAGCTTGTACTTTGTCTATCTATTCATTGGAAAGTTCTGTTTAACGTATATCCATACTGTACGTTTCCGTCACGTGACTACTCTGGTTTGGTCTAACCCCCGCGGCGACATAGCTGTTGATTTCAATATCCGCGATTAGAACGACAAGAGCTCTCCGAATTGATTTCCTAAAGCACACTTTACGCCAGAACATTGCCTTCTTCGACTCCTCGGAGGCTGGATCTACCTCCGTGCAGGTTACCACCAACGGAAACGAGGTCAACTCTGGTATAGCCGAGAAACTCACCCTCACCCTCCAAAGTATCACGACTTTCTTCGCTGCCTTCATAGTCGCCTTTGCGGTTCAGTGGAAGCTTACTCTAATTACCATCAGCATAGTCCCCACTATTCTCATAGTTACATTTGGAGCGATTGCGATTCTCGTAAAGACCGAAAGCCAGTTGTTACCCATCTATGGCGAGGCTGGTTTGATGGCTGAGGAAATCTTCTCTAGCATGAGAACTGTGCACGCCTTTTGGCTGCAACCGCTGATGTCTCGCAAGTACGATGGCCTTCTTGCCGATGCTCAGAAGGTTGGCAACAAGAAGTCTCCCATATACGGCGCGTTATTCTCCATAGAGTTCTTTTGCATATTCTGCGGGTACGCTCTCGCATTTTGGGAGGGAATTCGGCTATACTCCAGTGGTGAAATCAAGCAATCAGGCAAGGTTGTGACGTAAGTTTCTCTGCTAACTAGTTCATCTATATTCTCTGATCTTTCACGATAGCGTTATCTTTGCGGTCATTGTCGCTGCTGCCGCACTGACTCAGGTCGGCCCGCAGATAGTCCAAATCACCAAATCTTCCTCAGCTGCGGCGGAGTTGTTCAAAGTCATTGATCGCGTTCCGGAGATTGACTCCATGTCAAACGAAGGACTGCGCCCGGAGAAGTGCATCGGAGAACTCGAGGCGCAAAATCTTCATTTCGCGTATCCTTCACGACCTGATGCACCTGTCCTCCATGGGTTGAGTCTTATTATACCACCCAAGAAGACCACAGCTTTGGTCGGCGCTAGTGGATCCGGCAAGAGCACGATCATTGGGCTCCTAGAGCGATGGTACGACCAATCAGAAGGCCATCTTCTCGTTGATGGAATAGACATACGAGAGGTCAACATAGAATGGCTGCGCACTCGGATGCGACTCGTCCAGCAGGTACGAACCAGCTCTTCATTGGCCGTCGCCGTTGGGAGAACTCCCCGCCTGTTTGCATGCGAGTTGACTTCTCGCTGGACATTAAAATCTAACTCACTCTAGGAACCTGTATTGTTCAATGGAACAGTATTCGAGAACGTTTCGTTTGGATTGCTCGGCACCGAAAGGGCTGGCTTGTCTCAGGATGACCAGTTGCAGTTGGTCAAAGAAGCATGCAAAGCAGCTTACGCTGATGAATTTGTTGAGCATTTACCAAAGGTAAATGAAAGTACGCTCCATCTTTGAGGATATTTATTGACACACGCCAGGGATATCACACAGAAATCGGCGAACGCGCTATTATGCTTTCAGGTGGCCAGAAGCAAAGACTGGCCATTGCTCGTTCCATCATCTCTAACCCACAGATTCTTCTTCTAGACGAAGCCACCAGCGCGCTTGACCCTTACGCGGAGAAGGTCGTCCAGAAGGCCCTCGATAATGTCTCAGAAAATCGCACGACTTTAGTCATTGCTCACAAGCTATCGACGGTCCGCAACGCAGATAACATAGCAGTCATTTCTGACGGTAGAATCATCGAGCAGGGAACTCACGAGGAACTGCTCGCTACCGATCATGCTTACGCTCAACTTGTGAGAGCTCAAGACCTTGGAGGAGGTAGTGGCGATAGGGACGAAATTATGGATGAAAGTTCAGACGCAGAACCGCTTGACCACAAAGTCTCACTTGTTCGAACCAACACACAGGTCGGCTCACTACATGCCGAAGACAATTCCGTTAAGAAGCAAGGCCAGACCATGAATTATGGTCTGGTCAGGTGCATTTTGATCATGCTCGGAGAGCAGATGAACCTGTGGTACTATTTTCTCATGTCTGCGGTTGCATTTATCCTCGGTGGTCAGTACACTACTTCTCCAAAAGCACGTTCCAATATGTTAATAACTATACAGGCCTCACATTCCCAGCGCAATCGATACTGCTGTCCAAAGCGATCAATACATTCCAACTCGAAGGCGCCAAACGGACCAGTCACGCCAACTTCTATGCCCTCATGTTCTTCATCGTGGCTCTTGCACAATTCGGAATTTACTTTACCGTGGGTTTCGTGGGTAACAGAATAGCTCAGGTACGTAATATAAACGATTAGTATTCCTATCGACAGGTAAGCTAATTGGGTCTAGGTAGTCTCGCGCAAGTACAGACTAGAGCTCTTCGAAAACTCTATTCGACAGGACATGGCTTTCTTCGACAGGCCAGAGAATACGACGGGCGCACTTGCATCCCGCCTATCTACGTACCCAACCAACTTAGAAGAGCTACTGGGGTTCAACATAGGGCTCGTCTTAATTCAATGCGTCAACCTGACTGCTAGCTGCATTCTTGCTCTCGTGATCGGATGGAAGCTAGCCCTGGTGGTCATATTCGGCGCTCTTTTACCCCAGGTGACTTGCGGATACCTTCGCGTAGTACTTGAAGGGAAGCTCGAGAAAGAGACTTCAGAGAGATTCTCTAGCAGTGCTGGACTTGCGGCAGAGGCTGTTTCAGCAATCCGCACTGTGTCATCGCTCACCATGGAACGACACATCATCCAAAGATACGAAGAGAGGGTCGGGGGAGTAGCCGCCCGATCGATGAAGTCGCTCATCTGGACCATGTTTTGGTATGCCTTGACACAATCAATCTCTTTTGCGGCTATGGCCTTGGGCTTCTGGTAAGCCATCTACAGTTCCTCTTACGCGAACTCATTCTTGTAGCTCGAAACTCACAACCCCAGGTACGGTGGCCACCTCATCTCAATCGGCGAATACTCCACTAGCCAATTCTTCATCGTCTTCATCGGCATCGTCTTCTCCGGCGAAGCCGCCGCCCAATTCTTCCAATACACCAGCAGCATCACCAAAGCCCAAGCCGCGGCCAACTACATCCTCTGGTTCCGCACGCAAATCCCCACAATCCGCGAAACCGAACCAACCTCCCCCCAACATTCCGAAACCACCCTCAAGAGCGACTACTCCGCTAAAGACCCCGGCCACGCCACCTGCACCGCCCTCGAATTCGCCTACCCCACCCGCCCCAACGCCAAAGTCCTCAAAGGCATCAACGTCGACGTTCACCCAGGCCAATTCGCCGCCTTCGTCGGCCCCTCGGGCTGCGGCAAAACCACCATGATCGCCCTCCTCGAGCGCTTCTACGACCCCTCCTCCGGCATCATCCGCTTCGACTCCACCCCCCTGCCGCAGCGCAACCCACGCCTCTACCGCGCGCAGCTCGCGCTCGTGCAGCAAGAGCCGGTTCTCTACGACGCGAGTGTCTACGACAACATCGCAATGGGCCTCGCGGACCCTTCTAACGCCACGACCGAAAAGATCGAGGACGCGGCACGTCAGGCGAATATACACGAGTTCTTGGTCAGCTTGCCGGATGGGTACGGCACCCTCTGTGGCGGGCGCGGCTCCCAGCTCTCCGGCGGGCAGCGGCAGCGCATCGCGATTGCGCGGGCGCTGGTGCGGAGGCCGCGGCTGTTGCTGCTTGACGAGGCGACGAGCGCGCTGGATACGGAGAGCGAGCGGGTTGTGCAAGCGGCGCTGGGGAGGGCGAAGGAGGGGAGGACGACGGTGGCGGTGGCGCATCGGCTGAGCACGGTGAAGGATGCGGATGTGATTCTGGTGTTTGAGAAGGGGAGGGTGGTGGAGATGGGGACGCATGGGGAGTTGTTGGGGAAGAGGGGGGTGTATTGGGAGATGTGTCGGGGGCAGGCGTTGGATAGGGCGGTTTGAGGGGGTGGGTGAGGAGGGAAGGTGCCGTTTGGGGTATGGGGCCTTAGGGTTTGCCATCAGGTGGGTAGATGTTGAGCACAGATAGGATTGTCTTCAGAGTGTAAGAGTCGTGGCCAGGTAGCCATATATACGGCGTCTCATATACAGCCTTATATACGGCTATATAGAATATACGGCTAAAGAAATTAGATAGAATGCGCTGTAAAACGGAGAGGCTATATAGCTATGCTAGTTTGTATAGCCTCATGATGGCTAAGTATATTAGAAAGGATAACACGTGCGGATGCACGTGATAGTAGAGCTCCGGACGAAGCTCCGAGCCGCTCCAACCAATTAGAAGATCAGACAAGAGGGAGGGTGTGCGTGGAGTGATTAGGGGGTGTGCGTTTATCCAAAATAAAACAGTTTATAAGGATCCATTTCAGTTATACTTCACCTGAAATCTTTTGTGAGGTGAACTCATTAACATGCCTCACCCACATTTTTCACTCTAACATGGTCTAGAAGAGCTAACTCTTGGCAGCGCAAACGCTCGTGGAGTGTTCAAACTTGAGTGCATCGAGGCCATCTAGGGTCTTTTGAGGGCTTGATAAAGACGTGCGAAGTGGTCAAAAGCGATGTTCTTCAGTAGCATTTTGATGTAAGAGACAATCGTACTCTTGCTTTGTTTTTGTTGCAAATCAATTCTAGTGTGAACTTTCCTGGAAGACTTGGAAATCATGGACACGGGCTGGAAGGAAAACATGACAAAGGGAATAATTATCTGACGCCGTCATCTCTTGCGATCTGGTCATCCGAAAGCCCCTCTCGCACAGTATTCAAGTATTTATCAAATTTGCCTGACACCTTGATAACGTGCTTGATATGGCTATAATTCATCAGTTCTTTTTTGAACTTAGCCAATTGTCTCGCTGTCGTAATCGCATTTCGGATTTGGCGCCCATTCATCTCAACCTCGGAAAGCTCGCTCAAATAACACTCGACATCCTCGAAGTCAATGCCAATAGGCCCCGCAAGTTTACGTTCGCGGGTCCCCGGCTTCGTGACTGTTGCATTGGGCGATGTGCCCATGTCTTTCAGTCGGTTGAGGAAGTTCTTCCAGATCTTGTAGCGTTGGCCTTTGGTAAGGTTTTCGTAATGGAGGGAGAGCTGGATGCGGGATTTAAAGGCCTCATCGAATGTTCCAACTCTATTCGAGGTCAGGATTAGAATACCTTCGTAGTATTCAAGCACCCGGAGGAACACAGAAACGAGAGCGTTGCGCTCTAAATCGGTGAGTGTTCTCTGCTCTAGGAAAACATCGGCCTCGTCGAGAAGCACAACGCAGCCCCAGTTTTTGCTAAGGTGGAGCACAGACTCTAGGTATTTTTCGACTGCTTCTGGCTTCGTGCCGATGTCGCCGCACGTCACCCGGAATAGTGGTTTCTCGGCCATCTCTGCCACACTTTCGGCTGTGAATGTCTTTCCTGTGCCCGGGCCCCCGTGGAGAAGGATTATGAGGCCGTTGCCTTTGCTCTCGATGATGTCAGTGCCCTGCTCTCGGGCTATTTGGTTAGTGATCAGAGCTTGGACCAGCTCTTTAGTTTCGCTGTCCACGACGAGGTGCGCAAACGATTGCTTGTTCCAGGTGATTTCTCGGATCAGGTCGACCTCGAGGTCCACTACAAACTGTCAGAATTTGCTCGTAACAAACTATAGTCTGATACATAAGTACATTACGCACCCCACTTCTTGCTACGTAGATTGTAGCCAATGATTGTGTCGGGAAAGGCGTAAATTTCAGGACTTGGTGGCGGTTCATCGGCCTCCATGGCGCTGAGATCCATTCGTTTTTCGTTGTGATCATCGCGGGATTGGTATTCCCGTTTGAAGGCTGACGAATCTGAGTGCAATTGTCTGTAGGTATAAAAGTCCACCATGAACCGTTCTGCGCTCTAGAGGAACGGTCAGCTCAGACGGCTTCAAACGTAGGCCGGGAAGCATACGCCGTAAATTCCATTCTTGTCTTCGTACGAGACAAGCCTTCTATCTCGACAGCTCCAGAACGTTCGGCCTCTTTGTTCAAGAAGTGCTCTGGTTTCTTCACTGGCGTATCTCAAAGGGTAGACGTTCAGCTTCTGAATGGCGACTTCTTCGTCCGCCTTTTCCGCCCGCAATTGGATCTCAACCTGCCTCTCCGTTCGGTAGAACGAGCCATCATATTTGTAGGCCCAGCAATCAACAATCCACTTCCAGGTGCATTTCTTTTTGTGATCCTTATTCATTTTGACCCAGGGCGAATCTACACCAAAGTCGGCAAGCTTCTGGGGCGTTTTACTAGCTGGCCACGACGCAGCAATCTCGGCCTTCAAGGTTCCACCTTCCTGTCCTGGTTTGTTGTTCAGGATGATAGCGTCACCAGGCTTCATGAGAAACTCTATCGACTCATAAGAAACGACTCCTTTGTCCAATTGCTTCTCTACACGGTGATACATCTCGCCGTAGTTGTCATCAATCCATCCTGTGAGTCTGCGCATATGCTTCTGGTGTAGGTCATTCAGTCCACTTATCGTTTCTGGTGATCGGTCGTGGTACCAGAAGAGATATGGGGCCGCCAAGGGAGCTCTAACATCGAAATCCGGATGTTCTTCGATGAATTTGAATTTTCCGGCGATGAAGGCTTCCATGGATTCGATCATGTCTTGGGACTCGAGTCGGATTGTCTCCCTGGTTGGCTTCGGCCGGGGAATCATCTTTCCATCGCGTGCAGCTTTCTGAACCTCGCTCTCTTGCTGTTTTGGTACGTAGATCTTGCCGATAAGGAATGCGATGTCGTGCTTTTGTCGTACGTACCCTCTTACATCAGGGACAGGAAAATGGGCTTTCAGCACGATCTCTCCTCGAGGACCAATTGCCCAAATAGGTTCATCGAGGTAGGCCGTAGCGCTGGTTTTAGGGTCTTCTTGGATGAAATATAAGATCTCAGACCTGATGTTCACTTTTTGGGGGGTTTTCAGGTCTCGATTCTCCAGTTCCAGGCACGATATGCGACCAAGGAGCTCGCCCACTGAATCATCTCCCGTGGAAACTATCGAATTTCCATCGTTATGTTGAGTGCGAAATTGTTTTGTGACCATGGAATCTGACTTAACGTCATCTTGGTTAGCTGCAGCGTGAAGCGGGTTATGAAAAGACATAATGTCGTTGAGAGTGGCACCCTTTGATTCCTCGGCTGGATGTTCGCTTGAAAGAACCTGGAGGCTTCGTTGTCGTGGCAAGGATATCGATGTTGGGGGCTGCCCGACGATGGGCTGTCGGCGGTAGACCGGCCGCGCTGGAATTGTGTGGGGTTGGGGCTTCTCAAAATATCTGGGACCGGTGTCCCGTTTGGCGAATATGAGAGCTTCCGACCTTTCGATTTGAGAAGACCGAAGTGTCAGGAGTAATTCGTTCTTGAAATTACTAGAGGCAGTTTGGTCTCTTGATATGGTAATGTGGTTCCAAAATATGCTTTCGCCTCTCTTCTCGCGCTCTTCCCGTACCTGATCTTCTTCTTCCTGTGCTTCAGTGTTTGCCCCAGGAATCCCCGATGGTAGCTGCAGTTCCGTTGTTCCTTGGTCGTGGTCTTGATTTTGGTTTGAATCCTCGTTATCAATGCTTCTGGTAAGACCTGATGAATGGGTAAGGAGGCTTATATTGGTAATGAGGCCTTTTTGAAGGAGCTCTTCCTCCTCATTAACAAAGGCTTTCACTGCGACTGAAACGCTTTCTCTGACCTGGCGAGGGAAGTCAAGGAGACAGGTATTGAATTCCACCCGTATCCTGGCACAAAACTTCGTAATTCGTCCGGAAAGGACTTTCCAATATTCGGTATTACTGTGGCTGTCTGGACGGCTGAAGATCTTGTTAAAAATGGTCCAGTCCAGGGTCCTCAAAGCCTTCCTGATGCAAGACTGGAAGTGCGACTTGAGTTCTATATAGCCGCCTTCTCTGTACTTATGCTTTTTGTCGTTGTCGTTCAGAAGTCGCTTCGCAATACGGAGAATGTCATCATCATCATTGTCCGCATGGTGTGGAAGAAACAGATCCAGCTTTGCTGTAAACGAGTTGAGAAGCGTAAATTGAAGCAGCTGTAGTGCTCCAAGGCATGGGTTTTCAAAGATAAGAAAAGGCTGAAGAAGAGGCTGGTTTAGGGGAGGCCTCCAGCAACGAGGCAAAAGGCCGGATTTTGAAGGTTCCAAGGTTGGTGGCTGAGGCTGTGTGCTGGACACCAGCATAACTGCGGGGCATGCATGATCCGTGGCGTTTTCGCACAACGCATCGCCACTTGCAGCTCGACGAATGTCAAATCAAATCGCGACGTGAGCATTTGCAGCACATGGTGGCCATCTGGCACAAGGGGGTCAGCGAGGCAGCCTCGATGGCTGAGACGCACGCGAGGGATACGTGGAAGCACAAGGGCTGACTATGTGCACGGGTATGCTGGGCCGCTTCCGTATCATCTACCCACCATAAGTAATGTCGCACTCCTCGCTCACAAGACCATTACTCGTCGTCAGTGCTTCTGGAAGAGCTTGGGGTTTTTCTTTCGCTACAGCTTTGTCTGTTCTAGTGATCACAAGACCATTTTGCCAAAACGCCCTAACAAGGCTGGAGTGTGCTGCTTCAATGAATCGATCGTCGGTTTTCCAGGAATGGTATCAAAGTCCGCAGAACGGAGGTTCGAGGTAAAGGAACCCAGGACAAGTTGGCAGGACAACACTAACTATGCAATTACCAGTCAGTCAAAGAGGCTTATCGAAGAAGCGTTCGACGAGGCGAAAGCCAAATTTGCATCTGACCTCACTCAAGACGATCGAAAAGCCGAAATTGCGTCCTCGGCGACGTCGTTACAGGATGTACAGGCTACAGTCTCCGAGTCGATGACAAAGTATCTGTCCCAACGAAAGGAGTCCAAGGCATGGAGATGGTTAGAACGGCTCTCGCATCGAATCCACTTCTACGGTAGCGTCCTCGACGTTTTTGCCCAACACCATCCGGAATATGTTGCTCTAGTATGGGGCTCGATCAAGTTTCTCATAGTGGTTTGGCCCCCCAAACCCATTGTTACTAGAGATAGAAGGCTAATTCGCTTAGAGGCTGTTGAAAACCACGGGAAAGTGATTGCTACACTAGCGAAAGCGATATCTCAGATCGCAGATACGCTTCCGCGCATCGAACTGGCCTCCAACTTATATCCTACGGACCGAATGAGAGCGGCTGTCACAGATCTCTATGTCTATATCTTGAGATTCCTCATCCGAGCACGGGACTGGTACGAAGAAGGAAAACTCTACCACTTCCTTCATAGTATCACGAGACCAGAGGAGCTCCGCTACAAAGATCTCCTGGAGCAAATATCACAAAGCTCTCGCATCATCAACCAACTAGCAGTGTCAGGCCAGCAAGCTGAATTCAGAGACATTCACGACAAAATTAACAAGACGAGCGCCATGGTGGAGAAAATAAGTAACGCAGTGACTTGTGAGTGGCCAGGTTGATAGACAGCACCAGCTTCAAATACTAATTTTGAAAGTGCATTCGGGTGCGCTAATCGACACTAACGACCGTCTATCAGACCTGCAATTCTCCCAAATCATGATGTCACTATCAGACGTGTCTATCTGGGATCCTACGAAAGTATATAAATATCACCACTCTCTTAAGCAGCGGCGATCTCACACCGCAGCGGTTCGCTCGGTACCCAACAGCTTCTGGCAGTCGCCAAAGTTGCATCGCTGGTCATCTACTGACGACTCGGCCTTATCAATCATTGTCGGGAACTATCACGCCCGTTTCGTCATGAGGAATCTATGCATCGATGTCATAGAGCAACTTCACGACGCAAAAGTGCCAGTCTTGCTAGCCATGAGAGTACCGCAGGAGAACGGTTCATCAGCAAACATTTCATCAAACGACCTGCTGAAATATCTCGTACGACAAGCCATTCAAATTCGACACAAGCTTCAGACAGAGAAGTCAATGGCCATGAAGTGTGCTACATTCCATGGCGCCTCGACAGAAACAGAGTGGTTTCAAGTCTTGGAAGCCGTACTTGCAGATATTGGTAGCCAAGTTTATATCATTGTGGACCTGGAGATGCTGAATAGAGACCTTGGACCTGTTGACGGATTCTCTTGGGTACTCGCATTCGAACACTTCTTCAATGAACTCCTGGTCCGGGGACTATCAACGCAAGTCAAAGTCCTTTTGGTCAGTTATAGTTCACTTCCTTTCCAGTTATCGGCTGCGGATCGTTCAAAATTCGTTACTACGGCAAAGACGCAGCTTACGACAGCTCGTCAACGGAAGGCTGGTAGAGGTGTGAGGTTGCCACAACTACCCTTTCGACTGAAAAATATACCAGGATCTCCTGCTAAAAATTCCCAAGAAAGAGGACCCAGACGTCGACCATAATGCATTACCTGGATTGCGAATCAACTCCCCTGTTGCGATAAATACATGAGAATTGGGAAGGGCTTTACTCGTATTGCACTATTTCGAATTGCATGAATCGTAATTCTTCACATTGGGGATTTGGGAGCACCGCTACCTTCTCGTATCCTTGCAGCGCTCGCGAGTACATCTTCTCTGCCTCGCCCAGCTTGCACCGGTCCGCTGTCAGAGCTCGGCATGCAGGAAGAGAGAGTGTATTGTATTGGTGTTCATCTGAGGAAGCTAGCTAGGTCCGTAAAACAAAAAAAATATACAGCTGCTGAGTAATCGGCTACACAGGAAGGGGCCAACACCGCGTAGCGAAGGCCCAAGCTGTTGACCGTGGAGACTCACCGAGTGTCTTCTCCTTTTCTTGCCAGCAGCTGCACGTACCGGAGGATATGGGGTTAGGGGCGCGGAGTTCTATGTTTTGGAGGTGGATTATAGCTGGGTGTATCTGCAGGATGTAAGGGTGAGTCGCATGGTGAGGTTTTTCTCACTTTCAGTTCAAGGTGTGATAGATATATCCAAGTATTTGATTACTGTTTCATAGGGCCCAGGTGCAAACTACCGAACCACAGTCCAAATCGCAAGGAAAGAAAATCGAAGAAAGGAGAGGAGGGACCATTCCTCCAGGAAAGCTCCGCCGCACCAGCCAAAATTGCAGTCGAGGCAACAGTTCTCGCCAATCTCTGGTGTGATGGTACTATTGTAACGCTTTTAGATCAATCTAAAGCTCGAAGACCAAATTCACCACCCGCATATTTCACCGTCTTTAGGAATCCCTCTTCAACCTCTTCAGCCTCGTAGCGCCAGCTTCCCTCCGCTCTTTCTCCCGCTTCCGCTTCTTCTCCTTCGCTTCCTTCGCTTCCTTTGCCAGCTCCCGCTTCTGCTTCGCCCCTTCTGCTTTCCTCGTCGCGCTCGCCAGCTCCTTCTGCCGGTGCTCCTCAAACAACGCTCCATAAATCGGCCGCACATCCCTGAGATACTCAGCCAGGTACGACTTATACGCCGGCATCCAGCAGTCAAGCCCCCAGCCGTAGTGCGCGAAGGGCGTCTTAGCTTCCCGCAAGAATGCCGCCGCCACCACGCCCGCCTGGCTCTCTGGCAGCGTGCCCGCCAGCTCGTACGTCACGCTGTTTACGGAGTAGAGCGGGCGGCCGGGCTGCAGCTGCTGGGCCAGCCGGTTATACCCGCGATCCCGCGGGTCGCCTTCCATGATCTCCTCGACCATGCGCAGCAGCTGCCTGAGCGCGTCCATTCAGTACTCGCGCTGGAAGCGGGTGTAGGGGCGCTTGCGGCCCTGCGGCACGCGGCGGTCGCCCGGGCCGCACGCCTCGAGCAGGGCGAGCTGCGCGGTGGGCACGTTCAGGTCGATGACGACGTGCGTGATGCTGGCTGGCAGCTTGCGGATCTCGCGGGGCCAATCCTCCCGCCACGCGTGCTGGAGGTTGAACGGGCGGCCGTCGGGCTTGAGTGGGTTAGGGACGCTCTTGTCGTACGACGGGCGCGGCGGCAAGCGCGTCGTCTCGGTGTTGAAGGCGTGGATGCGGATCGAGGTAAGGCCAGCCCATTCGCGCTTGGTGGTTTTCGCGTGCTCCTTGTAGAAGCGGGTGAGAGCTGCGAGGCCGTCCATGCCGGTGGGGTTTTTGATCACCGTGGGCGTACATGATGGGGGAATCCAGATGCGGCTGATCTCGACCAGGTCTGCGTGAAGGAGTCTGCAGACGCTGGCGGCGGGAGTTGTAAGGAAGATCTTGTGGGGCCCACTAATCTTGATGATGATGGTGCCGGCGAGAATCTGCTGGCGGAGCTCGGCCGGGAGGTTGGTGAGAGTGGGTGGAGCCACTGTGGAGACTACCACGTTGGGATTTTCGCCTGAGAATGCGCTCTTGGATGCTTCAGGGTACGGTGGGCGTTGGCAGGGTGGTGGTGCAGCTGTGCCGAAGCTGGTGATTGTAATAGGTGAGCGTTCATCAGGGCTATAGAAACTTAGCAGACGGATCATTACAGCGACTGACGACGCAGATTGCAGGCGTAAAATGTCCAGGAGGCTTTGAGGATTGTTTGAAGGCAGTAAGACCTGGGTTGTGGCGCAGAGCTATGTGAGTGTGTGAAGAAGAAGTCCAGCGAGTACTCGGGCGGTGACTATATTGTTTTAAAATCATCAGAGCGCGTTCATCAGAGTGGTGGCCTTGGCGTTGGGTCTCACTGGCGGTACCAAGGTTGGCCCCAACTTCAAGTCTAGACGGAATCAGTACCAACATCTCACAACCGAGGCGGGGAAAAACGAGGTAGCGATACGCAACGATTGTAAGAGGCGCTCTGATGGATGAGAAAGGCTGGATTCTTCAAAACTGTGAAGAGGCTCCGGAGGTGTGTAGGTTAGCCTAGTACACATAATAGTCACGTGGCTCCCTGCGGGCCGCGCACAGCTATATAAGACGGAAAGAAGCTTTTACTCCTTAATTACCTATACTAATGTTAGACTAAAGTCCTACTAGAGAAAATATAATATTAGTAGTTACTAAAGTAAGGTTGCGCTAGTAGGGAGGTGCCGACCCGCTCTGGCCACTCCCTTGTGAGCTCCAACGGTGATATGGAGGTCCTTAGTGGAAAATCACGTGTCTGGAAGCGTGGCGGTGGGTGGCGCTTCACCGGATGTGTAAGGTGGGGGAAACTTCGTTAGAAACCTACAAGGGGGCTACCTGAGAGGGCTGCCGGCGCTCCCTGCAAGCATCTCTGTTAGTGCTTACAATCGCCATATCGCCACATGAAAACAGTGCTTATTCAGTAACTAATATTTCGTTGGGCCGCAATCAGCAGCAATTACAGCAAGGCAACGCTCCCTCATATTGCCCGTATACTTTTCAAATTCTTCGGGCTCAAGCTTCTCCCATTCCTCCTCAGCGTACTGCCGTACTTCCTCCTTTGTTGTAGGAAACCGGCGTTGTATTCTCCCCTTCAACAGCCGCCAAACGTTCTCAATTGGATTCAAATCAGGGGAATTCGCCGGCCATTCCATTACAAGCATGCCGTTCTGTTCCCAGGCCAGGCGCGTCGCTTTTGCTGAGTGAATTGAGGCATTATCCTCTACAAGAATAGGCTGGTGTCGTAGTGTCTGCCATAATTCCCATGCAAAAGTCTTGATATT